TTTATTTTATTTTTAATAATTATATAAGTTAAATAAATATTTATAAGAAAAGCATAAGCATTAAATTAAGTTAATATAAGAGTAAATATTAAGTTTTAAATATTATTAATATATAAGCAATGTTTAATAAAAAGATAAATAGCTAATTTAAGTAATATAATAATATATTATATAATAAGTACCTTAACCTTTATTAAGCAATTATAATTTTTTATTTTAATGAAAATTTAAATATAATAAGAGTTAATATTAATATATCCTTTTAAATTAATAATATTAAAGCCCTTTAATTTTATAGCATTTATATTAATAAGTATATTAACCTTTAAGTTTTTAATTATAAAGATTTTATAAGTAAATAAAATAATTATTATAATTTTATAATTAATATGTTTTCTTAGGAATTATAATAATATAAATATATAATTATATAACTTATAAATTTTTATTTTAAGTTTGTATAATTATAGCGAAGATATGTATTTATAAATTAGCAAGAGGGGATAATTTTATTATAATTATTATTTATTTATTATTATTTAATTATAATTAATATTATTGTAAATATTTAATAATAATTTAAATGGCAATTAAATAAAAAGATATAAATAAGTTTAAAAGTAAAAACTAAATCTTATCTTAAGTTTTAAGTTAACCCTTATTAACAATTAAATTACCTTTACGCTCCCTATAATATTTAATAAAACATTAAGGCTTTTAGTTTTTTGCTAGCTACTTTAAAGTATCTTTTAATATATTATCTAAGCCTTAATTATTTAATAAGCTAATAGTTTATATCTTAGCTATAAAAGCTATTAATATTTATTTTTATTAAAATTAAAGTTTTTTAAAATAAATAAAGTAAATATAATTTATTAATAAATTATTGCTATGAAAATGCTTAATATAATAATAATAAATAAATAATAATAATGCTAATATATTAAAAAAGGTAATGTTTAAGTAGTTATTATAGTTATTAATAAAAAACGCTTTTTTAAAGGGATAATTAAAAGCCTTAATAGTTATATTTATAAAGAACTCTTTATTTAAAATTTTCTTAATTAAAGGTAGTTAATATATAGGCATATTAAGTTATTTTATAAAGTTTGTAAACTTATTATAATAGGCTTAATAGGGTTAATTTTATTAATATAATTTAATAATGAATAAGGCTTATAAGGCGGGTAAGCAATGGTTTTTTAGGATAAGCTATTATTAATAATTTTTTAGTTATGGTTATTATTAAGTAAGTTATTGCTATTTATTTTATTATTAATGCTATATAATATATTAATTTAATAATAGCTAAGGTTAATTATATTTAGCATTTTAAATTTAGCCTTAATTAATTAATTAAATTAATAATTAAAATTAATTTTAAGTTTAATTAGCTATATATAATTAATTATATTATAAAAGAGCTTAAAATAGCTGCGCTTAAAAGCATTGCTATAATTGCTATTATTAAAGCTGCAAAGGCAAATATTATAGGGCATAAAGAACGTTTAACTTGCCTTTATAAGTAAGTATAGGCTAATAAGGATAAATAACGTTTTAAGTAAATAAATATTATTATTAAGTTAAGTTAAGAATTATACTTTTATAATTTTAAATATTATTTAAAAAGCTTTTTAATATTATTGCTTTATTAAGTTTTTAAAGTTTAAACTTAATTTTAAAAGCAAGTAATTTAAATATAATAATTAATTATATAAAAAGCTTTATATTATAAGCTTTTATATTTATAATAATAGTTTAAAGAAGTAAAGTAATATTTTATTTCTTTATAATTTAATAAAAAGATAAGTAATTTATCTTAAAATTAGCTATAATATTTAAAAAGGATTTAATAAAATATAATTTTAACTTACTATAAATTACTTAAATTATTATTATCTTAAGTAATTAATAATTATTATTAATTAAAATATAAAAATATTATTTAAGTATATTTTTTAAGAAATATTAAGATTAAACTTAATAAACATTATTTATAAAATAAATTTATTTAATATGCTTTAAATACTTAATAAAATAAAAAATATTAAAATACTTTATAATCTTTTCATTAAATTAAATGCTTAAATTAATATACTTATAAAAATAAAAATAATTAATATTTACTAGCTAAATATTAAAACGTTTATTAATATTATTTTATATAAGCTTAGCTTAAATATAAACTTAAGAAATTAATATATTTATAAATATTATAATAATTAAATATATAAAATCTTAATTTTATTAATTATAAAGCTATATTATTACTTATATAATAAAATTAATAATATTTTTAATTATAAGTAATGCTATATTATTATTATTAAATTTAAGGTTTTTTAATTTTTTTTTATTATTTTTTTTTAAATATAAGGAAAAGCTAAGGTTTTAATTAAATATTAATATAAGTAATATATTTTTAAGGGAAACTTTTAAAAATAATAATAAACTTAATAAATTTATTATTTAATAATACTTAAATATTTAAGGAAATTATATTTTAATTAATATATATAATAAATTATTAAAAAGCAATGTTTAATTAATTAAAAAAGCAGCTTAAAGATTAAATATTAAAGAGAATTTAAGTAATAAGAATGCTTATTAATAAGCAAAAAATATAAAAAGGCTTTTTTATTTTATTAATTAATTTTATAATTAATAAGTTTTGCCTTAAGAAATTAAATTATTTTTATTAAAGATAAGTTATAAGAAATAAATATATTTAAGCTTATTATTTTAAATCTTTATAATATATAAAAACTTAAATAAGTAATAAAATTATAAAAGTTATTAAGTATATAATTATTTAAGTTTAGCTATGGAATTTTACAAAGCTATATAATTAAATAGTTTAAATAAATAAATATTAAGATAATTATATAAAAGTAAAGTAAATAATAAGAAATTAATGATAAATTTATAATAATGCTTTTATTATTTTATTAAATAAGGCTATATTTATAATAGTTATTAATTAGCATTTAATTCCCATAATCCAAGCTAAGTTATTAAGGGGTTTTGCAATAAGAAAGTTGTATTTGGTTTTTAGTTATGGTTTTATTTAAGTTTATACTAAAGGGCCGAGGGGCTAAGGACTACCTATTAATGCCCATAAGGGGTCTGTGCGGTGCTCCTTCCTCACAGGTTGCATGTTGCGGCCTCTGGTGGGGGGGGGGGGCGTTTGCGCTTACAACCTTCGCCTCCGGAGCCTATAGGCCGCCGGATTGGTCGGCAACACGAAGGCCCACGAAGCTATGGATACGAACTGCTTTTTTGTCGGTTATCGTGAGTCTCAGTTGACAAATGCTGCCGGGCTTCCAGAACGCTAGAACGGTCAGTCTTATCAGGAACTGTCAGCACTCAGAACATTCCTCTCCCCGCGCCCGTTTGCCGGCTGCTGGCGAATGGAGCCTCTGCAGTGATGCGGATCAGTGGGCAGTGGACACCAACTGTCCTGTCCGGGTGGACCATCGCTGGAGCATGGCGATCATTGCCCAACTGGCCACCGTTGCCACAGTGGTCGTCTCCATTTTCCAAATGTCTATCGACAGATGCCAAGCCTGCCCATAGATATCCAGTGGCTCCTGGGCAACCTCGACTGGCTCGTCAGGGGGCGCGGGAATGGTGTTGATAGTTGCTGAGGACAAGAATCAAGCTCACCTGTCTGTCGGGGAGGTCTCTGGGTTGGACCGCTCCCAAGGCCCTGGGTTCTTCAGGTGCCATTGGATTGACCACCCCTGCAAGATGGCCCCGAGCGACTGATAAGTACATAGGTACATATCCACAAGGGCGAAGGCCTCTCCTCCTACCTAGCCCATGCAGCCTTACACATTGGTCGAGAATGATTTACTACTGCATAACGGGAATTGACGATATGGCTGAAGAGCCCTCAGGGTTGCTTCCTACGATTTACCTCCAACCAAAGTCAGGGTCTGCTTATGTGCAGAGCATGTGCTCTAGCCATCACGATCGTGAGTGTCTGGTGATCTTGGTGGACCATGATGATATATATGAATCACTGCCGACTGGTATATGGCATTCCAGCCATCGTTCACGGTTGCAACAAGGCACAGGTCACACTGTTGGGGCAAAAGCCAGCATTGCTGTCACATTGTGATGTTAGAGCTACCGACCTAAGCACCACATGGGTAGCACTAGACTGTTGAGTCAAACTCGGAATACGCAAAGCTCCATGATTAGCTCTTTGATCAGCAGCAAACTTGTTCGTTAAAATATAAACCCATCCAGGGGGAAACATTATTTGTGTATTGAATACCTAGTGCTCTGTGGGACACCTTAAAAGGCCGGTCTGACCTAAATAAATGAGAACCATATGAGCAGTTACAGAATTGAGAAGACAATAATGTTCTGGATTACACGATAAGCAATGTAAATAGAATCAAGTTTGTGCATTGGTCATAAAGTGGCAATCTTAATCAGTGTTTCCCAGGCACAGACAACACCAGGTTTTGCTCTCTCTCTCATCAATCATTGGCTCCCCCCCCCCCCCCACCGCCTTTTTCTTTTGACCGTACCAGTCTAGCATTCTGGCTTATGTGCAGGAAAATATGCAGCTGGTTACTATGTCGAATTGGTTGCGCTCATTCAAGCACTTACACCTTTGATTACCCATGAACACCAACCACGACTTTCATTTCCATCACATTTTTAATGAACAAAAACGCCAAGCACTACTTGAAACGCCAAGCACTACTTGAAATGCCTCCTTGGTAGCTAATTAAATAGTGCAGAGGCCTAACAGACTCCGATTTCTGAGAAGCATTCAATGTGCTTCTCGATCCACGTCATGTGTGGAAGTTGAACATTTTTTCTGTAACAATCTGTCAGGTCACCTTGAGGTGTTCTGTTAATATTGGATTCTACATAAATCAGAGTCTCGCCCTGTGGCTTCAATTCCACATCTCAAAGAATTTGCAACTAGCACCAGAATCCTCCAATTTCCCTCGAGACCGAATAGCCCCACTATCTTCATGATGTCGGATTCACCAACGTTCCAGGTCACCCAAACGTCAGTCTCGTCAATCAAATCCGTAACATCTTGTGCTGCCACCGCAAACATGAACTTCCTCGCCCATTGATGCCACTGCCTCGATAGCTGTGGCGCAGGAGTTGCTCTGGAGCTAAGAGAGCGCTTCCCCAACGCCCTCGAAGTCGACAGACAAAGCTGTCAGGAAATCCAAAGCAGAGCCAGTCTTCCCGGCACCTGTCTCCTCATCCCCTACGAGTCCACATGGCCACTCGCATCGGCCGACTCAGCCGCGCCAAAGGTCTCCATTGCGTGTTTGCGTGCCAGCCTTGGCTTCGGTAGTTCAAATCAGAGAGCGAATAACCCCGGACCGGACAGCAAGGATCTGGTGACTTCGCAGACACGATCAGCCCTTCGCAATTTTCGAGCGTAGTTGGAGGAGATGGGCGAGGAATGGCAAAAATAAATTGTGATATGGTCTCCAAAGTTCAACCCGGGTGCATTCACAGTGCCCTGGGAGGAGACGGAGGGTGTCATCGAGGAGGTATTCGCCGGTTGGGCTGGAAAGTGGTGCCTGATGCAGCTGCCTCCTGCCGGAGAGCTCAAGCAGTGGTATATGGACAGCGAGGGGTCAAGAAATAGTGAAGTTTTCACCAGGGTGGCAAGATGTGGCAGAGGTAGCTGTCGATTCCTGTGGGCTATTTTCTAGCCACAGTAATGGTTGCTAATGTCATTTTGGCAATTACATCTCGCCATTGGGTGTAAATACTCTTGAAGACATTGCCAATGCCCCTAGCCATTAGCAAAGTGTGACCAAGTTGAATATCGGTCCAAGGCACGGAAGCTCAAGGTTCGCTCTGCGGAACTGAAGGACCAGATCGTGCACGAGCTATCTCACCATTCAGGGGGGATGCAAGTGACTAGTTTGCCCTACCCTGTGCCGGAATCCTCCTTCGTCTGACCTCCCAACAACTTAGGTTCATCTGGGTCACTTTTCAGCTGGATTTATTCTCACGCCTCACCACCGACAAGGCCATACGAGATGCTCTCCGCAAATTGCCTCGTGGACTAAACAAGACATACATTCAACTTCTTGAGGAAATCAGAGATGAAAATACGGAGCACGTCGGAGTGATCACGAAGGCTCTGACGTGGATTGTGTCTAGCCTGGTACCTCTGACCCTTGTGCAATTGGCTGAGGCCATTTCCATAGACTCAGGAGATACGCATCCGGGTATTGACAAGGTGTTCAACGACGAGAAAGACCTCTTTGAGATGCTCGGGAGCTTGATTATCTTCTATCCAGCCAAAAAGGACCAGCTGGTCAATCTTGCACACTTCACCTTGTATGAGGGTCTTCAATCCGATGAACTTCGAACGCACGAGTCGCTACAGTAGCATCCTTCCACGTCCCACCGCAGACCATGATGGACATCGGGTTCACGTGCGCCCAGTGCTTATCATTTACCGACTTTGGACAGCCATGCGGCTCGATAGACGAACTCCACGGGCGAATGGAGTCTTATAAGCTGCTTGCATTCGCGGCGAGTAACTTCATGAGCCAGCTACGGTCATACGGAGGCCGCGGGCCCGCCATCAAGGGTCATCTCGCTTCCTTCAAATGGTTGCTCGAGCCATGTCGCGACGGACAGCAGAACTTCATCTCGTGGCAACAAGTCTACCAGTGTGGTGTTCTGGGCCACGCATTCGTGGTTTTCAATCCGCTGAAATACATCATCGAGAACAACATGCTCCACCTCCTAGACGTGTTCCTCCTTGACACGGGCGAGAGGTACCACGAAGCCGTGATGCAATCCGGGCTCACCTCTTTGCACATAGCGGGCATCACCGGCGGCGAGGACCGCCTATCTGATTCCCTACGCTCGGGTCTGGATCTGGAAGCGTCGGGCAATCGCGGGGAGACAGCGTTGCACCTGGCTGCGTCCTACGGCCACGTTGGCATGATCAAGATGTTGCTAGACGTGGGCTTTTCGCCGCACGCCTGGAGCGAGTCCGGGTCGACGCCGGCCTATCGTGCAGCCCGTAATGGCCCGATCGCAGCACTGGAGCTGCTTTCCGAGGTAGGCAGCGACCTGGAAGCTGTGACATGGGATGGGTGGACGCCCATATTCGATGCGATCGAGAACTACTACGTGCGCGCTGTGGAGTGGCTGGTTCGGAAGGGGGTGAATCTGAGGCAGAAGATCCTCCATGGCTCGTCCGTGTTGGAGTTTGCGAGAGTTGCCGGTGACCAGGCTATCATTGAGATAGTCGAGAAGGGACTTTGAGAACATTGCTATGGGACCTATGGCTGGCTAATCTTTCAAGCTCGTCCCAAGTGGAGGAGATGGTGATGGGATCTGCTGCCACCCAGCGTCGAGGAGCATGTACAGAAGGGTCATTTGCAGCTACCCCAGTTCTCTTGGCTCACAACTGCCAGAGAGAAAAAAAAAGGACAAGAATTACACCCTGCGGAATATTTAATTCTAATGTTTAGCGAGCATTTGTCTGCTTTAACAGTATACAAGAAGGCAACACAAACGAGTCTATCAGATGCACTGAAGTAACAGTCAGTAATTTCCCCAGTCCCCTTGGCTCATCATTCGCTCACTCCGAGGCCCAAAGCCCACAATTTGCAGGGTAGACATCCACTGTGGTCAACGAGAACCCCTGCCTGCACCCGCGGCATTCCAGGGTTCGTATGCACGTATTGTACTCGTACTGCAGAAAGCACAGGAACGTACAGTAGTACCCGGAGTGCCCCACGGGAGCTTGGCCAGGCCCGAATTCGATCAATCCCGTCCCCATCGAAAACTTGACGTCTCTTTGGGCGTGTTGATGTTCCCCTTTCCCATTCGCAACCCAAGACAACCCCCCTCTCCCCTTGCACCAGCCGAATTGCACGCTCCCAACAGAGGTCTGTCAGCGGCCTCACCCAATGGCTTCATGGCGTCGGCGACACATCCTCGCATCTCGACCGGCAGCCTGAACGGCCGAGTCAACGGAAATGGAACCACTAAGCGTGTCGCGGACGATGACGACAGCGTTGCGACGGAGCAATTCCCAGCCTTCGACCCGGCCCACGACGGCAGCGAGGACGATCTCGCGACAAGCAATCACAATTACACCCACGAGCAGCCCAGTGCCTTGACGAATGGGGCCACTATGGACAGAACCCACGACGGCTTCGAGGACGGACAGGATCCACCGTCACACCACGCCGCCGACGACAGCCTCGACGGCGCTGACCTCCCGCCGACACCGTTATCCACCGTCGAGCCTGTACCCGAACCCGACTACCCGATACGCCACCAAGAAGAAGAAGCCCTAGAAACGTCCGCCGTGACCTCGCCTTCAGTGACATCTCCGCCCTACTGGGCGCACGGCCACACCACCGACGGCCCCGGCGGCGCATCGCGCGCCAACCACGGCAACCAATCCACGGAGAGCCTCGTGCCAGGCGCAATCACCCTGCAGGACAACGAGGCGGAGGACGACGACGGCGAGCCCGCCGACCGGCAGCGCAGCTCCGAGGAGACGCGGACGTCGTACGGCCGCGACAGGAACAGGGCGTGCTGGGCCAAGAGCGTCGAGGTGACGAACTACGTGATTGTGAATAGTAGCGCTACCAACATCGGGGCGTTCGTCGTCTGGAACATCAGGGTGCAAACGCTGAGTGTGAGTTGACGGCGTCACACCCCATTCCGGCAGGGCGCAAGCGTGCCAAGTATCTGGATCTGGCAGATGCCAAAGAACAGGCAGGCAACTGTGGACTGACCGCGTGTGCTCTTTAGGGCCCATTCATGAACATAAGGAAACGCTACTCTGAATTTGACGACTTCCGGCACCAGCTGGTCAGCACGTTCCCCAACTTCGAGGCGGCAGTACCGACACTGCCGCCCAAGAGCGTGATATCGAGGTTCAGGCCGAAGTTTCTCGAGAAAAGGAGAGCCGGGCTCCAGTACTTTCTGAAGTAAGCTCTGCTGGACGACTTCCAACCCTGCAGACAGATTTGAGGATGTCATACTGACATGAATTTCGCCTTACTAGCTGTATCCTGTTGAACCCAGAGTTCTCTGGGTCGCCTGTACTAAAAGACTTCTTATTCGCTTGAAAGTAGCCTGCAAATGGTCGTAGGACAGTGACAGAGACCAGAGCATGGTACCTCGTGAGGATCGGGACCCTCGCTGTGGGCTTCTCTTATACCCCCTTTCGAGTACATACTTTCTCAACAAGAGTGTAATGATCATGAGTCACTGCTGTATAAGTAATGGAGAGATTACCGATTCGTCAGATGTATGCATTTTCTTGACTGGGCCACGGCATAGATGGGCACGGCAAACATAATGTCTATACTAGCGATTCAATGTTACGATTATGTCTAACTACGGTGGCGATCAAGTGTCGCCCGAGACTCACGTGGGGTATATATTTAAACGCATAAAGAGCTTGTCAGCCCATCCCTTCAGTTCCTTGAAACGCCAGGCTAGCACCCGGAGGGACCGCAGATTTTTCACCCTCCTGTTCATTAGAATCCATCATTTCGCATCACTCGGCCTGCTCTCCCCTGCACGCACCGACGCAGGGCTACCGACGCCTTCTCCCGCTTCCTCCCTCTCCCGTCTTTCCTCGCCGGCCTCGCCCTTCTTGCCATCTGGCGCCGTCGGAGTGAGTTTCAACTTCTGCAAAACCTTGGCTGCGGCCCTGTTCTCCTCTCGCTGCTTGTCCTCGTCCTCCTGCTGCTTCTCGAGGAACCGCCTCTCCGTCTCCGCGCTCTGGGACTTGTCGCGTGCATCCTCCTCGCGCTTCTGTGCCTCCTCCGGATGGATTACCTTGTCCTTCTTGTGTGCCGTCCTCTGCAGGAGCTGCTTGCCCTTTTGCCGTGTCTTGACGTACATCTCGAGCCCGACTAGGACAGCGTAGGACTTGGAGATCGACACGTGTGACATATCCACACCTTCATCCTTAAGGTTGCGGACGAAGGCCCGGAAGTTTGACGCCGGTGGCCTGTAATGGCCCGAGAGCGGGCTCAGGCTCGCCAGCCGGCCATTTTTGATCTTGATGAGCCCCGCGGCGGAGATCCGAGACCCCTGGACGAATGACGAGTGCTGGAATGCCCCGCTGTCCTTGATGCCCACATACAATCGGAAGCTCGTGTCGGCGACAAAAATCCATGTGTTTTTGCGAACCGACTTTCGCAGGAGGGTGTTGAAGATCGTGGAGGCGGAAATGTGTGTTACCTTCTTGACCCCCTTCGCGTCAGTCACGCCCGGCGATGCATATTTTGCAGCGCGGGCAGCCTCGCGCTCGGATTCAGAAGCGGTGCTAATGCTGCTCGCTCTGGAGCTGGGGTCGCTAGGAAATAGCTTTGGCTGGTTTGGGTAGGTGGTTTTCGGTTGAAACGCAGGCGTCTCCGTATCGTCGATCGGGACAATGCCTTGAATGCTATCCCTCCAGTCCTCCGTGGTATCGATCCTGGCCCCGTTCTTTGCCCAACACAGCCGGCCGTCTGAGTCGACCTTTACGAGGTAGTACTGGCGTTCTTCCTGCGAAAGATAGCGCACCTGTTCCCTCTCCAGCCTATCGCGCGGGCACGTGCTTAGTTCAACGTGACGCCCATCGCCATGATCCAGCCAGTAGAAGAAGTTCTCATGAGTGTCTGCCTTTTTCCATTCTTCATGGTACTGCCTCAGGTTGGACCCATAGCGGTGTTTGAGGTCGACCATCTCGAGAAAGTACTGGAGCCCCATCATCATCGTCGCATCATTGCGTCTTCTGGCCTTGGCCTCCTCCCTCTTCTGACGGGTCTCCCTCTTTCTCTCTGAGGTTGACGGCCCCGAATCCGAGTCCGAGTCCGAATCGCTCGAGCTACTGTGGTCGTCTTCCAAGTCGCCGCCTGCTCTCCTTGCGATTGTCGCAATCTTGTGCCAGTTGTATCGAGCTGATTTCGACCTTTTCGCAGCATCTGTGTTTCCATCCTCTCTGCCTTCGGCCTCGGCATCCTCAGGCATTGATGTGACAGTGTCCTGTCTTGCCCTTGGGGTAGTGACTGTCCTGAACTGCAATTCTTTTATCGCGTGAGTCCATCTCGTGTCAGCGTTTAAGCCCAAGCCCCTCATCTCTCTCCGGGTTTTGTATCCCCGGTACGTGCGCTGTATCATCGTGGCTGCCCGATGGCGTAAGATGTCATCGCCGTCGTGCCCTGTTCCCGCGGCCGTGGCGCTTGCGACAGCAGCGGCGAGGACGCTGGTGTTGCGAGATGGAGAATCCTCCTTGCGGCGGCCGAAGATACTACTGCGATGGGGCCTGGTTTTAAGGTCCAAGCTCGGGCTGGCCTGTGGCGCCTCCATGGACCTGCGCTGTTCCTTTTCTTTCTCGCGCGACTTGCGCTTCTCTTGCTGCTCTCGAGTAAGCTGCACCTGTGCTATGCGCGACATCTCCTCGCTCGTGGGCGCCACGAGGGAGTCCATGTACTGTTTCTTGGACCGCACTGATGTTGCTGAGTCTAGGGATGCATTTGATTGACTCTGGCGGCCTTGGCTGTTTGGTCCCTCCATGGTCACAGGGAGTTTATAATCATGGTTGTATCCATTAGCGCTAGTTTGCGCGACCAACGGGGTCTGCGGAGGAGTTGGTGGTAGGCCGGTAGGGGTGCTGAACTTGTTTGGCGGGGCCGGCGATGACGTTGTATTTCGCGGAGTTGCATGTGCCACTCCCACGTTATTCGAAGGATCCATAGGTTCGGAGTTGGAGAGGCTATTCACCTGGGACTTCCAGGCTTTTTCTTGTCCCAAAAGGGGCATCGACTGACCAAATGAGGAGGAGAAATGGACGGTGAATTCAAAATGAATTTCCAAGAGTACGAATTAGGAGCGGAAGAGGCGGGAGTGACAGGAAGAATAAGCATTGTGAGATGACATGAGAGCATCTGGCGCCGAACGAGGGGAACAAGTCATCAGCGACGGCCGGTGATGAAATACCTCTGAGCGTACCTCAACCTTGAACCACATCCTCGAGGCTAGGCGGGGCAGGACAGGGAAGAACTAAACCGCCTGGGTACGCAGCTCATGGGCTGGTGCTGATGGCGATGGGTGATAGGTGCTGGCGTAACCTCGGATCCGACGGCGTAGGGCTGTGTGCCAGGATTGGGGTCCATGTGGTCCAGGTGTTTACTGTATCTGTCCTGCCTGAGACCCTTGCTGGTTGAACGGAGCTTCAATACCTAGGTAGGTGCCTCTGATGCGGGTGTGGCCCTTGCTTCGAGGACTGCAATCAAATGGGGGAGGATCCGACCCTTGGCCAGCTGATTCTGACCGCTGAGCCTCCGGGGCCATGACGGGGTTGATGGTGAGGGGAATGCCTGGCACAGCCGACTGGATGTGCTGCAAGACAAGAAAATCTTCGTGTGGGCGCAGCAGCAGAGGGCAGATTCTGAAAAACATTGCAACCTCCAGCCTGGGATTGCCATGCTTGTGCTAGGCAACCCATGGGATATTTATGGTTGATTCAATTCCCAAGCGGATAAGAGACCGAAATGACAAGGGAGGAAAACCTTTTATCCTCTATGTCATGGATATTTAGAGCGTTGTCCACCCCCACCCTAGTGTCTCCGAATTTGGACTAGGGTTAGGAGACATGACCGAATTGTACACTGTCAAACATGTTCTCATGATCCATGGATGAGCACCAATAAAGACTCAAAGAACAGGCAAAGGCTAAGCAGAAGGCCTCAGAGCCTTGGCTGAGCATGCTCTCCAACCTCAACATTCCTGGACTGGTCTCAGTGACTCTTTGATGTGCCAGGGAGTTTGAAGAACGGCGGCAAAAGATGAGAAAGGCAGCAATGAATGGAAGGGGCAGGGGCATTGGCAGGCAAACATCAATCCGTGGGAGTGCTTTGAAAGGGGGTGGTGGATGTGGGTGAACTTGGTCAATGGGCGGCGGGATTGCATGAAAGGAGCAAGTCAGTTGCTGCCAGCGCGCTCAGGGCGCCCTTCAGCCCGCTGGCAACCGGGGCCGGAAGCAGGCAGTCGCCAACAGCAGGGCTGTTTGGGGCAGTCCACAGGGTGGCCGCATCCCCTAGAAGAAGGACGGGCCAGGGCTGGCTGGCAGCGGGCAGCAGCTAAACACTGGGCTGAGATTGAGGAGGCGAGGAGGTCTGACGCAGGAGGAGAGAGCCCAGCCAAGCAGGCCGGCGCCCGCAAAATTTCCCACCAGACGTCGCAACTGTCAATGCATCAAACAGTCGAGCCATCAGATCCTCAATTGACACGACCCGGTTTCCATCATTCTGACCGGCCCAGCAGAACATGCGAGGAGCAAGTCGCCTGCAGAAGAATGGCAATGACTGCGACCAGCACTCGCTCTACTCGTAGAGCTGAGACTCTTGTCGCCCTCCCTCCACTCCCACACGCCCATCGCACCACTGCCACTGCCACTGCCGCTGCCACGCGCCTGCACCAGCAGAACTCAAGCCGGCCCCTCAAGCGCCTGCACGACGCGACAAACCTGAGATACGACCTCAAATCCCCAAAGAAGGCCAAGATCACGGTCGAGATCCCTTCAAAGAGCCAGTATCAGGCCAGGTTGTTCCCCGAGAACGTCGATGCCAGGCAGCACCACCGCCCGACCTCGACCCACAAGCCCCCTAAGCAGGACCATCGTCACCCTGCCAGCGCACCTGCTCCTCCGCCGCCGCCCGCTGCTTCCCACAGCCCAGCACCCGCGCCTGCACCCGCAACCGGCGATGCAGCCACCTCCGCCGCCGATGACTCCGCCGTCCCTACAAAACACAGAGAAAAGGTCGTCAATGGGATTAAGCATGAGCTGGACAGGCTACAGCCCAGTTCTGCCGACATGGCCGCCAGTAACGGCCAGGGGCGCAAGCTACGGTCGCAAGAGGGCGTCCGCTTCAAGAGCGAACTGTCGGCCTACTTTCCCGAGTATGACGAAGTGATCGGAAACGTGCCCAAGGAAGAACGTATGCCAAATCACCACTGCCCTCCCCATTGATCTCACACATACTCCACGACGGCGCGGCTGACAATACCTACGTTCTTCTGCAGACATCTTGATGCTCGACACCCCTATAGTTGTTGTCGACACATATCCGTCATCCGCCTCCACCTCGGCGCCGCGCCACGAGCCCCACTCGACCCCCTCTACTTTCCCGACCCGCAGCTACGGCGACGAACTGTTTACAAATCTCCATGATTCACAAACAATCGATCTTAGTTGGTTGGAGGGCCAGTACAAGGGCAAGACGCTGACCGATCCACTGCCCGACTCTTATTATGAGTCAATACACAGAAAGGAGTCTCGGAATGAGAAGATCACGAGGAACGCAGAGAGGGGCCGCTCCCAGCATGAGAAGGCCCAGGTCATCCGGCTGCTCGACGGCCTAAAGGGCCCTGATTGGCTCAAGACCATGGGCGTAAGCGGCATCACAGAGAGCAAGAAGAAACAATTTGAACCTGCTCGGGCGCATTTCGTCCACAAATGCGAGGTGGTCTTGGACAAATTCGCGAAGTGGGCTGCTGAGGAGAAGAGGCTCAAACTCGAGAAGGAGCGCGCTGCGAAAGAGAGCCGTGCATCACAGGAGACAGACTCGTCCAAGGCTGAGGACGACGAGGAAGATGACGAATCGGCGGAGGAATCGGCGGACGAACTGGAAGATGGCGAGGAAGGTGGCGAGGAGGCGGACACCAGTGATAGCGATCCACCTGACATGAGCGACGTCGACGCATCGGCTAAGCAACTGCACGAGGAGGCCATGGCCAGGTCCCGCTTGGCTGCAAAGTCAGCCAGACGACGTCCGCCTCTGGCGCTGTCACCGCCTCCTCCACAAGCAGAGTTCACTTCGTTCTTCAAGAAGCCATATCAGCGGGATGCCGCGCTTAATAAGTCTCGGCGACGCGGGAGGACGGTGCTCGCGTGGGGGCAGACTCTGCCTGAGCTCGAGGAGCAAGACTTTGTTCTGCCGGAAGAATATCGAGATGAAGAGATGCTCAAGGCGCGGGAGCGACGACTGAGGATCCTCCGACGTGGCTCAAGGCATCGTGGCTGAAGACAGACACGCTGGGATGCGGTCTGCGTGATGGAGGGCGGCAGGGCGGCGTTTTCGTAACATTGATGTTTCTAGTAGCTAGCGGTCAGGAGCTCACTGGTGGGCGTCACAACGGTCCAATTGGGTGGTTGTAGGGATCCTTTAGTGAACTGGCAAATCGGTCACCATAGTGTGCAGGGAATAGGAATAATACCAAGTCAAGATACCAGAGAGATGGCATGGGTATGTTCGTTTGTGTGCAGGCAATGCCTTTCTGCTGGTTCACGTCAACCAAGCCGGAGTGACCAGAGAGCAGTCTCAATGTCGACTGCAGGCTGTTTGGGTCACTGAGGAACAGATGATGATGATGGCGGCAACGTGGTAATGGCCGTGCCGTGGCCTACATCAGGTGTAGAAACGGCCTGAGACAACACAGGAGAGTAGAGAGAAACAGTAGGAAGAGAAGGCTGGCTGGATGGAATATTTAAATCGGAAGAAGAAGCCAGCCGACCCCTGGTCCACGGAGAAAGCTTCGAACAATTGTGGTGTGGGGGCCGGCACTTCCTATCCACCCTGTGTGACGGCAAACTAAGTGAATGTCAATGGCCCCTGTCCTAGACTCCATTCCCGACTTCTGCTGATCCACACCTGGTGAACTGCCTGACTGCTTGCTGCATGGTACCTGTCCACCTGCAACAGCGGGGCCAAGCTCCCAAGCTTGTCTGGAGGTACGTACCTAGTTAGACCGTGGGACACGGACAACGAGACTGATTGCACTTCTTTCTTTTCCAGGCTATCTTCACTCAATCCTCAGTGTTCTTCTGCTGTTTCTCAGACATTAATTCAACCAATACTCTTGAGGAGCCCATACTAACATTGAATCTGCTGTCCATGGAAGTGACTTCCTTGGTCCGTGCGGCCCGGCGCTAGTTGGCTATCGAGATAGTGGTCGCACTCTTCAGAGCCCACCAAGCTCTCCCAAACCAATTTGCTGCCGTCTTTTCTTTGCCCCAACCAAGCAATCTCGCAACAACTACCAACTTTGCTGTCCATAAAGAATATACCGGCTCCCGAGAAGAACTACACCTGGAAGTCCGTCCACTGTCGAATCACAACCTCGGGCACCCCCTCCTTTCCCACGCGACGCGACAACAGCTCGATTGGCACCGTTGGTGCAGCGACCGGGACTCTGTGTATGGCAGCATTCAAAGTTGCTACGGCGTGCTGTGGTTGAGGACCGGGGGAGCAGATTTGGATTCTGGAATGCGCCACAGAGACGAACGCTGCTAGACGAGCACGCATCGGGGGAAGGATCTTCGACGAGGACACAACATGCCAGGCGCCATGGACAACTCGATGGCCGTCGCCGCTGATGGCGCCGCTGTGGCCCCTGAAGAAATCATCTACGAGCCATACACTGTCGTCGAGCAGCGCGTCCACTTGGACTTCAACTTCCAGGCCAAACAGGTACAAGGCACGACTATGATCAAGATCTTCCACACCGGTGGTGACGAACCTGACTTCGTCAACATCGACGCTCGCCAGTGCGAAATCGACCTCGATAGCATCACAGTCAACTACCAGAAGGTCAAGGCTAGATACAGAGATCCGTACGAGTTCATGGACACACCAAAAGGCTTCGACTGGAACGTGCAGCAACACCACCTCAGAACCAAGCGCATGAAGCGGCTACAACCCAACATGCGGGGCGACTTGCCCATGACTGGAAGGGAGACCAAGGGATGCCAGCCGGCAAATGGGGCGCTGCGGGTATGGTTGAAGCCCGAGAAGATCGTACTCAAGCCTGTACAGACCCCTGGGGCGTCTGGCCCTCAAGAGCCCATCGAGCCACACACTTTCAAGATCGAGATCCCCTTCCGCATCACGCATGTTCGAGATGGGTTTCACTTCGTGGGCGTCGATGATGGCGATACTCAATACCCGCATGTCTACACTCGGCACTCTATCGAGCCTGGATATGCCAGCTGTCTCTTTCCCTGCGTGGATGATCGGACTCGGGTGAGACAGTGGGAGATCTCGCTCAAATTCCCACGCACTGTCGGAGACGCGCTTAGGCAACCTCTGGCCTCACAAGTCGCAGGCTTGTCCTCGTCTTCCGGTACCCGACCGGCGGCTTCTAGAACTCAGCAGTCCCATCGTGAGTTTGAAACCACGGAGGAGGACAAGCTATTGGATATGACTGCTATATGCTCCGGTACGCTCATAGGGGAGCACGAAGAAAATGCCGGTGGTGAGAGCAAGAAGGTTATGAAGTTCAACCCCAAAGATTGTGGCGCCCAGCACATTGGCTTCGCTATCGGTCCGTTTGAGGACGTGGATCTCTACTCGACGTTTCGCAGCGAAGAGGACGAGGCGAAGCTTGGCGGAAACGCCGTCAAAGTTCATGGCTATTGCTTGCCTGGCCGGAGTGACGAGGTTCGAAATACCTGCCAACCACTCGCTCATGCAAGCGACTTCTTCACCCTGACTTTCTCGAAATACCCGTACGAGGAAAACAGCTACAAAATATGCTTTGTAGAGGAGATGATAGAAAGCACCGTGCCTCTGCAAGCATTCTCGCTTTGCAGCACTCGGCTGCTATACCCTCGGGATATTATTGACACAGAGATCGAAGTGACGCGGAAGCTTGTCCACTCCCTGGCAACCCAGTACTTTGGTATTTTCATCAATCCAAACGAACGAACTGATACCTGGATCGTGTGCGGTATTGCGTATTTCATGACGGACCTTTACTTGAGGCAGCTCTGTGGCAACAACTACTACCGATACCAGATCAGGACGACAGCTGAATATCTGACCGAAGTGGACCATGGCCGCCCTTCTCTGCACGAGTTGGGACGACACCTACACCTGGGTGATTTTGAGATGGATTTCATGGCGCTCAAAGCACCTCTGGTGATCTTCATCCTCGACAGGCGATTACTCAAGTCATCCAATAGCGCTGGAGTGGTTCGGGTCATTTCGCAGCGTCTTCGTGAGGCCATGCAGGCTGCAGACCCTTTCGCCGCAAATTTCGTGGTCTCTTCAGAGCAGTTCAGGAGAGCTTGCGAGAAGAAAGGGCGCCTGCGCCTCGAGAGTTTTTGGGACCAGTGGGTCTTGAGCTCTGGATGCCCCAGACTCCACATCTCGCAGAGGTTCAACAAGAAGAGGCTGGAAGTGGAACTGACCGTCGTCCAGAACCAAGTGGAGTGGGCCAAGGCAGAACATCCCCTAGAGAAGGACGATTTCTGGAGGGACGTGTTGGAGGAGCGGCAAGACGTTCTTGCCGCCGAAGTACCGCTTACTTTCACCGGCCCAATGACTTTCCGAGTCCATGAGGCTGACGGCACGCCCTACGAACACTGTCTGGAGATGAAGCTGGATGCCGCAGCCACCAAGGGCTCCCGGCTTGCAATGCCGTACAATACCAAGTACAAGCGGATCAAGAGGGTCCGTCAGAAAAAGCGAGAAAAAGACCACACAAAAGCCCCAGGGGCTGGTCGAGGCGACGCAGATGGACAGGACGAGGACGGGAATGATGATGATGAGAAGGGACACACCCTCAACATGTTTGGAGACGTCCTGATGGGCGAGGAGGACATGGCGTCGTGGAAACTCGTAGACTGGGACAGTGACCAGCAACAACAGATGGACCAGGAGTCTTATGAGTGGATCCGGGTCGACTGTGACTTCGAGTGGATCTACTGTCTCGAAACGAACCTCAAGGTCTACATGACGGTGGCCCAGCTCCAGCAGGACAGAGATATTGCCGCTCAGGTAGAGTCCATGCTGCAACTCACACGCAACGCGCCCAGCAACATTCAAACTACTACCCTGCTTAGGACCCTATATGACGACCGCTACTTTTACGGTATTCGCACCATGGCTGCACAGGCCCTTACCGGCCACGCCGAGAGGGCCAACAACTTCCGGGGAATGCGCCACCTGATACGCGTGTTCAAGACGTTTTACTGCTACCCGGACTCGGCTAATCCACGGCCGAACGACTTCACAGACAAGAAGAGTTATCACGTGCAGTCGGCCATTCCCGCTGCTGTTGCAAGAATCCGTGGTGGGCAAGAGTTCTGCCCGGAGGAAGCTCGTGAATTCATTCTCGACCAGCTGGTTTTCAACAACAACGACGAGAACACGTTCTCGGATCATTTCTACGTTGCAAAGCTTCTCGACGCTCTCGCGACCAGTTTGGTACGAGCTAAAGCCACAGAAGCATCTGACGAGGAACAGGACTACAACAAGTTGCAGGCGTTTGCGGAGAGGGCGATTGCACAGATTGAGCGATATCAACAGATGGACGAGGTGTTCAGTTCGTACCAAAACATCTGGACGCGCACCGCGCTTGATTGCAAGGTCAAGTTGATGAAGTCGGGTGTCATGGCCATCGACGGGATAGAGTTCATGCAGTACCTGACCCCAGAGACACTGGATCTTGTGCAGATCAAGGCATTCGAATCGCTTATTGAGCTCGGCCTCTTCTTGAAGCCTGGCCTCATGAAGTATCTCTTGACAAGCATGAGCCTGTCTTCATCGCCGTTTGTGAGAGACCGACTCTTCAAGGCGTTCACCCGTGGCTTGGCTTCTGTCGCTTTCGGAGAGCTAGATGTCAGTGAGATTCGACCAAACGAGGCCGGCTCTAAGCCCACCGGCGCTGTCCAGGCCGCCCAAAACGGTGCACAGAACGACGGTATGGCCCTGGACGAGGAAGACCACGGCGGTCTAATTGTCGAACAAAGCGACGCGGTGATTAAACAGAGGCAGACGGACGCAGCCCGTCGGGTCGATATCGTGGCTGCCATCAAAGCTATGAAAGAGGCATTGCAAGACAACAAGGATCTGCAGAGGCAGTTATGGAAAGCCGTCGACTCCCCCGTCCTGGGTCTCGCGGAAAAGAGGAACCTCCTAGAGTTGTGTGCCACCTTGTTCCCCAAAGACGACGAGATGCTCGTCACGATGAAGTACCCAGTGCGGTGGACAGCGGTGAGGGGTCATTACCATCGGGGCAAAGTAGGTCTCATCCCCACCCCCCTTCGTTCTTGGTCGCCTGCTGACATGTATCAGTCCCTCGTCATGACCTTCAAGCAGACGTATAAGACATCTTTGAAGCGGAGGCATGAAGAGGTGATACCTGAGCAACCTGTGCAGGCGGTGACAACTGTTGTGCCACCTGCTCCACGCCCTCTTGTTGGCCAAGAGAAGGAGCAACCGAAGAAGAAGATGATCAAGTTGTCTCATCCTGGACCTTCAAGGGCTAGCGCGCAGTCACCGGCGCCGCCGCCTGCTCCCGTTGCTCGGCAGCCGTCCATCGCCGTTGCGGCTCCTGCCCGCCCTCCTCCTGAACTAGAGCGAGGCGATAGCATCGCAGTGCAGAACCGCCCGACTGTAAAGCTCCCCTCTGCCCCTCAGTCTGCCGCAGGCACACACACACCAGAACCCTCTCGCCATGTCAGCTCGAGCTCGAAGGTACCCAAACTCTCCAAGAAGCGCAAATTGGCCGATACGGAGGCATCGCCCGCGCCTCGACGTTCTCGAATTGTGGCTTTGAAATATGGCCACCTCACGGAGCAAAAGAGGCAGCAGATTGCGCGTATACCCTCGTCCAAAGCTAGGGCCATACCGCCTGCGGACTCCATCGTAGCCACGCCAGTTGCACGAGCAATCCCGCCAGCTGCTACGCCATCCAGGCAAGGCTCGTCACCTGCCAATGTCGACGTCTCCATGATCTCGTCGACGTCTACCCTTAGCGCGGGCTCCTCGTCGAATGCGCAGTCATCCCAACAGCAGCATAAGACGCCTTTGCCCTCCGGGAAGATAGTACGCAAGCCTCTGCCGACAGGACCGTCTCCTCACAGCGCCGTTTCACCAACCTCTAGCATCGCAGCAAAGCCCTCGGCAACTCCTCGGCAGCCTTCGCAGCCTCAACAGCAGACGTCAGCGTCGCCTTCCCGTCCGGCCTCGCCCGTGGCTCCCCGCTCATCGACGGAGCCTGCGTCGAAGCCGAAGAAGTTGGTCAAGCTCAAACTCAAGTTGGGTGGCAACAAGTCTTTGACCGGGTTATCTGGAGACAAACCACCTCCGCCGCCACCCGCGGGTGAACAGACACGACCCTAGAAGCGGTCGATCGGCTATTTGCATCTGTGTTGACTGGCCTTCGTCGTTTGAGAGTGCAGCCGCTGAAGGCCTCACTCTTCCCAACGCCTGCAAGTCGGCAGACATGCAGCGGGCCGTTGTTGGCAAGCGTGATTCGGATCTAGAGCAAATATGCCGCCGTGGATTGTTTACCAATCATTGAACGTGGCTACGCCGGGGAGCTCATTCCTTCGCGGTGATGCTCGAGGCACTTCTGGGGTCCCTGATTACCTCCGTCTGTTCTTTTCGAACACAAGACAGGGAACAATAATACACATGAGACTAGCCTACAGGCCAAACTCGACCAACGAGTATCAGTCTTCGTCGACCCCAGAAATCATCAGCACTGTTGCACCATGTCCAGAGAACACCGGGCCTAGCTGCTCGCTTCCTTCCTGCGGTCTCGCTCTGTATAGGGAAACAATGGTTTGGGGATTCATTGCGATGGGAGCAACCCCATCAGGTATGGAGCCTGGTTGGCCCAATGGGAGGGGGGTTTGGCCTGAATAGCCTGAAGTGCACCTTTAGGTTGAGTTATGAGTGAATTTTTGGTATGGCAATGAGAAGCACGGCGTTTGGGTCCATGAAAGGAAGCTCCGCGGGCGAGAAGGACAGGGTGGGGAATACTACGGCCAGTCGGCATATTCCAGAATCGATAATTTCTTTCATGAACGAGCGTGTAGGGATACCAAGTTGAAATGCGTTCTAACTGACAAATTGTCTCGACGTTGTGTAATTCCCTTGCTAAAACCCTCTTCCTGTCTTCCCACCAGGTGTCCTGTCCCATGACCTTCTCACCAACATTCATCTACCACCAGCCACGACGTAAGTAGGCAATCAATCTACAGGAAACCGACACAGCCGTCTTTGACGGTCCACGAGGCCAGAATATTTTGAATATGCTTCCGCTGCGACACAGAATCGGAGTATTGAACTTGCTGGGCCCGCTGCAATCAGCCTTTATATCCTTCTTGCCCGTTTTAGCACCTGTGGAGTGACGCTATAATCTGTATGGCTCGCTCTCAGGGCCACTGGCCCTGAGACCTGAACTAAGGAACAGTGACAGTCCACGGGAGAAGAAACAGCGACTTGCGAAATACCGGACGGCACCTTCATTGTGTTGTGGAAGCACTTGAAACAGCTTGCAATTGGTGGCGCTGGCCAAGACTCACAAGCCAGTTGGCTCAAGTATCTCATCAGCCGACAGACCAACCCCACGCGCTCTGATCCGGAATTGCTGCCTATCCTGGTGATCCTCGCGTCGGCATAATATGAAACGGTTTCCAGCCACCGTCAGGTCGTCTATGCAAATCCAACCGCTCAGTCATGCTGTATTCTGTGGCCACTAGGAGGGCCTGACAACGCAGCGCCTGATCTGGACCCGCGCTTAGCCACCCAAGGAGCAGGTGTGCTCAAGTTACTAACAAGGCACCGCGCTCCTGCGCAACCAACCACCCGCAAGCAATCCCAAGGCGATGCCCAAGGGCTTAACACTTCCCACAGACCGGTTCCGCCTGAGCGATGTCCCCAGGCGCAAACAAAACAACCCCCCCGCTCGCCCTTCGTTCAGCGCCTGCCACCCCTGGAGACCCCGATCCTCTCGTCGCGGCTCCTCGTGGCCCTCGCGCGCACCCTGTCCGCCGCGTCCCGCTGGGCCTGCGCGACGGGCGTGGGCGTGGTCGCCTCGGCGGATACCGCTGCTGCCGCTCTGCCGGAAGGCGCCCGGCGGTGCGTCTGGGATGCCGCGCCGGCCCCGCGGGCGAACCTGCCCGCGGGGGCCGGCTGCTGCTGGTGCTGCTGGTGTTGCTGCCCGGCCTGTGATGAGGACGGCTCTGTGCTGGCCGATCTCGTGGACCTCGTCATCCGGGACGGCGCTGGCGGCGGCGAGGGGAATATCGGTTCTTGTTGCTGTTGCCGCCGGGCGTGGTGCAGATTCGGGACGACACCGCCGGAGATTTCGTGGTGGTCATCGTCGAAGTTGTCATTCTGGTCGGCGTCGAGGTCCATCTGCTCCGCCTCCGCCATGTCATCGTCCTCGATGAAGGCGTCCTCCCCTGCCTGGCCGCCCTCGGCCGCGTCGTCGTAGTCATCGGAGTCTCCCTCGTTACGGTAGATGCCCTCGTCAGGCGGGCCCCCGATGTTCTCCTCGCGCGATATCCTTGCGTTGTGGCTGTATGTTCGGTTGGGGTAGTAGGAGGCCTCTTGCTCAGAGTAGTCTTCCTCGTCGCTCGAGGTTGTGATCCCCGTGATGTCCATGCCGCTCATGTTGCGGGCCAGCTGCTGCTGCCTCCTGAGCTGGGCCGCAGCGGTGGCATGTTGGAAGGCCTCGGCCTCGCGGTGGTCCTCGTAGGCCTTGACGTCCTCGGAGGTGAGGGTCAGCACGGTGGGCGGGCGGCGAAGCATGGTAGGAAGCCGCTGTAGGGTCTGTGCGAGGCTGTGGATAGAATCCAATCAGGAGCTTCAGTAAGGAATGTTGGTGACACAATGAAGTAAGCCAGTGAGTGATGAATGAACAAGTGAAAGCGGTCCCCCGGAGGAATTGTAGGAGATCGCAGTATCTGTTGTGTGATAAAGCTGTGCAATGTTGAGTGACCTTGTAGGTTGATGCCCGCCGCATTGATGTGAGGTTTGTGGGAGACGCGACAAGCGCGTCTGGTCTTTGCGTAGCGGTGGATCTTGAGAGGCCCCGGAGGTGCAGTGCAGTGCAGTGCAGGGTACCTGGGTGTAGTGGGTTCGGCAGCCAGGGCCGACCTGGCTTCAGCGGGGTGGCACCCGCCACGTGGGCGGGTAGCGGCTGGGCTCGGCTGGCGGAGCACAGATTACAGCAAGGCTGAAGCTTGCGCGGCTGGACAGGAATCATCCCAGCTGCGGAGGTTGGGGCAATGCTCAGGCGGCTTGTGACCGCCCAGGCGGCCGCCCGCTTATAGATACCTGAGCTGGCATTTTCACAGGACTCCGAAGGGGAGAAGACGTGTGGTGCAGAGATTGGCTGGCCTTTTATGCTATGCTGTTTATTACAAAGATGCTATTGCAGTGAGTGGCACTGATGTCAATGGTCTAACGGCTATAACGAACTTCCTCCAAATGCTCCTGCTCCCAGCACATCACACACAACACGAAAACAAACAAACACCATGCTATGCAAGCCCGTCTTCTCTAAAGATTGTTTGTCACGGGCAGTCTTCCCCGACTCCCAGCACCATGGTGAGTAACGAACGTATGCCGCAAAAGGCAGAAATGAAGGAAGCCATGGTATCGTCAGTCAGTCGTCCTCCCCGTCGTGTCAGGTCATCCACCTTCTCATTCAGTCGGATCCATAAAACGCCGTCGCGTACACGTTTTCCGACTCCCACTTGAGGAAGTCGCCCAGGTCGTGCCCGAGGTTGTAGCCCATGGGCACGTATTCCTTGCTGCCGTCCACCCCCGTCGTCATGACGAGATCCAGCATCGGGCTTTGCGGGAGGCTGTCCACGCCCTCTCTCAGCTTGACTCGTCCCCCTTCCACTCCCTCCACTCCCTCGGGCGACGGCTTGGGGCTCCCACGCTGGAGCGTGTTTGCCTTGTCCACGTCGATGCCCGGGCCTTGGTATCTCTTGGGGTGGCCCTCGAGGGTCCACCTCTTGATCCCGCCGCCCGTGTAAAACCGTGCCGCGTCGAAGGGGCGCGTGTTCCAGAACCCCGACGGATGCTCAGAGTTGATCGGGATCGGCATGCTCTGCACCTGCAGCATCTCCTGAACCTCCTCACTCACCTCCCCGCTCGACCGTGCCGAACCCGAGCATGAAGAAGAGATGCTCCCGTTGACAATATGGTTGATGCTGTGGTTGCGGGACGGGTCGTGGAACGACCGGCTGCCTGACCCAGGCGGGCTGATCGCCGACACTTGCGCCGGGACATAAGGCATCACTGGGCTCATCGTCGGCGCCTTCTCCTCCGACTTGACCAGCGCCCCCAGCGCCCCCGAGGGAAGCCCAAAGCCCTCGAGCCAGTCGCACAAGTCATCGACCAGCTCTTCCTCAGCGTCACGAGCGCAGAAGTCACTAGGGTCGCTGAAGAAGTCCCCTGCACCACCCAGGATGGCCATCTGGAACGCCGTCCAGTCGAGTGTCTCGTCTGGTGAGGAGAGCAGCTTCGACTCGAGAGAATTGATTGTCCCGGCGTTGACGAGATCAGCCTTGGCGAGGCGGATACGCCCATGTTCAAAGGACGGCATGTTCACAGTGAACGGTGCTGACTTGAAGAACAAGTACTCGTCGTCTTCCTCAAAGTTCGGCGTATCTAGGGGGCTCAGCCGTGGACTCGGCTGATCCATGTGCATCTCGGATGGCCTGCGCTCATTCTGAGATTTTGGGTAGCTATGCTGGCTTGGAGGCGATGTGATGCGCACTTCAGGGATGGTAGGCAGGATGGGGACGCGCGAACTTGACGAGTTTCCGCGCTTGTGTGTAGGTCGTTGCGGCGAGTCTTTGACTGGCGGGTCTGGGAACGAGTGGCTTTTGAAGAATGTGGTGGCGTCTTCATCTGGAGACGGCACCGATGCGGGGAAACGCGCAGCAGAGGCGTTGGGCGATGGCTGCGGGGGGGTAGGAGGAGGTGTCGCCAACGGCGTCTGCTCCTGTTTTGGAGGCCACATCGCGGTCGTGGGCGTCTTGGGCTCAGTTGGGTCTGACTTCCGTGAAGCGTCTTTATCGAGGTCAAAGGTGGACGACTTCGGTGTCAGTACCTCGGCAACGGGGGACAGAACTCCCAGGCTTGCACCCGAATTCCCAATCCTCGATGGCAAGTCCTGCAGATGGAATGGCTCGACAGGCGTGTTCACGCTGTTGCTATCGGAAACGGTCCCTCCAACGCTCCCGGCGGTGCTGCGCAACGACTCGTTGGAGTTGGACCTCCTGGTCTCCGCCTGAGCCTCAGCCTGAGCCTTCGCGATCCTGCTCTGTCTGTACTGCTGGACCTGGCCGGGCGTTATCACCTCATCAGCCTCTATCTTGTGGAAGCCGAAACGGCCGCGTGACCCGTTGAACAGCTTCTCGGTGACGTTGTCTGCTTTCAGGTTCCACCGAGAAAGCGAGCGGTACGAGTTTTGCTGCCGCTGAACGGTGCTTCCGCTACTTTCTGCACTCGATGATGACGGGCCAAAGGTGCTTGCTTTGGCAGTGGGTGCTGGTGTGTCGGGCCAGGTCGAAGTGGTTGGTGTTGGTGTTGTTGCTGAACGAGGCGTCCTGGGTCTTGCAGGCGACTTTCTTTTGGCCTTTTTGATAGATGTTGCATGGGTGGGCGACCGGAGCATGTTGTCCGACGATGACACTGGGGATTTGTTCTTCCTCGGGAATGAGGTGATGCTCCCGCGGCCGGGTGTGGGAGAGATAGGAGACGTCACCACGGAATCTTTTCGGGCGCGGGACAGTGGGGCTTGGTAAGTGGTGGACGGCAGCGTCTGCAACAGTGTGGTGTCTAGACTCTTGGTCTGGATCTGCAATGCCTGCGATGCTCGTTGCAGCTGTTGTACCTGTTCCTGCAGCTCCTTGGACTGAGGGTGCGATTGGGAAGCAAGTCTCGCTTCCGCCAAGGCTGTGCCGACAGCTTTGAAGGCCTCGTCGGTCTCCCAGATCAACTGCTGGACATTGTCCGGCAAGTGATCGCAGTTCTGATAATCCTTGTCTTCAAGGATCCCTTCAAAGGTATTTTCATCTTCATCTGATACTTTTGAGGGGCTTTGCACAGCCCTGAGAACCTCCCTAACCCCGACCTTCCTGTCCTTGGCGTCTTGCGTCATGGGCGGGTTCAGGGTGTATGACTCGGCGCTGTTGCCATATCGAGGATCCCGTTGTTGATGGCTGTTCATGGCTGCCGACTTCTTTTCTGTGGTGATGGCGGCTGAGCTGAGAGTTGTCTTCGTGGTGGTGGGCGTTTTGACATGTGAGGTGTGGCTGCTGTTGGTCGCGGACGTTGGTTGTGGAGACGATGTCCCATCCTGATCACCACGAGCCAACCCGGGACTCGGTGAGGCAGGAATCAGGAATGAACGACCATCATGTGACGGCTTCTTTGTTGCCCAGGTTGGTGTTGCCACTGGACAAAGAGCACCGCCGCGTGGGCTTACCCATCCAGCCGTCATCGTTGGTGTTGAAAGGCGAGGCTTTGAAGGTGTGACCGCGGCAGCAGAAGGGGCAGCCTTTGAGTCGGAATGATGCCGTTGATGGCGGTGATGCCGTTGGCTGCAGTCACCACCACTGCAAGAAGACAAAGAACCGTCCGAAGAGTGCGAGTGTGGTGTTCCGGGACTCACGAGACCCGACAGGGCCGATGCTGGCAGAGGCGTTGAGATCCTCCTGCTCGCACCGCCGCTGTGCACCACGACACCATTGCTGCCGTGTCCAACGACCACGATGGGCTTGGGGACCTTCTTATACGTTTTCCGCTTCGGCGACGAGTTGCTGCTCATCCATGACGACCGGCTCTTGTGCGCATGGCGGAGCTCCTTTTGAAGTTGCTGTTGCTGGTACTGCTCCAGTTCATATTGCATCCGGATCGTTTTGGCGCTGGAACACTCAAAGGCATCTTCGTTGTCACTATCTGACTCGGGCCATGTCTTCCGTTGCGTAATAAGTTTGCGGATGCTGAATCCCGCACGAGACATTCTCCTTCTTCTTTCGGACACACGCCCTCGCCCTTCTCGCTTCAGAGGTCGTCTTGCTTACATGCGACAGTGCTGGATCCGGGTGGCGAGAAGAGAAAAGCAGGGAAGAGGAGACGGAGGTGGACTGATAGCCTCAAGTCACATGGCAGACATATATGACAAGGTGGAGAGCGCTCGAAGTCGGGGCTTTGCGCACACGGCGTGGGCCTAAACAAGCGTGGAAGCACCCGTGGCTGGATCCAGAGGGCGATATCGAAAGCTTGGTTCGCCCTTTGACGGATGTTGAGGAAAGTAAAATCCAGTCGATAGTCCAAGGTGAGCCTCAAGGTTGAAAGGTGAGTGCGGAGGCGCCGGGGGGTGGACTGGGTTACACGTCGAGCAGGCAAGGACTTGAGAAGGAAGAGCAGCGATGGGTGGGATGGACTGTCTTTTACCCTGGACCCAGGATCATCCCAACTTGCACGCTTGGGTTGCATCGGTCAACACAGGTGTGGTGCAGACAGCCTAGCCTGATTTCAAGCCCTGCACCTGCCGACCCGTTCCACGATCAAGACCTGCCTGTCTGCCTGTGCTGCATCAAGCAGCCCCGGAGTGTTCCACGGTAGGTGGATATATGCAGCTCAGCAGCATGAATGGCCCACTTGCAGCGGGGCAGGGCTCGCGCTGAGGTACCGGGCGAGGTATCGGGCGGTAGGTGGGCCGGTGAGCAAGCAGCTATTTCCAGCCCTCCCTCGACTAACATCGTATACTTCTGCAGCGGGCTTACACACTCCTCCCACCACCACATCAAGTGAGAACCTTCAGCAGTCCAGCTGCGAGAATGCCACTGGTGGAGGCTGGATGGTCTTGGCCCCCCTCCCCTCCCACGACCCGGGCAGGGGGTGGCCTTCCTCCCTGCGGGTCGACTCCAGGACTCGTCCTGTCAGCTGCAATGGTCCAAGACGGGAAGGCGGGCAGGGGTGTCCCTCGACAGGGTCTGCCCTTGACCAGCCGTCTGCATGGTGGCTTAAACTAGAGAGGCGATGCCTTGCTGCCGAAGATCGACCTTTGCGCCCCGCGAACCACCCGATTATTTTTATCCCCAGTTGGTCCTGCACCAGCCGGCCCGCCTTTTAGACTCTCCGCGCGCCCCCGTCTCGAGCTTCAATCCTTACTCATGCGCTCTTGTGCAGGTCGGGTCCCAGACAGGGAGAAGGCATTGCTGATCGCCGCTTCAAGGGACCTTGAGCTGAGGACGGAGATGCGTCAATTCTGAACGAACTGACGGATTGCGATATTTCCACTTCGCAAGCTACCGATGACGGTGCCGTCGCAGTGAGCGCAAGCAAGCTCGCAGCCGAAATGAGAGCCCCAGTCTCCCTGCCAGCAGGCTGGTGACAGGCAGCCGTGTCTGTTCCGGTAGCCGAGGCCCGGATGGATTGCCAGCCACGTTCCGTAGACCGTCGGCCTTCAAGACCGCAGACCCTGATCGAGAGCTTGGCGCTGCACAAAGGAGCGTAGGATCCCGTGGAACGGCCGTCGTACTCTGCAAGAGCCTTTGGGCCAGACGAGATCCAAGACACCGGAGAATGGATTGGAAGTTGGCTGCCACCAGGTCCTCTCCGTGCCCTTCTCGCTCCTCACCCCACCTGCTCCACCTGACCCAGGCGTGGGGACTGCCAAGACTGGACCCAAGTTGGGGTCGAGGACGGCGCTTTCACAGGCCCTGAGTAATGATAAGGACAAGGTGATGGACTGGGAGGCGGGACGGGAAGAGGCGGACGGGAAGACGGTTGAGGTTCGTGTGCCTGACCTGATCGAGTCTTGACCGTATGTGAGCCTGCTCCGCCATGTTCCACCAGGCCGATAGGTGCCTCTAGCGTTGTGATTCCAGCAGCCTGCCGTCACAAGACCGGCGTTCGCAGCCACGGACGAATGCAGATGCAGCCTTGTAAGCGCTCCTTCACTGCTCAGTGGGGATCACTCGATCCCTTGTGCTACCCATTGCAGTCGGTCCCCCGTGGTGAGCTGTGCCGCGACGTCATCATTTCTGCGTAGGAGGGCTTCCGTCCCAAAGACCCAAATCCTGGGTTCGGTCGGCCGAACCTGTCACAGTGATACAGATCCTTTGGCTCTATCATCTCGAGCCTTGGAATGGTCGTAGAGCGGAGCGCAGCGCAGCATTCACGCATATCGATGGATGGAAGACACTCGTCCTCAGGGCCGACAGGCGGGTACACACCAGGTCTGATGCGGCATGGGGCACAGCCAACATGACTGTGGGGGCCATTGACCCTTGTGCACTAGAGGTGGTACAAGTGCGCAGTCTACTGTGGGTTGTGCGCGTGCTGTAATAGAGAGAACCAGGGCGATCTGCTTGGACGGGAGCATGCCATGCATCCTCGGCCGGCCCATCTATGGCCTGGCCTTGCTGGCGCGGCCTGGCATGCTGAGACCAGTTGGGCCCGTCGACCTGGGAATGAAACGAAACGGGAGACGGGATCGCTGGCCAGTCTCGTGGCGACCGCATCTGAATCCGGCCTTGGCCTAGAACAACCTGTCGGAGAACCTCTTGATGGTTGAAACTGCATGTGGTCTGTGTTTCTGGGGAGAGCCGGTCTCGTGCTCCACTGCGACAAAGTGTACGAATAGAGGTGAGTGTGTGAAGGGTGGGTGTCACGACATCCAGACCTTGGGGCCACCGGACAAGAGTGGCAGACGCGCTCCGATGTGAGAAGGATTTCTGTTGGTCAGAAGGTCCTGTTGGTCGGCGAAGCAGTCGGGCCAACAGGTAGACTGATCTGATCTACCTAGACTCGAGAGCGGGAGGCGAGGCCAGGCGAGGTGAAGCGAGGTGAGGATGCGATGGCTAGATCCCAGCGCGTCTTTTTCTTCCAAGGTTTGCGAGATTAGTTGGTGGGAACAGCAGTCGACGTCGGTGGTTCTCGTCCATCGCTGATTCCTTTTCTTCGCTAGACTAGACCACATGCATGATCGTCGATGGACTCGAAAATGGATGGGACAATGATAGCCATTCTTGATCCTGTTTCCGGATTAGACCCGCCGTTCGGTGGAGCCCAACAACGACCATCGACCAACCCTGGCCCGGGTGCTGGTGCCAAAAGCTGGGCGTTTACTGTACAGCATGTGCATTCCAATTGCAGCCCTCCGGCGAGAGAATGATGCAGCTGTGCAGTTCAGTGCAGTGTACCTAGGTAGTGCTAGGTACAGGGCCTGCAGGTATCCAGCAGCACCAGCCTCCATGTGGACAGTGCCTCGCCGTCCCGTGCCGCAAACCCCCTGGCCCCGTTCCGGCGGACAGACATGCCTGATCTGATCTTGTCATTTCCGTTTTAGACCAGATCGATCCTCTACTGCAATTCAACTCCACCTCACCAACAACCAACAGCAAACCAGCCAACCAGACCAGACCAACACGCCGGCCGGCTGATGGACCGTCAATGGCCGGCTAAGTTCCGACACAGAGGGCATGAAAACAAACGGTCACTGCCTGGGCAACCAACCAGGAAAGGCAAAAGGACCACCAGCACCAGCATATCACACACACAAATGCGACAAGCGCGATGGATGCATTAGTCTGAAGGCCGGTCGCGGCTGTTTCTATCCCGATAAGCGCCAAACTCGACGACCCATCCACCACTTCACCACCCATCAGAGGATTCTACAAGAGAGGCTTGGTTCCTGGCTAACCGCGTCGTCAAACGCAGTCATCGCCACTGCCACTGCTTTTGCCTGAAGAGGCTGCCCAGTCTCCTGTCTTGCACGCTCTTTCTGCACACAGGAACCAAGGATGCTTTTTGAGCGCCTTCAGGACCTCCCCGCGAGTCCTTGTGCCAGGTGGTCAGCTTCTCCAGATCTCCCGGTCCGTCCGGGTCCCCTGAACGGCCTCACTCACTCAGGCACGCTTGAGCGTATCCCGAAATAGCAGCATGGGCAATGGAAACTAATAGCGATGCGGATGCTAATTGGGACCACAAGCAAGCTCAACAGACCAGCAACCTCCACGCTTCAAAGTTTGGTCACGTACGTCACAGCACCGCAATCTACGCTCCCTTCCAATTAGATGACTGACCCAATGATTGGGCTGCGTCCTACAACCTACTCCCAATGCAAGTCGCACCTCGCTTTGATGTTTGTCACCAACAGAATCCTCTCCCTCGCTGAATGGGGAGGGCGCCCATCATTGGCGAGCAAACCAGTGCCTGGCATCGGCAGCCCAGGGATCCGTTCCATTCTGATATTCCTTGCACAAAGGACCTCACAAACCAGAGAATTGCCCGAGCTTGGAAGATGGTCATTTCAAATATCACAGCCTGAAGTTCGGTGTCATACATCCTGTACAGGCGGATCGTCGGTATCAACTGACCAGTAGTCAAGCTTGAGATAATGTCTTGGTACTGTCAGTGCAAAAGCATGCTGGCCTGCCCATCCAACAATGCGGATGGTGGTGCCTAAACATTGGTGATAAATCTGCAACCTCGCGCCTTTCAGCCACAATGTTGAATGTTTCGTGAGACCATTTCAGCACACATGTGCGAGGGTATTTCTAACAGCGCGGTACCATGTTGGATGTGTGAGCCCCCAGCCTCTATCCACGCCACCTCCCGACCAAGTTCCAATTTTCATGTGTGCGACAGCTTGTCTTTCCCGCAGGACTGCACGAATACCTTCTTAAGGCCTGCTGTGCCGCGTTTTGACCTTCAGCAGCCCATCCTTCCTCTCCGAAGTCTCCGAAGAGCCTCATGGATATACATTAGGTCCTAACCACGGTCAGTCTCATTGGCTCAAGCAGCCCTGGTGGGTTTCAAAGGCAACCAAGCGGCGTCACCTTGGCGTACAGAATATCTTGCTTAGTCCAGACACATGTGCCTCATCCGCCATCCCATAGAGAGGTCACTACCATGGCCTAGACGGCGGTGGCTGCGAGGACCCGGTGGCAAAGCAGAGGTGGCAACTTGGAACTTTTGAACGGTGTTTCCGGATCGTCCGGCTCTGCGTTGGACTGGTAGGCTCAAGTCTCGTGGTGTCTCGATATTCATGACGACATTGTTCTTAGCAACCTTGGTCAGATATCTGACCAAGCGTTGCGCCCACACGGATGCGACTCACGCCGCCAGAATTGCGATAATATGCAGCACCATTATACCGTCTCAATATGCCACGACCGGGGCGCCAGCAAGATGGAAGGGGACTGTTCCTATTGGTCTGTAAATGGAAGCCCTAGGCCTCGAGGATTGGAGGCGAAGCTCAGCAGGTAAGCTGACGGTATCCCCAAAAGGGCCTATGTTGGCCACCCGTTCTTAAGATTACAAGCGGCTCTTAAAGGGAGCGACCGTAGGAATGGGGTTTCTCTGTGGAGCTGGTCAACGCCGTAGGCTCAAGATCAAAAATAAAACAAAACAAAACACGCTTCACCTGGCTCTTGTGGCCCGTTTGAGACCGTGAATGCCGCTCACCACGATGCAGACTCAGACAATCTTGAAGGCAACGTTGGGGCTAGATTACGTGTGCCGTCGCCGTCGATTCCGAAGCGCACCCAGTCGGTCAGTCCAGTGAGACACCGGGGACGGCGACGAGTAGTTGTCACGCAAGGACAGCACACAATCTCATCGCTTACCGTGAGAGGACGCGTGGGCTGGATCCGGCGATCGACAAAACTCGCCCGGCCCGGACAGAGATGGACGGCAGTCATGCAATTTTGCGCAGGCTGCCCCAGAAAAATTGGGTGCAGTGCCCCTCTTGGCCCTTTGGCGGTCCTGCATACTACCCTGCCGCCGGGTGTGCCGCTTACGCCTTCCTGCACGACGCTCCGGCTGAGCCTCAGCTGAGCACACCATCCCAGACGGGCGATGTGCTTGTGCGGCTGTAAGAGCCCACTTTTAGATGCAGGTGCCGTTGAAGGGACATAGGTTGCGAGCTGGAATTAGGCGTAGATGCAAACTTCACGGTAGCGAGCTGGGACCTATGGAACGCGATCACATTGTATCAGGAGGCGGTAAAGGCTCCGAGACGTGAGTGACATTATCCTCCTGAGTCTATCTTTCGCCTACGGACAGTAAGAGCTCGGTCTTTGGCCATTATGCCATCTGACTGGACCGAGCAGTGAGCTGTGATAAACAAGACTCGACAATCGCGCGCGTTCTCGAGCAACCGCCCTCACTCCTCGGCTTCTTCTTCATCCCCATCGTCAACCTCCTCGTCCTCCTCATCCTCCTCGGAAGTAACGTATGGGACAAAAGAGAACATGAGGAAATTCGATCTGCTGCCCTCCACCTCCACTATGAATTGCATGCTCAGGACACCCTGCCCGTCGCCCCGAAGACTGACCTTACTGGCAAGGCGCATCGCCTCGATGGCGGTCTTGATCATGTCAAACTTGAAGCTCTGCACCCATTTTTCCCGCACGGTGAACGTCTCCAGCAGATCCCGTCCCTTAGCGAAATCCACGCTCGATCCGCCGAGCGGCCCTGTGCATGACAGTCGGAGGTACGGCTCCTGCCTCGACGTCGCAATGACAAGCCGGGTAGGGTTAGAGTGCGCCATCTCGGTGAGCGCGTCCAGCAGCCAGCGCGACTGCATGATGATCTTAAATGCGATGTCATCTCTGTCAAAAGGAATATCCTCGGGCGCCTCCGGCAAGTAGGTGTTGAGGTTGCAGGTAGTGTTGACGCCAGTCTCCTCGAGGATGACGCTGAAAGAGCCGCCCTCCTCCGGGTACGACAGGACACAGGTCCCTGTCATGCCGAGGGTCTGATTGCTAAAGGCATCGGGGCGATAGTTGCGTAGGTTGCTGCGGTAGGGGTCTGCTTCGGACTTGGCCTGTCGCGCGGCGGCGTCAGAGGCGCCAAAGATCTGGAGCGTCTCCAGGAATGCGGCCAAAGAGATCTGGAAGCTCGGGTAGACTGGGTCGCTCCCATCCTCAGGCTGGGGCACGTTAAGAGAGAAGTTAGTGAAGAGGGATTTGTCCAAGCTTGCGACGCCTAGAAACCTACGGTCAGCAGTTCGTCCTGGAGAGTGCATACAACGACAGTATTTGACTAACCTTGCGTCACTCGAGATTGATCAGCTGCGAACTTGATAAGCTCCTCCGTAATCTCGACATGGACTTTGTTTGTGAAATTGATGCACTTGAGCATCTGCTGAATTGGCCTCGTCGAACTGGCGAGCGCGCGGAACAGAGGGGGCGCCTGCGTAGGGCGAGGAGTTGAAGTTGCCATGATGAAGAATGATGATGAATGTGATATTGAAATGAAGGGGTTCTTTGGATAGCCGGATGCGATTATGGTCATACACAACTACTGTGGACGCAGAGTGTCAAATCAAGGTTGGTTTCTTTTTGCTGGTCAATCTATGGTATTGGACACGACGCCGCCCGCTACGGCCTCGCCTCGTCGTGCCTGGGTATCTCGAGAAAGTTTGGGACCTCAAACGTAGACGCCGACCGCACAGAACATGTAGACGGTTCCCACTCTGTGAAGCATTGTCAGACAGGTCGCTCGCTATACAGTTGCGAATAGGATAGGAGGAGCGAGCAGACGTACGCGATGGCCAAAGAAGCTGGGATTCCAATGACGGGCACGTTGACTGCAGATCGGTCTGAAGGACACATTCGTAAGCTTGGGCACAGCACGTATGTGTGTATGCAATTGGAAGCGCTGGTTCCTTACTGAGGGCAAAGATGCCGAAGGAGAAGAGACCCAGAAGGAGGAGCACGAAGGCGACGAGGAATTGAGTGCCCTTCCCAACGGTAGGAAGGAAAGGGTTGCCAGCAGCGGCTTGCCAGACGTCAATGAGCGTCGAATCCATGGATTTGGATGGTTGTCGTCGGTTGGTTGGTTGGTTGGCTGGCTGGTCGGGCTGGTGGATGGTGTCTGGACCCCGGCTCTGGGTGTGCTCTGGGTGCTCGCGATGTGGTGTTCCCGGCAGGTGAGCTGTGAAAGTTCGTCAAGGCAGGTCGCAGGTGATTTGTTTTGCTGGAAGTAGGCAGAAAACCGTGAAATTTTCTCTGTCCTTCTTGCTGGTCGTCTGCACAAAACACGAGCTTGCACGTAAGGTTGGTCGTGGAATAGCTTGCTGGACAACACGAGTTCACAAACCACATCACCATCACCCAGCAATCGATAGGTGGCAGCTTGGCAAGCAATTACCCACCCCTGGGGCCAGCTGGGTACGACGCTTTACCCAGAATCGCTTAGCGCCCCCTCCTGACCCCAACGTCTGGACGTACCCACGCACGGCTACGGACGAGAAGATGCCTGTCGGAGGCTGGAACGGTGGCCACTGGAGCCCCAATCTCAATCAGGGCGCCAGTGGTTACAATGGCCCTGACAGGACTCCACCGTTTCAAGAATGGAGGCATCTCACGATTGACGAGCAAATCCAACGCGCAAGAGAGTGGCGAGCACAGCACTCGACAAACCTACAGCCTTCAGGCTCCTCAGCCCCGGCCCCGATCTCCACTCTCTCCTCCACCCCGGCCCGATCGTCGTCTCCCCACGCCCTTCCATCGCGTCCTACTCGACCTGGCCCCGTCACAGTAGCGCCCGAGCGCTCAACCGCGCCTTACCCCGACCCTCAACGCCGTGCGCAGCGCGAGCTGACATTCGGTGGCCATCGTACACCTGGCCAACCTTCTGCCACACCGCAGTTCGGCAACGACCAGACCTTCAGCGGACAATCGTTTGCACCGTGGTATCCTGGTGTCACCCAGGGGGTTCCTACTTCCAGTAACCAGTCCATCGCGACACCCGGTCCTCGCTTGGACCCCGCTACCGCCGCCGAGACCGACACATTTGCTTCCGTCGCCGTCCACCCCGCCGCCGTCCCACAGCAAGGCCGCTCTGAACGCGAGTCTTCCTTTGAGGAGGACTACAAGCTCTGGGAATCCCAGGTCGTCCACGGCCAACCCCCGGTCCCGACAAGCCACATTCTCGTCCCTCGCGTGCCTGCCCCTGGTCCGCCAACCACACCCTTCTTCGTCTCCTCGCCTCCCGCGACACTCAACGACGGTCACACGATCGCGTCGCAGACTCCGACCTCTCATCCAGCTTCATCGACCCCCCTCCGCGCCTTCGAAGGCCTTACAGTTCAGCCTCAGTCGCAGCGCGCCCTCCCCGAAACCCGATCGTCAGTCACAGCGCACCCCGTACCGAGCGCATTCCAGGCACCCAGAACTGAGGAGGATCAAACATCCTCACTCGAGGCTCCCAATCACCCTGTCGCGAGAGATAGACCATCCGGGCCTGGAGAGACTGGTGCTGCGATAGAGTCGAACCCAGTCCACCCAGAGGTGGGAGACGAGCCGAGTGGCTCGACAACGGAAATCGGGACAGCATCGGATGACCCTGCCGTTCAGCGTGCCATACGTGACGTCGAAGCCCAAATTGAGGAACTTGAATTCCAGCCCCTTACAGCACCAGTGAAAGAGCCGCCGCCGCCGCCTAGCGACAGTGAGGGTGTCAGCAAGAAGACAGCCAAGAATCGAGCTAAGAAGGCCAGGCAAAAGGAGAACAGAAAGGCGAAGAAAGCTGCAGCCGCCGCCGAAGAGCCCGAAGACCATACAGATCCGGACAGGATGAAGGACGACGGCAAGAGGAAGGCGACCGAGGACCCTGCGTCCCCCGCTGCGGCCAAGCGCGTTAAGCACGACGACTCGGCTGAGCCTCCTCCAAAACCAAAGATGGCTGTCATTCCATTCCCTGAGAAGGTATGTCTTGAGTCTGATGCAAGTCTTAGCATGATGGAGTCGATGCTGACTTTAGGTTCAGCCTGCCCAACTCGAGGAGCGTGCCGGTGATATCCAGTTTCGCGTGGTGAACAATGATGGCGACAAGGATAGCTTTATCATCATGACCGGCCTGAAGTGCATTTTTCAGAAACAGTTGCCCAAGATGCCCAAGGACTACATCGCGCGTTTAGTCTACGACCGGACACACGTCTCCATCGCAATCGTCAAGAAGCCTCTCGAAGTAGTGGGCGGCATCACGTACCGTCCATTCAACGACCGCAAGTTTGCAGAGATTGTCTTCTGTGCAATCTCGTCTGACCAGCAAGTCAAAGGCTACGGCGCCCATCTCATGGCGCATTTGAAGGACTACGTGAAGGCCACGAGCCCCGTCATGCATTTCCTGACCTATGCAGATAACTATGCCATCGGGTACTTCAAGAAACAGGGCTTTACCAAGGAGATCACTCTCGACAAGTCAGTTTGGATGGGCTACATCAAAGACTATGAAGGCGGTACCATCATGCAGTGCACGATGCTTGAGCGGGTCCGATACCTTGAGGTCGGCCGTATGCTACAGAAGCAGAAGGAGTGCGTGTTGGCCAAGATCCGCGCCTACTCGAACTCGCACGTTGTCCATCAGCCGCCCAAGCAGTGGAAGAATAACCCATCGCCCATCGACCCCATGAAGATAGAGGCCATCAAGAACTCCGGATGGTCACCGGAGATGGATGAGCTGGCCCGCCAGCCGCGCCACGGCCCCAACTACAACCAGCTTCTACACCTTCTCAACGACATGCAGAATCACCAGAGCGCCTGGCCGTTCCTCATGCCAGTCAACAAGGATGATGTTCACGATTACTACGACGTCATCAAGGAGCCCATGGACCTCTCTACCATGGAGCAAAAGCTCGAAATGGACCAGTACACTACCCCGGAGGACTTCACCAAGGATGCTACCCTGATCTTCAAGAACTGTCGCCAATACAACAGCGAGGGCACACCGTACACCAAGAGTGCCAATAAACTCGAGAAGTTCATGTGGTCCAAGATTAAGGAGATTCCTGAATGGAGTCACCTTGCTGAGAATCAGGGCAAGTGAGAAGCTGCTGTCAACCGTGCTGTAGTCTTCTATATTCAGCATCCTTGTCAAGACGCGACGAGCTTAGTCCGACCGGCGTGGCTTCGAGGGATATCGACCACTCGGCCTACCTGTCTGCGGTCCTGCACGTTTGCTACCTCACTCTGGAGACTCAGCCATCCTTCTTCTGCTGCCCGACTCTTTTCTCCTGAAGCTTTTACTGCTTTTGTCAGTCTTGGTATTCCAAGACCATGACGTTCTAGCGAGGCGTTTGGCGTATTCGAATCTATGCCCGTGGACGAGAAGACGTTGTGGGGAACACTGTATTATTTATCTCAGCTCAGAAGGCATCTCGGGTGTGCAATTAGCACTTGCTGCCTGCTACATATTACCAGGACATCATTCGGCAACATTGCCACAATCCACGGGCAGCTGGCGTTGGTCATGACTAGGCGGAAATTTTGTTACCCTTGGTGGCAGCTTGCCATCTGGTTGTCCTGGAAGCCCTACTCTACAAAGACTGCCTCCTGTACAAGCATATATCGGAAGATGCGATTGGTGGGGAGGTTTGCCGACCAACAGATGTCGAAATGAAAAAATGGGTATAAGTTCTAGACCATCCTGGTTCTTGTGCTGACTTTGTGATGACACTCGTCCATTGCGTGCGCCAGCCTGGTGGCGTCTCGTCTGGGTTCCTTTGACAACTTTGTCCGAAAAGTACTTGCGTCTGGCATTCAGTGCCAGAAGGGAACACCGTCTCCTTTTCTTAAAGTCTACGTAATCTATCTGTCCAACGTTGAGCATCGGAAGATCATGTGGATATCAAAGACTTTCGCAAGCGCATTGTCGCTGACGGGCAAGTTTGGGCTGCGGGATCAACACAGTAGCCACCGAACGATCAATATCCAAGCGTCATTGGAGAACCTCGGTGTGGGCCCAAGCCTAGTTCTAGACTTTGTTTCTGCGAAACGTGCAAATTATGTGCTATCTATGTTTGTGGCTTTCAGAACACCTGAGTTCGCTGTCATGTGTCATGAGAGGGCAGATTTCACTTGTGAGACAAAAGAAATACATGGATCTGTGTTACAATTTGCATCATAAATCTGCCACAGCAAATTTCGCATGGCTATAAGTCTTTCGTGAACACAAAGCCATCATACTACATACTGACAGACTGAGGGGAGGAGAACCGCCAAAGCCTACTGTTTGCCTATCTCGGCAAGCAGTCGGGAAATGCTACAGCCATTGAGAATGTACAGGCGTCTTGGAGCGATGGTTTGGATAAACCCATGCTTCTCCCAGATTGTCGGGAATGAATACAGAAGAGGGCTTGGAAGGCCTGGCTCCCTGGCCTAGGTTCGAGCAGAGTTTCTCTTTGCTCAAGCCTGAAGCAATAGCGTGCATTGCAGTGAGATTGCGACTCGAGGCCCCTTGACTCATACGTAGCGCAGCTTGCCTGCTGAACCGGAAGAGGACAGGAAATGATATTGCTGCATGATCCTTGGCTGCTGGCTTATAACTGCTCCTGCATCACAGCTCGTCTGTCCAGCTCTAGCAGAGGCATTGCAGAGGGAATGAGAGGCCGAGTTAGGGAATATTCATAATTGCACGATCCTCAGAGCAATTACGGGGAGATGCACTTGTGTGTGACCTGGCTCACCTGGATTAACTTCTACGACGTTCGATCAAGGTTTGATGGTGGCCCCATAATGACCAAGACACCTTGAAAAGGGACTTGCTTTTATTACACTCAAAGTTTATAGTATCAGAAAGAGAGTATCCAGTGGAAAGCTTGTCTCTGCAATGTTCAAAACAAACAACTGGCATATCTAGGATCGGGGGAAACCTGATCTCTATTGTCCCTGTCCTCTTCCACGATCTGTTTGAGCTGTCGCATCTCCTCTGTAAACAGGATTCTGAGACCTGGGTTGCACTGGAATAGATTGGGATGATTAAGAGCTGGGTCTTCCTATGTTCCCACAGGGTTTCTTGGCCAGATGCCTGGCGACATCGCCGCAATCTCCGTCATTCTCGTTGTTGATATCCTGTCGATGTCTCTTTGTTGGCGCCGTGGCCGTTTTCTTGTTGCCAGCTGCTGCCGAAGGCCTGATGACAGTCTCATCCTCCTTTCCCCCGTCAGCCTCATCATCATCATCGTCATCATCATCCCGTCGAACAAGAGCCGCATTGGTCTTTTTCTTGAACTCGTTCGCCGAAGGGAAAGACATGAGGGGGTGGAGGCGCCCACCGGGCGAGATACTGAAGTTGACGTGACTAAAAGCCGGCCGGAACGTGAGCAGGCCATCGGCGGTACGGATGTCCCTCGCAAACTCCATACACGAGGCCACCGTCTTCTAATTCTGCGTCTGGTGAGCTATGCCATGTCTCTTTATTCCTTGCGTCATCTGGAAATTTGACCGACATCCAATCAGCCATCACCTTCCGGAAGGAGTTGACGTACATGGATATCCTGCGCCATCTGTTCTCGTCGAATTTTCCCCGTCCTTCTTATTCTTCTTGTTCTTAGCGGTCTTTCTAACTGTGGTGCCAGCCATTTTGGGGAAAGGAGTACCGGCTTTGGCAGCCTTGGTGTTGCCTGCCTTGTCAACATCCTCAGACTTGCGGGGAGCAGCCATGGAGGGAGCTGCTGTTGTCGCTGTCGAGCGAAAAAGGGAAACGTTAGGTGATGACAGGCTGCTGCTGGTTGCTAGTGGGCAAATTGTTGTTCTTGTGCAACGGCGGCATTTCATGGATCACCCAAGGCGACGAGGTGTCAGGCTGGGTAGAGAAGGAGGCACAAGCGCTTGCGTGTGCTGGCGAGTGCTCCTTTGAAAAGTCACCTGAGTTTAGTTAGGTATTGAAGGGCACCAGGGAGAACCGTTTTTTGAAAGGTGAAAAGGTAAGAGATGCGCCAGGTCCGGGGGGACGGAAACGTGGGAGAAGGAGGAAAGGGAGAGAGGCTGTCGGCTTTTTCGCTTCGATTACAGAATGTACGGAGGTAGGTGACCCTCCGCTGTGATCGCTTCGTTCGAAGATATGGAGTGGACTTCTTGATTGACAACTACATGGTTAAATACCTCCGCTTAGAGTTGTAATACAATCATAGTGCTGACCTTTTCTGCTGTCAGTGTTACAGGTCGAACTTTCTAAGTAGTTTGTGTGTCACTTATTTACTTTGTACGATGACCCTTCCAAATTAAATCACGAGCAAATCAAGCGCTACATGAGTATCGAATGAACAACTGAAGTGAAATCTGCGCCTAGACCCGATTTCAATGACGGAAGACATTTCGGCTCCTTCACTCCCTCACGGAACCCCAGCTGGGATCGCTTCGTCAAGCAGTCACAGGCACCGGGCGCCGCATTATTTTAGCCATTTTCCTTCAGTCGACCCGACCAGTCAAGAATCTTTGACTTGCGGCGTAGGATTTATGGACCGTAATTTTGAAATGGTCTGATAAAATATGACCTATGATAAGACGACAATACCGGATAAAGCGGAATGGATTATTGACAGTAAGGGCACAGGAGGCAGAAGCTGTTCGCCCCGGGGGGGGGGGGGCTCAATACTGCTTCTGCTAATCTCTGGTGGCGATCTGAGGGCAGGTTCCCGGTCTGAGTGAAGAGAGGGAGACGGCTACCTACAATTAGGCGGTGGAAATATAGACGCTGGGGATTGGATTGCATATGGTTATCTCATCCAGGCAACTGGATCACCATCGGGAGTCGACTTGCTTCACTTAGTTCTAGAAAAACCATGATCTACATGTGTAATGTATGCGCATTTGTGTGATTGCAAATTTTCTTTTTCGCTAAGCTACCTCGCTGCAGCCATGTCATTTTCAGAAATGACCCTGGTAGAAGCTGTCTTGCAGAGAAATTCTGGTGCGTTGATACCCGACCCAGCTTCTCTTCCAGCCCAGATAGCCGGGGGCCACCTTTCAGAGTCGGCCCCTAATGGATCGAGAGCTGCTCAAGAGATTAACCTGATTCCGCGCTGGTTGCGGCATCATGAGAGGCATGTTGGCGTGCACCGCAACAGGCAATCTGCCTAGTGATCATGCGATAACCGACGTTTGCGTATCGCTTGACTGTGTATACAACGTTTTTCTTCTAAAACGGCGAATCCGGCGCATGCTGCATTGTTTCGGCGAGGACTGCATCTTCCAGGTTTTGTACCTCTTCTGAGTACAAGCACTCTGCCAGATTGATTGTCGAATTCGCTCAAAGCGTGGATCGCTTCTGGTCACGAGCGGTTCCTTCTAATTCAAATGTTATCCTGTCGGTCGACTCCATGGCTGTTGAGATGAAAGTTGGTGCGAAGCCTTGCTGACACACGCATTTCCTGGCCTCGATTTCATCTTCCGCACGCGAACATGGTCTTTTACGTCAAATGATCTAAGCCGCCCCAAAATGCATGTGGTAGGCACGGTTCCACAGCGAGTGTGACCCAGAGATGGAGCAAGGGTCTCGGCTGTAGGCGGACCAAACTCGACAGTAGATGTATTGACATCCGCTAGGTGTTCAATGAATCCTCCTCTTAGTTCCAGTATCGGCTCGCTGCGCAGGCTAGAAGGGTTTGAGCTGAGAAGAAACTGTATCGTGTATCTTGGTAAATAGAGGGAACTGCCTGGTCGTATATGGGCCGGGCGAGGAGGCATAATAAGGCGGGCCGACGCATCTGCATCCTAAGCCTGGCCGCGCTGCGCATGCGACGTGCCACCGTCGTCGATTCCCTGGAACGCACCGGGTATGCGGAGATTCGAATAGGAGCTGCGTGTTGTTGAGCTGCGGGTGCTGTGTGATGCGGGTGGGAGCGGCGCGGATAGCAGGCCGAAGACGCTCGAGCTCGAGGCTGCGGATGACGCAGAGGGGACTGCTGAGCGGCCTTGCAGGCGGTTGTCCTCAGCACGAAGGCCATCTCTGATCAAATCCCGCAGGAACTCGGGTATGTCATGCCAATTCCCAGCTCTCGCGGCGTCGATGAACCGTAGAGGGAACAGGTCCTGAGGGGAAACGTGGGTGATCCTTTCTCGCATGTGCGAGATCTCGCCGGTCTCCACGGCGTTCTTGAACCACTGCTCCCAAGCCTCGTCCACAGGCAAAGACAGATCCCCTGAGTTTCTGGCCGCGACCCGCTGCCGAAGCTGCTCATTCAACGCAATGCCGACGCTCTCCAACTCGCCATCGCTATCATCCTCGTCGACCTCGGCCATTGTGTCGTCCTCCTCGGTCTCTGGGCTATCGGCCGAGCCTGAGGTGTTGGCGCGGACCTCGCGGTCGAGCCAGTGGGACATGCCGTCGGCTGCTGTGTCGCGGATGGTGGTGTTCTGTTCCCGCTCGTACCGGACCTTTGCCCATTTCGTGCCCTCCCATTTTGTCAAGCCGGCAATTTCGCTTGGGGTGAGGCGCAGGGCGTCAAATGCGCGGAACATTCTCCGGTGCCATTGCCATCTGCTGAGCCGAGTTCGGTGGGTGGGGTTGGTGTAGTCTAGACCTGGGTACTTGGCTTCTGCGGTGTCGAGATGGCCGTAGAAGGAGTGGACCTCCTGGCGGACCTCGAGGATCAGGTGTCGTTGTAGGAGGGCATGGAAGTTCTGGGGCTCCTGGGGCTTTGGTTTGGGGAACATCTGCTCGTAGACGAGCTGGTCGACCGGGCGCCCCTTCATATTGGCCAGAAAGGTGACGTGGATGGCGTCGGTCGTGTAGGGACGAGGCCGTTCTCTGCAAGTGAGGGGTCCCCGTGGACTTGTCACCAGTCGTGCTGTGGTGGTTGGCCGTTGGCCGTTGACAGGCAGGATGAATGCTGATGATAAGGAATGTAGCTTTTTAATAAGTGACTGGTTTGTGTGTTGTGTTGTGTTGTATTGTGTTGTGGCCCGGTATGGAATAGCAGCCGTGGAAGTTTGATTTGCTGAGAATGATTCACGGTCAGACGCGCGGTGCCGTGTGCCGCTGGTACTTGGACGGAGGGAGAGAAGGAGGTCGAGTTGGGTGCAGGCAGTCGATCAGGGCGGTCCTAGGTCGGGTTCACGTACGCGGTGGAGGGTAGGAGCCTTGGAAGGGAGACGGCCTGGGGAGAAGGGGAGCCAGGGAGGACAGGGAAGGGCAGGTGGGTAGTAGGTAAGTAATGCCGTGAGGTTTGTTGCGGAGGAGTGAACAGGGCGGAGGAGGCAGAAGTAGAAGCAGGAGGCAGAGGCAGAGGCAGGCGGGAGGTTTGCTTTTGACTGACCAGCCCTGCGTGACAGACACTGGCTGATGAAGGGGACGGACCGGGACCGGGCCCTTGAGTGGCAGGTGCAAGTCGCATTTTCGACAGGTGAGACTTGTGACTTGGCCGTGCCTCCACCCTCCGCCTGGAGGCCACTGGACGACGGGAGATGACAGGTACCCAGGGATCCGAGCCCAGGGTGCTCAGGTACTGCAGAGAGTACATGCAATGCGCGCCTGCATCCACTAAGATGATGTGTGCAGGGGTGCTGAGGTGTGTGGAGGCCATGTGCCGTGGGCCTGGACTTTTTACGGGTGTGCCAGCCGGTACCAAAGTACCTGTCACTTTGCAGCCCTGCCCTGCTGCGTACGGCTACTGTACACCATCCCCCCCTAGTCGCCTGCCTACCTGGTAGTCCCCAGCCCTTGCCAGGTACCTGGGTACCGGCTGGCTGGGGCAGCAGCAGGACAAGAGGAGGCACATGGTGTTGTCATCGTAAATACCTGCCTTCAAGGTATGTTATCTGATGCCCGACGGTAGGGCCAGTTCACCCTGTGATGTTATAGAAGGGGAGACTTATAATGGAGCTCCTTTGGGTTGTCAAGAAGCAGGGCCCGTGAGGACCGTGTGCGCAGTACTGTGTACGTATTTACATTGGTGAACACGGTAGAATGCAGCAGAATGCAGAAAATGGTGATCAGTCATGGCTGCGGTCACCCGGTTTCTGGGTAATTCTGGGGGTCGTCATTTGCAAGCCGGAAATGATTCAAGCCCTCGCTACCTCGGGACCATGCGATCCAACACGGAACAACAGGCTTGTTCTGTCCTGTCCGCGACCAGACAGACCGACAGACCACAGGGCCAGCCAGAGTCCAGACGTGACCTCGTCGTCAGTCTCCGCTTGACCATGCCCACGCCCCTTCCAGGTGTTTGAGTGACGGCGGGACCGCCTGAAAGCAGCATTCCTGGATCGATTCCTCGCCGTCTCGCCTCGCCTCGCCTCACCTGGCCTCACGCCTGCAAGCGGCAGTCAGACATGGAAGAAGAATCAATCAAGATGAAAATGATGATTTTGAAGGGAAAAAATAGCTCGAAGAAAAATCAAACTCTGTAAGGGCACTGAATCATGGCGAGACGTTGCCAACGCCCCTTTATCTCTCCGAAAATGGACATCCAGCTGGACGATCGGATCTACACTGCTGCCGCCGTCTGCCACATTTTACCCCGTAAAACGGACATTGCTTCTTGGTCTTTGCTTTCGCCGGCTCCTTTTCCCCTTGTGCATGCTTGTTGCCTCCGGTCTAGATTCGGTCCCAGAGGGCATTACTCGCTGTGGGGTGCCAAGCTGGGACAGGGCAGGGCGACCGGCATCCTCCACGACTGGCCATCGGCACCCGAACTTTTGACGCGGTCCGTCAAGTCGTTTTCATTCCGGGCTGGACGCACGCGCTACCGTAGCCAGCCAGCGGAATGTTTTAGCTACGCCCGGCCAATCTATCTGGAGTATCATCTACTTTTACCACTAGAGGTCTTCTTTCGGACCTGCCCATGCTTCCATGCCAGTCGCTAATGATCATGACAACAAGGCATGCCCTCGGCCCTGCCCATTTCGCCCGTGTCATCTCCGTGTCTCTCGTCTCGTCCATCATCTTCGCACATGACGAGGCCATCAGCAAACAAACCCCCTCCCGACCCGTCACACCACGCTCGCCCGCCCCCGTGACAGACCAGCTCGGCCGACCACACACCGCTGCACCTTGCAACTTGCACGTAGCCATAACGGAACAGCACAGCACAGCACAGCACAGCACAGCACACAGGCTAGACCGACACGAGGGTGGGGCCGTGGCCGCCGTCCCAGCGGCCCCCAACACCGCCGAATGAGATGCCACCACGGCGCCCTTCAACCTCATCACAAACAAGGCCCGGCTCCCCCGGCGGCCCTTCGTCGCGGCCCATTCAACTCACATTCCTCCGGCCCGCCCAACTGGCCCTCTCGCTCCTTGCTGGCCTTTGTTGTCCCCCCTCCCCTTTGTCATCTCGCCTCTGTCGCTGATTCATCGCCTGAGGCCCAATCGCCGCCTGTCCCGAGCAAGAGGGAAAACAGTATCCCCTCCCCGGGCCCCCTTCCCCCTCCTCCACCCCATGCCTGTCTGCTTGCTTTGCTGACCCGCCCGCCGGTGTCTGTTGTCATCGGCACCGGCGGCGTTCTTTTGTCCCACTACCTCCTAGCTCCAAACCCGGGCCGCTTTACAGCGGCCATGGCAAGCAAGGAAAGCCATCTCTGTTTGCTCTCTAATTTGCCCAATTGATGCCTGGGCCGTCGTCATCCCCCGGCCTTTCTGATCGACTACTGCCGCCAGGTGTGATGAGCTGGTCTGATCAGATCAGATCAGCAGACAGGAGATCCAAGACAAGGGCTTTACCTGCCCGCCCTTCGCGTGGAGTTGTCCGTGGGAGCCTTGGATACGAGTAGACCACGTCGCTGGCCGCACCATCGAGTGCAGAGTTCACGGGTCTTCGCCGGCTCTTTCGGCTCTCAGAAAGGTCCCGCTGAATGTGGACGCGGGCGGCATTGCATACTCTGCCCCGTGGACCGAGTGTGCCCACGGCCAGCGGTTGGATGGTGATATCTCCCGCCAAGAACACACCGCCGCGGGCTGGCGCGATGGGCCCTGCTGAGTGCATGGGCTCATACCCTATCCTTGGGCCGTCTCTCTATTTCTCTTACTCTCCATTCACGTACAAGGTTGAGTTGGGAAGCTACGGGACGGGTCATGGGATGCCGTAACGCACCCGAGGTCCTCATGGCCCAAGCGAGATCAGCTTCACACGCGCGCGCGCTCACATACACATGTGCCAGATGCCATGCATCTATGACTGAGAAGCCAAGGCCTTCGCCTGGGATGTTCTCTTGCCATTACCTCCCGGGACGTGGGCCCAGGCATCGCCAACATTCCAGAGATGGACGAGGGACGCCACGCTGCAGGCGGAGAGGAGACAACCACGGCCAGGTGCGAGCCGCCTATGCCAGCGGCTGCATGTGCTTGACAAGCGCTCCGTAGACATGGACAATTTCATGCAATGCAGGTGGCCCATCGCACCCAGCCTGTTGGGTCGTCCCGCGCCTCAACTCGCTCACTGCCTGCCTGCCGGTAGGTTGGTTTTATCCCTTCGGCCAAGCTATAGATAGGCACTCAGGTATAATGTGTTTGGAGTCGGTGCGTCTCAGATCTGCTAGTACACGAACTTCCGTGAGCTGGGCTTTTATCATTGCTGATCGCAAGTCAACTCCTGATCGTATTTCTCGGCTGGCGCAGGCACTTGTGTCCAAGGCGCTCTGATAAAGAGGGAGACCTGGTGCTTCAATGTACACCAGTGCCTGTAACCTAAGACCTGGGCAATCCTCGGAGGCAGATACCACTCCACGAAGCGAGCCGCACATGAGCTATGAGCCAACCAGCGATCCAACTGAACCTCGCACAACGTGACCATCATTTCAGCACGTCAGAAAAGTGAGCATGGTTGTGGTCACCATCCTTGGCGGTAGGTAAGGTAACCGTGAAGTGAACACGCCGTGGCAAAATGTGATGCCAAGGCAAAAAGAACCATCAACATGGCAAACATCACATAGGAGAATCAGCATATCGGAATGTGGATAGACTGTAGGCATCGAATCACTACACTCGTGCGGGTAGACACTATGAGCCTAATATATGCAGAAACCAACACGACCATACGGGGCTCTTAAAGCAGCTATGCTTGCCAAGGCACCAAACCTATTTTGCGAATACGTTGCATGGAGTACTAACGTGCAACCCAGCGAAATAAGTTGATGACTTTGTTATTCCGGCAGACAAAATCGCTTTAGGCACCAGCTGGCTAGAAAAGCATATTGGTCTCTATATAGTAGTAAGGAGATGGCCAAGTCCACCGACGCCCAGCGAACGCTTTCTTGCATATGACATCTTCCAAAGCCGTCTCAAAGAGAAGAAGTTGTGTTGATCACATGTAGGTCCCCCAACGCTACCCATGCCGGCCCATCACCAGGCGGAGATGCCAGAAATTATTAAGTCCCTCCGTAATACAATTATAGCAGCGCGCTCTGAAAATCCTTGTCCTGTCTCTCATCCTCCATCTTTCGCCGTTCATGGTCATCGTTGTCGTCGTCGATCGTAATGATAATGACTCGTCACCCGCTTCGTTTCTGTGCTTGGGCTATTCATGTCCGTGTATATCCAAATCAGACTTGTCCAAGACTTCCACAGACCTACCTCATTCATCCTGGCCCCACGCCGGCTCGGTAGGGTACCTCCGGCCACTGACGCCCTTGATCTCCGGACTAGGTGCCCTCTCCCTTTCCCTGTCTCTATCTCTGTCTCTATCTCTGTCCCTGTCCCTGTCCCTGTCCCTGTCCCTGTCCCTGTCCTCGTATCCGCTCCCTCCCCTCCGCCTCCTGTCCCTCTCAGCACCATACCTTTCCCGATCCCGCAGGTCAAAAGCCTCATGCCTGTATCTGTCCACGTCAGCATGGCTGCTCGTCCTTCGCGGATTCTCCGGCCTGCGCAGATACCTCGCCTCCTTCTCCTTCCTGCTCCGCGGCTTCTCCCTCGGGTCAACGTCGTCCCATTCTGGCGGCGCGTCCCTGCTCCGGCGGGGCGGCCTGTCCCGGTCTCGTTCGTATGCATCCCTCTCGCGGTCTCGACGATCACGTTCCCGCTCCCGGAGCCTCCGTCTCCGGCGCCGATCTCGCTCCTCTGAGTCGGAAGCACTCTGGTCGTCGTACGACCAACTGCGGCTCACTTTCGAGGCGCCAGGAAGGCTGTCCTTTGAGAGCCGGTCGATCCGGTCAATGGGTATGGTGCCACTTCCGCTGCTGTTTATGTTACGCCGAGGCGGCTTGTCCGAGCCTATCGGGAGTATGGTGGAGAATTTATCGATTTTATCCTTAGCCCAGTCCTTTGCTCCCTCGAATGGCGCCGCGCTCTTCCTCCTGCCGCTTTGCACCGGGGAATCTCGACCATCGGGTCGTATCTTGACTCCGCCATCTGCCCTGTCCGCCCTGAGGCTAGGGACTTGGACCGCGGGCGACCCGCCGGGTACGAGCGGTGGAATGCCCCGGGGAAGGCGTGGCAGAGTCCGCGACGTGCGCGTATCGTGTTGCGACCTTGGGACCGCGGGCCGGAGGAGCATGGTGTCCAGAACCCCGTCTCGACCGCGGACTCATGTCAGCTTCGGACCCTGAATCATCGCTGCTGAAGCCCCGTCGAGGGTGAGAATGCCGCCTCGGCGGGACGGATCTTCCAGGGTGCAGATGTACAGATGAAAACTGCTCCTGGGGAGATGGATAGTCCGAGAAGGACCGTCGCCGCGCGCGCTCTTCCCGAGCTATGTCTTCTGCCGAAGAGCCGTTCCTCCTGGCCCTCTCCATCCTTTCGGGGGACACGCGCAGAGGAGCGCCCCTCGGATATCGCGACGTGTGACCTGGGCTGACATGTGCGAAGAACGGAGGGCGGTGGTTGAAGTAATCGGATGCGAGATTCGCTGGCCTGGGTCGGGCAGCTGACCCGCCTGCTGAGTCTGGCGCTGGGACATGGGAGTATGCGTCCTTCATGCGATCGGCCGCAGACGGGAAGGTCGGCCTGGGCGAGGCCTTTGGTGTCGCCTCCTTGCGGAGCTTCTCGCCGCAGGCTGCATGCCATGCGGTGATGTCAGGATCCGGCGCGGCAGGGAAAGCGGTGGCAGAGATGTCCTTGGGGAAGGGCTCGCCGGTGTCGGGATTCTTCAGGTCCCAATTCTTGACCGCGAACATTATGTAGGGCACATGCTCCTCAGGCTCGAGCAGGATCTGAATGGACTGCCAGCGGACGAAGCCCCTAGGGGTCAGGGATGGTACGGTGGGTGCCTCGTAGTCATTTTCCGTAGGCTGGAGAGTGTGCTGGCAGCCAAAGACCTGCCAGATGAAGGAGATGGACTCGTTTGGAGCATTCACGAAGAGTCCTGGCGGCCGGAGGGCGGCCACGGGTCAGCAAACACAGGTTGCGACACAGCTCAGCATGTCGCCGCAACGTCGGCATGCCGTGGGTGGGCGGGGGAGAGGGGCTCACGGTCATAGTCGCCGCCGACGGCCTTGTAGAAGGCAGCAAGCTTGGCAGGGCTAAGGGTCTGGTCCTGCTTGTCGCCGATGTTGTTGATCTACAAGGACGGACGAAGCGGGTGTTGTTAGCGGCCTGACCCGTTCGGCGCGGGGCAACAATACACTAGACTGGCTGCTGCTGCTGCTGGGCAGACCAGGAGCCAGCGTCAAGCGCAACTCACAATGTACAGCGCGATGGCGCGCAAGAGGGCGTCGAGGACCTTGGTCGGGGTCTTGTTGGCCTCGTAGAGATAACCGTAGAAGTCCTTCGCATCGACAGCTGGCTTTGGCATGGGCATGGGCTTGGGCATGGGCTCCGAGGCTGTGGCGGCGGTGGCCATGGCGATGGCGATGGCGTCGCTCACATCAGCCTGGCCTGGCCGTTGCGGGGGTTTTGCGGGTTGCGAGCGGGTGCAGGCGCGGATCCGTCAGTGTGCGATGGATGCTAAGCTATGTATGTATGTATGTACGCATGTGCATGTGTCGAGAGAACAATGCGCGCGAGTATAATTCGTCTTGTGTGTGTAAACACAGGGCCTCCACCTTCAATCTGACAGCAGCGTCATCGGGCGGCCCAGGGTCAGGGTGGAAGTGCTGGAGCGGGTTGGCGGCGGCAGGCCTGGGAGACATCAAACAACCCGCGGCGACATGGGACGAAGAGGGTATATTCAAGCTTGGGACGAGCAGCAAGCTGACGGCCTGGGCAGTGTCAGAGGTAGAGAGGCACAGAGGCAGAGCAGAGTAGGTAGAGAAAAAAGAGTCAGGATGACAGCCGACTGACCGAGTGACCGGCCGCGGTCGACAAGACGCCGCTTCTAATCTTGGACATGCAGGTCAACAGTGCCTAACTGCCTAGGCAAAGGCTTGGGTGCGACAGCGTGCAGCAGCAAGGTGCAGCTCGAAGGTTGTTAGGTGGGCTGGTGGGCCGGCAGAGCTTCATCGAGACGGCCCCAGGGAGATGGCATCAGCATCCATCAGCTGCTGGTGGCTGGGGCCTGCTGGTGATGGACAGGGGGCCACCCGTGCTCCCGAGGCCCACTAACAGGGCGGACCAGCCAGCCAGGCTGGGACACTCCGGGGAATACTGGGGGGCCCACCCACCTGGGCATCCTGGGCATACTGCGATTTATTAGGCCAGCATTTATGATCCCATACTCTGCGTCCACCGCCATTCCTTTGCAATCACAGCCCGGTACACGACGCCTCACTTTGTGATAATGATCTGGGGACCACAGACTATTATTTTTGGGGCGGACAATCCACGGCCAAAGAGCAGGGAGTAGGTCCGCAAGTCGCATCTTCGGCGCGAACCATCCACTCTCTTGCGGCCCAGATACCCAAGCCAGGCAGTAATAGTACAGTAAGCACGCATGTGAGCAGCTCCTCACCAGGGCCCAACCAGCTCGTACAGCCCGAGCAGTGCTCCAGCCAGCGGGAACAGCGATCGCACGAGGTTCAGCACCCTCCACTTGACCAACAGGTCCCTGACAGCCTCGGCGCTGAGGTGGCCTGCCGTGCCCGCCGCCACCCCCAGTAGCGCCTGGTTGGTTGCGTCCATGAAGAAGACGGTGAATGGCACAATGCCCACCGTGAGAGCTGCAGCCCCGACGTACTTGCCCCAGCCGCGACTCTGCCTGCTGCGATCGTACATCAGGTAGCCGTAGCCGAGCAGCGAGACGGCCGCCACCTGCGGGCCGAGCACCTTGCCCTTGTTGTATATGCCTGCCCACTGCTGCGCGAGGATCTGCGATGGCACCGCCGAGCTGGTCGACAGCAGGCCCGGGATGGCAAGCGCCGAGAGCATCGCCTGCCCGCCTGTGTGCGTTGTCGGTCCTCCAGTCAGCTTACCGCTGCCCAGCCGTGGTCTGCGCGAGAGGGGTGGTGGGGGTCTTACCCGAATTCCATGCAGAGCCGAGAATGCCCGCCGACGCGGCGAGGATGGTGGTAGGCTGCAAGCCGGCCATTTTCGATCTTGTTGATCTCGTCTGGGCTTGTCTTGACGACGCTGGATTGGGTGCAGCTGATCCGGCCTCCAAACAATTTGCAGCAGGTCCCTTTATACGGGAACGGACTCGGTGCTCAACGGAATGACGAAGGATCGCCGTCCTGGCCCGAGCCGTCTTAGCTACCTAGCTCGGTAGCTACGTAAGTACTCGGCGGTTCGCATAGCAATCGCTGCGGATGAATCACGGCCTGTCCAAAATGTCCGATACAACAGAACAAAGCAGTTTGCAGGAAGTACAGCGCCCAAGCCCGACAGGCTGATCGTCGTAGAAGCTGACCTGCAGTGCACAAAATGTACGTCTCGCGCTCAAGATTGTTTACAATCAAAAAAGCATTGGAATCCCCCCCTCCACCCCCCTCCGCTCCACCAGTGCCTGCAAATGTCACCTTGTGGCATTGGGAAAGTATCGGTAGGCGACCAGGTCAATCATCTTGTCCGGAGCACGCATGTCGACATCCCTGAGCGACATGAAGCTCTCAAACCCACACCTCTCCAGGATCTTCTGACTCGCACCATTTGCAGCGTCTATGACCGCCACGAGCTGCTCATCCACCACCGTCGCCGCCCCGCCAGCGGCACCCACCGAGCTGGCTGTCACCTTCCTCCCAACCACTCCCTCCCGGGGCAGGCGCGTCCACATGTCCAAGAATGCCGCCAGGAACTCCGTAGCTATGCCCTTGCCCCAGTGCTCCTTCCGGATCATATAACCCACCTCGGGCCAGCCGAGCTGTGGCCCGGCGGCGGCGTCGTCAGGCGGCTGCTCAAAGGCATGCACGCCTCCCTGGCCGATCAACTCGCCTGTATCCCTCAGGCAGATGGCGCAGTTGAAAGTCTTGGTGTCGTTGGGCGGGAGGAAGAGCGCGAGTTTCCTTGCAGCCTCCTCCCTGTCTATATCGACTCGCCCGGCGGTAGTCCAATGCATCACCTGAGGTTGCTGGCGAAGCGTGTACAAGGCATCGAGGTCGGAGTGGATGAACGGCCGCAAGACGAGCCGCGGCGTGGTTCTGTGTGGGCGGCCCGAACTTTGAGGAAGCGTCGGCAGGGTTGTGCGGACACTGACCCAATCCCCGGGTTTGTAGGGCACAAGAGAGGGCATGACTTGTTGTCTGACCAGCAATTTGAGGTGAAAGAAAAACTTTCGAATGTCTGAAAGGTTGGCGACTGCCTCGCTCCTCCCTCATCCTATGTGTCTCTTCTCATTTTCTGTCATTTTATTCTATTGCTCAGCTGCATTGGCCTACCGGATTGTGACTCACCAGGGCTTCTCTTCTGTCTACCCATTTCATACAACATTGTGTTGTTAGAGTCTCCAGCTGGGGGGAAAGTAACCCAGCTGGGCCAGCACGGGCAGGGGTCTCGCCCGTTTTTACTAGCGTGGAAACGAGGCCGTGCAGCCTGGACGACATCATCATCCATCTACATTACGGATTAGGAGGTGGCTTCAAACACTTTACTTAGCCTTATCTCCTCACCCTGTTCAGGGCACACTCTGAAGACTCAGCCCTCAAGGCGTTGGTCACGTCAACAGCGGGACTTAGTAGACCACTCACTAAAGGCACGGTAGTCCATCTCCTCACCCTGTATCTGCAAGCCCTCAGCTCACGATGAGCGCGTCTCCGGGGCCCCGCCAGGCCTCTGATGCCGGCAAAGAAGTGCACGCTCTGAGTTGCGTTAATTGCCGCCAGCGAAAAGTCAAATGCACCAAGGTCTTCCCATGTCCCCATTGTCAAAGAGCCGGGCTTGTCTGTGTCTTCCCGACGCGCAAGAGGGACAGACGCCCGCGCACAAATAGAAACCACGAGCTGCTTAACAGGCTGGCGAAGCTCGAGGCCATCGTCGGTCAGGTCGACCCGGACGCTGTCAGCGCGAACCCCGGTCATCCGCCCGTGGACGCAGTGCGTCCGGGCAGCGCCGCCGAAGCCACGGACAAGGCCGTTGCGCAGCCTGCGATAAGTCCGGCACGGCTGGTGGCCGAGTCTGAACTCAGGAACCCCCAAAAGAGGTGCCCGACCCCCCAGCCCGTTTCGAGGGATGATCCCGCCGCCAAGTACGTGTCGGGCGAGTTCTGGGCGAACCTCTCCAGGGAGGTTGAGGGCATCAAGGCGACCCTGGAGCAGCCTAGCGATGATGAGGATGATGACGAAGGCGAGAATGACGGTCCTTCGCCAGAGTCTCAATATCAGGGCAGCCTCAATTACAACATAAGCCCACCCGTGGTCTTGGGGAATGCTTCTGCGTTGGCCGCATTATCACACCCTCCTCCCGCACGCATGAGGACACTGTGTGATGTATACTTTCGCAACGTTGACCCGTTGATGAAGATACTACACAGACCGACAGTCGAAAAGACTTTTGATTTATACATAATGAACCCAGCAGATCATCCGCTTAGTCGGACAACAGAGGCCCTATCTTTCGCCATGTATTTCGGCGCCGTCACAAGCATGCAGCCGGACAGCTGCGTGAAACAACTTGGTGATGATCGGAGGGTGCTGTCTGTGCAGTACAAGCAGGCGGTAGAGCATGCCCTGGCAAGGGCGGACTATCTGAATAGCACGTCGTTGGAAACACTCCAAGCCTTTATGATCTACTCGGTGAGTCTGAGCAACATACAGCGAGCTCTACACAAGCTGGCTGGGGTAACGACTGACTTTCTGGGGTAGACATGTCTACGCAATTATGCGGAATCTCGCGCCTCGTGGGCGCTGGTAGCTGTGGTCTTGCGCCTTGCGCAAGCCATCGGTGTTCATCGTGACGGCGATGGGTCCGCCTTCTCCCCTTACGAGGCAGAGATGCGTCGCAGGCTGTGGTCACAGATCATTATGCTCGACGTCCGTGCTGCCCAAGATCGTGGTACGGAAGCGATGATCAGGCAAGAGGAGACCAACACGTCACCGCCAACAAACATCAACGACGAGGACTTTGGCCCGCAGACTACCGTCCCGCTCTCGCAGCTGGAAAAAGAAGGACCCACCGACATTACATTCAGTCTCTGCACATACCACTGCTCCAAGCTCTTCCTATACATACATGGGCCCAGGAGCCGCTTCTCCAAAGCCACTCACGAAACCACTGTCCCTGGGTCGCAGGTCCAGTCCCAGGTCTCAGAAGAAGACATCATCCAACGTATCAAGACCCTAGAAGCTCAGTTCCTCATTCCCGCCGCAGACCAGCCGGGCCATCCCCAAGCGTCCTATGCGGCTACCGTCTTGCGTATATCATCGCTGGTCTATTGGCTCAGCATCCAGTACCCTCTACAAGTGAGGCAACCCACCATCAAACCTCGCGTGAGCCGCGAGCACATGCTCCAGACTGCGGTTGCCATCATGGAGCTACAGGCCTGCGGGCCTTCCTCGGCCGCCATGAGCCCAGAGGAGTTCCGCGAGAGGTACATCTGGTGGCAGGACGGCTATATCCCGTGGCATCCCTTGGCAGTCGCCCTGGCCGAGCTCTGCGTGCAGACGGAAGGGCCTATGGTAGACAGGGCGTGGAAGACGATTGACCGCGTCATGCCATCGTGGAGCGACAAGGTCGCAGACACCAAGAAAGGCGCACTATGGCGGCCGATAAGGAAGCTGCTCAAACAGGCAAGACAGAGGAGGGCCGAGGCCCAGATGAGGAAGCTTGGAATCAGCGAACCCGGGCAGCAGGGCATTCTAGGAGGTCAGGCGCAATCAACACACCCGCCACCGCCACAAACTCAGACAAGAGACACAGCACACCCGCGTGCGAGGCAGGCCCACCAGGCCGTTCCCGCAAGTACCCCCGTTCACTCGCCAACACCGCCGTCCGTTCCCGCAAGGGCAAGCAGGCCACCGCCGAATCCCGCCACCGCGCTCGGCCCGACGGGCATCCCACTGTCGCAAGACTTCGGGCTCATGCCGGACATGCCATCAGCGGCGTCGCCTTTTATCATGAAAAATAGCCATCAGCAGTGGACGATCGACTTTGCGGACCTTGCGGACGTGCCCATGGACACGATGATCGGCAATGGTGGCGGTGTAGGTGTCGGCGGTGGTGGTCAAGACTTCGACCTGATGGACTGGAGCTATTGGAACGATTTTGTTAATGACGCCAGCGTCAATGTGGAGGGTCATACCTCCCCAAGTAGCGAGGGGAAATAAGGGGTATGTTGTCCTGCTACGACGTATTTGTATAATTGTCACTTAAGGGTTGGATTACGAGATTGCGAGGGAAAGAATACAGGGGAGGGCACTGCGAACAGCCGCGGACGGAGTGTCATATAATACAGCCAGGGATACTGTAAATTCAACCCCCACTCAAGAGAACGGATATCCACACCTGCAAAACCGGATAATACACCCATACATCACTCACGCCACAGCTATAGCCATCAGAGCACATCACCCAGACCTATTCACACCCACCCAACACCCACACACCCAACACACCCAACACTCATAATGCCCATAAACCCACAAACCAAACACCCACATACCCAATTTATACACCTAACTCATATACCTAAGTATATAAGTATATTAATTAGGTATTTTAATTAGATGTATAGATGTTGGGTGTGCAAATTGGTCGTGTGAATTGGGTGTGTGCGTGGTGGTTTAGTGTTGGCGATGTACGGGTGTACCATCCGTTTTGCGGGCGCGAATGTCCGTTCTCCCACTCAAAGGCAACGAACGACACTGCAAGGATTCGTGGCTTGATGGCACAGTAACTCACGATCGAGCTCATGATAACCAGATCGTGCTCCGTATTTCAAGTGGAGGTGCAATGGCGCGCCTATGGAGCGTGTTCATTCATTCTTTTTGTGGATTTCATTCCATTCCTTTTGCTCGTGACCGTTTTAGAGCAAATGCTAATGACATGCCGTACCCCCATGAACACCGGGGAAACCCTTCGGACTTTTTCTTTTCGTCCATTGTTGCCGTCACTACCAAGGCCCGTCCACTCGCTCTCCACAACCGACCAGAGAAAACCAAAACCCGTCACCGTTCGGCACCACTTTAGGCGAAAGTCGAGGGTCGCTTTGCGCTGAAGACCTTCTTGGTGGAGATCTTGGGGACACGGTGGGGCAGGGGGAAGCTCAGGTCCTTGGTCAGGAGCTGCTTGATGTAGGGGCGCTTGACATCGTCGGACTTCTCAAGCTCGACGACACGGAGGATCTAGTTGAGTTGTCAGCTTATCACTGGACGTTCCTGGCCGTCAGTCTCGGGGCAGAATGGTACGTACGTGGATGGACCTGAAACGGGCACGGTGGCGGGCAGCCATGTCCTGGTACAGAGCCTCAACAGCCTCGGTCCGGGACATCTCACGGTACTCCTTGTACATGTTGTGAGTGCCGGAGCGCGAGTCGTAGCGGATCCAGATACCGAAGTTCTTGACCTTCAAGGGGTGCTTCTCGTGGATCTGTAAATCGAAAATCGCATGAGCCACTGTTTCTCATATAGTCTTGTCTTCTCCTTCTTCTCATGTCGCCTGGTATATTCTTCCCGTGGTCACAGTGATTACACATACCACGTTGATGCTGACGATCTCACCGGTGGCCTTCTTGACCTTCTTGAGACCGCGCATGAAGTACCAGTATCGCGACTTGGCGACGACCTCGTTGGGGGCAAAGATCCGCATGCGGTACAGAGACGGGGTGGGGTTGGTCTCGGTAGGCAGATGCCTGCCGATGACCTGGTACTCCTGGAGACGACCTGATCGCAGTCATGTTAGCAAGCCGACATAGTCGAGTGGATTCGAGCCGAATCGGTAAGGGGCGTGAAATCTGGAGCGAGAGTCGAGCTTGGGTGTTGGCGAGAGGTGTGAGTGGTGTTCGCGTGATTGTCGTCGACCTGGCAATTCCATTCAAAATGCAATCCAACTTCTGAGCGTTTGCGCGTTTCCTCCAAATTGGCATCACGTCGGTTTGCTGGCGAGACTGTGTAGAACTAGCGGTCGGTGTTGCCCCAAATTCAATGTGATCATTCGTATCCGCCCTGTGCTGTCCTAGCTCTTCTCAGTGGTATCGTTGGTTGTCGCTTGTCCTCGTGGGTGTCGCTCGGTTTCGGCCTCTACTTCGCTCCCAGATTTCGTTGCAACGGCGCGGAAATGATGCTTACCCATCTGCGCAATTGATGTTAGTATAATCGGGCGGCAGCGATGTCGCTGGGAAAGCTCACTTTGATTGAATGTACCGTCGTGGTGTCGGGGGTTAGTGGTTGACTGAGGGTTGAAGGTGGTGCCCGGCAAAGTTGAGAAATTTCATCAAGGCAATTCAAAGATTTGTGGTTTGGTGCCCGGACTACTGATTGGTGGCTTCCGGACCCACCCTGTCGCCTGAGCGGCGAGGCAGAAATGTTGCAAGGGGGGATGGGTAGCTCTTTGCCAGCTGCGCCAGCTGCGGCCCAGCTGTCATAGCAGGCTTCCTGGGTACCTGCCTGCCCAGCCTAACTGTCTCCCTAATGGTCAGCTCTCTCACCTTTGGCCAGGGATCAATCAGTGCTCAAGTTGTATGTAGGAAACAAACAAACAAGTGAGCGACTTTCGATGCAACAAAGAACACCAACCTCAATTACGAGACTGTCCCTTCTTGAAATAGCATCGACTGCACAGTACCTCACTCAGACTTGTGGTTTTTTGGACCTGCACAGCAGTTGGCAGTCCAATCATGGACTTCATCTTCCAAGACTTCAGCACTGCGACGGCGGAAGGCAACGGCTACCAGCTGGCTCAGACCCTGTCACCAGAGTTGCCTGCAGAAACCCTGAAGATCATATGGAAGAGCACCAACCACAACGATGCGCGGGGTTATATACGGCGGAACCTTAAGAATGGACCATCGCCACTCAAAGTCTCGAATCAGGAGATCGATGCCTGGACTGACGTCTACTTGTCCTACTGGACAGCCGTGGGTGCCATCCTGGCGGTTCAAGGCGACATCGTGGCTCCCGGTAAGCCGTCCTGGACCAGTGTGTACCAGGCCTGGAAAGACATGACCCTGTTCCTCAAACGCGGCTATCAAGAATTCGGCTTCGAAGCCTGGACGATACCATGTCTCTATACCGCTGGGAAGTACCTGAGAGTGTTCGCCATCAAGGCAGACGATGAGCGAGGCTTAAACGCGGCGGACTCTGGAGCCGCGAATTTGGGTGATGATTTTGATCCAGAAATGGAAGCCCATCAAACCTTGGAGGAGTGTGCGCGCCATCTGAACGGGCTGTTCTCTCTCTGCCTCACCGACCGGTGCGTATATGTCGACGGAGGTGTAGTGTTCGATCGCCACTGACTTTGGACAGGGCACCCATTCAAGAATCCAGGAAATGGGCCATCTACTACATCATCAATCTGCTTTTCAAGACGTACTTCAAGCTCAACAAGGCCAGGCTTTCCAGGACGATTCTGAAGAATCTCCACGCATACCAAGGAAACATGCCCCAGCTGGATCAGTTTCCAAAGTCCCAGCAAGTCACCTTCAAGTACTACGAGGGCGTCCTCTTCTTCCTTGAGGAAAACTACGTGGAGGTGAGACCGTCAAACTTGCCAGCTAGAGCTGAAGCTGACTACTTAGCAGGCCGAGAAGCGTTTAGCAGAGGCGTTGGCTCTCTGCCACAAAGATGCACAGAGGAACAAGGAGTGAGTCAAATCAAAGAGCGTGCGACTGTACCACAAAATTACATATTCTGACCAGAGTTCAGGCTAATTCTAACCTATCTCATTCCCTGTCACCTACTCACCACCCAGACCCTTCCGACCCACGCCCTCTTGGACCCTTATCCCCGGCTGCAGAAGCTGTTCCTGCCCTTGGCCCAGTGCATAAAGAGGGGCGACCTGTACGCTTTTGACCAGGCACTGAAGGAGGGCGAGGACGAATTTGTCAAACGCCGGATCTATCTTCCCCTTGAACGGTCTCATGATACTTGTCTCCGGAATTTGTTGCGGAAGGTCTTCATTGCAGGCGGAACGGTTCCAGACGTAGATCCGCCCACCCGGCGGACACGAATCCCTATCGCCGAGTTCACGGCCGCCATTAGCTTGAGCAGCAAGCAGCAGGTTGACTCGGATGAAGTCGAGTGCTTGCTCGCTAACATGATCTACAAAGTGAGTCGACACCTTGGTGTGCTGCCTTGTGAGGCGAAGCAATCACGTGCACTGCGCTTAGCAAGCTCGTCATCGTTCGTTGCCTTTTGCGCATCGGCATTCTGCCACCCTGCGTTCCGCATCACCTGGAATAGCACTCAACTGACACCGTCATCCACTGTAGGGTTTCATGAAGGGTTACATAGCCCGCTCAGCACAGTTCGTGGTGCTGAGCAAAAAGAACGACGCGTTCCCGAACACAGGTGTCTGAAGAAACAACAAACACCCCGCAGCCACTTGCTCCTTTTGCCACTTTCACGGTCACCCCATCAGGTCTGATGATGGACAACTGAGGGCTGCCTGCTCCGACCCTTACGTGTCCATCAGCGTGACAGGCGGGGTTTCAAGCACTGATGGAGGTGCGCCGACTTGACTAACCTGTGTGACCATTATTGGTGTCGTATCGTTGCTCGTTCCTGCAAAATGGACCAGGAATTCCCTCAGCGGAGGCACGGTCGTGGGCTTTTGCCGCAGGACTTGATGCAGAGGCGTGGAGATAATCCTAGAAGCCGGAAGTCTCACATGGAGTAAGAAAGCCAATGCACCCACGAGCCAACAACGATACTCGATTGAGTTGCCCCAAGTGGTTGTTTTGCTTTAATTTTCCCCTGAATGCTGCTCCAGAACTCACCATCCTGGCGGACTACCCCTGACTGTCCGGCATGGACATTCACATCGGTGTGAACGCGCGTGAACGGGAACGAGCGGGGATGGGCAAGGGCTGCATGCAACCACTTTAACTCGGTCCTTATCGCGTGAGTCATTACGCGGCTCTTTTGTAACGGAAGACTACGGACGACTTGGACTTTTTCTTCCCAACAGGACTCCATTGTCACATCAGCGAATCACGGCAAATGTTATCCCGAGCCCGTCATGTCCTTCGTGTTAACCTGGCCGGGACTCTGTTGGTTTCAACTAACGAACCCTGCGGTTTTCACTTCAACGTTCGCGAGCTCCTGCGGGGATTTGTGAGCCAGCTACAGTGATGAGAAGCAGATTTAATTGTAAACCCTGGCAACCCCGATCATCCTTGACTTGCTGCGGGATACACACCAGAACAACTATTTTGTGAACGAGTGGCTAGAATTATACAGTAATACTTTTGGTGTCGCTTCCAATTTGCCCGTTTGATTTACTCCTCCTGCTCTCAGAGCATAACCTGTTTTCCTCCTAAAAGCCCTACCGTCAGCCAACAGTGGCCGTTGCGGTGTTGCCACAATAATACCCGACGGCAGGACATGAAGGTCCGAATCTTGAAATCTAGAACAAGTCATCAAAGGGCTTTCACACTCCATCGTGCCAGGCCCGTCATAAAGTTGTAATAATACATGTCGTCGTGAACGATATCGAGGGCATCAATAAGAAATATGAAGCCAAAAGTCTGATAGCGCCGAACTCCTTGCACTCTCGCCTGTCTAGGGTCCTCGAGATGTCCGTATCCTCTCGCTAAGCAGTAAGCAGCAGGAAAATCGAAAAACGGAAAAGCAACGGACGGGAAACAAATCCTAGGAAAGAAAAGCATTGCGCATTAATTCCAGCCAGTGACATGATGCTGAGGGGTATTCTTTTTTGATAGTTTTCCAGGAGTGAGATGGGTACGCAATCCAAGAAAGATGACAGAGGAGATGAGACTTGAAATAAAAAGAAAAGCAATGAGAAATAACACTCGAAATCCAGTCTAGATGAAGCGGTTGCTTCGAGGGGTGGTCTGCGTGCTGGAGACATCATCGACGTGGTTGCACAGCGCGACGAACAGGTCAAAGAAGAGCTGGCTGCCGCCGTTGTACATCTCGAGCTGCATCGTGCCGCTGCGCTTGAAGGTGGAGCGGCTGCGGATGATGAGGGCGAGGTAGTGGGCCCGCAGCTTGGAGTCGGAGTCGGGCGTGTTGGCGTAGGCGTAGCGCGCCGAAGCCAGGATGGTGCTGCACTGGATGCCGGTCTGCAGCCCCTGCTTCCGCAGGGCGACCCGCTTCAGCTCCTCGAGCCCGTACTTGTCCGCCACGCAGTAGATGACCGTGTCCTTGAGCAGGGGCCCGCTGGCGTCCTGGTGGTAGATGGTCGACTCGATGGAGCTGCGGCCGCCGCCGTCGGATGTCTGCTCGATCTCCCAGGAGTTGCGGCGCTTGCTGTGCACGAGACGGGGGTAGTAGTCGCCCTTGTACATGTACTCGAGGACCGAGGAGAAGATCTCGGGGGACTCGTCGGGAAGGGCGATGCGCTTGGTCGAGGCCTCAACATACTGGCCCTTCAAGACGTTGGCGAAGTATGGTGAGTTGCAGAGGACGTCTTCGTGAGCAGCGAAGATGCGCTGCTCGTGGCCGATGACGAGCGTGACGATGGGGCTGACACCGCTGTGAGCGAGATTCATGTCAGAATGAATGACATTGTAAGGGTTGTGTTGAGATGACACTGACCTTGACCCAACTGTTGGTGAGGAGTCAGCAGTTGATGCACTCGTGGCCGTGGTTGGTCGCCGACGGGGTTCATGGCGACGTTTCGAGACACCGGCCTCGCGGCTGAACGAAGAGCTAGATTTGCCATACTTTGAGCTCTTGGAAAAGCTCTGCTTGGTTGAGTTTCCCCGAGAGAACATGTTGGCCCTCCCTCCTCTCTGGTCTCATTGAATAGTGTTGTGATTTTTCGGGTATGAACGATGGAAATTGTCGATTAAAGCAGGATGAAGATGGCGCCGATTGAGAAAAGATGGGAAAAGATGGATTACAAGAGAACGGACTCAGATGGAACGATGGATGGATGGAGAGAAGCGACCTACCTCAGGCAGCAAGGCAAACGGAAGGGAAAGGAAGGGGGATTTCTCGCACCTGCAAGGCAGAGCGGGAGGCAGCCATGGCATTTATACTCTGGCTCGGGGCGACGCCCGCATCAGGCTCGATCAGCGCTGAGTGTCCCAGGTGCATCCGGGTTGGTGATCGCACAGGCCAGTCGCGATAAGGTTGCTAGCCAGTCGCGTCCAGAAAATGTCACTCTAGATCCCTGCGCGATACCGACGCCAACGCACGTGACTGAGTTTTGCGGGGCTGTGAACGCAGGGCGGGCTGCTGGTTGGGCGGGCGCTCGGTCAGGCAAAGACTCATCGGTCCAAGTGTGAGACCTGAGTTTTAATGAGCAACAGGGGTCCCTACAGGCCGGTCAGGGTGGGAGGCAAGGGGGCGAGAATCCTTACTGCAGCCATGGCTGGGGGCCGGGCGTTGCTTACGCAAGCAGCCAGACGCTGCGGCACTTCTGCAGCTTCTGCAGCGGTGGCGCGTTCTCCGGGGTCTGCAACGCGTTCTTAAATGCATCCACGATTCACCCCCGGCTTACAGTCAGACCCGCCAATATTTCGGAAGCAAATTGTCAGGAACATGATGTGAGAGGCTCGGGAAAATATTGATGAAACAGGAAGCGATGAGTGCAAGTCGACAGCGCCTGATGTGCATTTTTGGGCCGTAAATGATCCAACCATCTCTCCTGTATCGTGATGACTGGTTTTGCATCTGGGATTGACCTTCACTGGAACAGAACTCAACTTCAAGGTCAGCTTAAATCAATTGATTTGGCCTTCTAAACGTGATTGTCTATGGTCAAATGGTCCAACAAAAAAAAAAACCTGCCTCTCAGGCATCCTCCTCCGGCACACGTCGAACATGCATGCTCCCCCAAAATCGACCCACCGGTCTTGACCTGGGTGGGGAGACCTGCGCCCTTCAAGCCCTTGGATATCAGATCTGCAAGAATCAGGTCTTTGCCTATTGAATTAATTAGCAACTTAAGTTCGTTGAAAACGCTGTGTCACCTTGAAGACACCTGGAGCCCCAATGACAGAGACTGCAATGGGCAAAGGCTCTTGCCGCTGGGTGACCCATGAATTATAGTGGATGTCGCCGACTTGAGACTGAGTTAGCTAATATCGACGTCAAGCAATGGTGGGTGGAAATACCAGGGGCCGTCAACTCAGGTGCTCGCATCATAGGAGACATGTTCAGTGATGCAGATCCAGGCAGGATTGCCAGTGGCCTGTATCAAAGTTCGTAAGTACCCTGCCGCGCCTGAGTGTGACAGCACGATGTTGACTTACGGAAGCTCGGCTTCACGGTAGTCTGGCTTTCCCACCTCAATCGGAAAGACCATAATGGTCACGACGGTCTTTGACTCAGCATCAAAGACGCTTTCAAGGAGCCACTTGCGGTAGATTCCGGATCGACGCCAGTACTTGTTCCCTTCTTCGAGGGATATGGTCTTCGAAATTTCCCTGTCGCAAGAGTCAGTCCAAGTCTGTCATTTATGCCTGGCTCAAATGGGCTGACATACCACTGCCAACGCATCGCATGATGAACGAAAGGAGGCTTTCCGTATTCCTGCGCTACGCATCCCTAAAGCCGGTGAGATCGTAGTAGAAGTCCCGACAGTACGGGTAGCCTCCAGCCTGCCTATGTTCAGTAGAGCTCTACAACGGACAACATATTAACATACAAGATGTAAGTCCTCCACGATATCACTGTGCTCCAAACCGTCGGGTAGATCCTGTTTCCAGAGTCCAGCTAGCGAAATTTCTGTTCTCGGGACACCCAGACACGATTCAAGGCCCTTGACAAACTTCTCAATGAGACTTGTCTGTGCTGCATTGGGAGACGGGAGGTAGTTCAGAGGATAAAGGATTTTGACCGGTGACTGTGAGTGTGAGTAGGCAAGTATGGCAATGTACTATATCGAAATTGGGAACAAGTCTCAGAAGGGGTACGAAGAAAAGGCGAGTTGCTTTCCTTGGTAAATACACAAACACGAAATTTGAAGCAACGGAAGATGTGCTTGGGCGCACAAGATCTATGTGACAAAATCCTCGTCTATATACCTTGGTACATGAACGCATCGGTGGGGGTGTACGGTTCAACAGACAGCCCAAATTAGCAAAATCAGACCTCCAAGTCACTCCATTACATTCCTCGAATTTGCATTGGAAAGCGCTAAACAAGGTAATGGTTAACCACACGCAAAGAGTGACTGGGGTGGAGACTGCTGATCAGCATGGCTTCGTGGCATCTGGTTCAACAGACTGAAATTATTGATCAGGTAGCCAAATTTGTTTCTCTCGAAGTCAAAGTTCGCATGGAAATTATCTGGGTAGAGTTTTCTGGAAACCTCAGTCATTCCTACATTGATTTGAGTGTGACTAATTTTCCTTGATTTGTTGATATCCTAAGGGGGTCTCGCATTTAGCAAATTAGTACTACCACTGCTAGAGAAAGCTATATGTGGATTCTGTGCTTTCACAAGGGCACTGGTCACCCACAGCCTACGACACGCAATTAGGAATTCAATGAAAGAAGGTATGCAGTTAGAAAGTGAATGGTCTTCCTCCCTCGGGACTATAACAGTGTCAACGTTGGATCTTTCATCCTTGCTGTGACAGGGCCTTACAAGCATTAACTTCCCGATCAGATATGATGCAGTTCTAGGTACAAATGCATATGCGGCAAATCAATCAATCAATGGACTACTAGGTCATCCACAGCACCCTTTCGGATCTTGAAATTCCGGGCAACTCCCCCTCTGCAGGCATCAAGCCAGGTGTCGTCTACACTCAATGGGATGTAATTCGCGGAATCTGAAGCAAAGTTCGTCGCGGCGTGGATGGTACCTCCCCTGGTTGAGCCTCCAGGTCATGTGTTTGGCCGGCCGATTCATTGCCTGTTCTGTGAGAATGAGTGGGGAGCGAGCCAATGAATTGGACCCTTGGGTTTTCTGCAGGTGGCGTAACTAGCCACAACAGTCGGTGTGACAGATAGTGCTGCTGGGTTCCGAGAAGCATCTCTCACCAGTCCTTCTCGCCCATTTGCATGATGGGCCATTTGTTTCCTCCTGGCTTCTTCCTCTTGTTGCAACTTCTCTTCTCGCATTTCCGCTCACCTCAATTTTCCCGCTTCTCTTTGATCGTCCGCATCTGCCTGTTCTTTTGACAAGCAATTTCATATCTCAGACTTTCTCCTCAGAGATGGGTGGTCCTCTTCGGAACTAGCTGATGGACTGCAGTTAATGTTATGCTACACAACTGGGAGCAATGGAACATCGATGGCGGGAGGGAGCCATGGAAAGACCACAAGGACGAGTCGTTTCTAGAGCCTTGTCAAGATGGACGAAAATTGTTGCGCAAGATGAGAGCGGACGCGATGACAAAAAGCAAAGCCTGACGGACCAAAAATCAGATTTGTTAGCCTACGGGCATGGACTCTGACCCTGGTACGGCGACCCTGATGAAATTGACAATTAGGCTCGGCGACTACTAGAGTTGCACAATATGTGCCGGTATTGCACTGCTGACGACTGATCAACTAGTGCAGTGCCCTCGTGCAAGGGCTGCATCGACGTGCCTCTGAGCCTCTGAAAACGACTGAGTGAGCTTTTGCGTACTCTCTTGTCTTTTAACCAATGTCTATTTACCTACGTATGTCAAGTAGTTCTTGTACAGATTCGTACTTGATTTCTATACGCTCGCCCCGGACCTTGCTGTTGAACCACTCGAGAATCTCGATCTCATCCCCCACGTTTGTTGCCCCATCGAGCACTTCAATCTCCAGGATCGCGGCGCACGCCATGTTCAGTTCCATCATGGCCATATTGCGGGCGATGCAAGCTCTGCTGCCAAGTGAAAATGGCATGAAATCGCGGCTCATCTTCTCCAACTGTTCTGGTGGTGATTCAAGCCATCTCTCCGGCTTGAACTCGTGGGGATCTGTGAAAACTGCGGGATTGTGATGCATTGTGTGAGTCTGCACCGAGACAAGCGTTTCTGCCGGAAGATAGTACGACCTCTGTAACTTTTTCTGCTGTATATCACCTGCGCGTCCCTTGCTGGTGAAGGAGAAGTCCGCTGACGGTGTGAAGACCCACCCGCCTTCGGGAACCACTCTTGGGAGCCGCGTCGGATTTGCCATACTGAGGCGGAGAGTCTCTCTAATACAGCCACGGAGGTAAAAGAGCGAGGATGGATCGTACCCAGCGTCGTTCTGCCTCGCCTGTAGGACTTCTGTCTTGACCTTTGCGTATCTGTTTCTTGCGTCAACCCTTGCCCCCTCCGGCTTTGATCTGCATACTCACATCTCAGGGTGTTTCGCCAGCTGCCAGCAGAACGTGCTCAAATTCATCCCACTTGAATCTAAATCAACCAAGTCAGTGATGATTTGAAAGCGAAGCAGTCATCCTCAGCGTAGCACTCACCTGTCCCGGCGAACATGAGGTCCTTCAGTTGCGCGGCAACCTCCTCCCTGCTCAGCCCAGCCCTCAGCATCCGCGCCTGGTATGTCTCGTCCTCCACGTTTGCCTCATCCACCAGCCTCTCGACAAAGACCTGCACGCTATCGAAGCTGATTTTTGTGTCCTCGGTCTCAAAAAGATAAGCCGTCACTTGTTCCGGCGCCACGAAAGCCCAAGTCGGGAGGAAGAAGAAACGGCCCACCGCCACAAACGCATTCACAAACTCGCTCGCGCTCAGCTTACCCTCCGCCTTCTCCTCAGTCCTCTCAGCCTCTCCGATACCCCCGTAATTGACACCAAAAAGATAAGCCGTAACCGTATCGACGCCCGCCCGCCTCGCCGCGTCGAGCACGTCCACCCTCCCGCCCTGCTTCTTGGCCGCATCCCTCTCGCGCCGAAGCCTGTCCACAAGCCCCCTGGACACGGCTGCGAACCCTTTCCTCGCCCTTCCTCAGGCTCGCCGTCGCGAACAGAGGCTGTACGCTCCTCGCCCGCGGTGCGCGGTGGGCCCTGTCCAGGGCCGAGAACAGGGAGGGGAACCCGTCGAAGTCGAAGCTGCGGTAGCAGGCCGCCTTGTGAAAGCCGCCGTTGGAGCTGTAGATGGGCGCGATGGCGGCGCCGTCGGCGATGAGGACTTCATTCGGGCCGATGCGCAGGATGGGTGTGTTGAAGCGGCGGAACAGGGAGGTGAGATGGGTCGCTTCCTTGCCCTCGTATGAGCGCCATAATAGGGGGATACTTGTGAGTTTGAGGTGAATTGGACCTGGCAATCTGGACAAGGGATGGAAAAAGAGACGGTTAATGGCAAAGGAGACGAGGGATACCAGAACCAGAGCGACAGTGCTATAGAAGGGGCTTTCGTTGATAAGGAAGGGAGATGAGGGGATATACATGGATCGTAATGCCATGATTCCTGTACAGATCCTGATACCTGTTTGATAAATATTGTTTGAAGGTGAGAAACAGGAGGCTTGGAATTTAAGTCGTGAGCGAAGATCGGAAACGGACTACTTGAAATCCAAGGGCGGAGGGTAATAAGGAAGTAGGAACTCTCGTGTGGGAGTCATCGATGACTCCGAGAGCTATCAACAGCGTGGCGCGATTTGGGGGGCTGCATTTGCCGGTCCCGGTCAGAATATCTTGTATGACACCCATGGTTTGTCTTGCTGTTCCTGCATTACTCTAAAGCTTTCAATTTCGTCGTGCCAACTGAATTTGCTAAATTCTCAAGGTAATGTAGGAGCCATAGCTCGAACGCCTCGTCGTCAGTCGTAGCTCAACGAATGTCACAGCTTGCCGGATTTGGTGCGCGTCCAGCAGCTACGGAACGTCAGGCCGCACGATTAAGCCGAGTCTCGCGGTATGCCGAGGTTTCGGCAATATGTTTCTGTGTATCGTCATATTGTTCTGATATTGTTTGGATTTCAAACAACGCTCATCGCGGTACTAACACAGTAAAGGTCTACGTCCTCGATATCAAATCGTTGAGTGCGACCACACTTCGAAATCTGCTCGGGGGCCGACGCTCAAAGCTCCTGTGCGGGATGAGATGTAATTTCAGCGAAAGAGTGCTGCTTTTCCTTGTCTGAGAGTCATTCTCTGCGGACCGTTTATCCTCCTGTCTGCTACCGTCGTTTGGGACACTGTCTGGTGGGATATCTTCCTGTGGAATATCTTCCTGTGGGATACTTTCTTTGGCACCGCTGCGCCTGCACGTAAAAGAGCTTCCATGGTCTCCCAAGGAGAAACCGTGTGATATTGGATGATTGCGTCAAACGAAATCAGTTCGAGCCATGCTTGGGTGTTGAAGCAAAAGCAGCAGGCTTGACGCCGCGACGATGCCCAAATCTCAAGTTGGTGGTCAGTGAGCTTGCCGCATGAGATGCTACTGTAGGGTTGGGGATTTGGCTGAGGCTGCCGACCTCCATGAGACTTACTATCCTGGCCGTCTCCAGTGGAATCCAGTTGGTAAGTGTGGTTAAATATGTGCCTCTTTGATGTGTTGGTTCCAGGTTTCATTGAATTCTATTTCCATTAATCTATTCAACGTGACCCATAATCCGGGAGGATGTCATCAAGCAGGTGTACAAGTCTTTGATATCACATTCATGAAGGATGTCCTCAATCTTCAATGGCGGAAGGGCATTGCTGAGGTCGACAAAGGAAGTTATTCGCGAGATAATAGCCCGGCTATGATTCCTGAGAAACAGCTACTACTTCATCCTTCGAATGCGTTGTACTGATGAACTTCGCCGTCTGCCTCATAATGAAACTAGCCACATGGACCCGCCCATTCATTGCGTCGCTGTGAAAGGCGCGGGGCACGACGAGCCTCTCAACCGGTAAGCTTAATTCCATGCACCGATTCCGAAGCTCCTCCGGGTGACTCGGAGGTACGACTTCGTCCCTGCCAGCCTCGAGTATGAAGATGTGAGGCGGCCGGATACCCTTTTCCAACCGCTGCGCAGCAATGGTGCCGAGGTTCTTGTAGCTGTCCAGGAAGTTTCGCAAGAAAGGGTGGAGGTATTTATAAGGCAACCACCTCTCAGGATAGAGTGACGCCAGCATCGCCTTGATGGACAAGAATGGCGTCTCGAGGATCAAAGCTGTTGGTTCGAGGTGGGACGGAATCGCGCCTGACGCTGCGAGATTGGTCGCAAAGCCTGATCCAATGCTCTGCCCCCAGACGAACAAGATCGGCCTTGTGGTCTGCCCGCCGTGCTCGGCCTTGGGGTACGTATTTTCGTGCAGCTGCGATATCCATTTCACGGCGGCGATAGAGTCCAGATTGATGCCCGTCTCGTTCGCGGTCCCTGCAGAAGTCCAGTACCCACGATAACTCAAACCGACTTGGGTGAATCGGACTTTCCCGCACTCAGGATATTTATCCCTGAAGCTTGTCTTGATTTTCCTTAGGATCCAGGAATGGTCTGGCAAGCGAGGCGGTAAAGACGAGGCGTTTCCTGAGCCCCGGGTTAACGACGTTGCGAGAAGCATGAGCAAAAGACAAGGGGAAGCAACCTTGAAGATAGAGTATGTAGACATGGTAAGACAAGTCCTGTCCGGCCGACTCGTCGACTTCTGAAGAGACACTGGCTACAGCCAAGGCAAGATCGGTTCCGTCGATGGAACGCATGTGGATCTCCCTCCATTCGATGCCAAAGAGCTTACTTTGCCAATCTGCAATTTGTTCGAACCGTGCGGTCGGAGGAAGGTAGGGAGCATAAATTATTTTGTTCTGCAGTGATACCATGATAAAGCTCTTCCATACGTATAAGGCAAAGAGCAGGCCGGTAAAGATCACAGGAGGTAACAAGTAGCTCGGGATATGGATCTGCCTTTTGTGGCGGACACCGAGTTTGAGTAGTCCATAGCTAATCCTGCTCCTGGGCCACCTTGATGTTGATGAGAGATGAAGGCCTGGCCGGACTGTCCTCGCCAGCGAGAGGCGGTTCAGCATACTGCTATTGGTATTTCATTTGAAATCTGGCATCGTGAGGTCGCCACAGGAAGGAACGAGTACGTTTGTGGGCCGGGTGGGCGTTTGATAAAGGCTGCACAGCGGCCAGGGTTAGGAGAGCCCATAGTGGAGGGGGTGGAACCCAGGGAGAAGAAAATGGTGAGAAAGAAGCATATATCGAGCGATCAACCCCAAGTAATGTGGCTCTCCATGATTTTGAAGCTCTAATATTAGTTGGACTCCAGCTATATATCACCGCGAAAGACTACCTGCCGCCGAGGCGGAGAGGAACTTCGCCAGATGAGGGCTCGAGGGGCTTTGTTTGCATCTCTGGGAAACGGACAAAGATACTAGTTACAACGGACCCGCAGAGCAGCCCATCAACTTGGTACGCGTTAGAGGAGGAGCTCATGGTAGACGACAAGACTCTTGTGTCTTGGGTCCGAAGATTCTGCTCGTGGTACGAAGCATGTGCCTGGGATAATATCTGATGTGTGAGTCGCCCGCAAACATGAGCTTCTGTGGGTCTCAGCGCGTTGTGTGACAGTCAGTGAAAATACGGTGGGTTGTATGCAGACTTCAATGACAACACACAACACAGCCCTGTACAGAAGTGTTGTCACGCACCAGTTCGAGCTTGTCCTCTCGTCGCCCGCAAGTAGGCTTTCAGGGCCGGCACGGCCAAGCGGATCGATCGCCCAGGGGGTTTGGAACTCTTGGGGCGCTACCCCGCTATGATCGACAGTTGGACCCACTACGGTCGCTGTCAGAATAATAAACTTGAGAAGTGACATCGCTGACCAACCTTGAAGTCGATCGAAAGCAAGCACTCTCCAACTTTCCTGCTCCTCATCCAGAGACATCAGCAGCACGATATCCCTTCCACCGTCGCACAACCACCCCTCGGATCTGCGAGCACCAAGCACCAAGCGAAACACATCCTGACCTGGGCAACTGATATTGTTATTGTGCCCGGAACTGATCGTGCTGTTGAGCACAGCCTGCCGTCATGCCTGGCGAAACCAACCAAGACAGCCCCCAGCCTCCCCATGTCGAGCTGGTCGACGACAACCCCACAGAGCGGCACGACGGCGAACAAAGCCCCGGAATCACCAACGGAAAGGGCTGGGATGGGAAACTGCGCGTGCCGGGCCGAGCGAGCCTGGCCAACCCAGAGGCTCTGTCAGATCCAGAGTACTCGGATGACGACAATGTCGTCCCGGGTCAAGAAATAGAGGCAGACGAAGGTCGCCACTCCTCTTCCCCATTCCCAGTACAAGCACCACGGTGGCATTCTCCGAAGAGCATTTGCGCCAGACGGCTCGACTAACATGTGCGAGTGTGACAGATCTCTTTGACGACGAGGACCTCGATACCGATGAGCTGATATCCATAAATGCCCGCATCCAGTCCATCCCCAGTCTGCGACTCGATCGCTTCAAGAAGGTCGCGCGCCTGTGTCTGAGGCAGAACGGCATCACCGAGATCAACGGCCTGGAGTGTCTTGCCGAGACGCTGGTGGACCTCGACCTCTACGACAACTTGATCGGTCACATCCGCGGAATCGAGTCGCTGACCAAGCTGACGAACCTCGACCTGAGTTTCAACAAGATCAAGCACATCAAGCGTGTCAACCACCTGAAGGACCTGACCGACCTGTTCTTCGTGGCCAACAAGATCAGCACCATCGAGAACCTCGAGGGGCTGGATCAATTGCGCATGCTCGAGCTGGCCTCCAACCGCATCCGAGAGATACAAAACCTGGAATCGCTAAAGAACCTCGAGGAGCTATGGCTGGCCAAGAACAAGATCACCACACTCGGCGGGCTCAGCGAGCTGCCAAAATTGAGACTGCTCAGCATCCAGTCGAACCGGATCCGCGATCTCTCGCCGCTCAAGGATGTCCCGACGCTCGAGGAACTTTACATATCGCACAACGCGCTCGAGTCTCTGGAGGGCCTCGAGACCAACACGAAGCTGCGGGTTCTGGAGATCTCAAACAACCAGATCACCAGCCTCCAGGGTCTAGGGCCACTGAAGGAGTTGGAGGAGGTCTGGGCGAGTTACAACAAGCTCAGCGACTTTGCCGATGTGGAGAAGGAGCTGAAGGACAAGGAGAATTTGGAGACGGTCTACTTCGAGGGGAATCCGCTGCAGACTCGAGCCGAGGCTCTGTACAGAAACAAGGTTCGCCTGGCGCTGCCCCAAATTAAACAGATCGACGCGAGTAAGTTTGGATTTCCTGTAGGCTTCGGTTTTCACGCGCTGACCGCTCCAAACAGCTTTCGTGCGAACATGAGACCATCGGTATGCACTAGGTGAATGTGATATCACAAGAGAAGTTGTAGCCAAATGGCGGTGTTTGCTCATGAAATTCCCTGTGCGGAGCAGCATACGAAGCCCGCTTGGGGTAATGATTCTATTTTGAAACGAGACATGCATTGAAAGGCGAACAAGGTAGAGGAACAGGACCAATCGATTTTGCCATCCCAGCTGGCGAGAGATGCAGAAACGGCAATGGGTAGAACATCGTGGAAGACCTTTATTCTTCAATGGCCGGAGATAGAAGTGAAATTAATCCACGCCCCGTTGGCATCCCTCCCAGATCCTCTAACTGAGACGCAGTCTATATAGAAAGGTTCACATTTGCAGCACATAACAGCACGATCCCTTACCCTACCCAAAGATCCAAAGCTTCTCGGTCTGGAAGTACTACAAGACCAACAGCATCAGCATCGAGCTCCTCCCAAGGCACGCACGGAGAAGGGGGAAGGACGGATGAGCTTACGTTTGTGGGCTGGTTGAACCTCAGGTTCTTATCCAAGGCCGAGATGGCCGCGACCTCCTTGTCGTCCAGGTCGAAACCAACAGACTCGAGGTTCTCCTTCATGCGGCCCTCTGAGCTGGACTTGGGGATGACAGCGACGCCGCGCTGGGTGGCCCAGCGCAGCAGGACCTGGGCGGGCGTCTTCCCGTGCTTGGCCGCGATGCCGGCGACGGTCTGCTCGGACATGAGCGGGACGGCGTCCTTGGCCCTGGCCATGTCGAGCTCGACGAACCCGGCGGGGCCGAAGCTGCTGTACGCGGTGACGGCGACGCCCTCGGCCTTGGCGGCGCGCAGCAGCAGCTCCTGCGTCAGGTAGGGGTGGTGCTCGACCTGCAGCGTCGCGGGGCGGACGCGCGCGTGCCGCAGCAGGTCGTACAGCAGCTGGGCCTGGAAGTTGGACACGCCGATGCTCCGCGCCAGCCCGGCGTCCGAGAGGGCCTCCATCGCCTTCCACGTCTCCTGGATCGTCGCCTTGCTCGTGCGGATCTCGGTCTCGGCGTCGTCGACGAACCAGCCTGGCGGGTAGCGCACCGAGGGGTCGACGTACTCGAGGGCGACGGGGAAGTGGATCAGGTACAGATCAAAGTAGTCGATACCCCTTTTGTTCACTGTCAGCGGGATTCTACGTGTGGCATGTTCCAAAACCATATACATCCCCGGGGCTGCCGGAGCTGCCTGAGCTGCTCTGTAAGCCCCTGCTCATGAGGCTTATATATACATGGCTCGAAGCGCTCCAGGGTCACGCCGCAACATGCCAGATTGGCCAATTTGATTTCATGAGAGACGTACCAGTCCGCGAGCTGCTTCTTGCAGATGGGCTCGACCCGGTCGCCGTCGTGGAACGAGTTCCATAGCTTGGAGACGATGAAGAGCTCCTCACGCTTGACGAGGCCGTCTTTTATGGCGCGGGCGACACCCTCTCCGCACTCCTTCTCGTTGCCGTAGTCTGTAGGGCAGGCATTGCTGTCAGTGAATATTTTTCATGGCTCAGATGCCATGATCTCGAAAAGAAAGTGTGCTCCCTGGCTGTGGACGTATGTAGATGTATGAGGCTCTGGACATAAGCCGACGGGTGGAGACGCAGCAGTGTGGTGGGGCAAAGTGGTTTGTTCTTCTTTCTGGACCCCTGGCTGAGAATTGGCTGAGGGGGGCGGGGTAGTGTTCCCTGCTCCCCCGTGCAGCCATTTTTGCTGCGTACAAGCCACCACGCGTCGAGAGCTGTCCTTTTCTTCCTGCTTGTGATTCGTTGTGACTGGAAAGGACTCACCGCAGGCGCCGTCGAACAGACGGTATCCAACCTTGATGGCATTGTAAACCGTGTCGGCGGCGGTCGCATTGTCAACCTTCCAGAGACCGAAGCCCACGAGGGGCATCTCATGGCCAGAGTTTAGTTTAATAGTCGGTGACACCATCTTCAAGGGCCTGCGGAATGTGCGTCGGTTGGATGAGGTAGGAAAACGGTCTCAGGGAGCCGGGATCTATTGGGAATAAGTCAGACAGGAAAGAATAACAAAACAGAACTCATGCGCAAGTCGACATGGACGAGAGGGACTGTGATGCCCTACTTATAGGACAGCACCGTCCCCATGGACCGTTGCGTTGACATGTGGTCACCAGCCCACAGAGCCGCAATAGCCTGGCCACATCATCTTATTTACCCGATGGTCCCACGAGATTCTTGCAGGAATCTGTGGGCATTTTAACAAGGCGATCCCAGCAGTCACCACAGACCGCGGATACGTCTGGGGACGAACACAAACAAAACAGGCTGATCTAGATCTAGCACAACGGCGTTGTACTTGCACAAATACTAGCATTGCCCAGCGCCTTAACAGTGAAGTTGGGCAGTTGAGCAGAGCATGGTATATGCTTGGAAACAACATGTGGTATTGAATATGGCCTCACATATTCCGCTGGGGGCTCACCAAGCTCCAAATCTCCGGCGAGGACCCCCACGTCGAGACGGATGGGGGTTACCACCAGAGACGTCATGGTCGGGTGAGGAGCGACACAGGGCAGAGTCCCGGTCATTCGACAATGGAGATGATGTTTTTCCAACAAGAGCAGCCCACCTCGACGTCCTGGCCATCGAGAGTCGTTGGCGTGAGAGTCTCGCAAAGGGCCTTCTTCGGCGGCGGAAAGAGGGACCCACCAACTGCAGATGCACAAATGCCCCACTGCGGCCTGCATTTACACGGGCAGGTGGACCCCTGGGATTTAGCCTAATTCGACTTCACCCACAATCTTGCAGGTGCGGCTAAACCCAACACCCAACATCTTCCTAGGCCTTCTTTTCTCTCCCCCTCTCTCTCGCTATGTGTTTCCCTCTGCCGCCCCAGCGGAAAACGCACGAATGGCGGCGCAGCCTTGAGCCGGACATGGACGTCACCCACTGCTGCAGTCGGGCCGGCCTGGCGGCCTCGGCGCTCTGGGGGTGCCCGCCTTTGTGGCCTTAGGAGTCGGAAACTGCACATCACGGAGCTGGAGGACGCGCCCAGACGCTGCGGGCCAAGACGACAATATCGGACTCGAACCCAGTCTCGACTAGACGAAGCCCAATGAGAGGCGTCCAAAGCATCCAGTGCCCGGTCTGACGGCCGACGATGCCGACCGCGATACCATCTACATTCCTCAAATTTGCCGATATCGTGTGACCCGTACAAGGACTACTCGCTCCCTACCAAGGGACCTGTGCAAGTAGGCCTCTCGAGTTTGCCAGTCCCCGAGCAGGCACAGCCCGGCCCAAGTGGAGGTTCCATTCTCTCTCTACCGTTAGAACTGAGAATCAACAATCTTGTGGTGATCCGCACCGGCGTGGAGGTTCATCACAAAGAGGATTCGGTGGACAACAAGCTCGCATCCTTTCTGAGCAGTCAGCTAACCCCTTAGCGAGGAGAGAAGGAAAGAAAAGAGTCAGATCGACCGTGGCCGCCGGAACGAGCTTTTCTGCATTGAGAAACAATAGGGCTGTGTGACGGTGACATTGATGGCGGGCCGTGTTGAGCATGCTGACTTGGACCAAGCGTAGCATTTCATCGTATCTTTCTTATCTCATGGCTTCGGATAGATATACCAGCGATTACGCCTAGCGCTTGGAATGACAGTCTAATACAAAGCAGCCGCATCCCGCCTTCCCCTTCTCACTGACGTTTTAAGAATTAGGCTTCCCGGCCTCCATGTCTCGACAGTCAAAAGGCTCATTTTTCCATCATGCATCTCATCGGTCCCACCTAGAACAGCCAGGGCTCCGACGCGCCTCTACTGCTGCTCAGATTCACCATCGACGATTTGTTGCTTTGGCGGGGGTATCTCGGAAGTTCCTCTCCTCCGATTGATGCGCCAAAAGGCCAGCAAGCCTCCGCTGAAGTTGCACCACCCTGACGGCGAGCAAGCCGAGCGGCGTGACGACCTTCATAACGACTTTGCACGCTAAGAGGCCTGCGGGCTGGTCCGTCTTGCGGCTGGCTGGAACTCGGCAGATGGCGGCACAGAGGGATTTGTGGCAGGAAATGCGCGATTTCGGGGAGGTCGTTCTCCTAAGAGGGCCTATGTGCTTGTGGTGTCATCGACCACGGAACGGAGCCGGAGAATCACAGGCAGATCAACGAATGGCGATTCCCCATGGCCGATATCGATCCTCCTAGCCCATAAGATGGCGACGGTCCAGTTATCCCTTGAAGAGGACTCCATAATCGCCAGTCCCTGGTACTCGGCGGTGATGACATGCCTCATCAGCTATGCAGGCCGAATTTCAACCCCACTCCAAGGCCTACGGCAGAGGCCACCAGCAGCAACAAGAGTGTCAAAAGCCGGCGCCATCCTCCCAGCCTGGCTATCCGGGTCTCGTCGCGGACCCGGGGCAGTTTCTCGTCTTCTCCCGCCTCGATGTCCGGCAGGTCCCCACTGTTGGTGGCCCTCGAGCTGAAGGTGCTCTGTCTTGACGGCGCCCGAGGAGGCGGCGATTGCACAACGCCGACTAGGTCCCACGGCGTTATATAATCCTCTCCGTACCGGTAGTACGGGCCCACACTGGTTACCCTCGATCGTCTCTGGACATTGTTGAACATGGCGTTCTCGTCCTCCAAGATGCTCGGCATCCTGTTGACGCTGATTGTGGAATTGCGGTGGGCAGTTGACGGCCTGGCCGGTGAGAGTGCTGGAGGAGGAGACTGGACATTGTCGCTTAGGGGTTTGGTTGTCGATGGGAGGGCACCAGGGAAGGTCTGCCTCTTCTCCCTGCGTTTTTCGTCGGTGGTATCCATCTTGGTTTTGGGGTGCTCAGTGGTTGGTGTGTGTGTGTGTGTGTGTGTGTGAGAGAGAGAGAGGGTGTGAGGGAGGAAGGAAGACGAGTCTGCGTGGTTTGTGTGTCTTCGAACAAGAGGAAGGGTCAGAGACAGTTCAAGGAAACTCCGCAAGACACACTATCATGCCACGAGAGGTTTCAGGGCCAGGATTTCTATCCAAAACCTCATTTATGGGCCCGAGCGCTCGAAGGGCGAACGAATGTGGCGATGCGGCGCAGCATAAAAAAAAACGAGAGGACATCAAAGGAGGCTGAAGAAGAGTCGATACATCAGGCATGGGGGATCCGGGGGCGCCACCAGCTCTCAGCAGCTGCAGGGCAGCCACCGCCGTACTTATCGAGCTGAAAAGAGACGAGAGCACACGGACGTGAACTTGTCGGAGAAAACAAGGTTCATCTAGCCCAGGCCCTCGGGTCTTCGGAGGTTGGCCAGGCAAGGTGAGAGTGAGAGATCGACGACTAATGTACGAAAGCGTGGCGCGGCAAGAAAGCAGCTGCATGGACTAATAAGTCTGGAAGGGCAGGGGTTGGGAAAATAGTCGGGGCTGTCTGTCTGACTGCACGTTCGCAAGACTCGGCCGTTTTCTCGTCCAGGCCGCGCTGGGCTGCACAGCTCGTCAGACGTACCAATGCACATCATCAACAGGGGCGTTTATTGCGTGACCACAGACTCGGGACACGGGGCATCCGGCAATGGCGGATGCAGGCGCGGACATGGCATTACGTTGCGAATCGGGAGGAAGTGCCGGCCTCTTTCCAATGCTGTCAATATATGGAGCTGACGACGATAACCTCGAGGAGCGAGGTCGACCTTCCCGACCTGGGCATCATGGATGACTGCCACCGTGCCGTGCCGACAGGGGAATATATCCATAACACCTCATTGGGCCCCCCAGGTTCAGGCCGCGGAAGGTGGTAGCAGCCTCTTCTGCTCCGAGAATTTAGGGTTGGTGTTACCGTGGCAGGGCCCCATACTGCAGCGGGAGATAATAGTAGACTACTAGGAGGTAATGATAAACAACCGCCACCAGCAACGACAACACACAGACATCCATCGCCCCGGGAGGAGGTAGTCTAGCAGACTAGCTGGTATGTAGAGGAGGCGCCAGCTGAAGGGGTTTTGCCTGCTGCCAACCAGGAACAAGACGGCTAATAGACTCTCCCGCCCACGCTGCTCGCGCGTGGCAACCTGCCCACCACTGGCTCACACCCACGCCCCGACCCCCAATCCCTCCCGACACGTCCCCACCCCTCTCCTCGAAAATCTCACTACCCATCCGCGGGAACGAGCCGAGCCCCAAGACACCACCAAAAGCACTCTACGCCAAACGGCACCGTCCAGGTCCAATCCCCCCTCCACATCTCCCTCCTCCCCGGAGCCCGGGGTGTTCGCACTACAAAACAAGGCAGCGACCGTACTTGTAATAAGCGCAAAAGCGGAGCGACAAGGAGCTTCGCTCGCTGCCTGCTGACCTAGCTCGAGCTCACTCGCCAGCTGGCCCTAGCCCCGTTCCAGCTGCTGCTCTCGTTTGCTCGTCCCACAGGGTGCATGCTTAGCTAGCAAGCACGGCGTGAGAGAGTGTGAGAGAGAGACAGAGACCGGGGGGGGAAGGTGTTGGTGGAGATGTGATGTGATTACTGCCAAGTAGCGAAGGAAGCTTGGGGCAAGGTCAGAGGTGAGCGTGAGGCGGGTCCGCGCTCACGCAGCTGAAAAAGGGAAAAAAAAAAAAAAAAACGGAACATAACTAGGTATGTAGGTTTGAGAAGAGAGACCAACAGGCCACTGGCTGCATTGGGTCTCTCGAGTGGCTCAATACTCTTTCTTTCCGCTTCCCCTCCTCCTCCCCAGAATCCGGATGTCAAAACCGGTCGGGGCTGGGCTGGCGCGCTGTCTCGCTGTCTCGCTGTCTCGCTGGCTGGGTGGATGGATGGATGTCCTGTCGTACACAAATGTCTCTGCCGTGTCTCAGCTCCCGCATTCTCGAAGTCTGCCCGGTTGGGTAAGCCGCAGTGCCCTCGCTCATTTCGGGTGGGGCCAGGGTGGGACGGACCAACGATCCATACTCGGTAGACTGTCCAGTCAGTCCGGTCTGCCTGGGCTCATAATTAGAAGCAGTCGTGCTACGTGACCCGGGTAATTGTTTAGTCATGGACAAACAAAAAAGGTGCCAATGCGCAGTCTGACTGTGCATGTATGCATGTCTGGAATGAATGTATCGACCAATGTACGTATGTATGTATGTATGCGTGCATGCATGCATGCATTTGAGTAGGTTTGACTTGAGCAAAGGCGTGCGTCTGCGGCAGGAGCTGCGGGGATGATCCATCTCTCTGCGTCCCTCCTGCCCGTCCCTCCACTCCCTCCCCGTCCCTCCCTCCAGAATGGCGTGCGCGCACGCTCGAACGGCTCATGCCGTGCACCTCCATCCTGCCGTGTCACGGAGCTATCAGGCTCGAGTTCTCGTTGTCCGGTTCGGTCGGTCCGTTTGCGAGCCTCATGATCGCCCTCATGCCGTGTAGCCTGCATGTTGGAGGATTTGCTGCCTGTGGCTTGCTTCATTTGCTTTTTTCCCCCATCCCCATCCAAGGGTCCCCCTCCACAATCCCGCAAAAGCCTCATGTCACCGTGCGGTCGCAATCTGAGCAAGGCTGATGATGATCTGGTTCTTCTTCTTTTATTGTTCACCGGCGCCATTAAGCACTATCGAATCCTGCTTGTCCGCAGATATCGTGGCCAGGGGCCAAAGTAACCTCAATGATCTCATGCTCCAGGCACGATGTACACCAAGGTGAAAACGCAAATCATGCAAAACACCTCGGGATTATAGCGTGGCCTCTACAGTACCGCGTCCCTTTTCAAAGCTCCCTAAGCCAAGTTCCCTGCATATGCCAACCTCTGATTCATGAATCGTTGCAAGCAAAGTGAAGCAAAACGGGCCGTCTTGTCGCTGACAAGAGGGATGCCTGAACTTTTGATGCCACACACAATGTCTCATTAATCCCTCTCCCCTTCGTCTCGTCCAAAAATGCGTCCTTCGTAATTCGTAAGCCACGATGCTTCGTGATGATGCGCTGTGCGTCCGTTGAAATCCAGCAGTCGTAACCGTGGACTGGCTCACGGCCAGCTTTTGGGCTCGTAGTCAAAATGTATGCTCAAGCCAGTCAGCGCCCACGTTATTCAAATCCCAGAACCCCGGCCGCCGACCTTTCGCAGTCAGTCATACTCCACGCCTAGTTCCTTGCTGGCCCGCCTCCCCAGCCATCAGACCCGACTACCAACATCTGTCTGCCCTCATCATGTCTGCCCAGCCTAGGGCCCGTGCAGCTTCTCCCGCAAGTAGACAACAGCCGCGTACCCCGCGCAACACTGGGTGCTCATGTTGTGGCTACACCACGGGCATTTGACGCACGTGGTCACCTGCCCGGACACGCCAAGTCTCTTATCCCTGACCGTGTCCTCGGGCCGCGCCATGGCTTCGTACACCCGCGACGGCATGTCCTGGTAGAATTTGCAGCTGCAGCACTCGACGAACATCTTGGCGATGGGCTTCAGGCCCGTCGTGTCGAGATTGCTATGCCTCAAGGAAGGAACAGCAGGCCCCCCGGATGGTTTCGGACGGTTCGCCGCGAGAGCGAACGATCGAGGGACGGGCGGGCCCATGATGCTGTTGGCAAGCGAAGTACTGCTGCTGCCGCTGGTCATCGCTGTCGGTGACCGTGGAGACGACGGTGCTGCCTTCCTGGCTTCTTGGAGGTGCCTTGATGCGGCGCCTGGCGCTTGGAAAGAGTCGGGGCTCTCGGCTCGAGCTTCCTGGTTCGGGAAGGGCCGCTCATCGACTTCGTTGTGCGTTACCAACGTCTGAGCGGGACGGCCGTTGCTGCCTCGCGGAGGAAGAGGCTGGTGGCGGAGCGCTGGAAGGAAGCTGGTGTCCTTTGTGGGCGAAGGAGCATCCAAAACGGCCTTCTTCGCATACGCCGGGCTCTTGACGACCTCGACTTTGACACCTCTAAAGGTCACTTTGGTTCCCTGCGTGGGATCACTGTCCAGAGACAGAGGCTCGATGTCCGACAACGGAGAGCCCAGATCTTGGAAGGACGTCTTGACATCTAAGCTCGTTAGAGCACTGGTGAAAGAAAGTTGATCCATATCAAGAGGCTTCCTGCCTAGTGGCCATAACTCGTCTTCCTTTGGCTGCGGCCTTGAAATTCCCTGGGCGAATCGAGAGCTCGGTCCATTGGCAAGATTCCACGACTCACTGAAATCACCGGTTGAAAGCTCAATATCGATGCGCGGAGAGTTTGCCCGGGAAGAAAGATTGCTGGACGAGCTCATGACCGCTGCGGATGGGTTCTGCAAGCCCAAACCGCTAGCTCCATGCGTGGAGACCAGCGGTGTCTTTCTCAGTTCGTCGACGCGGAGAGGCTGGCCATCCTTCAACGATTGCGGCCTAGAGGTGTCCGGGGTTGTCATTGGCGAGGGCGGTATCGATTCCGTATCGGGGTGTGAGGATGACGACGAAGCCCCGGAGTCTTTTGAATCCGGAGCCTGCTGGCGCGTAGGGTGCTCGTTGGAACCCCTTGTTCCTGCGGAAGCCGAAGTCGTTCCACCTTTCGCCGAGGAACCCGCCGTCGCGCTGTTTGGTAGGGGGTGAGTATTGCTGGGGAGCGTAGGAGTAAGGTCTGCATCGATGAGTGTATCGTCCGTCCCTGTGCGACGGTGCGAAGAGGATTTGATCTCAGGTCCAGTCGAGGACCTGAAGCCAGCTTTGATGGCGTCTTTGAACGTCTTCTTAGCAGCCTGAGTCACCGGCTTCGCAGTGGTTGCAGGAGTGAGCTGGGGGCTCCTCTTGGCCTTGATCGAAGCCGACAAGCTCGCTGGAGGTGAGAGCGGGCTTTCGATGGGCGGTGAGAACGGCCGCTCCAGGAAAGTAAAATTGTCCTGCTTGAGCCCGTTGGTATCTTCAAGTGGGAATGAGCCATCTCGCGCCGAATCTGGCGGGATCGCCATCATTGAGGTCGTCCTGCCCTTGCGCCCATTCTTCCAAGCCAAAGGTGGAAGACTAAGTGCGCCCCGTCTCTCACTCATCGGAGTCGACGAGCCCGAACGACTATAGACATCATAGCTCTGGGCCCTGGCCTGTGAGTTGGCAGAGTCGCTTCTCTTGCGGCCCCGGGTGAAAAGTGAGGAGACCGTCTGGACGGAGTCCTGCGATCCACGTCTGTCCAAATAAGGCTTGAGATCCTCGGAGTTCTTCGAAGAATGGAAAAGTTTTGAGACAACGCTACCAAGAGAACCGCTTCGTTTCCTGGCGTGTCCTTTTCCAGGGGGCGGTTGGTTGAGCAACGGGGTCTTCGAGGCTGTTGGGGGATATGAGGTTGGCGAAATGGCCCCTGGCTTCTTTGATCTCTCGCTCGATGCGGGTCGTGATGTCTGGTTCTGTCCCACCATTTCTGACACTGGTCGCTCGGCTGATGGAGCTCTGGAGTTGGTAAGTCTCTGCATGGCCGCTTCGCGTTCCCGCTCCAAGCGCACACCACCAATGAAAGCAGGACTCCTGACGGCAGTTTGGGTCGTCTCTACGGAGCCAGGGTTAACAGGAAGTGCCGGTACTTGGGGCCTGCTTGTTTCTGGTTGTGGGTCAGGAGGAGGTTGGTCCGCTGAACGGGTGTCTTCCAGACTCATGCGGTCCAACAAGGGCGCAGACATAGTCCGAGGATTCAGTGTTGGTCGGGTGTCCATAGCCGCAGGTGGTGGCTCCTTGGTCAGCCGCTTCTTCACCAGTTTTGTCTGGCTGGCTGCGGCTGCTTCCTTGTCCTTCCTCTTCTTCTTCCCGTAGTCGTCCCAGGTTGGCGAATGACAAATTGATGAAGTGTCCGACTGCCCGTCGTCCGAGGGAAGAAATGTCACAGACTTGACCTGTGGAGAGCCCTGGCCCCCGGTGGCCCTGACCACCGACGGCAGACTGTCGCGATCTGCCGAGGCCTTCCTCATTTCCCTGAGAGGCCCCGGCCTCGTTCCTGCCTGCTTCGCGAATCTGTCCTGTGTCGTGGGCAATGGATGTACTGTGAGGGGCGGCAGATTATAATTTGGCGCGGTGGACTTTCTTCGGTCGTCCTGAGGCGGCTGAGAAGAATCTCGGCGGCGGGTGAGCAGATTCGATTTTGGGCGGGCCGAAGGTGAGTCGCTGCGGCGGCCTGGGCCAGCCGCGTAAGGATTCTGTTGCATTCTCGCCATCTAAGCGGAGAGAGCCAGTCAGTCAATTGGGGATTGAAGCAGAGGAGTTCCTTTCCGCGAATGGGTGATTGTTGGTGTGAAATGGGGGTGTATTAAAACTCACCTTTTGCTTCCTCTCAATTTCCAGCATGCGCTGGAGACTTGCTGCCCTTGAAGGGACCTTGGGGCCCTTGCGTTGCTCTGTGTTCGCCATGGCTGAGACCGCGTGGCGAAATTTGAGAATATGTCTCGGGAGTGAGAGTGACTGAGGTAAGGGGGTGAGGACGACCAAATAGCCTCCAGCCCACTCCAAGTCACTTCAAGTGACAGAAGCGCGGGCGTCAGGTCAGCCCGACCAGACAGGTCGAGTAGGACAATGAAGCTGAGCAAAGTTGCCTGTCACTCGTACGGCGCAGGCTTGGTCGGAGCTAAAAAGAGACGAAGGATGAGGTCGTCACAGAGGCTGCAATCTGGGGTATATTTGGTGTTTTAGCCCTCGCACGGCTGAGGGACGGAGATGCGGGTGTGGCAGCTTCTGCTTGCTTGCAGGTGGCGCGCCAAGCTGGCACAGGGACGATGGGACGGCCAGGATGGCAGGGCGGAGGTCAGAGGGGGTTGTGCGCGTGGCCGAAGTCGTCGGCAGTGGGGATAAGGTCGGTTGCGAAACGAGTGTCTTGGGCTATTAGCGCCTGTCCGGCACAGGAAAATAATATAAATGTTGGCAGTGGTGGGAAGGGTGAGGTGATGGTGTGGATGGGTGCCTGGGGGGGGTGTGCAAGTGAGAGTGGCGTGCCGTGGCGTATTAGAGTGTGTACGCTGGGCTGGTCGAATCTGGGCCGAAGTAACCTGACCGGTCGATCGTGAGGAGAAGGTACAAGGCAGCTGAAAGGAGGGGACGGGATGCTGTGGGTGGTCCGGCGAAGTCGGACAGAGGGTGAGCGAACGGGTTGAAGGATGTTTCTGTGTTTGTGAGGGCGCACCGTATGTGGTCGGTGGCTGTCCAAGGGCGAGGTGCAGAGGGATGGAGTTGTTGGTGAAGGAAAGGGAAGCGAATGAAGTGAATGCACAAGCAGCGAGTGACCTAGGTACCCCTGTTGATGGTGATACCGCGGAAGAGCCCAGCTAGCAATCAACGGCATCAACGGCAGCTGAGCCACAAGGTCAGATGGGCATGGGACGATGGGTTAGGCAGGGACAGCGGGCGAGGGAGCGACTGAAAGATGGGGACAGGGAAAGAAGAAGAGAGGCGAGGGGTGGGAAAAAAAAAAAAAAAAAAAAAAAAAATATCACAGTCTAGCTATGAATGGACGGCTTACCTGGGGTACGAAAATGGATACGGGTATACGGTAGATCGACAACCCCTCGTGGCCAGGGCTGATGGGGACCGAATGGTGTCGGCCGCTAGGACGTTTGTTTGTCGGTGGTAACGATCGGGTATGTCGTCAAGGCCGGGCGTCAAAGGTCGCGTAGATGGCGACTTGGTGAAAATTGTGTAGCAATAGGAAGGAGGTAGCCCAGCGTGGTGTTTCGCGGGCGCCTTTGTCGCAGTTTCGCCTTGGTTCCGAATGCTACCTCGTCATGGCACGCAGTAGCACGCAGCAGCGCGACCGAACCTCAAACCTGGCGCCAGCGCGCCTTCTTTTGACGACAGCACCAGCCAGCCTGCCCGATTCTGGATCCAAGCCCGAGCTAACTGAGGCCCCCCTGTGTGATATTTGCTGTGTGGTGGCAGCTAGCACAGATCAACATGCAGGTCGACGGGGAGAGCATGGGCATGGTGCGTGGACTTTGACATGGACATGGACAGGGTCAGGGATGGAGACGGGCGCATGGACATGGACATGGTTGGCAGAGCAGTGGAGCTGGAGAGAATGCGGGTGAGCAGGTGAGGCATGTGGACTCCCAATTGCCTCTGGCTGGCGTGCTAGGCCGGGGTCCGGGTGAGGAGAGGAAAACTTATAATTATCATCCACACGTCCTGCAGCCTGAGTGAGATACGAAGTCCAGGTCCAAGACGAGGATCCAAGATGGAGAGGATCGCTCCCCGCGCGCACTTGGCCCAGCACACACTACACAGCAAGCACCACCGCATTGGGACCCGACAGGACAGAACATGACCCGACACGTCGCGATACGATACGACACAAGACGAAAACGAACAACCCCCGGTACAGATCTACCCACTGACTTACAACAAAAGGACCTCGCCCTGCTGCATGTGCGACTTGCGGGCCCACATATGGGGAGGACATGTTGACGCCGAGCGGTGTCCGCCCCCTGTGGGCTGGTGGGCTGTGAGCTGGTGGGCTAGCAGCCTGGTAGCCTGGCATACCTACCTCTGGGTCCGGCGGGATCGGCACTGCTGCCATGGTCGAGGAACGAAGCACAGCAGCATCATCGTACCCTCAGCTGGCCAGCTGGGCGGCCCTCACCGCCGCCGTTGTTCACATGTTCGATGATCGCATGCCATTCGCTGCCTGTATTGCAGCGCAGCGCAGTGCAATGCATATGTGTGTATGTCGTGTTGTTTGTCTGAGATACAATGCAGCAGTGCATGTGCGGGCTGAATTGCGGGGGGGCGCCTCAATTTGTTGGGTGACGATGGAGATGAGCATCAGGATCAGGGTCAGGGTCAGGGTCAGGGTCAGGGTCAGGGTCAGGACCAGGACCAGGACCAAACAAACCATGTTGAAGGGCGTACAGTGATGGATGTCTACAATACCCAGATGATGGTCCAATACGGCAAGTGCAGCATGTACCGTAGAATGTAGACACAGTAGATGCACCCATCAGCCGAACTTGGCAGTACCGTCACGGCGGAAGAACTGTGGAGGGCCGATGCTCGGGTGTCCTGTCCAGTCCTTGTTCTGGAGCAGGGGTGGCCCCTGGCCGTGGTCCCCGTCAATGGTCCTCCAGTCTTCGTGCCTTGTGTCACCGTGGCTCGTCGCTGTCGTCGCTTCTCGTGCCATGGTAAGCAATCTCACCATCTCACCTCACCATCTCACCAGCGTCCGCGCCTTGGCCTCCTCCCCTCTTCTCCGGGCTTCACGGTTACACAGGTGGGGACGGTGTCGCTCTCGCACTCTCCAGCCCGCCGGGCACCGGCGGCTACTGTTGCTCCGCCCGATGCAAATCATCACTAGTCTACCAAATTTGTGTCTTGGGACAAGAGAACAATCCGTTACACACGGCCAGCCAGCGAGCCTTGCCAACCAGGCACAAGAGAAACCCCGACGTCGATATTCAATCAATCGGCAATCTACCCGAGAGTGTTTCCAGAAACTCCCAGGGAAGCCCATCCCAATTCGCACTGCCCGCCCGCCAGCCCAAGCCCACCCGGCCGAAGTCTTCTCAGTCAAATGGAGGGGCCGGCCTGCAGTTCCAGGTTGATGGGCCTTTCTCGCACCCGCCGATACGAGCCCCCCGAAATGGCACTCATTATGGCATGATTTTCAAGACACCCTCCCACGCTCGACCCCAAATGAACAAGAATCTCCAGCGCTAGAGGAGGGGAAAGGGAGGGGGCCACATGAAGACGAAAGCAAAATGAAGCAAATGCTCTCTTCGTCATTACAACGGTTCCCGGTCCCAAAACGGACCGGCATTTTCTTTTTTAGCTCTTTCAAATTTGGCTCCCCTTCCCGACTGACTCGCCAAAAGGTCCTGAGGCTCATCAGAACAGACGCCGATCACTTCCAAGATGTTTCGAGCCGGAGGGAGAGCCCGCGCCGCACTGCGAGCTGTGCGTGCCGCGCTGCCCATCCCCTCCCCCCGCTTGTGCGCATCCCGTCCATCGCCACGAGTCTGTGTGCCGCGCCCAGTCCTCGTATCGTGAGACGGTAGCCTCTCTGCGGTCAGAGCAAGGGGGGGCGGGGCTTGTCTCAGCGCGGGTGCATTTCTGGCACGGTTGGCAAATTCTAATGGCTTTTTGGGGGGTTCTCCTGGCGCTGTGACCCCCCTCTCTCTCGGACTTCTGGTTGTAGGATCCCGCCGCCGCCGACTGAGGGATCCGCGCTTCCCAGGGGCCTGGACGAAGAAGAAACGTTGGCCGGCCCGCGATAGTGGATGCTTTTGTTCGGCCGAGTCTATAGTCTAGGCGGGGCCGCCGCTCCACCACCGATGGCCCGTTGACGAGTGCAAGTGGAGACAGCCAGTCATGTCAATCTACGTTCGATCGCAATCGCCCCAGATTATTGGATTTCCACCCACGTGGAAGAGGGTATCTTTGCTCACAAACGAAAAAAGGAAAAAATAGAAAAGAGAGGGAGGAAGTGAAGAGGGAAGGAGGTACCAGATGGTGAACCAGTCCTGACCAGAAACGCCCAGCGAAACCCAAAGCTCTCTGCATCGTCGCTCACCGCGCGGTAGGCCGCGGCCATTGCTCGTGCTCACCACCAGTCCGCTCTATCTCCCGGCCGTCCCGGTGCTCCAGGCGCTTGTCTACGTCCTCCTTCCTGGGGCACATGTGCATCCACACCTCGTCGCCCGGCCCCCATGTCTTGAGCCCAAACAAAGGCCTCCCTCTGGCATCCCGGGGTACGTTCCCGGCCTCGGTGTCCCTCCTCCTCCGCCACGTCCTGGCCCACCAGTGCGCAGCCGCACCTGGAACTCATTATCGATCTTGAGCCGGGCTGGCCGTCCACCTCTCGTCCGGCCGGTGTGCTCCACCGAGATTTCGAAATCCGGCTGCGACTTCCTGAGGAGGCCTTCGTCCACCCAATTACTGGTGTCGTAGGACAAGGTCTGGGCCTGGGGGAGGACGATCTTGAGGAACTCCAGGGTTGGAGCTACGGTGAGGTATATTCCCCGCTGCGGGTGGATGAGAGTCTTGATAAACAAGTCCATCCATTTTGGGAACAGGACCGCAAAGTCCGATTGCGACATGTGCGTCGAGCCACGCACAGTCATCATCCAGGAGAGAGCGCTGTTCTGCTCGGCCTCCTTGCAGATGTTTTCGACCTTGTCCTAGTTCTCGCTCCAGTGCATAAAGGCCTCGGATCCTATCGAGAGCAGCGGCTTGGTGATCCTCTGCCCCGCGCGGTCGGGCTGCACCTCCGGGTTTGCTGTACCCCATGCATCGAGCAGTATCCCATGGCCGATCCAGGGGAAATCGTCATTAAGCCTGAGAATTTGCGCCGTGGTCGCGCCGCCGAAACTGTGGCCCATGGCTGTGACATTCTCTAGGGACAGCCGCCCTTTCCAGTCCAACCAGTCGATGCCATCTAGTCCCCGAGAGCTCGACCCCTGGTTAGGCTTCTTTCTAAGGTTGCACTTCCTGACCCAGTCCTCGGGGTCGCCGTCGTTAATGATCTGCAAGACCTTGTAGGCTTCTTCGATTTCTGCCAGGCGCATCTGGATCTGGGCGTCTCGTAACTCGTGGTCCACGCCTACCGGGTTGTGCGGCGCCGTGTCCTGCGCGTTGTCTTTCGGGAAGATATAGTCCACCATATAGCTCCTGCTTCCCTCCGGCTTGCCGTCATCTTTGCCGTCGGTGGCATGCTTGAGCTCCGACCCTGAGGCACTCCCTCTCTCGTCCTGGCTCAGTTCCGGTGAGTTCCTCCCTTCCGGTACGTTAACGTGCGACCTCGCACCAGATCCGTCCCGATGCTCCATCGCCACAACTACGAACCCGTACGAGGCAAGGTCCCCGCACACAGTCGAGTACATGGTCCGCGACCCTCCCAGCCCATGACTGAACACGACCACTGGGAATTTCGGCCTCAGATCGTCAAGCGGCGTCTCGCGCGTAGCCGGACCCGTGCCAGGCGGCCGGGCGTCAGGCAGCTTAGAGTTCCGACGGGCAGGCGGCTTCGTGAGCATGCAGGTGCAGGCCATGTACGCTGTTACCGGGAAGTTCGGGATGCTGAAGAACTTTGCATAGCCCTTGCACGTCGGCACGCGCGGCCCGGGCAGCCAGGGCACCCTCCTGAGCCCTTCAGCCTGGCCGGGGTCAGTCGGGTAGTAGACCGAGAAGAGAACGGTGTCGAGCTGCAGGGCCGGGCGGTTCTCCCGCTTGATGCGCGAGAATGACCGCGGCTCGTCGACGGGGAGCTCGGCCTCGAGGCAGCCGACACTGTATGGGCCGGTGTAGCACGGGAGGGCGTGGAAGATCCGCTCTCGCCATGTTTTTGGGGGTTGGGGAGGGACTTGGCGATCGAAAGCCGAAAATGTCAAAAAATCCATCTGATCTAATACCGCGCTTTGGTAGGCACCAAACCGCATACGCCCTCTGATGCGACCGGCGCGTACCGCGGCAGTCGGCGGCGGTGTCCAGCCTCGAGATGGGGGAAAACGTGGGTGGCACAGACGCCATAGCCTCGCCCCGGCTCCATTTGTGTAACATCCGACAGGCGCAAGTCTGACTGCCCTGGCGGTACACGCCTGTCCCGCAGGTCCCTATACGGCTCCTATACGGCTGCAGGGATTGTTCATGGGTGTACGTATTTTCGGAAGCGAGTCCGAACAGTTGGAAACGACCTCTTGTTGCGCCGGGGGCTTCTTATGCGGGTCCTGTCCTCCACGGATAGCAGCAGGGCTTGGCTTGTTGCACTGCGTCGTGCCAAAGATGCTTGCTCCTGTAAGTGTTGCCGGCGTGTGTTACATTTCTCATACGGCAGCCAGCCTTGTACACTTTGGTAAGCCACGTAGTTGGTGTTCAGCTGTAAATTGGGCTGATTCCTATCCTCGTGCCTGGCGCAAGATGCCCTGGTCACTAAGGAGCCGTCCAGGTTCTTCGGCCCAGTGACTGTCCCGCGCCACCTAAGCAAGGGAAAACATTCAAGGCTCGAGACATACTTTTCGTGCTAGTAAGTATCGAATAGAGCCTTTGCGGCAGCTACAGAGAAGAACGTTGACGAGCTGGGAGCTTCGGGTTGTTGTGTTGCAAGGCTGCATATTGCAACGGGTTCTTTTGGCGTTGATGAAGCTATTTAAGAATTCTCCACAATTGAGTATAGTCTATAGATCTATCACCATGTTTCCACGGCAGAAACCTTATTAACATATTCATCCCTGAACGCCGTCCGCCGTCTGCTCGCCTATTTCCACCTCCATATGCGTTACCATCCCATTACACGCCATGTCAAAGCAAAACCCAAGACACGATAGACGTCCTGACGTCTAAGCTTTCTCGATTCCCGACTCAACATCCCTAGGTTCTTTGGGCCCCTGAGCTTGTTGCACTAGACCCTGCTTCGTGACATGCTCCTGCTGCAAGCTGTATCCCTTGACACTGGCGCTCAACACCAAACAGAATCCCGCGAATGCAATCATACTGACATAGATAGCCTTCAAGGAAGAATTATAAGCGTCCACCAGCTCGCTTCTCTGGGGTGATGGCTCCATTGCCTTGATGATCTCGACGACGATCGTGGCCTCCTTGGAGAACTTGTCGGCCACGAACGCAAAGTGCGGTAGCGCCAGCAGCTTCCGCCGGAAGACGTTCTGGAAGATGACTCCGGAGACGGCGACACCCACCGCCTGCCCGAAGGTCCGCATGAAGCTGAAGAAGGCGGCTGCCTCGCCATTGTGCGCGGGCTCCGAGGCGGCTTGAATGCTCAAGGCCATGGCTGGGAAGAGCATGCCTGTGCCGATTCCAATCGGGACGTTTAGGAAGATCCAGGCGACCGTCGAGGTCCCCGGCTCCAGGAGCAAAAGGAGCCCGGCCCCGAGAGTGGCGAGGGCCCAGCCAACCCAGATAGACCAGCGGTAGTGGCCTGTCTTGGCGGCGATGATGCCAACGACGAGGCCCGAGGGCGCCACGGTCAGAGTCTCGGGGAGGCATGCGACTGCAGAGATGACTGGGCTGTAGAACTTGACGCCCTGGTAATAGAGGACTGTTCGAGGCGTGTCAGCAGGTGTGCTTGTGTGAGAGGACACCGGGGTTTCTTACTCAGGAAATAGAGTATGCTCCACAGGATCATGCCATGAAACACAGTCAGGACATACGACGCAACCATATCCCAGTTGTTGAAGACCCCCTTGTGGATAATGGGCTCCGGCGCAAAGCGCAACTCCCAGTAGGCGAAGGCGACCAGCCCAAAAGGCCCGATGATCAGGGGCAACAACACCCTCCACGAGCTCCATTCATACATTACCCCGCCGGTGGTGAGGCCGAAGAGGAAGCCCGTCGAGCTGACCGTGAACAGCGCGGAGCCCAGCCAGTCGAACCGCTTGAGTTTGCCCATGATATCGCCGGGGACCTTGGTCTGATGCAGGAACAGGACCACAAATACAATACCGATGGCTATCACGGGCAAATTAATCCAAAATATCCACCTCCACGTGACATCCTGTGCGAAGCCGGCACCGATGAGAGGGCCAGTGACGGTGCCGATGGACCAAACACCGCTCAACATACTGAGCCAGTGGCCCCGGAAGGCAAGTGGGACGAGGTCGGTGATGACGACCTCGGTAAGCGCGAGTATGCCGCCGCCGCCAACGCCCTGGACGGTGCGGCCGGCCAGGACGACGCTGAAGTTGCCCGCAAGGGCGGCGATGAGGGAACCGGCGGCGAACAGTGCGGACGACCAGTAGATGAGAAGCTTGCGTCCAAATATGTTGCTCAGTGACGCGACAGTGGGCTGCAGCACGGTCGAGGCCAGCAGGAAGCTCGTGCCGGACCAGAAGGCCTCGAGGGCGGTGCCGCCCAGCGCGGCGCTCATGGTCGGAATGGCTACTGACAGCGTGGTCGCGTCGAAGGCGCAGGCGAGTCCCAGCACGCAGAGGGCGCTGAAGGCGAGCATGAAGTCCTTGGTCGGCCTGAACACGGGCTTGTCGTGGACCATCTCCACCGTCGCCGTGCTCGTGACAGTGGGTATCCTGTGCAGCGTGTCTGTAGTCACCAGGGGTTCGTCTTCGCATGATGCCGGGGTGCTGGTGCCTTGGCCGGTCACAGCCTCGACATTGTCTTTTGACGCCATGTTCGATGTGGTTCGAAATACTTAAAACGTACACAAAAGTCTTGTTTTGATTTCTCTTCGCCTTGTCCTCTTGTCTCCCTTCGGGGGAGGGGTTTCAAGAAGGTGATGCTGAACAATGTGGACAGGCCGCTGGAATCAAGTATATTCATAATCTCGCGGTAGACGCAAGTGTAGAGGAGGCCGGAATACTTTATACCGTAACGTGAGTCCAAGCATCAGGCGTGACACTTGCGACGCCTCTGCTCAAAGACATGGAAACCGACCGACCCTCCCGCATTCGGGTGGACGTGCCGGGACCGGTGTGTCTCAGCAAATTCCATCGGTTCTTTGACTCCGGCGGAGAACTCTCATCGAATAAGACCAACTACAGAACCACAGCCTGCCGACAGTGAGTCGTTGCATTGCGAATGCAAGGCAGGATTGTGATTCTGGTGTTTTTGTCGGTCAAAGGTTGCTCCGCAGGCAGCGAGAGACCTAACAGGTAGATATCAGCAGCCTGTCTGATCGCATACGCAGACTGGACAAGCTGAGGGGCCCGGCCAGAGTGTTGTGCCCTGCCCGCCGGAGCCATAAGCACAGGCTGATGATGTGCTGACTCCTCGGAACAGGAAGAGTGAATCATACGAGGCAGAATGAGAAGGCGCTTGCCAACATAGACGTGAGCCACCGTCGTCCGTCGTTGACACTGCTCCCACCCATCCCTGACGGCAGTCCAGGGACTCATGATGCCACTCGGCTGAGCCTCGAGAGACGAGGGTGTCGGTGCCCGAAGAAAGGTCTGGTCCTGTCTTGCCTGCAGGTTGGCGATCTGAGGCGTGGACGATAAGGTGGGCACGGGCGTCGTCTGAGGAGGTTGAGTCTCAACCGCGAGGCAACTTAGATGAGCCCAGATAAGGTTCTGCCCGGGTACCCGACTTGATACACGAGCGCGGAGGCAACCCGGTGGGGGGGGGGGGGAAGGCAGGTCGGGTCCTGATCGTCCTATGTGTGTGTGTGTGTGTGTGTGTGTGTGTGTGTGCGTGCGTATGCATGTGCGATGCTGTTCTGTGGCGAGGGTCAGTCCCACCAACACCACAAACCGGTTCGTTGTCTTGATGCAGCATGGAACACCTGGGCAAGCTGGGCATGTCCCGCACGCAAAGCAATAACAAGAGGCGTGTTTGGACTCAGCCTCAGCCTCACCTACACCCTCAGCCATGAGGCAGGACGAACCTGTTGCTGTCTGGAAGGACATGGCAGCGGACGAATTTCTGTTTCATGGCCCCTGGTCCGTCGGCTAATTGACGCCCCGGACCTGGCATCGGGTACCTACCTACCTAGGTAGTTAGGTAGGCTCGCTCAGTGGGCACCCCCTGCCCTGTGGGCCTTACCCGTCCCTCGTTCGGCCGAATCGAAGAGCTTCTCCACACCAATAAGGCATTGTCTGTGACCATTGATCAGCACACTGCTTACCTCGTAGTTGAGATCCTTTACTCAGTCGTCCCATCCCACCCAAACTTATATCACAGGATAATCATGCTACCTGCTCACACGTGCGCACGCGCGCCTCGGCTAGGGGTCGTCGGCTGCTCGCAGGCTGGCAGGCTGGATCGCTGCTTCTTCAGCCCAAGATGGCCAAATGCTACACCATCACAGCACCAGGGCCCGGCTCGTTTCGTTTCATGCCACTCAACCCCAGGTTCGGGTACAGCATCGTCGTGTTTGCCCTCGTGTGCCCCAATTACGCTCCAATCATCCGGTGATGGCTTGTTTTCAAGGTGACCTGCCCGGCTGGCCCGTCTCCCTTCCCAATGGCTCGTCCCGTTGGTGCCCATGCCCATGCCCCTGTGCCTGCTGCTGCTGCTGCTGCTGCTGCTGCTGCCGCCGCCAGCTGTTGCCCATGAAACAGCGACGGCTTAGCCATCGCCGATATCCTCATCGCCGCGTTTCACATCTTCAGATGAGAGCCCTCTGAGGGCCCCTTCTGCTGCTCGTAGCCACCGCTGGCCCGCGCTGTCGCCTGTTCGCTCCATGTTTTACCAGCCCCTCTCGCCTTCTTCCGCTTTGACTTTTCCTGCCCTCGGCGTCAAGCCGATCGGTTTGTGTGAACCGCATTTATCGTCGCACGCTCGGGACTTTCGCCGCAGCCCATATAGGGCGCGAACCGCTGCCGCATGAGCCTCCTCCGTTACACCCGCCCACAACCTCTGCCGCGCTGAGTCGCATTTGTCTGCCAGCTGCTCAACATGGTCAACACAGGCAAGCCTTCGGGCGGCTGCAAGCTCTGTCGCGCCCGCAGGATCAAGTGCGACGAGACCAAGCCCTTCTGCTTGAAGTGCCAGAAATCCAAGCGCCAGTGTCCCGGCTACAGGGACCCCTTCGACGGCAAGATACGCGATGAGACTCAGTCAACCATCCGGAAGTTCAAGCGAACGCGCATTGTAATCGAGAAAGAGCAGGTCTTGGAGGATCAGGCCCTGCAGGAGGCAATGAAAGACGATGGGAGCGATGATATCAAGGCGAACGCTGCGGAATGGAAGTGCGGTTTCTTCGAGAGCAGGAGAGGCAGCGAGTCGGGCAACTCATCCACGTCCATGACCTCAAGCACGTCGAGCAATTCCTGGGAAACGATCCATGAGGACTTCTTCGCTTCACTCGTCACCCCCGTTGAGCAGCAGGCGACCTGCTACCTGCTTTCGGACTATGTGCTCGTCTCGGAGATGCCTGGTGGGCGGAGGGGATATTACAAGTTCGCATACAAAATCCTAACCAAGGGCGACCCTTCGAGGTGTCTGTTGTCCGCATTCAAAGCAGTTTCTTTCGTCGCCCTGGCCTCCCGTCCAAATTCTCACCACCTCATGATCGAGGCCGAGTCTTACTACTCGAAAGCGCTGAGGGAGGTCAACAAGGCTATACAGGACCCAGCCCAGGTCAAGAGTGACCAGACACTGGGAGCCGTGTTACTACTGGCATTCTACGAGGTGAGCTAGCCGTTTCATAAATACCCCGAACCCGGAGGCTTACGCTTCCAAGACTTTAGCATCTACGCGTGATGGGCTCGATGAGTATGTCAACCATATCAAAGGGGCTGCCCAACTCGTAAGGATGAGGGGACCAAAGCAGCAGGAGACCGATGAGGGCGCCGAGATGTTCGCCATGACCCGCAACCAGTTCCTCGCCATCCGCAGCATGTCGCCCGAACCCGAGCGAGATGACTACTCCTGGCTGCTTCGTCAACACTGTGGCGAGCCATACGTAAGCCGCGTCGCAACCCTCACCATAGCGTGCAGCGAGATTCGCATGAAGACCGACAAGCTCCTGTCCGGCGGGCATCGAGATCCTCGCAAGATCCAAGACGTACTGGAACTGCTGCGGACGGCGCAGGCAATGCAAAAGAAGTTGTCGAGCCTCGACCAACCTCAGAGTGCAGTGTGGTCTGTGAGCACGGTGATCCGAGACTCACTCAGGCATCGCGATGAGGGCGCGGAACCCCCAGGAGAGGTGTACACTTTCCACAACCTCTACACCGCCATGATTTACACCATTATCTGGTGCTCGCACATCTTCCTCACGACCTGCATATTCCGCTGCATGGCCTGGCTGGTGGCTCCCGACGACTGGAGGAGCGGCGAGGACTACGAAGCCGCCGTTAAATCCACCAAGGAGCGCATCGCGGACATCGTGGCGGCCGTCCCCTACTGCTGTTCTTGGAACGGTTCCGATACCGAGTACTCCGACTTCCCTGTCGGGCAGTCCACCCCGGCCTCCCCCGTAAAGGGCGTCGCAGGCTTGGTTATCTTCAGGCCTGCCTTCACGGCTATGGTCTCGGATTATGCTACCCCCGAGCAGAAGAAGTATCTTTACGGGCGGATGAAGTTCCTGGCCGACATTGTTGGGATCAAGCAGGCGAACATCTTGCTCAAGGTATGCTTAACGTTCCCGGAGCCACAACGCTCAGGTAGCCACCTCTGCTAACTCATGGCGTAGACACGGGACGAGTCAGCGACTCCCTCACGCGACATTGAGCGAGACAGGGTGCGGGCATAGGGGCGCAGGTTTCCCAGGACAACTCTTCTTGTGACATTTTCATCTTTAGGCGAACAACTTGGGGCCAGGCGTTCCTGCGGGTTTCAGGCCGGCAGCATTGTGATAGCATTTGCTTCTGGACTCGCTCGGCGTTCTCACACGCGCATTTCAGGGGTTCAAGGTGTTTTGGTCATCGGTACGGACGGGCCTGGTCTGCTTCTCTCGACTTTCATTAAATGCACCTTTTCTCAGGCAGTCAAGAGGTATCAACATACTCACAGCCAAATCGACTTATTTTCCACCGCAAACTCCCTAAATGTCTTCGGCTTCCTCCCCGTCACTGTCAAAACTACATCATTGAGTTTCCCCTCCGACCCGTTCTTGATCGGGATATCCATTCCTGCAAGGACCTTGGCATACTCTTCACTTATCCCACTATTTTTAACATGGTGCTCAGCCAACTCCTCCACGGTGAGGTTGACATGAACAGTCTTCTTTCCGATGACTTCGGTGAGGATATCCGCACACTGTGATCCAGTCAGTCTCACGAGAGCCTCTTCAACGCGCCGAGACAGGCCTGCAAGCAGGGCGCAATCATTGGACTCACCTCCCCATACGAGAGCAGCTCGGGCCCCAGTATGATGTAGTCCCCGTTCGGCGGCGCCTCCGCCGTCAGCGCAGAGTACGCGCACGCGGCGATGTCCGTCTTGGAGACCCAGGGTATCCGCCCCGGCCCGGACGCCGAGTAGGCCTTGCCCTCGTCCCGGACCGTCTGCTGCAGGCTGCCTTGCTCGGCCCAGTTGTCCATGAACCACGTCGGGCGCATGACCCCGAACCCGACCTCACCCTCCGCGCCGAGCTCCTGCAGGTACTTTGCGGTCCCGCCGAAGACGGGCCCGCCGGCCTCGATCGAGGTGGCGCTCCTGGTGTTGGCGTGTTAGCCATGGCTTGGATCGCTGCTCTACGGTGGTACGGTCCGGTGCCAGGGCTCGGGACTGCCGAGGATATTGGCTACGAGGTTCGGAAAGAGCCATACTGTAGTACAAACCGCTTCACTCCGTGCTCCTTCCTGGCCAGGTCGATGAATTTGTTCATGATGGTGCTAGCCTCAAATACAGGCGGCGAGACGAGGTATACCGCTGTTATAGGCGAGGCCTTGGTCGCCGTGATAAAGGGGTTGGACCACGTCGTGCGGTCGAGCCAGTCGAACTTCACGGTCGGGTGGACGGTGGAGGCGGTGGCTGAGGACGCGGACCGCGAGGCGACGAGGTAAGGGGTGGATGATGTCTGGCACAGCTTGGCAATGCACAAGCCCACCTTCCCAGTGCCGCCGGTGATGAGTATGGTCCCTTTGGTTGAAGACATGGTGAGAGTTGGCGGGCGCCGCGCTGTTGTCGACACTGTCCTCTTTTCGTGTCCCGATGCTCGGCTGAGGGCCTTGACATGTGTTTTGCGCAGCGGAAGAATATGATCACCAGCTTATATGACCCACCGTGCCAACGATTCCTCCGAGCATGTGTCTTTCCATAAGCCAAGGGCCTAAGGGACTTTGACTCCAGAGATGGCATGTTGTTTCCCCGCTATCATGCCTAGTAGGAATGGTTTCCTTGGTGTAATGCGAGTAGTCTCCGGTAGGTCCGGCCCGCAAACGGAAGTAAAAATTGTTATGTCCGATTTCCAGCCAAAGAAGCGCCGCACAATTGTGATCCATCGCGATAGGAGGTTGTCTTCCCAATGATCAGTGTCCAAGATCATTGGTTTGCTTGGGTATTTTCTTTGGGAAATGCATGGGGCAAGGTTCGGTTGAAGGTGTCCTTCGCGACTGGTCGAGCTTGTTAGGACACAGGCATCGGTTGCGTTTCTCTGACAGCTCTATCCATGCTGCAACATTTGTTCGTGTGCTGCGTGGTCCATCATCTCGCCTCCAATACTCTGAAGCGGGTATGTTTTCTTCCTCCGAAGTTTTCATGATTTATGCGTTTCTAGCAACAGCGTGGCAATCTTTAAGCACGTGAATGCTGAACATCAAATTAGTTCGTGGATGCGAGAAGTACAGTTTCACATCAGAGGCGGGTAAGGCTCGGGAAATGAGTGGTATACATGTAGAGTATAATGTCTGGTCAGTTGTAAGTGCTGGTAGCCGCTCGCCTCGGTATCCACTCGCTTTCGTAATCGCGCTGCCATGCTTGAGCACGCAAATCGCCTTTGAAGTGATTGATCACAAGCTGACCGCACCTTGAGTACTCGAGTTCAGCCTTGTCAACCTTGCGTACCGCTTCCATCGGCAAGTCGCATCATGCCGATCTCCGTCAAGCAAACTCAGGCGCCTACGACGCATATTAACGTCTATGACAACCTGTAACGGCTCGTCCGAGCTTGTAAGCAAGCCGATCCAACCGATCGGGGCTGGATCAATGTTATTTAACGTCCCCGGCCCCGGTGTAGGCCACTCCCCCTTCCTGGCCGCCATCGCCCAAACAAACGCCTTCTCATCAACATCAATTGCCCGCCACAACAATCACCAATCCCTCTTCCATTAAGATTTCTAACTCTTCTAAAGCATCGCTTTCTTTTAATACCATGTCAGCGTTAATTTAGGCATAATAAATAGCCTTAATATTAATAAAAGCTATATTTAAGTTAATTTAAACCTTTTTAAAGGATTATTTTGCTAACTTTAATTTAAACCTTTAATAATTAATTTTTTTATAAAGTTATTATTAATTATAACTCTTTCTTATTATATAATTTAAAAAGCTTTTTTAAAAAAAATTATTATATAAAGCTTAAGTATTTTTATAAGCATAATAAACCATTAAATTTTTTATTTCTTAAATTTATTTAAACATTTTAAAAATAAGATTTTATAAATTAAAAATAAGTTAAGATATATGTCAGGGCCGTGGGGCTGATCATGCGCAGGGGCCCTCTGGGCCCGTCTGGTTGGCTTATCTTATCAGCCCAACTGGCCTTTAAAACCACTTTAATCTGCCCTTTTAGCAATTCTTCCTTTTCCTTTCTTTTTTCTTAGGCAAACCTAGTTGTAAATCAACCATTCTTTACTATTACATTGTGCCCTTGTTGCTATTTAAACGTGAGGACCGTCTTAATATAATAAATTATATAAATTTAAGTTAAATTTAATGGTTTTTAAAAATATATTAACTTTTAAATACCTTATGCTTAAATATTAATTAAAAATTTATTATTTTTTATTTAAAATATATATTTCTCTTTATAAATATCTTTATTTATATTTTATAATAATAATAAAAAATCTTTTCTTTATTATAATTATATATAAATTATTTTATATTAAATAATATAAATATTTTTAAAAAGTTATTTTTAATAAGAAAAAAATTATTATATTAAGGGGTTAAAAGATATAAAAAATATATATAAGCAAGAAAGTAATATATATTTAATTTAAAAAATACTTTTTTATAAAATAATAATTATATATATATAATGCTTATTAATTATAAAAAAGCGCTTATTTTAAGAATTTTTAAAAATATTTATAAAAAATAAAAACCTTTTTTAATAATTTTATAATTATTTTTTTCTTTTTTTATTTTTTTAATTATTATAAATTATTAATTATTATAATTAATAAGGAAAATAAATTATTATTATTATTAAACTCTTAACTTTTTAAAAATAATAAAAAATTAAATAAACTTATTTTTTAAATAACTAAAAATAAAAATATTTTTAAAGTAACTTTTTATTAACTTGCTTTTATTAACATTTTAATTATAAAAGGGCTTAATTTTCTTAATAATAAATAATTAAAAAAAGTAAATTATAACTTAATATTATTTTTATAAATATTTAAAAATAAAAAGCTTTAATATATTAATTTTTATAACTTTAAAATTAAAAATAAAAAAAAATTAAAACTTTTAATTATTTTTTATTAAAAAAAGTAAAAATTTTATTAAAAAGAATATTTATATTTTAAAAGCCCTTATTTTATATTATATTAATATAAGCTTTAAGCTATTTAAATTAATTATAAATAAAATTAATTAAACTTTTTAATAATTAAAAAAAGCTTTTAAAAATAATAATATTATAATAACTTTTAATATTATTAAAGTAATATTAAAGTATGCTTTAAAGAATATATTAAATTTTAATAGCCTTTTTTTAAGATATTTTATTAAATATTATTATAATAACGTTATTTATATTAAACTTTAAATATATAGCTTTATAATTATTAAATTAATATTAAAAAGAAGTTAAGCAATTAAAAATAAATCTCTTATAAAGATATTAAGGAATATTTATGGAGTGGGTTTAGACGCGTTTATGCGCGTATGCGGGTGTGGGCCGGCCCAGAAGGGGGGGGGGTGGCCCATACCGGGGCCGGGGACGTTAGACGCGCAATGATCAGACGGCGGTTTGATATCACGGATGAGCAGTCGGTTGGCAGGTATTTCTGCACTCAGAGTTCTATCTCTGCACGATGCAATTCCAAAATTTCTGGCATTCCATGTCGACTTCTGTCTGCCCCCCTATGAATAATGAATTTGACATAGAAGACAGTTACGGTCGTTGTGGCCATCGCGGGTGGGACTACTCATGGGCTCCTCCTTCGGATGCGCCCTAGGGACCCTCCGGATGTTCGGGTCGGCAGGATATATGTATACCAGTGCTTTGTTCGTCTCAAATGCATGCATGAAATTTGAACAAGATACTTCCATTGATCAGATGCGTCTGAACAGTGCCCGCTACACGTGGGCTTGGGGGTTGTGTCAGTTGGGCCAGTCAGGTCTAACGACGCAAAGACGCAACCGCCGCACTGAAACCGTGGGGCTCTTGTTATCAGCAAAGTATGCCTCGCCAAACATCCAACAAGGGCAATTTTCAGTGCTTGGACTCAGGCCTTGACTTTTCTGTACGTTTTGTCTCAAGACCAAAACCCTACCAAACCCGTCGGCGCATGATCGTCGCCGCACATCCCCATATTCGTCCGGTCTCAAGACCTTGGTCATGATGGCTGCCGCCAATGGACTGCCAACATATGCGCGGCCATTTCCGCTGAGATGATGCTAAGATGAACGTATTGCAATCATCGGACTCCTCTAATACATTCCTTCCCATGGCTCTGTAAATATTCCCCACGTCGAGGCCGACCTGGTTCTCTGCGCAAAAAAATGGATATAGAACGGCGGTGGCTCGACTTGATGATACGGGCCGAGTTATTCGACTTGGAAGGCAGGGAGAGCTGTGGTATCCTCGTGCCTGTCAACTGCGGCAATGGAGTGTGTTGCCCACCAGCTAGCACATGCGTCGCCGCTGGCAGCGGGAGTAAATGTCTGGGCCCAATTGGCGGAATAACAGTGAGTGATTTCTCAAAAGGATCCCCCTTCATCATTTTGATTTCAAATGGACTCGTATGATTTCGTGGAGAATCTCACGGGTCCATTTGAGACTGAGATCGCCGAAAAAGCTTCACCATCATCTACTTAATCGTTGTCTTCCCGAAGGCTGCTGACTTATGGTGTTCAGGTACCAGGCCTTACGCTGAGCGCTCCGGCTGCGGCTGCAAGTGAGTTGAAGACCAAGGAGGTGTAGGTAACAGAACACTTCCTGACAAACGACATAGCATCGACGACTACGCCGCTCCCTCCGACGACAGCACCACCACCAGAGACATCTACTTCAACGGTGGCTGTACCACCGCCAACCACCCTCACTAGTTTGACGGTGGTACCACCGCCGTCAAGCCCGGCCAGCCCGTCCGCTATATCACCGACAGTCACCCAGTCCACTCCACCGGTGGTGCCGGCGCCAACGATTTCAACAGTTCCGACGAGTCTGGCCACCTCTGCATCAGTTGCTCTTCCATCCTTGGAGTCGACGTTCTCTACCTCATTGATGTTCCCGTCTTCGTCGGCTGGGTCGACGAATGTAGCGGGAGGGGCGGAGGGATCATCGACCACATCGACAGGCTCCACTGGAGCTGGTGTCAGCATCACACCTATCACGAATGGGGCTACGAATGGCAGTTCCCGGAAAGGAAACGAACTGAGCACAGCAGATTTCGTCGGGATCGCCATAGGAGCAGGGACTGCCCTCGTCTTGCTCATCGTATTGGCAGCAGCCGCTGTGATCGTGTGGCGGCGGAAGTCCTCGAGAAAGCGGCCGAGGGAGTCGGATCTGCAGCTGATCACCAGACATATCTCCCCACCGCGTCACAGCTTTCATGCTCATTCAGAGCCCGGCGATGCCGAATCCGATATCAGGGCGAAAGACGAGCCTTGGGCAATGTCCGGTGCTCAGCCGATGACGGAAGAGGTTACTGAAACCAATCGCGGCGTCAGCTGGTTCCAGTTGCCGATGCCAGCCCCGGCGCGCAGCAGCCTCTCGTCGACGTTCTCGGGGCCCGGCCCGGCGACATCCCTCCACAGCCACCCGCTGGCCCGGAGGTCAACGGCCCCTAGCATACCTCAGCGCAACGACAGGAGGAGTTCCCGTGGTGTGCCGCGTGTTGTCAGGAAATCATCTTCGAGATCGCCCCCGCGTGATGCCAGCCCTTCGAGCGGCTCTATCAATCGGCAGGCTAGGGTTTCCGATTCAGCGAGCCTGGGGAGCCTGTCCAGCGAGGCGGAGAGACATCTAGCGGTGGATCGCGGAAGAAGTCTAGGGGCGCAAGGCGGTGGTGAACTGTATATTTCACGACGGGGTTCTGGAAGCTCGAGCGGAGAGGAACAGAGGCAGCCTGTGAGTCTGTTGCCCGTCTTCCAGCAGCCAGTGTACTTTCAGTTGCCCGGGAGTTCAGGCACCATTGTCGAGTTGATATAAAAGGAGCCGTGATTGAGACTAGATACATTGTAGGAGTAATCTATTGATGGTAGAGATGATGGAGCCCAGTTCTGACCATCTTAATTCTGACACTTCAAATCCTGAAGTCATAGCAGCAGAGAAGGTTGTGGTGCAAAATACAGATGAAGAAAACCGAGAAGGCCATTTTTTTGCTTCATAATTATGCTTACACCACAGCACGTAAGGCATAGCATTCGCTCAGTCCAGCACTTTTAGATTTAATTTAGTCCAGCTTCCTAGCTGCCTTCAAGTTAGGCTCACAGCGCGCTTTATATTGTGTCACCCGGAAACTAGAAGGCCCAAGTCTGAGACTTGTAAACGATACCACCAATCACGACTGTCAGCAATACACCACGGCATGTGCACCAACTCTGTGTTGCCTAAGGCCAAAATCTGTGGCGGGCCTGTAGTCTAGGTTCCTGTATAGGTTTCCCAGTCTATTAATATGTCACTAAAGAACCCTTCTTCAATCAATATTATAGCTGATAAATAACTAATGACCGCCGACTTCAAGTTAGTCCTGTATGGACCAGAGTTTGACGGCTCTCCTTTGTTCGCTAAAAGCCATGGGAGAGAAGACAATGGAAGAGCTGCCTCTTTTTAGTTCTCTACACAATCGTTCATTGTCTGCCCGGGTTTGCGACTTTCTGGTGACTCGGAGTTTAATACAATAGGTTTGTTCTCCTCGGTTCAAGTATGCAAGTACTAAGTGTATATATACGTACACAAGAAGTTGGGCAACAAAAATTAGCAAGTCGCAAGTTCCAGAAACACCAAACCTTTAGAAGTCCCAGTAGTAATCAGCACCACACCTGAATCTTCCCGGACTAACATCCCAGCAACACCATGTCAACGTCCAATTCACTTCCGTGCGACCACCCTCCAGTTCCAGCGCTTGGCAGCGCGGACCTGCAGATGTTCTCCTACCTGCCTGGGCCCCTCGTAGAGCAGACCAGGGCCTTCTTCGAGGCTGAGGACCTCCTCCCCTCGCAGTTGGAAGCAAGGGACAACTTCATATTTCTCTTTGGCCTACAACAGGACGAGACATATACCGAGGTAACCACGCTCGAAGAGCTCGCTGAGCACCTCGACGCCTTCTTCTTCGCCGGCCTGCTCACTGGGGTTGGCGGCGGGAGGAGGATCCTGCGGTGCCTCGAGCTCGAGCAGGACATCTTTACAGCTGCCCCGCCGACGTGCGGCCACGGCTCATACGGCGACGTGCATACCTCCATGCCTCTGGGCGAGTCGAGGCTCGAGGTGTGCCCTTCTGGAGAATGGGCCATCACCATCTCGATAAACCCGAACAACCAGGATGGCCTGCCGGCCCCGCTGCACAGCCTCCTGGAGGCGCTCGTCCACGAGATGGTGCGCAGCTTCTTGCAAAGTTTCATCTGCTCCCGCGGGTCTTGTCAGGCCGAAAGGACGGTGGCGTTAGATCCTACGCACTACCGGCCGCTGTTCGTCGAGTTGCTGGATTCCATCACGAGTGCTATTCGGGAATGGGACAAGGATCTAGCTGCGTTCTACCTGTTGGAAGACTCTGCTAATGTGTAGGTCGCCAGCTCTGTGGGTGGACCACCTGCGCCAGAGTTGTAGATGGGGGTATTGCGGCCCGTGACGGCAAGCTGGATTAACTCCAGGAGCACGTGAGCGAATGAAGTGTGTGACGGGTTGAACCTTCCAATAGATTAAAATTGTAGAATCGTAACAATGACATAGTTCCCATAAGTATGTGAGTTGAAGTGTGCCAGTTCTGACACGCCGCAGATGCTAGAGAAAAACTTTCAAATATTGCAGACCGAAACGACAGACACCGCCCCCGAGAATTTCGTACAACACTTTTGCCAACGCCATCGCCATGCCTGTGGGATAAAAGAAATCAGAAGTCCCTGTATCTGAGACTATAGTAGTTAGAGGCAAAAGCCTATGTAGGATGCGTCATAGTCGTCCATGATGACACATTCCTTCTAAAGAGCGGCACCAGTCAAGGGTGCGGTAGCTGAGTTGGCCCCCAGGAACATAAACTCAGGGGTGTAGCAGCGCCGACGGCGGAACACCCGGCGTAGAAGGGCCGTTCAGTAACGACCTCTCGTTCCTGACCCAGCGAACGTATGGGCGGCCATCTCCAACATGTGCGGGATAGCCTCATCGGACTTGGAAATCTCTCTTTGGCCTTGGCTGACCAGTGTAGAGGTTGATGATAGTGGGGTGCTGGTATTCGACGCTGGTCTGACGCTCCCATAGGTGTGGAAGACGACCCGAGGACCGGTGCTCCATGCCGTATCAAAACGCCGATCGACCGAGTCGCCGCTACAGCCGAAGTCGTAATGGCTCGGCTGGGAGCGTTCGATGACCGAGCTTCTTTCCACCTCCTTGAAGTGCGCCAGATCCGCTTCCATATCGCACAGCCTGAGTGTGCCCCTCCCAGCCCAGTCGTCGATGGCAGCGGCAATCTCCCTGAAACCATGGGTGTGGCCGCCGCAGTGCCGCGCTTTGAAACCGCAACAGATGAATAAGTACGAGTGGATGAGCTCGTGTAGAAATGTCGAGATGAGTAGTCGGCGGTTGAACTTTGTGTCCCTGAGTAAAGGGCTGCTCAAGACAATGAGCGTCTCATATCCCCCCATCAATGGAGGCTGAGCCTCGCGCAGCGCAGTGGTCCCGATGATCCGGCTGCTGTAGTCGTTCTGCTCGCTCGACGACCATTCCCACTGCACACGGCGTGACAAGCGACCTTGGAAGAAGATCTCGTCTGCCGCACTGAAGATGGACTCGAGGGCGGTCTCGTCGAGCGCAAAATCGGCACCCCTGTGGTCTTTGGGGTGGATAAGGCTTCTTAAGATGCGTTCATGTCGCCTTACATCGCGCCGCGGGTTGTTCATGTAGCTCCTCACCCTAGCCGCAGCGGCTTTGTCTTCTTCTGGTGAGAAATCGCTGCACCCAACAGTAGCGAGCGAGTCCGATTCGGTCAAGATGGTGCGACCTGAATTTGTTCTTTCCATGAAACACGCGACCGGAGCGGGCTCTGGCGACAGGTGTCCATCGTTCCTTTGGGGGACAATGTGGCGATGCTCGTCCCGCTCTTCCCTCGAAGCCGGCGTCCCTTCCCTGATGACAAAAAACTGCGGCTGCTTGGGTGACCAGTCCGCGGCTGGTAGTGTTGCTATGTCGTGGTCCAAGTCCCAACCCCTCGGGCGCGGGTACAGCGACGGGTCGTCCGAGTCGTATTCGTAGTAATCATCGTGAAGGATGACGGGTAATCTGGCTCCCCTGTTCGAAGGGGCTTTGTGTAGGCCATGGTCATCTGCCTGACCGAAAGAGCGAGCGAGAACGCCTCCAGCACCGACCCAATGAGCCATTGAACATTATAGGACTGTTGTTGTGGAACAGATCGAGTCAACAACAATGGCGGTGGATGAAAGTGCAAGATCAAAAGTGCATAAGCGCGAGCAAGGATAGTATAAAGACCCTGGGCGGGAGGACGAGATGATTAAGCGCATAATTGAGATCAACAGCGTGCCAGTTGTCCAAGTCATGCCCCGTGCTGAGGCATGCCGATGGCAAGAAGTGGCACTGGGCTGTCTTGGACGGCCCGCCTCACTTGCATGGAGTGTGTACCTGGCTGGCGGGGCAGTACTTCGGCCTTGTGAAATCTGTGAGGTCTCAAGTTGGGATACGCCTTGGGAGGAAAGGGCAGCCAGAGGGAAATAGGGGACCAACGACGGGATGGAGTGCGACTCTGCCATGGCTGTCCCTGACAAGTCTCGAACCCCTGCCACAACCGTCGTACTGTAGTCGTTCCGACACCGAGGTCCCCACGGGAGACGAGCACAGAAGAGTGGACACACAGGACAGCCTCGGAGTCTGCAACGTTGTTGACCTGTACGGCAGACAGGCTGCTGCGTCCAACGAGATTGAGTGGCATTCTCGGCAAGCGGTGTGCGCGTGCGCGTGCGCGTGTATGTTGATTTCCAATGGGCTGGACCGGTATGGGTCCTGCTGCTGCACGCCGTGTGCTTGCAGGAGGCTAGCCTGGGCCCGAGGGGACGACAGTTGCTGGCCGTACAAGTATGATTACTATTTGCATCAGGAGGACCTGTACGCCTCGCAGCACACAGCAGCAGCTGTCAGCCAGATAGATTGCAGAGACTAGCTGCGGGTGGCTCAGCGCAGTGTCATGGTGAGCTTCTGGCCTTCTGCTGTGCGCAGACGCTTGTGTTTCCATGCTGTCGGCGTTGCGTGCGGGCCTCGTCGCCTGTGTAGCGGTCTGGTCTGATGTTTTCGGCCGTCAGCAGTAGGTACCGCACACGGTGGCCTGGAGGCTCAGGGTGCAGGCAGGCCCGGCAGGTCGAGTGATGTCCGCTCCTCAGGCACAGCACAGCACCAGCAAGAACGAGGCGGACACTTGCAGAAGGCCAGAGATTGGCGGCGCGGCGATCTGCAGTGAGTTGGGGGGGGGGGGTTCTGCTCCTGGCCGCCAACTACGTCCCCCAACCGCCATCCCATCAGTTCCTTTGTGCCCGTGGCTGATTGGTTGATATGCACCGCCTTACTTTCGGTGCAGCGATCGGCCATGTGGCGCTGGCCCAATCGTCCAAGGGAACCAGAGTCTACACTCGTCCGAGGCTCGTCGTCTCCACAATACATAGTTCCAGGCGATTCCAATCCTGGTCCATGCTTACCGGTGCAGTGTTGGATCCCACGACAACCCAGAGCCTGCAACACGAGGACGGCTGGTACTTGGACTTGGGTAGAAGTAGTGTCCGTCGGGGACGGAACACCCACCCACCGGCTGCCATGAAAGAAAGCCATGGGCCATGGTGGCTGTGGCACTTGCTCGGAGCCGCTATCGCACTCTGGGCATTTCAGGGGTCCACATCCCATCTGCCCACAAGGCGAGAAAGCTCACAGCGCTCGGCACGACCTGACCTGATCTGCTCCGTCTGCCTGGCTGTCGGCGCCGCAATCAGTCTAGTGCGCCGGCGAGCATAGAGTCCGGCGCAAAACAAGCTCCTCATGACGAGCAAGCAACTGGGACGGCATTGACCTCTGTGCGCCTCTCTCCGCGCCGGCCACACCGGGCCCACGTCGAGCCTTTTATGCAGGCCCATGCGGAGGCTCCTCCGGCCTGGTTCGACACGCAACACTCCCGACGGGACACGGCGCAGCATGACGGGCATTGGCTAACATACTTCGCCTCGTCGTCTCGGGAGGCTTCATTTAGAGTGTGGTCTAGGATGGCTGAATGGGTCTGCATCAGTGTCTCCTCTTTCCGTGTGCCACATCCCCGTGTCGCTGTCTCGAGTAATGTGTGCCACCGGGCCAGGCTGATGGGTACCCACGATCCGGATGACACAACTTTAACAACCACACTTGGCTATATCCAAGCTTGCAATCGGCCTCCAGTCTCCAGCCTCTAAGCCTCCCGGGTGGACAAGGTTAACGCTGGTCACTGCCGTACAGTGCATTACGTGATTCTCGCCCCCCTCCTTCTGCGATCTAAAACACTGCCGACTTGATCAACCGACCGTGAGCATCGGGCATGGCATGGGATCTCTGTGTCCTTCACAGGCGCAATGTCAAGGGCTGCGTGTGCACCTAGACCCGAAGCCCGAGGTTCCTAACGAATCGTACGTCGTCAGCCTGCCTCTCGAGCGCTTTCCGCATCTTTTCGCTGTAGATCCTTTCCTCTTTCTCCTTCTCTAGTTCTGCAGCTGACCTTGCTTCTTCCTCGAAGTCCTCAGCCGTGAAGGCAGGCGAGGACGTGAATGCAACCAGGCCAAGGTTTTCACCAGTCCAGAACAGCAGGTCGTTTCCATTGACGCTGCTTTCAGATCCGCCCCGCGTTGCGAGCAGTTTCCTCGCGATGTCATCGGACCCCGGCATATTCGCAAACAGAGAAGGGGCCTGCGCACGCTCACAGTGACCGATCTTGACTCGTCGAACTTCCGTAAAACCATCTCTTTCAAACCACTTGATACGCCCTGACCCGTCTGAACAAACAAGCCGCGTGCCTTGGTTTATGCACGAAAGTAGCTTGGAGTCTGATGATGATTGGCGGTTTTTGAATACCGAGTTCGACAGCCCACCCGGCACAGAAGATGGCGTTTGCGAAGAAGGCTGCAGGCCGTACATCTCCAAAGAGCCTTTGGTGTTGTACTCACCGCACGCAATCAACGTCCGGCCGCCGGGCGGTTTTGTCTTGGATCTCTCGATTTGTTCAGTCGATAACAAGCCCTCTCTGCGAAGCTCGTTGTCCACTGTCGAGAAAGGGACGGGCAACGATGCCAGGCTAGATAATCGAGCGCCCGAGTGGAGGCTGCCCTTGATAGACGGGAACATCCGTCGATCATACAGAAGAATGCTGGGGAAGCGTCCTGCAACATATATCTCGTCGGTGACGTCTGCTTCCGCCCCAGGTCGCTGCATATGGAGAATGCTGAGAGGGCCAGGGTGAGATAGAGGGGCATACGGGGGCAGTGGGTTGTTATCGAATAAAGCCTTCAGACTTCTGGTGTAGACTTCTTGTGCCCGCAGCCCATCGACCTCGTCAAGCCTCTCTGAACTGTCGCATTGTCGTGCTGCCCTGTACCTGTGGTCGTACGGATGTACTAGAACTTGACGTTAGGACACTATTCCAATATGCACGAGCAACGGCCTCGCGTCTCAGACTCAAGGGTCTGGTTTCTGATGGTCCTCATACAGAATCCAGCCTTGAGTATAACCTGGAAGCCTTCTTGCAGGGGACAAGTTCAATCCCGCGTCACTTACTACCATTGTTTGTCCCAACTGTCAGAGGAATGCCCGCATCTGTCGTAGACAGAGCGGTGATAGACCATGGGAACGATTCGCATCCCACCACCCTGAGCCTGCGTAAATCCACCTCGATCAGATCTGTAGATGTCCTTGTCAGTACTGGAGACGATTTCCGAGTTGTGAGAAGCCTATGACAACACCGTATGAGAATGTTGGACTCACGGTTCTGGACGGCGAAGAAAGCAAGATGTTGTTTACTGTCAACGCTGACACACTCGGTGACCCCAGAATCGATCCTCTTCGATCGGCTACTATTGTCTGCAGAGGGGCCATCAATGTAAAGAATCCCTGGTCGGCTCCGAGCACAGATGGCCCCCTTGCGGCATTTCGCCCCTGTGACATCCCACAGGCAGACAGAGCCGTCATCCAGGGGCGAGACGGCGAGAACCGATTCCAGTCCATGACGGCCTTGTTGGTCATTATCAGGCCTGTAGAGAGCAACCCCCCGTGTCTCAATGTAAGTGCTCTCTGCCCCGTCCCTCAGCACAGGCTGTTGCAGCCAGTTGACCGTAACAGGTGCGTTGCGTTGGATGTACTCATCATACCAGTTTACGTTCTCGCCAGTATATGACGGGTCCCAGTTCTCCATTACTCGAGTACGCTCCTTCCCTCTCAATGTGGCAAGCTCAGACAGACCTGACAAGGGGTCCTGAGCAGCGCCTGTGGCGCCTGAAATGCCAGACTGGCTTAGGCGTCCGAGAAGTGCCTGGCGCCGGTGCAAGGACTCGAGGAAGGTTGAGCTCTCGAAGCTTTGTTCGCGCCAAAAAGTATTATCTCGACAGATTTGAAGGAGTTTCTTTGAGACAAGTTGCAGGCTTGTGCTCTCGGACGGTTCAAGAACTAAGGGGAGAGAGCCTGGTCAGTCAAGACTGGCCAAGCTGCTGCCACCAGAAGCGGTATAAACAAGTGAAGGACCAACATGATATGATTTGGAACAGAATCTCATTTGGGAGGTCTGTAAGCCCTTTGGGCTGGCCATGCTCTTCTGTCTGCATCTGAGCGAGTGCTTGGGGATGGTGATGCCCCAGGAATTCGGCCTCGTCTCAAGCGCGAGTCCAGATCCGGAAACCAAGATTGTGAGGCAGAGACCAAGCTCTCTCTGTCTCCGTCCTTAGTAGCTGTGAGGGTTGGAGGGAAAGTATGTTGGTAATGCTAGGGTGTGTGTTAGTGAGCAATGCATGCAGCTCATCATCTCACAGGTTGATGCAAAGCTTAAGGGGAATAGGCTCAAAGAAGAAGAAAAACAACAACGAAGTCGGAGCTTGGAGCTTGGGGCCGTGGAGATCCGGGGAAGCACGACTGTTGTACCCAAGCAGTCAATCAGACAATCACTCACAGCGAAAGGGGCCCCACTCACCAATGACCCTACCCCGCCATACCCACCCCTGGCACAACGGGCTTCTTGGCAAAGCCAATCCGGGCCCTACTCAGGTCCCGCTAGATAAGCGAGGGCGGAGCTCAGGGTTCCAGCCTTGCCCAGGTGTCGCAGAGGGACCCTTGCTGTGGTTCACAGAGCCGCTTTTCAACCTCACTCCTATGCTTTGCCTAGGTACAGCACAAAGTAACCCCTTCGTCGTCTTCTCAGACTCTGAGTCATGATATCTGCGTGCTACCAATAGATTGTACTCTACTGCATGATAAACGGCTTAGATGCTGCATGTCCACTTAGTTGCATGTCTATCTCCATTACCGTCCCACTGTCGTTGACACCACTTGACCAAGCCCAAGACCGCTGCACTGGATGACTGGCCCCAAGCAGAGCAAGGAACCCTACCTGGGAGAACTTGCACAGGCGGTTTTCCTGGGCAGGACTAAGTGCATGTCCAGACAAGACCTGGGTGACAATCAGCCTGATTGCAGACTGGCCATTGGGAGAATCAGACAACTCAGAAGTTTATATGCCCGTGACTTCTGACTTTCTTGGCATGTAGATACTATGAGAATCGAGCCTATCTAACTCCTAGTTGATTCGCTGACGTTGTATATCACATATTTATCTTTGCTTTCTCAAGTTGCTTCCAGGCAGCATGTCAACTATCGTTGTCATATTGAAGCTGACAGTCTCACACGCGCAAACACAAGTGGAGGAATTTGGATACATACTATCTGAAGCCCGGGTAAGAGGGTACCAAGATCATGATTTCATACAGTATAAGTGTCACAAAGTGTATGTATCCTTCCAGTCTAACCAGATAAGAAATCAGACTAGATGACTTCAGCTGGAAGCTTTGTTCAGGGGACATGATCAGGGGTGGGCGATGTTGATGAAGAGGCGATTCTTTTTTTTTTTCTTTTTTTTTTCTTTTTTTTTTTTGCTTGGCTATCCTGATCAGAGGGAATAAGCTGCCAGTGTACTTGTATGTTGTCTTCCTCCAGTGTTGACAGCCCCGCAGCTCTCTCGACGTGAGTCTCGACTGAGGTGAAAGCTCATCCTGGAAACACCGACTCAACCACCTCCCTCATCACCATCCCCGTCCATATCCTCACACCATAGTGACCATAGGTATGTTGATACAGAGCCCCAAGAGCGTAATATGTCTAGCATACTACTTGCTCCATTTTCCAGAAAAACAATCCTTCACCAGAGTGTCTGCCCTAGCATCGCGTTTGACCCCGCTGACCGTCCCATCCCAAAAAGAACCCCCTCAACGCGTGATAGTCTCAACGCGTGATAGTCGCGTGGGCACGAGCAACACGCGACTCCAAGGTACTTCACCCTGTTTATTGATTTCCAACCCCTTCACCCCCCACTACCCCAGATATCTGCACCATTCACCTGAGCGTGGCCCATCTCCCATCTGCCTCGCTCGCATCTGCTCCCCCCTTCTCCTTCCCCATCCACCCTCCCCTTTGCTCTCTTGGCCTCTTCCCACGTCCATTTGGCTTCCCAGCCCATCGCGCGTATCGAGCGCGTCGTCGCATGCCCATACTCATTCTGCAACTCAACTAGGTGAGAACAGTCGGCATGGCGAAACACCGGCAGCAACCGGCAGGCGGAGACGATGGCTCCTGCCCCAAAACCCAGCCGGAGCAGCCGCGCTCGGATCATGGAGATGAGTCGAGAGAGACGTCTTCCGTTCTCTCCAGCCACCAAACACGCCCGCTTTTCGGCAGTCTCGAGGAAGCACACTCCCGCATAACTCGACCGCAACCAAGTGGCACCCCCAGGAGCGCCGGTGACGAGACCACAAGCAGCGGCAGCGGGGACGACACCATCCTCAAGGACATGCGGCGCCTCTCCCCTGCCGATGCCAGAGCAATCTACACCAACGTTGGCTACCCAGTAACCCGCGCGTTTGGCCGCAGTGTGACTGATGCAGCCAATTGTACGGTCGACGAGCCAGCCCTGGTCCCTTCACCCTTGCTCGTTCAAAAGCAGGCCAATCCTGACCCTCGGACGAACAACGCCTCCACTGGCCCACCGAAGTCGAAGACAGCACCGGTTACTGGGCAGAATCCAGACGAGCCGTGGCAGAGTCCACCAACACGATCCACAGAGGCCCAGGCGTTCGCGGAGGCGAATACATCAAACCAGCCGCCGCCATATTCCCCCAAGAGCAAGCTAGATCGTGCCCTTGGCCGCCACGGCCCGGCGACTCAAGACTCTTTTGCCTTGGAGTCCGAATTTCGCCGTCACGCGCGTTCGGTTGACGTGGATCGACTCGCCCAGGAATACGAAGCAGACACCGTGCTTGGCCGTGCCGCTGAAAAGGGGACCGGGTCGCCGCCCCAGATTGCGCTTCCAGATGACCCGCCATTTCATCCCACCAATCCTTTTGCTACCTCAGCCCGATTGAAAGCCTCCAAGACCGTGCTGCGGGTTGTGAACGCTTCGCCAGCGCCGGAGAGCCCCTTTCCCAAGCGACTTTCGTATTGCAGTGACAGTAAGGATGATCAAGCCTGCATCGGGAGTGATCTTGGAGTTGGATCTGGCATTGGAGTTGACTCTGACCTCGGAGTCGGGTCAGATGAGAGCAAGGTGCCCAAACTACACCCGCCGCCTGCTCGCATGCACTCTGCGAGACGAAAAGAGACAGGCAGACAGAGCCTGATCAGCAGTGGCCGTTCATCTGTGGCTGGTGGTGGGATGACTGAAGCTTCGGAAGAGGACCCATTCCACTATGACAGCGTCTTCTTGCGCCCATCACGAGAGCGAGAGGTATCCGTTTTCCTGCACCGGGTCAGTGGCGTTGAGCGTGGAAGCACAGCAATCATCTGCTCATCAGATGGTTCTCCTCTGAGAACTTCTCGCCATGTCGAGGGCAGAGAAACCTCCTCGCTTGAAGTGCAGCCAACAATGCTGGACAATCAGGTGTCACCCCTCCGACTGCCGCAGCGTGCAGCTGTAGGCAATGATGCACGAAACCAACAAGGCCAAGAGTTCTTTGAGCCCAGTGCAATCAATCCTGAGTGGACTGTGGGAAGCCCTGATGTTGTTAGGGTGCCTGTCAGGGGGAGAACTCAGTCTGACCAGAGGCGGAACACAAAGGGAAGAAATTCAGAGGTCGAAGGGTCCATGTCGAAGTTGGTGTTGGAAGGACTGCGTGGGTGCGAGGAGCAGAACCGGCTCCCGACTGGAAATACAGAAGGATAGGAAACTGAGTATTCCGGTCACGGAGGATGGTCTGGGCCTGAAATAGGTGGTGGTGCTGGCTTGACTTTCAACACGCAGTTGGGCACGAATGGTTTCAAGCAGTGTGGCAGCTCCATCGCGAACTACTCTGACTGCGAAGCTCCTTCGGATGCAGCTTTGAAGAATCCCGGCCTCCCAAGCTCTCCCAGAGGTCACCCAGAAGGTAGTTTTCAGCCTGCAACTGGTCCATTCGACACGCAGCCTCGAATTGTTCACCCGCCAGGAAACAATAACAAACCCCAGGACCTTCGGTATCGAAAGCACAACATCAACCAGGCTCCGCTGCCAGTTTTTGTCCCTGAACAGCGATACCATAGGGTCAATGGGCTATTCCAGGATACCTCAAGACCTGTTGCCCAGATCCCCCAAGCCACTGACACTCAGGATCAAAACCGATACCAGCTCTTCGGTCCAAGGACCCCAAGTGCGACTCGAGACCCGTTTCGCAGAGCAAACAGCAAGCGGTCAACCTTTCGTGACTTTACGCTCCACCAGGGCCTTCCGCCCCGTCACCCCTTCACCGAGCTTGAGTCGGACGACAGCTCTCTTCATGAGTTGCAGACCATCACTTCTCAATCTGATACCAGACACCCAAGCGCTCCGGGCAAACGTTGGGATACTTCGACCAAATCAGACCAAAACCAAAATCTAAGCTTCCACTTGGACACAATGAGCCACCAGCGCCAATTTCCAAGTCGACCAAACCAGTTCATGGTTCCTGTGACAGACCTGTCACCGCCCGCGAGAATGCCACAAGCTCATCTCGACAACCGCAACCGCGGCGATAGCATGGAGTCGAGCGCATCTATCAGCCTGATGGACTCCAGTCAGTTCGAGTTGATCCCTCTCGAAGTCGCGCGGCAGAGGCAGGCTATTCGCCGTGCCAGCGGCCAAGAGGACCAGACCCTTACTGGACGCGCGCGCCTTGATTCAATGAGAAACCGAAGCTGCAATACCAATGCCAGCCAGGCTGGCTCTCAGATTGAGACCCCAGCTTCTGCCGTGACGCCCAGCGCTCGCCAGGTATCCCGTTTCGTTTCTCGTGGGTTTGCCCAAGCCTCTAGTCCTCTTTCAGGGCGTGACGAGAACGATGCTAACGGTAAGAATCTCCACAGTTAACATAAAAAAGTCGATGCGAAACCTCAGAAACAAATTTGGCTAATAGTACAAGAAGCCCTGATCGCTGGTGACGATACCCGTCCGACTATCATCAGCACCACCACCGGATCTGACCTGACCATCACCACCGTCCGCCAACCGGACGGAACGCAATACCGAATCTTCTATCCTGCCCCGCGTCTTTACCCCTGGGACCGACTGCACCGCCGCACTGCGGCCCAGAAGTCCACTGATAGATCTCTGCAACGCATCACTGGACGAAGTCACAACAACCTTGACAACATGGAGCGCGGTACAGTTCGTCGACGCGTTCACGGTACCGAGACCTGGCTTTCCGACAATGCTCAGGCAAGACGACGTTCATTCTTTCTCATTGTTGCGCTGCTTTCACTCTTCCCTTTCGTTTCGCCTATCGCCCTCTGCGGCGGCTTCGACAGCGCGCTGTCGTGGCATACCCATGGCGAGATCGACCGTTTCAGCACAAACCAGAGACGATGTCTGATGGTCGAGGCGATCATCGCCTTTCTTTTTGTTATTGCAATCATCGTCTTTGTTGTCATCAAGTACGCGCTCCACCACTAGGAGGATTCTGTGTCTTGAGCCTTGAACGACAGATACGGGCGCAAGACGCGCCCCATCGCGGTCGAAAAACACATTGTCGGAGCACGACACCTGCGTGCTGTATTCTGGCTCTCGGGCAGTCCGATTCTATGTTCCTTCTCTCGGCTGCGATTCTCGATTCAATTTCACGGAGCAATCATTTATTTCAACTGCTGCTGTCCTCCGGCAAACCGGGGCCGAGGCCAGCTTTCCAACCGCTCGCACACGCTCAGTTCATCATGTCCGGGATACGGAGTGGTATCTCACAACTCTCCTTTGTAACTGCCTCCCAAAGGCGCAGCACGCGACGAACTTGATCTTTCTGCTCAAGGCGATCCAATACGAATCGCTTCAGCATGATACACAAGGCATCATGAACAAATGGATGCAGTCGAATTCTCACCCTGTTTCGTTCGTCTTTCCAAGTCTCACTGTTTTTCCTCTTCAACTGGCTCGGGTCAGACTTTGCTCTATCACTCTCATTTCATGGTTTTCCCTCGTCACGAATCATGAAGGCACGTCACAGCAAGGCGTTCAAAGGCGGATCTGCATGCGAGGCGCGGGACTGGACAGGCATTACCAGGCGTTAGGAGCAGGCAAGCAGTCGATGGCTGGCTGCAATGCATTCGAGTCCGACCTGTTTCACATCCCTTCTCACGGTCTCAGACTTTTCTCATTCTCCTGTTGGTTCTGATAGACAACAGACCTCCAGCTGTTGGTCCAGGGGAACGTTTAATGATGGATCTGCCTGCAAGGCATGAATTTGTTTGTGTATCTCAATCCGCCCAGTATTATTAGGAGCTTTGCGGATATTTGGACAGGATGGACCGTCCTCCTTTCATATGAATTCTCTCTTCATAATCCCACCAGGTTGTTGGTTGGGTTTCAATGTGTGTGTCTGTCTACATTTGTTGTACTTATACCCACCACGTCGATGACGACGATCCACACGTTGCGGTGACATTCAGAGGAGGGTGTAAAAAATCACAAAAACAGATAAAACCTTGTAAAATATTCCTCTTTCCTCTGTGACATTGCCCTTTCACGTGGAAAAAAGATAAGCTGCCCAGAAGAGTGACCCCTCAATCAACCACATCTGTCAGTGGGCAGCAAACCTTCCCAGGTCATAGATGTCGCACGGCCGTAAGTCGTACGCTTACTACTCTGTCTGAATGTTTTGAGCACAACTTGCATATATGACGATGATACGTGTTTGCAGAAGACTCAAGATCTCCAGCATTGGAAACTGTTTTCTTTTATTATTGGACTAATCACTCTGGTCATGGAAACAGCGACGTGTAGAAATCCCATATGAGAAGCCGTTCATCCCGTGCCCAATTTAATATACGCAACTTTTATGGAAGGAAAACCGAATACCCTGACAATCACCAATTTAAATTGAACCAAATCTATCTATTGCCCAAAGACAATCCGCCTCAGTCTGTCCTTCTCTCCACTCTCCTCACACATGCCACGGAACACACCCCTTCCACCGTCCCGCTCCCATAGTTCCTGAGGCGTGCCGTACTCGGCCACGCGGCCGTCGCCCAGCACGAGGATCCTGTCGAAGTCAGCGATAGTCGACAGCCTGTGCGCGATGACCACGAGCGTGGCATCCGTGAACTCCTCCCGGATGGACCGCTGGATCAGAGCATCAGTAGCCATGTCCACCGCGCTTGTCGCCTCGTCGAGGACCATCACGCGCGGACGGGCGACGATGGCGCGCGCCAGGCAGAGCAGCTGGCGCTGGCCTTGCGAGAGGTTCAGGCCGCCCTCAGAGATGGGCGAGGTGAGGTCGTTGAAGACGTTGGAGTTGACTTTGCTGCTTGAGGTGTCGGTGGACGAGGACGCAACGGGCGTGGCGGTGCCGCTCGTGCCGCTGATGAGGTGCACGCGCTCGAGTGAGTCGCAGAGCTCAGCGTCGGTGTGTTGCTTGAAGGGGTCGAGATTGGAGCGGACGGTGCCGGAGAAGAGAACAGGGTCCTGGGATATCAAGGTCAGCACTTGAGTTCATTAGGGAGATTGGCAGTTCAAATATATGTGAAACCCACCTGAGGGATGATGGCCAGCCGCGACCGTAGATCATGAAGCTTGATCTTCGAAATGTCCAACCCGTCGATATGGATAGTCCCCGACCTCGCCTCCAAGAATCGGAACAGCGCCAAAGTCAGAGAACTCTTGCCTGCACCTGTTCGTCCGACAACACCGATCCGCTCATTGGTCTTGACGCTGAAGCTCAGGCCCTTGAGAACAGGAGGAAGGTCCGGAGCGTATCCGACCACAAGGTCGTCGACCTCAATACTGCCTCCGGTAGGCCAAGCAGCGGGCGGGCTGGACCCTTCGAGGGTCTCGGTCGGGAGCTCAGTGTACTCGACGATTCTCTCTGCAGCGTTCATGTTCAATTCCAGGTTTGCATACAGCCGGATGGTCCAGACGACGCAGTTGGCGAACTCCAGAGCAAAGGCCAAGGCAAAGCCAGCCAGAGCGGCGTCGATGCCCGGCGTCAACAATATCAGGAGCGAGACAATAACTGCGAACATCGAACCAACAAGCGCCATTCGCCACCCCATCCACCTGTTAAACAGCCACAGGTACCAAGTGGCGGTATCGTAGTCATCTATCTTCTTGAACATCCTCTCGACATAACTTTGTGCTTTGTCGAAGCCCCGGATGGTAGCCACACCGGTGAGGGCTGAGCCAAACTGCTCGAACACTGGGGACTTCGCATTGCTCTCCAGCCTTTTGACGGGCCTTGCGCCATCGAGATACAGCAGCGCAAAGCGCAGGCAGGCGAGCAGGAGCACAAACGCAAACAGGACAAGATAAGGAGACACAAAAAGCGAGGCCACGATCACTCCGATAAGCTGGAGCAATGAGCTGCCGCCGAAGGATATGGAGTTGGCGAGCTGCGAGTCGATGATGTGGAAATCGGCCGTGAAGCGGTTGAGGATGCGACCCACTGGCACAGTGTCTAGCCAGCGGAGCGGCGCGCGTAAGACGACAAAGTTGAGCTTGGCGAAGAGCTCCCGTGATGCCCGGATGGAACCTGTGTAAGTGTAGAAGAACTTGAAAGTAGCGACAGCAGCTGTGGAGAATGCGAGCGCGACGTAAATACCCAGGTAGAAGCTGAGCTCATGGTGTCCAGCAGCAGTCTGGGCGGAAGCTGGGACATGGGCGTGAGGGTGCACGTCGACGGCCTGCTGCAGTGAGAGAGCATATGCGTAACCATGATCCTTGGATGCGTTCACATGGAATGCGTTGACAGACTCTTCCTCATAACTGCCAGTCCAAATCCGGAGCCACCAACTCCGCCCCAACGCCAGGGCCTGGTTCAGGAGGAAGATCGAAACACACATGCCCCAGAACCAGAAACCACCAGAGTCCTTTAGATAAACACCGTAAACATGTGTCTTGATGGCGCCTTGCTCACGCTTTTCATCCTCGACAAACTTGCGAGGATTATTGTCCTGCTTGGACAGGATCTTTTTCAACGTGTTCCCGTTCGCCTCGTCCTCTTCCGAATCCTCGTCAGATGGCTCGTGCGAGTTGACCGCTGTAGCATTCTCGTCCTCACGAATTTCCTCGTCGGTCTGCTCGTGGCTCTTGATAAGGTCGAGCGTACCGTCGTTTTCGAGTTCTGACAAGAGGCCAGCGTGCAAAACCTTTCCATCGCCCAGCTCAACGAGGTACTTGGTCTTGTCCTGGCAAAGCGCGACGTGGTGCGTGACGAGTATCCTAGTTCGGCCGGTTGCCAATTCTCCCGTAAGACATTCCTCAAAGATGTGGCGACCGACATGAGCATCGACGGCCGAGAAGATATCGTCGAACACAAGGATTCCGGCTCTCGAGTAAATAGCCCTCGCGAGGGTCACGCGCCATTTTTGTCCACCGCTGAGATTGATACCATTCGCACCTATTTCGGTCCTCTCACCATCCGAAAGCATTTCCAGATCCTTCTTGAGAGCGCAGACCTGGATGGTCTTCTGGTATCTCTCCTCATCGTGGGGCAAACCGAATTCAATATTATCCCGGATGCTAGCATTCTCGATCCACGGGATCTGTGCAACATAGGCAATCGCCTCGGGAATAATCCAATTCGACCTTGTGGCTTTGCTGTCCTTGCGGTCCTCGACAGTGGGTGGCTTGGGCAGCGAGATACTCCCAGATAGGATGTCGACCTCTCCAAGGATTGATGCGAGCATCAGGGACTTGCCGGTCCCTGTCTTGCCAGAGATCACACTAAGTTCGCCCTTCGGGAATGTCACGGTGACATCTCGGAGTACGAACCTTTCGTCGTCATCCAATTTCTCATCCGCTGGCCATGCGATGGAGGCTCCGTCGAAAGTGACCTCATCGGATTCCTTTGCGGTCTTTTCGATCTCGGGCGAGTTCAGATACTCCTCGATACGTTTGACAGAAGTCCAGGCGTCCAGAACGTCAGTAGTTAGCTCAGGGATGATGGAGAGTGTAACCTCGAGAGCCCTAAAGACACCAAGACTAACAAATGCCACAGAAGGTAGCAGGGTGCCATACAACGCGGCGTAGACGGCTAAAGAGGCAGCCGCTAGAGCAATTGGGCTAGTAACCCAGCAGCCGAGTAAGGCAGTGTCATTTGCAAACACGTCCCATACGGATTTGAGTTCCTTCTCTCGAACGGCAGAGATCTTCCTCTCCCACTCCGACTCGAGGGCGGAGAACTTAATCTGTCGGATGCCTTGGAGCGCTTCATTGACGATGCCAAGCTTCTCGTCACGCACCTTCATCAGTTGGTCTTGAGCTGCGGCATAACGCTTCGAGAAGTATATGTTCACAGGCATTATAGCCAGCATAGTCGAGAATCCGGCAAGGAGAGCCTGCCAACCAAGCAATGAGACGAGGAAGGCCAGTGAGACGAGGAGCTTGAACAGACTGCCCGGGAACAGGTTTTGGAACGACATAAAGTCTGACACGCGCTTGGCGTCGACGCCGATTAGGTTAACCACAGCCTGCTTGCTCTTCTTGAGCGCTTCGGCCTCATCTTCCTCCACTTCGGGGATTTCCGGCCGATCGGCGGCCGTCGATTCGGGAACGGTCCCTGCAATGACTGGTTCGGGGCTCTCGACGGCGTCAGCTGTTTTCTTGTTGCTGGATCTTCCACTTCCTTTCACGTCCTTCTTACGCATGCTCTTCTCGAATATCAAGGCGCTGACCTGTCCCCGGACAGGAATAGCTAGCTCCGCAAATGAGAGCCAGAACACGTGGCTCTCAGTCCAAGCCTGGGCGATGATTACGATTCCAAGCCACAACACCCACATGTACACACTCAGCGAGTAATTCTCTTGGCTTCCCCTGCTCTCCAGGATCCGGAGGAGCTGCAGAATCACCCACTGAGGTCCAAAGTTGAGGAAGGATGTGATGAGCGTCAGAAGCCACTGCTTGGCGAGAGCCATCTTGTGGGCAAGAATGATAGCTAGCCAGAGTTGTCGTTTCGAGGCGCGCTTCTTCCAATCAGCAGACAACTCGGCAGCCCGGGTGTAGTGATCGGGTCTAGGTAAGTCGTCGAGGTCAAGCTGGTTCCGCTTACTGGCCATCTTCAGCAGATAGGACGGCCAGCCCCAGGTGAAGCGGTTGAGAGCAGTAGACGTGTACATTCGGTCAATAGGCTTTCCATCTTCATCAAAGACCTCGGGCCTTCGAGGAATGCACAGGCTGACGGCCGCCAGACCAAGAGTTGCGACAATCTGCACGATCCGCAGCGCGAAATGGACCGGGTAGTGAGCCAACAGCTGCTCGAACACCAATGTGCCCTGCACAAGAAGGATGACTGCTGATATGAGGCAGGAGAGGAACGAGTAGAGGCCCAGATTATAGGCTTGGACTGTCTTCCTGCACGAAGCTATGGCAACGGCCTGGAATAGTAGAAGGATCTTTGCACACGAATCAGTCAGTCTTGAACTCCTCGAACACAACGCATATAGGGGCCAGCCCAGACGGGTAGCTAGATGGGATGCGATTTTGCTCACCGAAGCACCTGCGCTTAGCCAATTCTCAAGGAAGAGACCATCCTGGCCGACGCGAAGAGTAGCAAGCACGGCCGTGGCGATGCCGGTGCTGCAAGCAAGAGCAGCAAAGAGCACAATGAGGATCTTGGGAAGTTTGGCGGAATAAGCTGCCACGGACTCTGGGGTAGCCTTCCCATCTTTGTCTTCGTATGTGTCTTGCTTGGGCTGGCGGGTTGTGAGCTGCAATGTGAAAGTGAAGACGGCGGGAATTGAAACCAGCAGGATAATCCCGAGGCCGGTCGCGACCGCCACTACCATAGGATCAAGGGGCATCTTGAAGAAGACGAGATCACGCCCAGGCCCGTCAATCAAGCCGAGCAATACAATTGCGGTGGAATTGGAACGGATGACAGTGGGATGTCAGATTGGTGGCTCAGTGTGCGCCAACGTCTCGCTTTATTTGAGCCTTGGGGGGGGGGGGGAGGCTGTGAAGGAAGGGGACGCGATGGCATGGGTCCGATGCTCTAGATTCTGAATAGGCAAGAGCACGCAAGCGTTCCCACTTGCTGAACGCCGATGTCCTCTTTTTGTGTTGTAGCCGCTTACCAATCTAGACGGCCCCAGATAAGAAGTCGGGAGGCAAGGAAGGGGAAACCGTAGACTAGACTAATGGTGCGTCTGGCCACAAACAAAGCCAGTCTGAAGGGCGACCGGGCCAAGTGACGAACGAGGAGTTCGAGGTTGAGGAAATGCGAGCGACAGAAAAGGCGGAGATGAACAAGGCCATGATGACTCCGCCGCAGGACTCACCTACCACTGCTGGGTGTATGGGTGTGAGCGGCTCTGCAGACGGTCATGAGCCCACCTCCACGCTACTATGTGTGCATGTATCTGTGTACATGGTGGTGGTCTAGTTTGCGGCGGCGTCAACGGGCGGCGTTGACTCACGCCGGGGCATGGAAGGCGGACAGACAGGGAAGGCGCAAGATTGGAGGCGCTTGGTTAGCTGCAGAATCCCATACTGCAGGGCTACTGTGCGGTGAGCAGGACGGCAACCAAGGGGCCTGGGGTTGATAGCTACCCGAGAGGGGATAGTCGTTGATTTGCTGCCTTTCCTGGTTGAGCCGGTTCGCCTCGGGTGAGGTCCCAGACGTCACAGTACGGGCACACCATCACGACCCGGGGTCGACATCCACGGCGTGAGCATTGCATGAGAGGAAAAAAAGTGGCAGCCTCAGGGACCGGGTAAGCCAGGTAGACCTGGTCTGCAGTGCTCGTACAGTGTTAGTGCTTAGCGGTCCTGCGCGAACCCCTCTGTACCTAGGTAGACTACATAGGTAAGCGGCACCGTGAGGATGGGGCATTGGAACGGACGGTCGCGCATCTTGGCACGGAACTGCAAGCTGGGCGTTCACGGTAAAATTACCACCTTGACGGGGCCGGGTTCGAGTCAAGGGTGCGGAGGTGGATGGGTGCCTTTCAGATGTTGCAGTAGGCGGCCATTTGTGGAACCAAGGAACGAGGCAACGCTGAGAAGTTGAATATGCCTCGGCGGCCGCATTGATCATTTGGAGTGCTGCTTTACAATGTCGCTGTGCCCTGCTTCGAGGGCATCTCCCGCCCGCCTTCTGCCGCGAGTACCTTGACGCAGCGAGGTGTCGCTACTTGCTGGCCTTGTTCCGGGCCCGAAGTATCCGGGCCGAGACCTCGCTGGGCATGCCGGTTGCCGCAGGGGCTACAAGGAGCGGCCGAGCCGTAGAGGGAGGTGAAGGGCGGTTCTGCAAAACTGCCGAGCTGTTCGCTGGTGGATAGTATTCCTCATGTGTGTCCTGTTCAGTCAAGCGCCCCGGCAGCCTGACAATGAGGGTGGTAAGCAACGGGGTGTTTGAAGCCCGAGTCCAAAAAAGCAGTCTAGTCCCGCGAAGGACAGTAGTGCTAGCTCTCAAACTGCAATGACAAAATGGGATGGAGTGCCCCGAACCCGTCATGACTTTCGAGGTCACAGCTCTCAACAGACTGCAATTGCCCAACCCAGCACTGACGCGTGAGTTGGGCTTCCACTGAACTGCAACCGCCAGTCTGTACGCCCCCAGCTGGGTGTCGCCGGTCCCAGATCTCTTCGCTGAAGACGATGTGGAGAACGCAGACTGTCGTGTGAGGCACTCCTCGGGATCGAGCAGAGAGAAGCCCGGAGACTCTGCATAATCCTGCTTGGACACAGTCACGTACCCTTAAAATGTTATTTCAGTCTGGCAACCAACATGGCAGGTCTTCTAACCAACGGACCCAAGACGAGACGCATGACCAGACGGGACAGCCTACAGCTTGTGGCCAGAGCCGGCCCAACCAGCTCCTCCTCTCGCTCCTCCCGCAGATCCAACCCTCTGCATGGTGCACCCATCTGCATGTTTCGAAACTGCCCAGCTGGCACTGAGACGTAACAACAAGTAGACTAGATAGACTGACTACTGGCTGGGCTTCAATCTGTGCTGTCATTGGCCTCTGGCACAGTTCAATCAATCCGTGGCAGAGAGTGAACGCGACACGGATGGTCGGGAGGCGGTGGAAGCTTGTCTGGACAGCACCAGACTTGAGCTTGTCCGTGGTCGAGCTCGCACTAACATCGTCTTATCCCCCGCACCGGGCCTTCAAACAAGAGTGGGTGCAGGAGAAACGGAACTGCGCAGCAGACTGCAGACAACAGCACGCACAGCCTTACGACCTGGCAATATTGAAACATCGATCGATACCTAGGTATAGTGGACCGCCCCAGGTGGACCTGGATCCTTTGAAGGAGCAGAGGGAGTTGCCAGGGACGATTCGAAACACAACGTTGGTCGTCTTTGTCGGATTCAGGCACAGGTAGCTAGACTGGGTCCAGAAACGTTGCCGTTTCTATTCCAAGCTTCTCAGGCGGCCGTTGCGGCACCATGTTTCCCGCCTGTTGCGTCGCGCGGGGGGGGGGAGGTTGCCCGTTAGGCAGGTGATGGGCGTCCCGTCTGCCCACTGCCGCCTCCAGGGCTGGGCTCGGCTGTGCGGGTGCCCAGGTGCCCAGATGGGGAGGAGCAGAGGAGCCAGGCCTGCCTCGTTGCTGGGGGGAGCTCTCAAGGTTCCTTGCTAAAAGCGTTCACAAACAAGGGGTCTATCGCCGGCCACCACCTCCCACTCGCTCTCTTACTCGCCCACCCAACCAATCTGCCTTTGCCTGCCTGACTGCTTGGAAACTGAGATCTGATCTGATCTGATCTGATCTGCAACAGGACAAGACAAGGCAAGACAGGTCCAAATCCACCTCGTCTGAACTGAGCCCACATGACCGCTTCAAATACCGCCGTCCCTCCTCCACGCAACCACCTCCATCTCTATCCAGGCACAGAGACAGACCAAGCTGTCTTGAACCCACCTGAACAGCACACATCCAATCCAGGGGCAGGCGACAGAGACAGGCCGCCTACCCAACCTCCTACCTAACCTACAAGCAGGCGCAGACTGCTCGCGGGAACGAGCTCCCAGTCGCGTCAAGACACTGCCTCCGCCCTGTATCGACGCGACTTGACAAAGCCAGCCCAGCCCGGCCGACCACCACCTCCACCACACATGAGCCACTGCTCGACAGTCTGGCCGAGCACATGTCACCATGAAGAGCACTCCCTTGATCATTAACTGGCATGATCAGAATGCCCCCATCTATTCGGCCCATTTCGAGCCATCAGGCAAGGGCCGTCTAGCAACTGCCGGTGGAGACTCGAACGTCAGAGTACGCCGCCCACTCCGAAAACATCCCCTGTCTTCCACCATCACCGAAAACAGCAACACCAACAAGTCATATTTCCAGACCCTTGCTGACCTCATGTAGCTCTGGCAGGTCGAGAGAGATGGCGAGGACAGGAAGGTCGAGTACCTGGCCACCCTCTCCAAGCACACCCAGGCCGTCAACGTTGTCCGGTGGTCCCCGAAAAGTACTTCCTTGTTCCCCTCCTGCACACACCAGCCGACAAGCTTCTGACGAGACGAATCCCAGGCGAAACTCTGGCCTCCGCCGGTGATGACGGGAACGTCATCATCTGGGTCCCCTCCGAGTCCAGCAACCCGGCCTTTGGCAGCGATGGCTTCGACGACAAGGAGAGCTGGCGCACAAAGCACATGTGCCGGTCCTCTGGCTCCGAGATATACGACCTGGCCTGGTCTCCAGATGGCTCATACTTCATCATCGGGAGCATGGACAACGTCGCGAGGATATACAATGCCGCTACCGGTAAGGGAGATGGCGCAGAGCCTTGTGTTTCCGGGCGTCGCTGACGGGGCATGACAGGTACACTGATACGCCAGATCGCCGAGCACAACCACTATGTCCAAGGAGTGGCATGGGACCCCCTCAACGAATACATTGCGACTCAGTCGTCAGACCGCTCTGTGCATGTCTACTCTCTCAGGACTAAGGATGGCCAGTACACGCTGAGCAGTGAAACCGACAAGTGCCCAAAGATTGCAAGTCACATGAAGTCTGACCTGCCCCCTCGGCGCATCTCCTCAAGCAGCCCGGCGCCACCCGACTTTGGCCACCGCGCCCAGCTGTCTGTCATTGACGCCGTTCCCTCCGTTGGCCCAGGCCCAACCTCTGGTGCGTCGATAGGGTCACCGGTGCCGTCCGCCCCCGGCACGCCAACATCGGTGGCGCTGCCCATGAACCCGCCGAGCGTCATCAGCCACAGTCGAAGGTCGTCCTTCTCTTCGTCCCGCCGCTCCGTTTCCCCGGCGCCCTCGATGCCCCTGCCTGCTGTCATGCCGATGGAGGCTTCCCCTAAGCCCCTTCCAACAAGCACAAATGTCAAGAATGCCAGTCTCTATGCCAACGAGACCCTGACCTCTTTCTTCCGGAGGTTAGCTTTCACGCCAGATGGTAGTCTGTTGCTCACCCCGGCCGGGCAATACTCGTCACAACAGACATCAACAGATGGGAAGCCACATTACGAGGTCGTCAACACGGTGTATATTTACACACGGGGCGGCATCAACAAACCACCAACAGCACATCTGCCCGGACACAAGAAGCCGTCCGTCTGTGTGCGGTGTTCGCCAATATTCTATACTCTCAGGACATCTCCACCAAGCACAAAGCACATCACCATCGACACTTCCTCGTCAGAGGAACCAATACCGTCACTACCAGAACCACTCTCAAAGCCGTCCCCTGCGATGTCTGTCATGGACCCACCACCTCCGCCGTCCTCCGAGCCCATGGGAAGGAGTCTTAGCACCACCTCGGAAACAACGTCCACTTCAGCAGGCCCAAAGGCGGCTTTTGCGCTTCCATACAGGATGGTGTATGCCGTGGCGACGCAGGATTCAGTTTTCATCTATGACACCCAGCAGCAAACCCCGATCTGCATCGTCAGTAACCTGCATTGTGCTACTTTCACAGACCTCGCATGGTAAGATTTCTTTGCGTCCGTTGCTCTTGGATGTATATTTGTGCTAATTGATCACAGGGCGGCCGATGGCACAACTCTATTCATTACGTCGTCAGATGGCTTCTGTTCGACGGTCTCGTTTGCACCCACAGATCTTGGTGAGGTCTACAAGGGTGACATCTCTGCACACAAACGGCGTCAGGAGAACGCGGACGCGGTGGCATCATCATCACAAAATACGCCTGTTCCAACACCAACCTCTCAATTTGCGCCACCATCACCATTTCCTAATGGATCCCAACATCGACACCGCGACTCGACGAGTTCCTTTGCGGCACCCTCCCCACCGCCAGCAGCAGCTTTCGCCAACCAGCGGCCATCGTCTCCCACGAGGTCCAATTCTACCTCATCCATCATCACACAGAGCTCGACAGCAGCTCCACCTGGGCCGCCCACTCTCGTCGCGGGTAGTGTGCCTGGCTTGACTGCGACTAACTCTGGCAAGGTGACCGGGGTGCCCATCGCGACTCCACCGGAGACCCCTCGGAGCACGGCTGGTAGTGTAGCCGGCACCAAGAGGGACCAGAGCGAGAGCGAGAAAGAGGACTCTGGGTCAAAACCCAAAAAGAGAAGAGTTGCGCCCACACTCGTCAGCGGGCCAGGCTCTGACCCGAAGCCTTGAAAGGGTATTCACATTATTGAGAGGCTTGCTAATTTTACCGAGCAAGGAAGCCCTTATATCATCACCAGGCGTCAACTGAAAGGTCTTGCCTTGACGGACTGGGAGAGCGGGCGGGGTCGAGGTGGTTATGATTACTAGTTTTTGGAGGCAAAGCTCCTGCGCTCTTCCTCTTCAGCTTCGAAATTTCCACATACCGACATCCTGGCGTCAAATCTCAGGCACGAAAGTGCGATGTAGAACACGTGGAATTTAATCGCCAATTCGTCGGCTAACGGTCGCTTTGAATTTGTCTTTGGTCAGGCGATAGGGACGTGGGTTCGGCTTTGAAACGACAAAGCACTTCGTGTACTTGCATCCTAACGAAACACATAGCAACGGAATTGGTCGGAGCACTGCTCGAACAGATGCCAGATGGGTAGACCATCATTATTTGTGTCATGAGTGATACATACATAATAAGACTTGAATTTCCAGCAGAGGGACTTATCAAAGTAGTCCTCAGACCGGTAGGACCTGACCAGCACAGCATGTATGAGTTTCCCTACCCATGTTTTTACACAATCTAGCGCTCCACGTTCATCCATCAACCCCCCACCTAAGACCGACCCAGACGCATGTCGGTGGTTCACAAGAGGATTGTGACAAGATTTTAGAGGTTGGGTGTACCTCTCCACCACGCACAGTGCAGGTGTATGATCCGCTCAAGGTAATGAATTCAACGGTTGGAGAAAACGGGCTGATGTGGTTTGTTAGCGGCACATTACTGTGCTTCTAATCAGGAATGGTAGTCGCTGAGCAGTAGATTTGAGACATTCTAGGGTTTAACCCTTCACAACGGACCTAAAGACTGGTTTGACAAGGGAGACGAGCAAAACCTACCCCATGCTAATCAGTTACTACCCTTCCAAACGCAACGTCTTCCATGTCTGTTAGTCCCTACTTGACGGCTTTGTGCTTCTGAAAAGGCCTTGGAATTTCTCTGGCGCTTAAGTTCTCACGGGCAGGTTCACGGGGCCGATATCAAGACAAGAATGTGTCCAGGCTGGTGAGGAGGTAACAAGCAAACGACTGGGCTCCCGCATCATTCTGGTGAAGCTTGAGGCCCAGGGGGAAACAACCAGCCTTGTTCTTTTCGATTAACCTAGTGGTGCGACGTAAGCAAATCTCTGCTACTGTGAGAGTCTTCTAGTGTGAGCATACTGACGATGTGTCTAGACGTGCAGTTCCAGCGAACTGATGCGTACCCCTGAGAGCCAGCGTTATCATAGCGCGGATGTCCCGAGGTCATTGGTGAAGGAAGACTCGCTCCCGAGATGAACTCGTCTTCGCGAAAGAGGAGGGCGAGCCCCGAGCTCGTGTCCAACCCGTTCGTCAAGAAGCGGAACCTGGAGTGGTCCATATCACCGCCCCCTTTCCGGAACGCCGACCGTCGGGGAGAGGGTCGGACCAGCACGGAGGAAGGCTCTAAAACTTTCCATCGGCATGAGGTGTCTCATCATCCCCATCAGGAGTCGAGCGTCGCCGCTGATAACAGCACTCAAAAGCCGCTGGGCGGCCCCTCAGCCTCAGCGCTCGTCGAGAATAACACGGTCAAGATAACCGACCACCTTGCATGGTTCTCCAACCTACTCGCAAAGGCCATTGTTGAACCATTCCCAGCGGGCCAACCCCACCTCACCATCCCAGCGTATCAGTCTCTCTACAACCGCTCATTCCGGTCCCCAGCCGGCGCCCATTTTGTCGTGACGCAGCACGATCACCCGGTAGCCGGGCCTCACTACGATCTAAGGCTGCAGATTAATGGAGACTCGTCGTGTAGTTGGGCGATCATGTACGGGTACGTCATGACAAACCACCGGAGTGTCTCATCTCGTGCTTGGAGGCCATATCCCAAGCGAGGTTAGGCAAAACAATGAGCCAATGTGCTCCTTAGAAGTGCAGAGGTCCAGTCGGAACTTGGCTGACAAAACAGACAGCCTCCCAGGAGATCCAAACTCGCGTGGCCGTACGGGCCGGGCGGCCGGAGCCGGTGTGCTCCGCAACGCAACTGAGACGCGGGTCCACTGTCTATGGAACCACCTGGTCGAGACCGCCGGCCTGCACACGGGCAGCCTCCTGGTGTGGGATACGGGCTCGTACGAGGTCCTGCCGCCGCGGCGGAGCAAGTACGCGCCCGTGGATTCCCAGGAGGGAGACTCGGACGGCAGCGAGAGGGAAAGCTGGGATAAGCTTTCGCAGCAGGACAAGCTGGCCGCAGCCTTCTCCTCACGCAAGATAAGGTTGCGACTGAACGGCTCGAGGCTGCCCCGGGGCTACGCCGTGAACCTGCGCCTGACTAAGGATGAGGACGCGGCTGGGCGTGCGAAGGCGGCGAGGCCTGCGGGCGCGCGCAAGAGGAGGGGGAGAAAGGCGCCCCCGAAGAAGGCGCCGGAGACGAGCAGTGACGGCGAAGATGACTCTGGCTCGGACAGACGGCCAGGTCGTGGCGACGGGGAGGAGGACTACAATGACGGCTCGGGAGCTACGAGCAAGAAAGACGTGCAAGGCATCTTGGAGATGGAAAAGGAGCTCCGTGAGCTCGAGGACGCCGAGGTCCGCAGGACGAATGCGTACTCTGGGGCTGTCAACTCCATCGGGAGTGTGCACCAGCGGAAATGGTTCTTGTCGCTGGACAGGGAGGAATGTGGGTTCTTTAGGACGAAGAAGGACGGCAGGGTATGGTGGGAGCGGCAGAAGGTTGCTGCCGAGGATACACAAGGTAGTGATCATGGTCAAGGCAGACTCCAGTGGCCGTTCTACGTGCGCGGCCCTGGTCACGAGAGGAGCATTGTCACGGGACGGCTTGGGGCTGAGGTCCTCAGGGATGAAGGCGTCGTTGGATATGTTGGGAGGAAAGGATGGAGGCCTATCCTGAGGTGATGAATTATTTGACTCGGACTCATGAACTCAAGAATGATGCTCTTTCAAGTCGATTCAATGCAACGGCGAACTCTGCGGTTTAGCATCACTAGAAAGTAAAGTTGTCCAACACGTTTCCTGAGGCCCGTTATCTGCAATATTGTGATCAATGTTTTTTTGTTAGATCTCTTGGTGGAATTGAGCGCGACAATGCAAAAAATGGCAGAAGCTGTGTCCTCAGTTTCGCGTCGGACATCTGGACCCATACAAAATCAGCATGAGTCTCTTGGGGCAGAATGTGTGCGGCATACGACTGCTCGTGTCTCGCGTGGTCTTCAATGCATCAAGCACTTATCTGCCTTCAACTGGAGCCATGAAGCTGTTGACATAGGCACAACATGTCGATGGAGACATCTGTGAGAGTAATGAGAGCACGTGACATGTGAATGATTTGCAAATGTGACATTCCAATTCATCAAATCCCTGAACTGCGAAGTGATCGAAATCCTTCATGTTGCCAGACATTGGTTCCTCCATTATTTTGATAACCTCGAAGTCATCAATCGTGTTCATTGGCTCAACATCAACGGACGAGTTGTCTGCTGGAGCAACCTCACCTCCTCTGCACGGCCGATGGGTCACCGTAACGCGGTAACGCATCTCGTCTAGCCGACACGCATGTGCAGAGCCCGATACCCGGCCATAAAGTCAACTCTGGCGACAATGGCGATTTACAAAAGCACATCGCTGCTCACATGGTCTCACTTTCCCAAGTCTCTTTATCTACCTACGGAATGCCTGGGGGTTTTGAGATGGAGTATGCGTCGCAGGAAGGGAACTCAACCCAAAGCAAGTCCAGTCAGGTGTCGACTTCCCATCATCACTCACCACAATTGCCACTCCTCACCCATGGAGTCGCTCACAGAAAACTTAGGTTTGGCTAAAATGCGGAGCTGGAGGAGGACCTGAGGACCTTGAGTTTTCGGCGAACGTCGGTCTAGATGTTCCAGGCCTGGCTGACGAAAACGCAGATAAATGGGAGGGTATTTACAGAGCCACGCAACTCTCACACAACACTTCAAATGAAAGCATCCTTGCGAGACTCGCCACCAGAAAGATTCCAGGGAACAGTATTGACCACGTAGTAAATGTTGCGGTCACTACTGCTCATTAGCCATACTTTATTTGTAACTACCACAGCATCAATTGCTATCCGTGGATGATTTCTGGCATCCTCTTTTGTTCCAGTCCTCTGACCTACGCATTACCTTTACCACAGATTGATTACAAGAACCCCAATTTCACTTCTCTCATAGTGCTGTCCTCACGTTGCTAGCTGCACCGAACATTATCTCAATTCGGGCCCACCGCTGGATGGTATTGCTGTTGGTGACCAACAGGTTGGCTCTGGGCTTCATAGCTGCCCATGTGCGGCGCCGGAACCTGTCCCATCCCGAAGCCGGACCCCGTATGCTCCTGCTGGACCGGGCCCTGCTGCTGCTGAGGGTAGTAAGGGGTGGGCTGAGCCACTGTGCTCGAGGCGGGAGCTGACGGGGGCTGGTACATCTGCTGCCCCTGCACTGGGCTTGGTGTAGCCACGGCTGTCGGTTGGGAGCTGGCATACGGCTGAGGAGCGATGTTGTGCAATGGCTGGGCCTTCTCGGCCTGGACAGGGACACCTGCTGGGAAGCCCTGCTCCGCGCGGAACTGGGGCGAGACTGGTCTGTTGTGAAGACCGGCTGAACGATGTCGGTGCATCATGACAGAATGCATAGCCAGAGCAACGATGGCAAGTATGCTTGCGGGGAATGTGAGCACGACGTAGTCTCGAGGGGAAGTGCAAGGGAAGCATGGTCCACAGCAAAGTACTCACAATTCTATGCCACCCAGTCCTGCCGCAGCACACAGACACGCGGCAACGGCCCACCCCGTTGTAGTGAGGTACGCCCATTCGCAATCATAGCCGCATACGAGGACTACTCCTGTCGCCATAACAGGAGCTATCTGGGCAGCGAGCAAGGCGAAGGACGCGATCCACAAGATGATGCCGAAAACATCCAAGGCCAGGATGGCCCAGTAATTATCTGCCCGACAAAATAGCTCAGAATTTGGCAAAGCACCGGGTTCAGGAGGTAGGAGAGACGTTGGGCTGAAGGCGAAGGGTAGGAAGTCTCGGAGAATTAGGAGTCCACGTACATATGACAGCTGGGCCAAAATGGGCAACGATTTGATAGCCCATGATGATGAGAGTTGCTACAGACTGGAAATCATCAACTCCGAATCCGTACCGTAAAGAATTGGCGCTGAGGGGGAGGACTCACAGTAAAGACATTAAGGGCACCTCCGGAAAAGCTCAAATCGGAAGTGAGCGAGTAGGCGCAGAGACCGAGGATAATCAACGCCAGGACGAGCTGGACGATGCGCAGGGCAATAAAGCCTTTGGGATAAATAGGTACATGCTCACGCCCTGCGGGACGATAAGCCGAGTATTTGCTGTTGGCCATCGTGACTGACGTCTGTGACGGCGAATGGTATTAACAAGTTCGGAGAGGGCAAGCAAGTCTGCCGGATGTCTGAGATGAGGCGACAACCCGTGGTGCTCAAGAATAATATTGCAAGAAGACTGCTCAGCAGGATTTGCGAAGCAGAAGCAGAAGAGACCCAGACAGCAATTGCAAGCTCAAGTTCTCCCAGAGGGACTTCGTCCTTTGTATACGTCCACTTCACCTGGACCTCCCCCCGTGTTCAGACTCGAGCGACACTAGCTCCACCACAGCCGCAAGGCGGCGTCTGCCATCCATAGTCCCAGGGCTAGATCTTCCATGCGCCTTTGATCATCAGCTGCCATTGTAGAGTAGTCCAAACCGAATGCAGACGTGAGGCTTGTACTAGGATCCCACAGGCCCAATCCTCCGGGAGAGACCTGCTCGTGCGGGCTGGGACACCGCATGCGCCCAAAAAACCCAACAGAACATCGCCGGCAGCTTGGCGCCGCCGTGAGTCTCGTTCCCAAAAGTACCAGTCGTACGTATCACGGCCCGTGTGCCAGAGCTGTGGTTTTCACGTCGTTAGGGCCGGCACTGAGTCCGCTAGCTTTGAGGCTGTTAGTGCCGGGCGCTGATTCGCCTGGGCAGCGAAGCCGCACGGCAGGAGGTGCGGCTGAAAATGAGCTCCGATGGGGAGCTGAGGCCGGGTTCACATGCAGGTACTCGGGGAAACAATGTGCAGGGCCTGATGTGTTTTTGTGGCTGAATGCCCTTCAACAGAAAACCGAACGGGGAGGGGGTCGCAAGGCATCTGGCAGGCAGTGATGCTCTCATTCCTGGCTTACAGACAGCCAACGTGCACAATGCTTCATGTTGAACATTCGCTGGCGCGACATGTCGAAATGACGAAACGTGTCTTCCTAATCGACTAAGCTCGAGGCCTCTCAAGCACCTCGTGAGACCCGTCTCGCCTGGCGTGCCCTTCGGCTGCCGCTTGATTTGTGCCCTCAGCGAATGGTTTGACAGAACAACGACAGCTACCTGTCGTTAGTGGTACGGGGCAGGGAAAAAGAATTATCTGCTCACCTGCCCCTGGAACAGGTAGGTAAGTGGACACGAAGCGAGGTGACCTCGCCCTTTCTGTCAGAACGCCACGGCTGTAGCTCTCAAAGCACAAGCGCTTGTGCTGGGGCGAGGCTCACATCTACTTACCCAGGTTGGTATGACTGACTATTGAATTCTATAATAGAAAACCCTGGAAGCATGGACACAGCTCCGAAAGCCATTAATTTGGTCTCCTCGATTTTTGCACTTGGGAGTCTGGTCATCCCCAACACAAAGGGGCGTGTGGAAACGAGTGGCAGTGGACAAAGAAGACGGGTCGACACGAGGGGGCCAGTCATGGCACATCATGTGAAGGCATTTGTGAACATACTAATTACAGAGACAACGCTGTCGACATTGCTTTGTGGGCTCGTGCCTTTTCCAATAGAATCGGAGCATGTGAATGTGCTATCCCTGCTCGAAGATGCCACTGGGCTGGGTCTAATGTCTTAATCTATCTACCGGGCGTTGAAATGCCGCGGACATGAGATGTGCTCCTGGACTCGAGGCTGATCTCACTAAGCCTGTGCTTTTCTTTCCTTTTCGCTCTGAGGCCGAGTCAGGCTGTGCGATTCATAGCGTTCGTCTAGAGTATGTGCTGCGATAAAGACGAGAGGCTCGATGGGGCCACACTCCCCCGCCCGGTGGACTGTTGTCACCTGCTTTTCCAACATCATTAGCCGTGCTTTTCTCACTATTCACGTACCGACGATTCCATACCATAAGCCCGAGAGAGCAAAACGTGGGGGTGGGGGCACCCGACAGTCATTCACCAATCAAATATCACAGGCGTCTTGTCCAGAGGACTCGAGGTAAAGGCTTCTTCGATATTGCCTGCGGAAGACAACTATAGACAAACAGCTGCGTTTCCTCTTCGTCTTGTTTCCGTCCTCTCTTTGACTGACTCTCAGTCAGGGGTCCCCACCGGGCCCGGATCTGCCCAAAAAAAGAAAATACGTATTTACATGCCCATCTATCAAACATCTACCTCCGTTTTCCCAGAGGCATATATGTACATTGATCCACTAACAGGTAGTACAATGTTCCGTGAATTCATAGGAACCGTTCCTCAAGAACAAAGCGTCCTTGAGGTTGTCAGAGCGTGCCAGAACGTGTTCTGACATGGAGAGAACGCCGCAGCCGTGCCGCATCAGAAGGAAAACCGAGCAGAAATTAACAAAAAGCCTCCCACCTCCTTCCAAAGTGTGGTGTGACCAGGAGTCGGGAGGCCCATGGTGTTGTAATGTATTCGCAAGCAAGAGCGAGTAAAAGGAGAGCCGGGTATCAAAGCACACAAAACCACGCTGACGTGGAGCTCCGTGGTCAAGGTCGAGAGGGCTCCATGACATGCCCCTTCCGGGCCCTGCGAGTCCCGCCAGCCACGACTATTAACGCTGGTTACTAAACATCGCAATTCCAATCCTAAGAGAAGTCTTCTTCGCTCGAGACCAACTGGCCGATGCGTTGGACAAGCTCTTTGGTCTCGCGGGCGATCTCAAACGCGATGGGCGGCAGCGTCTGTGTCCACATGCGCCACTCGCGGTCGCGCTCGTTCTTGCCATCGGCGGCCAGGTCCTGACCGCGCTCGCCAGCCTCCATCAGACGTTGCTGAGAATCGGCGAGGCGTCCGATCATGTCACCGTTGCCAGATGCCTCAGTCTCGGAGATGACTTTGCCGACAGTCTCGACAATGGAGCGGATCAACGGCTCGATACGGCTGATGTCAGCGGCGCCGCGGATCAAGCCGACAAGGCTCTGGATGGTCTGCACCAAGATGGCGGTCTGATCGTCAAGATATACCTGTTCCATGCTTGTCAGTAACGAGGGTCCTGCCGATATGACCTCGAGCGGAAAGACTGTGAGCTCACCTTAAGATCTTCCGTCCTGGAGTCAACTCGGCGCATACCATATCCATTCGACGCGGGCGGGAATCCGTTTCCATTCGACTTGTTGTACGTCTCAACCGACTCGCGCGGCGAGTTCACTGGGCTGTACGCAGACGAGTCCATGCTGGACCTCCTCCCAAGACCCTGGAAAGGAGGGGGAGGGGGTAGTTCTTGTGGGTATGGGTCTTGCTGGTAGGCGCTCTGTATGGATTGCGACTTGGCCGTCCGAGGTGAGAAGACACCGACAGAGCCCACCGGTGTCGCTGTGCCATCATCATCCTCCTCAAGCTCTCCGTCGGGAGTGATCCGGATCTTGACCACGCGCAGGAGGTCGACGATTGCACCGACAAGGTTCGAGGCCGCGGCATCAAGCACAGAAATTGGCGACATGCCAGCTGACGTCGCGAAAGTCTTTGCAGCGGTAATCAAGTTGTTGGCCATCGAAGACACGCGGCTCTTGAGCTGCTTACGCTGCTGTTGTGATTGGTCGTTTGATGACGAGGCGTCGATATCCTTAGTGATGCGCCGCACGCTCATAACAACGGATTTCATCGAATCGATGACCTTGTCTGGCTCCTCGACACGGGCACGCCTTAGCAACTCGTCGATGGCAACCTGGAACTTAGTGACATGGACATCCTTAACAAGACCATTGTCATCCGTAAAGCCCTTTTCACGGACGTATCGGCCCGCGTCTTGATCGACAGACATGTCCATAGATGAAGATCGCATGCTGCGTAGCTGAGTCCTCGCCCTGGCGTAACGGTTGCGCCAGTCTTTGACTTCAAGCTCCAGAGTCTCGATCGTCTTCTCGAGTTCGCCTTGCTTGGCCCATGAGGAGCCACTCTGCGCAGACAGCATCTTCATCTCCCGGAGGAACTCCTGGGCTTCTCGTCTGACTTGCATAGTCGTTTGTCGCTGCTCCTCGAGCGCTGCTCGCAATTCTTCGTTCTCTCGCACCAGTTCGGGGTCGTTTCGGCCAGAGCCCATCTCTGATACAGAGGATCGAGCCTCCTCGATCTCGTCGCGAAGCTGTCGAGTCTCGTTGGAGTGCTCATCTCTTAGACGATCGAGCTGATCCTTCAGGGAGTCGTTCAGGTTTTGGGCTTCCGCGAGCTGGCTCTCCAATCCCAAGCGCATGTTCGACAGTTCCGTCTTCTCAGCATTTGCGGCAGTGGACCTCGACCGTTCGCCATCAAGTATCTCGTTCATCTCGTCATCTTTCTTTCTTAACTGGTCTTCCATGCTGTCAAGCTTTTCACGTAGCTCTCGTAATTGTATCTCATAGTCGTCCATGATTCGTTTGTCATTCTGTCGCATTTGGTCAGATACACCGCCGAGACTCCGTCTAGAGCCTCTACTCACCTCTGACGGAGCATCACTTTGCTCTCTTCCACCGAGTGCGTAAGCGTTCTGTGCCTGATCATCATCGCCTTCGTCATCCTCCTCCACCATCGTGCTCTTGTTAGGTATTATCGTATTGCTCTGAAATTGTTTCGGGGTCGGGCGATCGTAGCCACTAGGTGGCATTCCAGGGGAAGGAGGAATGTCGTATCCATCGACAATGGATCCAGCTCCGCGTATGGAACTGGCATTACTAGGCTGCCTTCTCCCCATACCGCGTGGGGGATATCCGCCCATGGGAGTCCCAGCTCTACTAGGAGCTCTCGTCGAAACCGGACTCGACAATCGCGGAATGTCACCGGCCACGAAGCGCGGGTATCTCCGCTCCAGTTCGCAAAAGACATCGGTCGCGAGATCGCGGAAGCGAGGAGGGCCGAGCGAGGAGAGCTTCTGCCGAGCCTGGTTCCGCTTGGGGTGGAAGGTGTCCTCCGGGATCAGGTATGGTGGTGGACCGACATTGGGCGGTGCGTTTGGAGGTCTTCGGCTGAAGGCCTGCCTTCGCAGCAACTCGTCGAACACATCGGTACTGAGTTCAAGAAATTGAACGCCGGTCAGGCGCTGCAGCTTGTCGCGGGCCTTGTTTGCAGGAGGGTTCGGCTTGCCGTCGCGCGACGTCTGCGACAGATAGCGCTTCAGCGCCACATAGTGTTCCCCCAATACAGCCTCCACATTTATCTCTCGCCCGCTGCGACCGCTTTCGCTCCTCGCATAAAGATCAGTTGCTGTGCTCGATCGACCGACAGAAGGTGGCGGCGAGGGCCCGCCGGCGCTCCTTGGACCTGGTGGGAAACCACCGTTCATTGGGCCGTTCGGTCCTCCTCCTCCGGAATATGGTGGTGATGCTAGTTGACCTTGCTCTAGGAGTGGATTTGGGCCTCGAGGTGCGTTCGGGTAAGGACCATCGTTGTTCATTTCTGTTCCAGTCGGCCAGATTGTACCTGCTGTAGATATCGGGGATAATGGTGGGTTGGCGCGAGCAGCAAGCATAGTTCGTTGGGCGGTGGCTCGTTCGAAAGAGGCTGGTCTCGAGGTCTCAGGTCTGCCGGACTGGGCGCACCGGGTGGTTCAGTCCTCTACAGCCAACGTGGTCGCAAATGGCACGAGGCTGGTCTCCTGTCCAAAGGGATGCAGGCTCCTTCGCTGCACGGTCGCGGACGGCGCTCGTCACCGTTGCCGTCAGCTGTGGTGTAGAATGCGGTGTAGGAATGCAGAATGCGGGACGAAGCCGCGCTCCGGTTCACCCCGTTGCCCGCGTCGCAAAAGTGGGCAGGCAGCTGAGGCTGGGTGACTGTTTAAGCAGGAATCCGAAACGTCAACTCGGCCGGGCAAGGATGCAAAACCCCAATTAGGGTGGGTGTCTCGGTGCGGGAGGGATGGGGTTGGTGGTTGCAGCCCAATGCGTGGCCGGGCGGTAAGACAGTTGACCGTCTGTGCCCCTCTTGGTGTAGAAGGCGATCACGGGGAATTTTAAGTTGGCGGCCTTAAACAGCCTTGTTCGCCTTGGCCTGATGCTGCGATGCTGGTTGAGGTGTGTGCGGAGTGTCCTCGACTCAAAAGTCAAAAAGGAGCCGCCGTTTCGCCGCTGTGACAAAGGTCGGCAATGCAACACGGGGGTGAATTCGCGGGCGGAAAGGTTAAATAGGGCTGAAGCAAGGCCAGATGTTGACTGAGTCGAGGTCGAGCGATCAAAAGCAACATCCGTTCCTGGCGTGCCAACTTTTGGATGCTTGGCCGTAGGTTTCCCCGTAGAGACCAGACTGACACGACAGGTGCAGTTGCAGTTCGGTGTGGGCAGAGTTCCCCTGGCCGTCGGGGCGCACAATCGATATCGGACGATTGACTGCGCTCGAATTCTCGCGGGCGACGGGGTCACTGGCTTCAGAGCTTATAGGAAAGACGACGAGGATGAATATGCGACCAGAAGTGAATCGGTTGCAAGTTGCGGTCCAGGTCGTTGTGAAGTCAGGTTTGTAGACAGGAGGACGGGATGCGTTGGGGGGTTTGTTGGTAGGCGGTATGGATTCGAATTAGTATGACTGGGCGGGTAGGCGAATGTAGTGTTCGTAGTGTCATATGCATCTGCTTGACTCGACCTGACCCGAATCGAACTGGCGGCGGCGGCGGCGACGGCGATTGGCGACGGCGCGTCTAGGAGGACTGATGTCGAGCTCGAGTTCGAAAGAGACGAAGCAGGCGCGGCGGCTCGTGGCGTGGCTTGTCTTGGAAGCTCGTGCTAAGGGGCGAGCAGAGCACAGCGCAGCGCAGTGCAGCACAGCAAAGGAGGACTGGCCGGGGGGTGGGCTTAAGCGAGTGAGCGGTCGAGTGATATTCCACGCATCAACTACTACCTATGCGTGCAAGGCATGAACAAAGAAGGGGCAAAAGGAGCGTCGAGAAGAGTGTGAAGAAAGAGGAGGGGAAAAAAAGTCTCCCAGGCCCGGACTGAACGAATTGAGGATCGACAAGGACGGACACGCAGCAGAGGTTTCCGCAGAAAAGATGCGGCCAGACGGGGATGGGAGTGCGTTGCTTGATGAGTGCTTCTAGATGACAGGCCAGGGCTTCTCTGCGTCCCTCCGTCTTTGGCTGTGATGGCTGCTCGCACCCCCCTGGCTAGACCGGATTGTGCCTGGCAACGTCGGATCTCATTTGATTAGCAGCGAATCCTGGGCCCCAACCCGCATGTACCGTACTCCTAGCAGCTAGCACAGCAAGAATGAACGTCATGGGCAATCGATCGCTGCGGCTGCGGCCACGGCCACGGTACCTGCCAGCCCGACAGGTGTTCAAGCAATTTCTCCCAAGGGACGGCTGCTTGGCAGTGCCCAGACGTGCTTGCAACATGGAATAAAGGAGGCCCTGCCAGAAGTTGGCGGCGGCGGCCTGGCGCAGCCTGGATGCATGGAAGCGACGCTGGGAAGGAGGCCTTTCCCGGCGCCTTCCCCAGCGCCAGGGGGATGCCCACCAATGAGAAGCCGCCTTCTCGACGTCCCCAATCTCCAGCATCCCATGCACCCCCCCTGATCCACCCCCTGACCCACTGCAACATTGAACCCGGGATTGACAAAAGGCGTGGGGCGCCATCCAGCCCGTCGTTGCGCCCGTGTGACCGCCTACCTAGGTACAGATAATAATACTAGACTGGAAAGTGCCCGGAACGTTGAGAGGAACCGCTTTCGATTTCGATGACGGCTCGAGCCAGGTGCTTGTTGGGCATCGATCCGGCCAGCCGGTGTATTTGTTACTGTGTAGTGATCATGGTGCTGCTGTGTCCATTGCATGGAACGGCACGGGATTTGCCATGTGAAAGGCGCCCTCACCAAGCAGCTGGCAATCCACACTAGGACTCGGCGTCACGAACTTCGTGAGCGGTGAGATTGTCCTGCGAGCCTGCATGCTTCGTGTGCCTGTGTCCGCAATACTGTGTACTATGTAAGCGGCTTCTGGATCTGTACCTGCCGATCCATCGGTCTCGACCGTGAGGAAGGACAGGGGCCAAGGAGATGAATTCACTCGAAGCCGGCAGCCCATCGCATGCATATATTGTATTCTACGATGGGCCGCGAAGGAACTCACATGCGCCCGTCTCTTTTTGCTGGTGTGCTATCTGTCTCAAGTGCCTGGTCTAGGCAGTGTGGTGGTTCTTGTACGCGCCTCGTGGAGCGAGTCTCTACTGTAGATATGCACAACGGCTTCTCTTCGCCGGTGGCAGACGAGCATTGCTGCATTTCTCGAATGGGCACGGGTGGGGACCAAGCGGCTCATGCCCACGCAGCATTGACAAGTGCAAGGTCTGGACCTTGGAAGTTCGAGACGGGACTTGGAAACCCATTCCTTGACGTCCGTAAATGCATTTACCCACTCTGCTAATTGGTACCCCAGGAAATTCACATTTGTGCCCACAAGCGTGGCTGTTCAACCCGCAACGCCAGCCAGTGCACCCTTGGGACGTCCTGAATCAAGCTCACGAGGATGATCAACATCTGGATTTCCTGTCCCAACTTGACGGCCGTCAACTATGATCGGCTGAGTCCCGGAGTTGAAAGTCGGACCGGGCCTCCGTGGGCCCGTGGGCCTCAAAAAAGACATTGCCGTTGCCGGACGGACGTCGTTGGCAAGGCACATCGTGTCGCATCGACCAAGAAGCAGATTGCAATCTCGGCGTTCGTGAGGCTGTGCAGCCTTCTCTCTAACTCCCTGCGGCCCCGTCGACGGACCCTTGTCGGCTCAGCCCTCGAGCTCAATTCCAGAGCCCAGTAGCTGCGTGCTCTGCTACGGCGATTGGCCCCCAGGTCGGGGGTCGAAAGTGTCATGTCGCATTGCTAAACTTCATCCCAACTTTGTCCATTTCCTCCCCCTTCCCACCCCGGCCTGCGGCATGGAAAAAACGTGGTCCCTTCGGCAACTGACAGAAGCTTCGATATTTCGAGTCAGGCGGCAGCGTCGTATAATGCCCAGTCAATATATGTACCGCTCAGATGGCAGCACGCTCGATTTCTCCACGAACTCTGCCGAAGTTCCTTGTCACGAGCACGACGGGACGATTCGGGCTAAGATGGTTCCGAGAGTAAACAATAGATAGGGTATCATCACTTGCTTCTATCAGTCACCGATGACAGGCAAGGGCGGCGTTTTGCAAGCCTGGGCATCTCCGCCACTCTACTCACAGGAGCAACGAAACGCCTAGAGCTCTTCGTCCTTGCCGTCCTCCATGAAACGCGTGCAACTCCAAAATGCCAGGTCCTCTTGAGCTTGACGGGAGCTACCGTCCAAAATCAACCTTGTTTGCTGGGGAGAAACATGTCACCCAGCCCTTAGTCCCTGGAGCGATTGGTCGGAATACACTTCAGTGCTGCGGTAGCATCCGTCATTGATCAAACGGATTGCAAACATTCCTCAAAACCAAGACAGTGTCCACGTAGCAGGGAGGTTAGGCCACCGCTCCTGCCACTCTGCCAGAACGTCGGGGACTCTCTCGTCAAAGCCCGACCGCGCTGCTGCACTTCCCCCGTCAAAGGCCGCCGCACCAATAGCTTCGCGCTCCTCCTGCGCGGCCTTGTTCAGCGAGTCGGCCAGGTCGACCATGCCTCGCCCACCGACTGATGCCTCTTCATGGTTGTCCTTGATGTCAATGTTGATGACATGGACTGGTCGATTGAGGGGTGAGCCCCTCGCGAGCAGATCGTCGACCACGTTGTCCCAGCACCTCTCTTCGCAGGTGATCACGACGTCAACTAGCCCCATCTCGGTGCCCTCGCGGCCCTGGTCTTGCTCACGGCCGTGCCGCGGGTGTCCGACCTGCCAGTCCTGCCACCTCTCCGGTCCCCACTTGATGCCTCGATTCCGGCCCAGCATGTTCAGCAGGCCGTTGGCACGGTACAGGCGCGGGTCCTTTCCCTCGAGCTCCTTGTACATGCTGTCGTAGGAGGTCTTGTTGAACTGGTAGACGTTGGGCTGCGTGATGGTCGGGCCAGGGAGACGCACGAGCGAGCCGGTTCCGAAGGATATGACGGGGTATCCAGCTTGAGCGAGGCGGAGGTGGCCTTCCATGGATCTGCATGGCTTTGTCAGAGAGGATGGGCGGCCTGGAATGGGAGGCCGAGGAGGGTGGTACCTGTTCTGGTTGCTTGCGCACACCGTGCAGAAGCGTAGCTTATAGCTCTCTGACTCCTCGCTGGCGCCGTTCTGCGCTACGGCTGTAGCTGCCGCTCCATTGGTCGCTTCGATAGTCGCCATGGTGCGCTCACCGTGGGTTGGCTACAGCGGCTCCTGCTCGCAAGAAGTGTTAGCCCGGCATCAACATGACAGCAAGTCTAACAGCGAGGAACGAAGCCGGCGTAGGCAAGGGACGATCAGACATAAAAGCGTATACGGTATAAAATAGAGTCATCAAAGGGATCAGACAGCTCCAATAACAAATATCATCATGTAAAGGTAGAGAGGGGTTGGGGAAGAGGGCGCATCCTACCAAGATTCTCGGTCCTTTGCTTGCAACCAAATCGTCACGTGCCTGGGTTATGATGAGATTAATACCCCGTCACAAGACGGGCAACGCCTAAGATCTCTCACTTCATCCGTGAGTCTGGCTGCAGAGATCACGGCCGCTGATTAGAGTCAACGTCGTGGTTGTCCGTCGCGTCGCAGAGGAGGTCGAAAGGCTGTGGTTGCTGGCAGGAAAAGCTTGGTTGACAAACACACGCGGCAGGGACCGGAGTGGGGTGGGCCCTTCCTAGCGTATATCCCGCATTGTGATTGGTGACAGCGAAAGCGCCTGCCCGGTCTCGCTGCCGACTGAAAGGGATGGGAACGTCGACCTGAAACAGATGGGTTCAGCAGGGATGGCTTCTTAAAATAGAAACGGTCTGTCAGCCTTGTGAGCGTGAAGTGGTCAACAATCTGCTTCTGTGTACTGGCTGGCTCCGGAGATAGGTGGTTCAATATGCTCAGGAAGTACACCTTGTTGGTAGGTGTGTGAAACACTTGACTCAGACCAAAGACATTGAAGGGTTGCCCAGGCGTCTCTATACGTTCGAAGGAAGGTGGAAGAGTCCACTGTGATACATGTACCTCCCGGACATGCAAGCGTGATAAGCTGATGGTCTCATGGAAAATTTACGGTCTCCGATAGCTTCACAGTGTGCTTCTGGAGGGGCGGATGATGGATGCTCAAGAAGCGCGCCCGCTGCAGGAGTCCTCTAGCACTTGTCCACCTGACCATAGCAGTAGAGGACTAAATGAGAGTCATGGTGGTCTCGGCCGAGATCCACATACAAGGAAAAGGCCATCGGACGATCCGCTGGATCTCGATCAGTTCATTTGTTGTTCTGCGGGTCCTCTGACGTCCAGAAACACGCCCAGGAAGGCTGACGCCGACGACGACGCCGACGACGACGGCGGAGGGCCTTTGGGATGATCATGGCAATGCTGATGCTGCTGTGATGACGCATCTAAAACACGCAGGTTCTTTTGCTGCACGGGTCTGGAAACAAATAGGTCGTAATCAGGCCGGGTCTATCTCGGTTGACAATTTTATGCCATGAATCAACTGTGATGAGGGTGCCTGCCTACTAATGCATTGGGAAGAGTGCTCGTGGGCTCCGAGACCCCGCCATTGTCCAATGTCGTCGAACATGATTGCAATCCATCGGTGACGGCTTGCGGAGAGCTAGAAAATAGACGCCCAACAATGGAGATCAGTTCATCTCATGAGATGCAGTAGCTTTGTGCTGGAATCGCGTGGTCTGAGTGTGGTGACAGCCACCCCACCATCGCTCATCTTCCGTGAGGAGTGCTTTCGAGTGACATGTCAGGCAGTCAGTTAGCCAGGCAGGCGGGCAGGCAGTGACTGTTGGTTCGACCAATCCGCCTCGCCCACTTATTAGACTAGGAGGGCAGTGTGGTGTCTTCGAGTCCTGCGAGTCCAAGACAATGGTCGGTCCAACATCCAAAATCCAAACCCCCCGTCCACTCGGCGTTCCAGACCGAACTCACGGACCAGCCTGCAGCTGACATCCAAGCGGCATCGCGCTCCACAGCTAGGCTATCTAAGCTACCTTGGTAGGCAACTCCTCACTCCTTTAACGCATTGGATGGAGCGGACATGCAGCAGAGGGAAAAGGACAAGTGCAAGATGAGGGGCTAGGTTTCGGCGGCTGAGTTGGCTGCTAGCGACGAGGGCTGAGTTAGGGGTACCAGGTACCCGGTAAGTGGTGAGTGGTGAGAGCGAGAGGACGAGGTTGAAGAGCGCGCTTACTAGCCCTGTCGATGTCCCCGGGACAGGACAGGGCAGGGCAAAGCCAGGGGCAGGGCAAAGCCAGGGCCAGGGCTGGACCGCACAGGGCTGCTGGGCTCGGCTGGGCTGGGCTCTAGGAGGAGACCAAGGGGCCCAGGAGAGCAGGAGACCAAGAGCAGCAGCAGGAGGAGGATGGGAGGAGAGGAGAGGAGAGGAGAGGAGAGGAGAGGCAGCTGGCAGGGCGGAAACAGACCAAGATCCCCCAACCCAACCCAGTCCAACCCTGCAGATCAAACTGACTGTTTCTGGTCCGGGTGGATCCAACCGTCAGGCCTTTCCAAGGTTCCAGTTCCTCTCCCGCGCACCGGACTGCTGCACACACACAAACCCACACACACAGTAGGCACGGGACGGGCACATAGACTGACTACCACGGCAGACTACAAGCCTCCTTTTCCCCCTCGATCCCTCACAATAGCATACCTAGCATCGACACTACCACCGAGATTCGACCCGACCATCCGGATCCTCGACTGGGTCCTCTTTTGAGGCTCATTCCAGCCCGCCTTCAATCTCCCATGCCATCCCATGAATAGCATCACCAGGCTCCTCTGCATTAACTCAATTTCTGGACCCGCCGGCGCCCCAGCCTGCGTGTTTCTTGCGCTGCGCTGCGCTGCACTTGCACTGCACCGCACTGCGCAACCAGACCCCAAAACCCGCAAACCCGCATCCGCAACAAGCCTGCGTCCCCACGCCGTTTCGTCAGCAGCAGCAGCGGCGGAAGCAGCAGCAACAGCAGCACGTCTCGCTCCTTGCTTCTCCCCCTCCCTGCCCCCCCCCTCGGCCACTGCACTGTGACTGTGAAGCCGCCCGCCAACCTGGTCGCAGCATCGTCCGAGGCCCATCCTGAGCCAGACACACGCCTACCCTGCTGATCCGAATCGAATCGAATACTTCTCCATTCTCCACAGAATTCGCGACTGACTCCTTGCACCACCGCAAAAAGATTTCGCCTTGCGCCGCCGTCTTCCCATCTGCCAAGCCCGGCCAGGCAGAGGCAAGGCAAGCCCCGAGTCCACCAAGGGCCTCCTCGCCCTCGCAGGATCGCTCCTCCCCCTTCCAATTGACCCAATTGCTCCTCCGACACCCTGTCACCGTCACCAGGTGGCCCTCAACGACATACCGCTCCACAACCGAGCGACCGACATTGGCTTTGGGCTGGGGAATACTTGTACTGGGCACGGGCAAGGCGGTGCTCACTGCCCAGCCCGCGGTATCATTTGCGACATCGCACGCGACGTACCCACGGCTTGACTCCAGTCGAACATGACCACAGCCATGTCCGCGACCTCTTCACCAGCTACCTCGCCCCCTCCAGCCGTCTCCTCTCCGACGTCCAATCCCAACCACCCGCCTCTGCCCCCAATCATAACCTCCTCGCCCCAGGCGAAACGATCCACCCTGCCCCGGCCAGTCTCCATGTCACAAGCCTCCAAGGACAGGCTGTCGCAATATTCCGTCGGCTCCGTGCCGTCTCGGTCGCGCCCGCCCTCCCATATATTCCCGATGTTCCCATCCAGCCTCCCGTACACCCTCGTGCGGGACTTCGCATACCCGACCGCTCATCCCATGCACTATGGTCCTCCGCCAGAGCCGTCGCAGCCTCCCTCGGGCATGTCCACCCCGGCGAGCGAGTCACGCCGCCTGTCCGACTCCGCCTGGGAGGGCAAGATGAGCTGGGACACCGGCGCATGGGAGAGCCTCAGCAAGGTCAACGACCTGGCGCCAATCTACCTCGGGGACGGGCCTCCCTGGAGCGAAGACGAAGACCTGCAGAGCCCTGTGGTGAGCTCCAGGCACCGGAAACACAAGTCCTCGGGGGCGGCCTTTATGCAGAGCCGCCGGCGCAGCAGCCGCGACCAAGGCAGCTCGAACGTCATGCACGCGGCCGATTACGACGCAGAGAGGGGCTACTACATAGGCACGGGTGGCGACGGCAGCGAACGATATTATGTGAACCAGGGAGGAGAGGCGAACGGGCCGGGTGGTGAATATGTCACCTACCCGCCCACCCAGGCGCGACACTCGGGGCATCCCTATACGCTGGCTGAGCTACAGCCACGGCAGTATGCTGAACCCAATGGCGGATACCATGATGACTCTGACGATTCTAGTACGGGTCAGTCCCCTGGGTACGACCAGGAAGACCAATCCAGGTACTCTAGGGACTACCAATTCACAATCACCTCGCCCGACGAGGAAATGCACGGCAAGGCGGTCGCTTTGTTCGACTTTGAGCGAGAAAACGAGAATGAGCTTCCCCTGGTAGAGGGCCAAATAATATGGGTTTCTTATAGGCACGGGCAGGGATGGCTCGTGGCGGAAGATCCCAAGACAGAAGAGAGCGGCCTGGTCCCTGAGGAGTACGTGCGGCTGCTCAGGGACATCGAGGGCGGCATGACGAGCCTGACCGGGCAGGCTGAACCACTCTCCGGGAGTCCTGGCGACGTGGGCACGCCGACACAAGCCGAGCACACGAACCTTGGCCACAATCCTCCGACTGCAAGTACCTCCTCCAACGCCAATGGATATCATCAGCCAGTCGTCTCAACTTTCTCTACTTCTAGCAAGGACCTTGAGCCGTATCCACACCACATGCTAGGCAACCAAGCCGGCCACGTCCCTCCACAAGTCGTGCACTACCACGGTCAAAGAGGCGGCAGCCAAGCCAACACACCGACGCTCTCGACGCACCACGACACCGGTTTCCTACGACGGGGCAGCCAGGGAGGTGAGGAGATCCCACCGAAGAAATACGAAGGCCAGACCAAATCCGATGCGAAGCTGCAGTCTCCAACCGAGGACAGGAAGATGGAGGCGACGTCATGAGGGGAAGAGGCGAAGGGCGCCCTGCACAAGAGGGCTCTGATAATAAAATCCACGCCGGAGAATGGGAGGCCTTGTTTATTTGGCCAAGTGTAATTGTAACGACCTTTTCGGGGCGGAGCGTTGCTTGTACGGCAAAAACAACTATTGTGAACGGATCAGCACGTCAATAACTGATTATGAGGGGTTGAGGGCCCGAGGGGTGAGCCGAGGCACAGTCGAGCAAGGCAAGAACGAACTATAGTTCCTTGCCTGTGTTGTGATGCGGGGGAAGTGCGCCGAGCCGCCGGCAGCCAGAGGAATGTTTCCAGGCAGTGGGGAGGGAGGAAGTCTCCGGTCCAGAGCAAAGATTGGATCTTGCATTTCAGGAGTACATCACGGGTGATCTGGGACGGCGGAGTGGGCATATCACCTCTTGCGATGGAGTCTTGTGTCTGCGATGAAAAGGGCTCCATACAGCCGATGCGCTTTGTATAATGTTTTCGAAATGCCAGATAAATAAGCTGCTGGAGCCGTAGCAGTAAAAAGCTTGTCCACTGTCTACCCTCTACTCTACGTGTTGTGGTGCGTCCGGTAGTGTTGCGCCCTTCCATGATCCGAGGCAAATGCCCGTCTCGCACGCCTACGCCTGGTCGAGATATCTCCCTGCTCACTGCTTTGTCTTGAGACCGACAGGTTGGTCTTTCTTCCGTGGTGTCGGTAAGCAAACTGTATGATTTGTTATCGCAATTTTGTGTGTTTCTTCCTACGTTCTTACGACTACAACATGCCTTCAGCTCGCCGCAATTTGAATTCCTCACTCACCAAGGATATAGCTGACAAAGACGCCAATATGCAGGTAAGAGCGAGGTATTGCATGACCCAATCAAGGTAGTAGGGAATGCATTGCAGTGTGCATATATGACAGTGGTCTTTCAGGCGTCGCGATGGGAGCGGACCATGAGCGCATCATTCTTTCGACTCCTATGGCCTTGAACGTGTCTTACTTGTCAAACTCACATGTTACTCCTGCTATGGCTCTCCGATTAGCAAGAGCGAAAGCGTCGAGCTTCCGGCTGCTGTTTGAGAGGCAATGCCCCGTGAGGACCTGGGTCACACCCGTATTGAGAGTTGCCGGGTTTGTCTGTATCTCGGGGGGGGGGTGTGTGGTTGGCCTATAGCTTGAGTGCTGTTGAGCCGCATCATCTTTGACAGCAGTTGTTTCTGCAGGAGCTCAAGTCTGACCTTGGCCATTCAAGAATCTGTCGAGCCTACAATTCTTGTGAGCCTCTGAGCAAATCAATTAAAATCAACAGCATTGAAAGCTAAGACAGCCTGCAACAGGCACCGGAGCTTACACGGTGGAGGACGAATGCTACCGTTGCCTTACGTCATGGCGGTCGCATTTGTAAGGCATGTTTTGGAGGGTCCGAGGGTAGTCCGCAATTCCGAAGCTCAGCAACGCAATACAGCTGCCACAGCTTCCCTCCTCCATCTTAGTCCGCTGATTCGGGTCTCTTTTTCTCACTCTCGGCTCTGTTGACGCTTCTGTTCCGCTTCTTGGAGCCGATTGACACCCTTCTTCTCAGCATCACCCTCCAACCCCTCCTCAATTGCTCTCCCTCATACCACAAAATGTTTGCGCGATCAGCATTGCGGGCGTGCCAGTCGGCTCAGCCTATGAAGCATGTAAGCCTTCCCTCCAAGCCTGCTCCGGTCTGCCGGCACCAGCCTGTGACTGACATCATGTGCGCCAGCAAATCCGCCGCTACGCCGACAAGCCTCCCGCTCCCTCCGGTGGAAGCAACAACACGCTGCTGTACTTCCTCGGTGGTGGCGCAGCCGCCGCTGGCGGCTATTACTACTTCACACAGAACCCCGGCGCGGCGCAAAAGGCCGAGGCGAAGGTCAAGGGAGCCCTCCCCGGTGGGGAGGTCAAGAAGGCCCTGACGGGGGGAGACCAAGGTTTCCTCTCTCTCAAGCTGGACGACGTCGAGATCGTGAACCACAACACCAAGAAGTTCCGGTTCAAGCTACCCGAGGACGACATGGTCTCAGGCTTGGAGGTCGCCAGCGCTATCCTGACCAAGTTCAAGCCTGAGGGCGACGCGAAGCCTGTGCTGAGGCCGTACACGCCTACTTCCGACGAGGGTAAGTCTCACGCTACGTCTCTTAAGAATCGGTGATAGCCCCGTATGCTGAAACCATATGGACTTGCAGGCACCAAGGGCTACATAGAGCTCATCGTCAAGAAGTACCCCGACGGTCCCATGTCTAGCCACTTGCACACCTTGGTCCCCGGTCAGCGCCTCGACTTCAAGGGGCCCTTGCCCAAGTACCCATGGTCGGAGAACAAGCACGAGCACATCGCCCTGGTCGCCGGTGGCACCGGAGTCACGCCCATGTACCAGCTGTGCCGCGCCATCTTCAACAACCCCAACGACAAGACCAAGGTCACTCTCGTGTTCGGCAACATTACCGAGGACGACATCCTGCTGAAGAAGGAGTTCCAGGAGCTCGAGAACACATATCCCCAGCGGTTCCGCGCATTCTACCTGCTTGACCAGCCGCCCAAGGACTGGGCTGGCGGCAAGGGCTTCATCAACAAGGAGCTGCTCAAGACGGTACTGCCAGGCCCAAAGGATGGTAACGTCAAGGTTTTCGTGTGCGGACCCCCGGGCCTGTACAAGGCCATCTCGGGCCCCAAGGTGAGCCCTAAGGACCAGGGCGAGCTGACAGGTATTTTGGCGGAGCTTGGTTACACCAAGGACCAGGTCTACAAGTTCTAGATGACTGCTGGGGATGCAGGGTCAGTGGTAGTAGCCAACACGCATGGGCGTGAGTGTATAAAAGCATCTAGACGAGCATGAATGCTATGAAAGTCCGATTCACCTTGTGCGCACTTAGCAAGCGCCGACACTTGAACTCATCCAACAACGACTCGTGGTCAGTGGCAATCCATCCGGCCCAAGCGGCCACTTTAACAGCAGCGTTGGAGGTGGTTTTCCCGGTGTTTATAGATGGAATGGTAAGCCTGATCTAATTCTCCTGGGGATCTATGCTTCTTTTCTAGCAGATCTGGTCCTGATCCATTCTCCATCGTTGGGTATCACAACCCATCTGCCCGATCAGTTACGATTCCCATCACATCATGATACCTCTCTATATCCAAATACTCGCCCGCGAGCCTCCACCTCGGCGCCATCTTGACCATTGCGGCCCGCGACTGCTCCATACCCTGCCTCATCTCCGGCTGGCCGTTCTCTTTCCAGTGCCAGTGGAAGGTTGCGAGCGCGCAGTAGATGGCATCGAAGCACAATGGGCTCAGCCTGTCGACCACGTCCACCTCGCCGCCGCCGCTGTCCACACCGGCCATGCTAACGTCAGGGGACGTCGCGGGGCTGCGGGACAGGCCCAGCAGCTCACCCGCAAACACCTTGATGATCTCGCTCGTCGTCGTCAGGCCCTTGATCGCCTCAACCTGCATCGCTAGCTCCTCGGCCGTCCGGCCGTCCTCGCTGCCAATCCCTGAGCCTGGGCGCATGTGTTCGGGACAGCTGTACAGATCCATCACCATGATCGTCGTGCTCCAGACGAGGCACCGCGAGGGGCTCAGCGCGAAGTATGCGTCGCTGCCCACGCCGCCGGCGTTGGATATGTCTGTCTCGATGGCATGGCCGAGTGTGTGCAGGTCACGGAGTATCTCTCTGACCTCCTTGATACTGAAGGCATCCTTGTCCCCCTCCTTCTCTGTCGTTCCATTCCCCGACCCCTTAGGCCAGCGGTGGGCATACCGCCTCGGCGCGCCTTTGCAGTGTGCCATTGCCCTCGAGGTGAGCATCGATGCCTGCGCCAGGCGCGCAAAGGGACTGGCCGTGAGGTCCTCCAGCGGCGTACTGGTGGACCTCTGCAGGGAGAAGGCCATGTCGCCCGAATCCCAGGCGTGGTCGTCGACGGGCAGCATCTCCGTGTCCAACGGCTGGTCTGGCCAGCCGGCGAAACGCTTCTTGGAGCCGAGCGAGATGATCCTGTCGAGAATATGCGTTGCCCACCATACCCTCCGCCTTTCCTCTGCCTCGGTCCATGTTGTACACTGGCCGAGGATCGTGCAGGACTCCTGAAACGACGGCAGGCCCAGCATCGCCGCGTACCGCACGCAGCTGCCAGAGGTCATCCACGCCGCTGGGTAGACAGAGTGCGAGAACTCGTATAGGGCGACTAGTATCATGGCCTGCAGGTATAGGACGGACATGGTCCCTGCCGATTCGAGCTGGGCCAGGAAGCGCTTACAGGCGGCATACAGATGCGAGTCTGCCGCGGAGCGCATCTCTGGTGTCGGCACGGTCGTGATGAGCTTCATGGCGAGGAACAGGAGCGCGAGGTCGGGCCCGCCGTCTGAGAGCGAGATTCCCAGACTCATTCGCTTCTTGGAGATGAAAGGGAACCAGCGGTGGATTGTGTTAAAGTACGATGCGGCCGTCTCCTCTACGACATTGCTCGAAGCGAGGATCTCGAGGACTTCCTAGGACCAATTAGCCCCTTTTCACATGTCTGATGATTGAGCGCAGAGAGCCAGGGCTGATTGTATGGTGGAACCAAACATTGGGAGAACGGCAGCAAGTATATTCAACGGTCAACTGCCAAATCCGTAATCTAGAGTGCCTTCGACAGAAGACCACTTGGCTGTAGATGAACGAATTGACGGCCTAGCCAACAAGAACACTTTCTTCTCACAGTGAGCCGGCCGCTTTGAATTCCCATCTATCATACTACTTCTGCCCGAGTTGAAAAGATGAGAACAAGGCGAGCTTTGGACACAGTCGCGTGCGTCAGGTCCCACCTCTTTTCTCGTCGTACTCTTTGCCTTCTCATATAGCCTGTGCTGCGGATAGGTGTCACTCGAGCACCCAGGCGCAAATCAGACCCAATGACGAATCGCAACGCATCAACCATCTCGTGGAATACGTGTTTCAGGAAAGCCTACTTACCATGGGTATATCAATGTTCGGATTCGGTCTTGAGACCGTGGCCCACTTGTACACGTCGCTGTCAAGAAACATGACCGCCGGAAACTTTGTCCTCTCAAAAGCCGCCTGGCCATCCACCCACAAGTCGCCCCTAGGCCGGACGACCCCTGCTGCTCCCGCACTCTCCGGGCTGGATTCAGACCCTCCGACGTACGTGCTGGACCCCGGGGTGCCGTTCATCTGGGGTGGATTGGCCCTGGCCGAGTCCAGCCTTGCCTCGATCTCTGCCAGCTTCGTCTGGAGGTTCGCAAAGGCCTCCGCCGAGGGGCCCGCGGCGGGGGACCCTGGATCCGAGTAGTCGCATGCGCGCTGCAGTGAGGAGCACCTGGAGCACGATGGCAGGGTCTTGTCACACTTGCGCTTTTGTTTCCTGCATGTCACACAAGCTTGCGTTGCCCGTGAGCCGCTAACTCCGTACATTGCTGTTTCGTGATCCCGGGGCAGGAGGGCAAGAGTCATGACCAGTGAGTGGCTGTTCTGCGATGCGGGCCTTTCGATGAAGTAAAAATAATGTAAGCGAGAAAGATTGAAGCAAGAATTGAATATGGCACAAGATGGGATTAGTAGAGGACAGAAGCTGAGTGAGCACAGCGTGTTGTGAGGCCCGTGGGGAGTGGGAGTAGGAGCTGGAGGGAAACGCAGGAAAACGGAGATAACGGTGTTTAGTAAGCGCTAGATGCTGTGGGCGTCTCACCGTCTTCAGCTTAATTCGACCTCAGTCCATCCTCCAGAGCCCGAGTCAATTGTTAGCCCTCACGTAGTTCCGGGGGCGGCGTTGGGACCTGGTCATCTCTCTCTACTTGCCTCTTGTGACCAGCCTCTTTCCCTGGTGAAATTGCGTGCGAGCACGCCCATTTCCCCAGGTCGTATGGGCCTGGTTGTGCGCCATAACGTGTTTGCGTAGGACGTCCGCTGTCCAAGGACGGCCCAGCGTGTGATGCCCTCAACCTCTCGTCAGTCTCCCTCTGGTGATACTCGGCTCTGGAACCAGAGGCGCAAATTCTGTGGTTTCTTGTTGTGTTCCTCTTCTAGATCGGAAAGGCAAGTTTGTGGGCACTGTTCTTCCCAAGGCGGTTCACCAGGAACACAACGGTGAGTAACTGTGTAGCAATGCGACATTGAATCGTGCCTTCCTCTGTTGTGTGAATGTCTGGAAAGACGTCCGGCCTCAGTCCTTAGGTTTGAGGGTCCCCCTCCTTCATTCGTATGGAATTAAGGCATAATGTTCGCCCATCGATCAGGTGAAGTAGCCGACAGAGCATAACCCATCATCCTTATTCTGCTACAAGCAGCACAGCCAGCCATCTCAACACTCGTTTTGCGCAGCTCGTTTCTACCACAGCATGGCAACCGCAGCTCCTCTCCTTATGCGTCTCCGGCCCATGGCCCGCTGCGCCATACTCTCCGCTCTTGTGCTTGTCTCCATCGGCCTTGTCTATGAGCTTGACGCGTTGCCGGGCCGTGATGTCTTCGCCACCTCAAGATTCTACACCACTAATCGACGGCCTATACGTACAGAAGGAGGAGCAGAAAACCCATCTGATTCCTGCGCTGTCGAGCTCAATCATCTCAAGTCTCTGCACCTCACCGACACAATCAGGCACTCTCGCCGTTGTGTCAGACCCCTATCCTCTGTGGATGTAGATCGAGATATCGTTACCAATATTAGCTCCCACCTGCTCACAAAGAAAGGGACGTTGGATCTGAGCGACGCGTGCACTATCGACGTCGGTGCCTTGCCTTGTGACCCTCTCGAGCTTCCCGTCCCGCCCGCATATCCAACGAATCATGGACAATTCACTCATCTCACCTTCGGAGTGGCTACTACGTTCGCTCGCCTCCTGGAATCAAAGTCTACGTTCGCTCACTGGCTGTCAGATTCCGGTTCCACACTCGTCGGCCTCCTAACTGACGACTCTGAGGAGCTTGGGGAAATGGACCCCACAGCTCTTGAGGAGGAGTACGGGGCTGAGGGCATGAACCTTATCCTCGTCCCAAAGCATCGCTCAGAGCATACCACTGAACAATCACATGTCATGATCATCCGAGACATGCTTAAACACGCCCGAGCGACGGGGAAAGAGACACACTGGCTCGGCATCATCGACGACGACACCTTCTTCCCCTCGCTGCATGCCCTCGCGAGCGCCTTTGCCCAGTACGACCACACAAAGCCACAGTACCTGGGGCAGCTCACAGAGTCTGCACACATCGTCCCTATCGGAATCTTGGGTGGCTTCGGTGGCGCTGGCATCTTCCTGTCGTGGCCGCTGGCGCAGCAACTCGAACCACATCTCGAAAGCTGCCTTGAGGAGTTTCCCAAATCGAGGCGGAGACATGCAGATCATGAGCTGCATCTACGCACACAGCTTCGCCAAGCTCAAGATGGTGGAGGGGTTGTATCAGATGGACATTATGGGGGATACGGCGGGCTTCTATGAGTCTAGCAGGCGGGTTCTGTCTCTACACCACTGGAAGAGCTGGCACTGGTCTCCTGTTGACAAGATGGCTGCCATAACGAAAATCTGTGGTGGCTGTTTTCTGCAGAGGTTCGCCTTTCTGGGTAATGGCAACGAGGCGTTTACGATCTTGAACAACGGATACTCGATCAACATCTACAGGGCCGATCTGGAGGAGATACCTGACCTGAGCTTGACGGAGCAAACGTGGGACGGAGGAGAAGATGGTGCCTACCAGTGGAGCTTGGGACCGCTGAGACAAAAGGTCGACAAGGGAAAGAAGAAGTCGTACTGGCTGGAGGCAGTTGTTGCTGGTGAGAATGGAACCCTGACGCAGGTTTACGTCCACCGAGGTAGTAGGAAGCCGGGGGAGTATGACGAGGTGATTGAACTAGTTTGGCAGCCTTGATAGTAATACGGATCATCGATATGATCACTGTTTTAAATGGATTTGGGCCCGATTCCTTTTAAGTTGAGTCTATACTCCGAGGAATATGTGTCCACTCGCTACCCACATTAGACTGGACTGTCGCTTTTCTCTGGCTATGAATGGAAAAGTCTCCTATGCTGTTGAGACTAAAATAAGAGCCATGACAAATATGTGATTATATTCAAGTGCTAGCATACTGGCACAAACATGTGCGTCTCCCATAGCCCCAGTTATAACATGCTGTATGCGCCCACAAGCCTTCATGCTCGCTTGCAGTAAGAAAAAAAAGAGAAACCCCAATTGTCTATGCCCCAACGCCTCAATGCAAACCTTGTTCATGCCGGATACCCAAAATTATCATGGAAAAGGCAACGCAAGCGATGCGACTGGGAGGTGTCCCATTGTTCTGTCACCTCCCCCCCCCACCCCCGGGGGGAACACACTCTAATTGTATCACAGGTCCTGTCCCGTCTCGGACATCCTCCGAAGCCGTGTCCCAGACGGCCCCTTGATAGTGCCGTACCCAGCGCTGCCCTTGGAAGCCCTCGAGCTGACCCTGGCCAGCGGCGGGAAGTCTTCTTCGTCCTCGTCTTCCGGGTCAGGGATGATGGCGTCCTCGCGGGTCCCGACCAGGTCGGCCGCGTCGCCGGTGATGATGGCGCGGTTGGCAGGCGGCTTCCCGTCGACGTCGTCATCCGCGTCGTCAAGCAGGGCGGAGTCCTCGTCGTCGTCCGTGTCCTCCTCGCGGCTGGGGCCCTCGCCCTCAACGATCAGCCACGCGGGGATGGCCTGGAGCACGGCGACGGCGGCGAGGAACCACCAGGCGGGGATGACGTAGCCCCTCTTCACGCCCCAGCTGAATGTGGCGCCGGCCAGGGTGGGGCCGACGGCCCTGCCCAGGCCGGAGAAGGTCGTGGCGAAGCCGTTGAGGGTGCCGAGGATGCGGACCGAGGGCGCCGAGTTGGTCAGCAGGATGGTGATGCAGGGGAAGCCGACGATGACGGCGAAGCCCTTGAGGAGCAGCAGCGCCATCAGCGCCGCGAACTGCAGGTGCGTGTCCTGGATCAGCGCCGTGTAGGGGACCAGCACGTAGACGATGGGGAAGAGCACCGTGCCGGCCTTGAAGCACTTGAGCGCCCCGTAGCGCGAGCACACCGGCGGGAACAGGAAGAACTGGATCACGCCGCACGCGAGCCCGTATATGGTGAAGATGGTGCCGATCTTGTTTGAGTTGAGCCCGAACCCGCCCGAGAAGTGGAACGGCAGGTGAGTGTTCTCGCTGTCAGGGACCTGGCGGTGGTAGTTCAGGAACACGGGGAGAACCTGATCGAAGGCCACCGAGTGCAGAGCCAGGATTGTATATGCGAGAATGTTCATGGTGACCTGGGGTGTGAAAATCTCCTTCATCGTCGGCGGTGGAGCCTGGGATGTCTTCTTCAGAACAACGCCTGACTTTGGTAGCAGAGGGGCCGAGGCCTCTGCGTCCACGAAGGAGGGTCGATGGTGACGTTGGTGTTGGTGGTTGTGCTTGTGGCGAGGCCTCGTCCTGAAGGGTTGTGAGATCTTCTCTCCGAGAAGTAGGCCCCAGTCCTTCTCGTGCTTTTTCGTCTCTAGAGTCTCGTGGAGGAACAGTATTGCCACGACAACGGAAACAAAGAAGAATGCACAAGCCACGAGGTTGGGCAACAGGAACGGGTACTTGTTGAACAGCCAGCTATTCCCGAAGAGTCCTGGATACTGTTCGGCTGGCCGGGCGAAGAACCCTCCAAACGAAGGCCCGAAGACGGAGCCGATGCTCCAGACAAGAGGCATGAGGGAGAACGCGCGCGGTTGGAGCTCCTTTTGAGGCACCATCTCGGCAACCATAGTACGGATGATGCCGACTGCAGCACAAGTTAGCACGAGTTACGAAAAGGGTTCAACTGGGGAGACCATACCGTTGCCGTTACCAGCACCCATAACAAAACGTATACAGACGGCCATGGCGAGACTGGAAGCCGTCCCCCATATTATGAAGCAGATCATGGTGGAGATGAGCCCGGTGATGATGGTTGGTTTGCGGCCAATCTTGTCTGATAATCTCCCCCAGGGCACTGCAAAGGCACTCTGTGATATCGAGAATGTGGAGCCAACCAGACCGGCCCATCTTGCGACATTGTTATCCTGTACGCCGAAACTCTTGATCATCTCTGGCAAGTAAGGGAAGACCGACGTTAATGCAAGCGGCTCCGCGAATCTGGCGACAGCTAAAGTGAAGATGTTAGCGAGCCACCAAGAAGACGAGGAATAGTACCTGGGACCGTCTATTCTATCCCGCCTAGCTTCTCCACATAGTACCCATTGTCACGTCTGTGCCGGTGGCCAAGTCAAGTACCCGCGTCTTATTGCGGCAGTCGTGGTGATCCAGCGTTCTTCCCAGGGAGTAAACAACCCAACCAATGCATGCACCTACTCGACACGCAACCAAGCCGTCGGCACTAGGAACTACTAGCAAGAAAGCCTCGCTGTTGTGGACCGGCTTAACATGACGGGGGCTTCGCTTGAGGCATGGCGGCGACACAGAGGCACACAAATCAATGGTCCACGGGGCGCGAGATAGGGTGTTCCATAGTACGCGAGGGCTGGAGGTTATGGCTGCTTACCCAGAATCGCGAGCTGCTTTACTGGGAGCTTCGGTCCATTGGAAGACATTGTAGAGTCACCGAACGGGGAGAGCACAGCGGAAGTGTGTCTATTGCGTAGGGGGTGTATGTAACTAGAGGCTTTCGTTCTGCAGGATGGATGATCCGAGTAGATCTTGTCTAGAAACGACTTGAGGGACGGGATCCAGTCGACAAGAGCGAGACTCTGGGGTTCTAGGCCTTGTGCTTGTGGCCGGTAACGAATTATGAGGCACGACGCGCCGTCGGAACCATGAAATGCAAGGCTGCGTCGCGAATGTTGGAAATCGGGACGACAGAAAAGAAAATCAACACAGGAAATTGTCACAGTCACAAGAGGAAAGAAACTACCGTCTTTTGACCAAGAGACCGCCACCCCACAAGGAAGGGGTTTGCAGAAGGCGAGTCACCGGGCCGCAAAGAAGTGGGACCTTGGCGGTCGACGATGGTGCAGATTGTTCGCCATGTCCACTCAGACCTCGCAGAATTACAAGCCAGGAAATCCTAGGCTGCACAGCCCGGCCTCGCCTAGTGTTGCAGGGCGCGCTGAGATGGCCGGTCCTCCGCCGATTCAACCCAGCTTCTGACAGACGGCCTGTGGCCGAGACAAGTGCGGCACGTAGGGCAGAAAGGCAGGGGAGGGTCGCTCGGGCGGCGGGCCCAGCGGTCCTGGAGGGGGCTGCACCCCAGTTCTGGCTGCTAGAAGGACGCCACCTTTGTGCATGGTCGAGACCGTTTCAACGACTCGCATGCGACTACGCCTGCGGTCTTTGCCGTGTTTGGCTGTGTCATCTGGATGGCTGCAGCTGCACGCACGTATGTTGATTCTTATCGCGCGCCTGTGTGTGTGAGTGCGCCAGCGTGTGTGTATGCCGTTGTGTTGCTCGCTCGACCAGCCGACCCGTCCGTTGTCGGCCATGTCAAAGTTGTAGAAGGAATACGATGTGGTTGTATTTCATGCGGGTTAGTCCCATGACCACAGGGTGCCCTTGACGGCCGACGACCAGAACCACCAGAGCCCAGAGATGACGTCGCCCCGCTTTATTACCGGTTGCGAGGCTGCGCCGGATCTCAGGCAGGCCTTTGCAGATCCGAATTTTTCAGCGGCGATGATTGGCAGATGCCTCGACCTGCCTTGCCGTTGCAGGCAAGGCGCCGATGTCGAGATGGCTGCACCCGATGTTGTGACAGTGGGCTCTCATTGGAGACGGCGATTTCTGCTCCACCCGTGAACCCTTGGATCCTGCTGGGGCGGGGCAGAGGCGGCGGAGACGGTTGCTAGCGGAAGTTCATCTTGGCAAGAATTGACGACAGCCGTGGTCACCATCTGGACTCTGTTAGATGCGAGGACCGAGTACCGAGCCCCGGCGGTGTTCAAAGCATTGGCCTCGAGGAAATGCCAGATGACAGAGGGCATCGTGACGAGGCTATGCAGTGTAGCAAGATGACGTCGCCGTTGCGATCTCAATGCTAGAAAAGCTTTGCATTTGCCGTCGCATTCGGGCCTGTGCAGGGAACATGTGAAGCTTGTTGTGTTCACCGGCGGGATGCGGTGAATCTCGCGACGTTCCAACATCGCTTAACACCGACTGCACCACTGCGACCCTAGGACAAATGCCAGTCCCGGACGACATGATGAAGCAGGCAACTATGGCCAAGGGTGTCACGAGGAACATCAAAGTTTCTGACCATAAGCTCTGCACTTTGAGCACATAAGTGTCTGCCCTGCTCGGTAAGGAAATGTCACATATATCTGACTTGTGGGGGGGGGGGAAGGCGTGTCAAACGAGGCATGTGAAAATACACCTGTCGAGTCGGCACATGTGTGTATCTGCCTGAGTGCTGCATTTGTTACTCTCTAAGATGATAGAGAGACGTCTCCAGAAGCCAATCACTGATGCCAGCCCATGTATAACTCTAAGCTGTGCGTATGACAGGTAGGCAGCAGGTCGTGTGCGCTGACTACCTAGGTAGACGGAGGCGCGGCCGGCACTAATAAAGTAGTACCACCCAGACGGTTGGTCGATGGATGGAACAAAGATGTGATATTGAGGAAACCACCCCGGCTTCCGACCTGACGGTGAGCCCTTGCGGTGCCATTGCCGTAGAGCTGGATGCACAACTGGATTTTGTGCGATACGGGCAAAAAAGTTCTCTGCTTGTATGAGATGAGTGAGTGCTCTTGTCACGCCACGGCGTGCCGGGAGGGGCGTGTTGTCGAGGCTGGGGTCTTTGCCCAATCAGGAAGCTCGTTGTGGCCGGCCCGCAGTCGGCGGCTGCTTGCCATTGCCGGGGTGCGGATGATGTCAACCGGGGCCGATGATAACGACATCGAAGCTCTTGAAACCAGCAGCGGAAGCCTGGAGCTGTCTCTGTTATTAGTGAGACCACAGCACTTTCAATCAATCCTTATCTTCGAGTCCACAATTGTGAGACTGCCGGTCGATCACATCAGTCGATCACATCAGTCTGAGCTCGAAGTGAGTGTACGTATTCTACCTGGGGTTCCTGATCCAAATAGCCGTGCTCGGTGAGTTCCTCTCCGATTCAAGTCCACCTGTGGCTTGCGGCTCTTCAACGGCCGTGCAACTCTCGTACAACAACTAGGCGCCACAGAAGACAGCCCTCTGCTGTCTCACTACCCATCATGCGGCTGACAGGCACAGGAACGACAGGCCATAACATGGTCAACCCCGAAAAGATGGCGGACGAGCACACGCCTCTGATCTCGACCGTGAGGACCGCGCCACCACGCCAGCGCTATCCTCACCATGTCGTGCGACGCTTCTGCACCATCGCCATATCCTGTAGCCTCATTGCCTTGTTTACCACATTTCTTTTCTCCTTCGGGCTTGATCGTCATGGTCACGAATGGGAATTCTCTTGGCCCTCGTGCAAGGACCGGCACCTGACCTACGAGGAACTCAAGGAGATCCTGCTCGAGACACCAAGCAGTGAGAGGGCCGAGGAATGGCAGAAGTATTACACCGAGGGCGCTCACTTGGCGGGCCAGAACTATTCTCAGGTTTGTTCATACATGTCCCTCTCCTCCATCGATTCTTCGCGAGTTCTGGTGTCTCATCATGCCAACAGGCGCTGTGGACCAAGGAGAAGTGGGCAGAATGGGGCATCGATTCATCAATTGTCACATACGACATCTATCTGAACCGGCCCGTCGACCACCGCCTGACAGTTCTCGGCAAGTCAGGCTCAGGTGACGCCTCGGCATGGAAGGTATCATTCGAGGCTTCACTTGTTGAGGACGTCCTTGAGGAAGACCCCACTACTGGATTCAACACGAGCATCCCGACATTCCACGGCTACTCTGCCAGTGGCAATGTGACAGGCCAGTTTGTCTACGTGAACTATGGAACGTATCAAGACTACGAGGATCTCGTCAAAGCTGGCATTGACTTGGAGGGCAAGATCGCGATTGCTCGGTATGGTGGTATCTTCCGGGGCCTGAAGGTGAAGCGGGCCCAGGAGCTGGGTGCCGTTGGTGTGATCCTCTACTCAGACCCCGGCGACGATGGTGAAGTCACCGAAGAGAAGGGCGTCGAGAAGTACCCCAAGGGCCCCGCGCGTCAGCCCAGCAGTGTGCAGCGCGGAAGCACCGAGTTCTTGAGCTTCGCCCCGGGTGACCCGACCACTCCTGGCTATCCCTCGAAGCCTGGCGTTCCTCGTGGTCCTACCGAGCCGTATATCCCGAGTATTCCCAGCATCCCCATCTCCTATAAGGATGCATTGCCCATTCTCAAGGCTCTCAACGGCCACGGGCCATCTGCCAAAGACTTCAACAAGTACTGGAAAGCGGACTTGGGTCTCGGGTACAAAGGCGTGAACTACAGCGTCGGCCCTTCACCTGAAAACGTTGTTATCAACCTGTACAACGAGCAGGACTACATCATCACACCTAATTGGGATGTCATTGGTATCATCAACGGTTCCATCCCCGATGAGGTCATAGTCGTTGGGAACCATCGTGATGCATGGATTGTTGGGGGTGCAGGTGACCCCAACAGTGGATCGGCTGTTATCAATGAAGTCATCCGCAGTTTCGGAGAGGCCCTCAAGAAGGGCTGGAAGCCGTTGCGAACGATCGTGTTTGCTTCTTGGGACGGGGAGGAGTATGGTCTACTGGGCAGTACCGAGTGGGTGGAAGAGTACCTGCCATGGCTATCGCACGCCAACGTTGCCTATCTGAATGTCGACGTTGGAGTACGGGGACAAGACTTCCACGCATCAGCGGCGCCCCTCCTCAACAGCGTCCTTTACGACGTCACTGCTCAGGTGCAATCACCTAACCAGACTGTCAAGGGCCAGACCGTCTACGACACCTGGAACAAGAAAATCAGTACCCTGGGCAGCGGAAGTGACTACACGGCATTCCAGGACTTTGCTGGTATCCCTAGCATTGATTTCGGGTTCGGCGCCGGCTCCAAGGATCCAGTCTACCACTACCACTCCAACTACGATAGTTTCCGCTGGATGTCTGAATTCGGTGATCCGGGCTTTGTCTATCATCGAACCATGTCGCAGATCCTTGCGCTTACCACGGCCAAACTCGCCGACGAGCCGGTGCTGTCCTTCGAGGCGGCCACCTACGCCACGGCTCTTGACAAGTACGTCAGCAGGGTGGAAGAGAAGCTGGCGGCCGCAGCCATTCAGTCCAAGCCCACGGACAAGGACGAAATTCTTGCGATGCGCGGGAGTGTCATCCGCCTGGAGGCTGAAGCCACAGGTGAGGCTGATGGCTTCCGCAGGAGCCTTGTGAAGCTGCATGAGGCGATCGCTGGCTTGGTGACCGAGGCGAGCAAGTTGGACGCCAAGAAGGCTGAGCTGCAGGAGGAAGTCAGCAAGGAGATCCCGTGGTGGAAGTGGCCGAAGAAGCTGAGGCTCGGCTACGAGATCCGCAAGGTAAACACAAAGTACAAGTACTTGGACAGAGATTTCATCTATCCAGAGGGGCTGGATGGGCGTCCCTGGTTCAAGCACATTGTCTTTGCACCAGGCTTATGGACTGGCTATGCTGGAGGTACGAACCCGCTTTTCCTACTACATCTTCCCCAAGGACAACTTGTCCCTATATTTAGAGAGTTCCTGGCTGACCTGATCTGCAGCTGTCTATCCGGGTCTGGTGGAGAGTATCGACGCGAAGAACTATACCAATGCAGTCCGATGGTCTGGTATCATCGAAGACTCCGTCAAGAAGGCTACTGCCAACATCAAGGTTGGTCACCACGGCTAGATGATGAGCTGGAATTGGTCAAACACCATGCATCATGGAAGCAAAGACCGGTTGGAATATAATGCCGACAAGGCATAGTGTTGGAATAGCAATGTTTTGGCCTTCGCTGAGACGAGGACCAACGTCTTGCTCTCCTTCAGTCTCTATGCCCAGAATTGGTACTATACACTCTTATGGTGCATCGTCATCTTGTCCTGCGCAGGCCTGGCGCTTATACAGCGCTGTCTGTGTCTTTCTGCGAAAGTTGAAAGCCTGTGACAGCCCCACTTACTCACGCGCAAACCGCGAATCATTGCACTGGCCAAAGTCGAGCCAGTGCTTCTGGTATGCCCATGTAAGAGCAGTGACTCACCGTCCTTCACGTACGATGTTGTCGTCCAGAAGGCGAGCACGTCTCCACCTTTGTCTCGGTCCCGGCTTTCTCCTCACCAGTCGTCTCGTCGTCGCACCGCTTTGAACATGTCCAGGCCAAGCGCCAAACGCGGCAGGTCCTCGTGATACGCTTCTCCAAAATACCCAGGGGCCATATCCCGGCGTAGTACGAGGGCCCCTGTCCTTAACGCACGTCATTAATAAGATCGTTCATGCCGTCGCCATGGGGTAGCTTGGCCATTGTTTGTCTTGGGCTGTGCAATCAACAAATAGTTTCTTTGCGACTGACCGACTCCCTTGGGAAAGAAGCCATCGGAACTTGCTTAGGAAGTCGGATCAACCAATGTCTTGAGAGAGCAGCACTCCATCATGACCGACCGGGGATCAGGTAGCCGCCGCGCAGGCAGCGCCCGAGCGCGCAACTCGTCCCGCTCCGCGACCTCGTCGGCACGCTCCTCGGCCGCATTTGAGCGTGATCAGGACCAGCACCTGCAGGCGCTCAACCATCCGTATCCTAACCGCTATAACCCCAGCCTGCGCTCCGTTGGGTCGCGCGTGTCCCTCTCGGACCAATTCGCCACGACCAGGAGGGAGTACGAGTTCGGCTTTGACGATGGCGCATCTTTCATCACGACGGACGCCGAGGTGGAAACGGACCAGGACGACACGCTGACGGGCGCCGGGAGCTTCGACGGCGTCATTGTCACTCCTCCCGCGTCGTACCGCGGTGCCGGCAGTGCGCCACGGCAGCCTGGGCCGGAGAGAGTGCGTCGCTCGCACTACGAACTGTTGTCACTTCCGGAGGGAGACGAGACGACCGAGAGAGATATCCGTCGGGCTTACTTCCGGCTCTGTGATATCCTTCGCTCAGAAAGCGTCCCTGCCCAACACCAAGATCTAGCTGAGCGATATCTTGGCCATGTTCAAGCTGCGTTCGAAACTCTGTGTAGCAAGCACAGCAGGGACGATTACGATGCATCGTTGCAAGACGACGAGCTTGAGGAGAGCACACTGTTGTCTGGGGATGAGGGTGAGGACGATGTGAATGGCGACATGAATGGCGACATGCGACAAGCCAGACGAACAAATCCTCGACTGGTGCAGGAACTGCGACGACAGCAAGAGCGAGAATCAACGGAAGTGAGACTGCACCTGGATGCGCAGTCCATAATCACTCCGAGCCACCGTCAACTTGCCCAACAACGCGGCTCACCGACAACTTTGTCCCTCACCCAGACTTCCGTCACTTCTCTTCCTGCCATCAGCCAATTCTTGCAACCCAGACTGAGACAGGTCCGAACGGCTCTGGGCGGCGCGACACCTCCAGCCTCGGTGAACTACAACCAAAACGAGCTCTATTGCACCACACCTACCGTCACCGTCACATCTTCAATCTTCGCGACGGATGTGAGGGACTCCTATCTTCCTCCTACCATCGTCTCAGGCCGCCAACAGAGTCCCAGCGCCGACACGTTCCCAAAGGACCGACAGCTGCAATGGTACTCGTTCTACTTCGCACCAGCCCTCAATTTCAAGCTCCGACAGGAGCTCTTCATCAGAGATGCCGGGTTGTCGGAGGCCGCGCTGAGGCGCACACTCCCAGACGCCGTACTGGAGATTGAGACCGACGCCGTCAACGCGGCGTCCCTAACCGCGAGGGCCTCACACGTGCTGCGCCTCGACGGCGACGAAGGGGACGGCGACCAGCCCGCCGAGCCGCTGCACACCGAGGCGAGCGTCTCGGTCAGCCGCGCGTGGCCGGCGGCCAGGTACAGGCCGAGGTTTGGGCTCGGCCTGCACAGGCGTGTCGGGGGCCAGAAGGGCGGGACGGTGTTTGCCTGTGCGGACAGCGGGACGCCGTCCCTCTGGGACAGCCTGTCGCCGTCTTCTTTCCTGAACCAGTCCGTCAGGAAACGGCTCGACGGGGACTCGACGGGGGCTTCCTGGCGCAGCTACATGGACCAGCTCTCGCAGCTGCCGAGTTACTTCAGCCCGCCCACGCTTGAAGTGGGATACAAGTTCGGTACGTTCTCTGAAGATACTTTGGGACTGCGTTCCGGCCGTGCTTTCACGAAGCCAGCCGGTAGTGGCCTGCGACGACTCCACGACAGTGTCGGCCTGAGTGGACCAGGCAAGGGGGGATCATGGACGATCTCTGGCGCATTAACCACTGGCGGAGTGGCTGGATATCTGAGGTTCGGGAGAAACCTTCTGTCGTCGCCTGCTGAGCCGGAGCACAACCTGATCCCGAGTCGGTTGAGAGGCTTACGCTTTGAAGCTGAGTTATCCACGTACAAGTCCAGGCCGAACAATCTGCTTGGCAGGGTGCACTCGCTGGGCAGGTCAGAAATCAGCCAGCTTGCCGTGCGCGGGCTCAAGAAGTTCGGGAAGTCGTCGAAATTAGGCCTTGAGGTGTCTGTGAACAACAACAGCAGCTGCGTGGTTCTGTCACTGTACTATTCAACGAGGAACAGCAGGAGCCTCACCGTCCCCTTGGTGCTTCTCCGGGACCAGCCTTCCCCTCACCAGTTCCTCACAAAGGTCCTTCTATTCGCTGGCTTCCTACCAGCCCTGGCCCTCGCGGCCCTCGACCACTCCCGGGTTCTCCTCTCCCGAGCGGACGCTACGTCCCAAGAGGAGAAGGTTAGGCGCTCACAAGACATTCAGAAATATATCGCCGCCCGCCGCGCCGAAGCAGACGACCTCGTCACCGTCCTCGCTGAGCCCATTACTCAGAGGCAGCGGACCCAGCGCGAGCGCGGCGGCCTCGTGATCCTGAGCGCCAAGTACGGCGTCCTCCTCGACGGCCAATCCGCCCCGGGGAAGCCCTCCCAACCGCCGCCTGCTGCCGCTGTCGCTGCCGCTGCTTCCATGGACCTGGGCCCTAGCTGGGCGTCTCCGGAGGATGTTGCTGACGTGACCGTGGCGCTGGCGGCGCTGGTGGACGACGACGGGACCCTGCGCGTCCCCGAGGGCCTGAGGAAGAGCAGGCTGCTCGGGTTCTGGGACCCCAGGCCCAGGCGGACCAAGTGCCTGTTTGTGAGGTACATGTTCCGCGGCCAGGAGAGGGTGAAGGAGGTCATGGGGAGGGACGAGCTGGCGCTGCCGTGATACCCTGGGTGGCGGGTCTGTTCTGTATGATGTGATGCATATTATGTCTGAATAGCTGCATGAGTGATGTTGTATGAGGGAAACATGATGGACCTGGAGTCTTGGGGTATATGATACTTCTTGTAAGTCCTCATATTGGCTTTGCTATTTACCTGGTAATTACACCTCTCAAATTGACGCACATACCACTCAAGCTAAGCGGTCATAATTCCCAAAACGCCTTTTGGAGTGCGAAAAGTGCAAGTCTTTGCAAGTTTGAGACGGTGGAGAGAAGTGACACTGGCCAACGCCGTGCCTTGCTACCAGAGTCCGGTGGTAATTGGTCCAGGAAGAAGTGGTATCAGGACAATGTCAACTCCAGCAGATCGTTCAAAGGACATGAGTGCTACGATTCTCTGATTTTCCAGAGGTCTATTTAAAATAGGAGGAAGTCCTCTTCTGCTGACTCCCAGGAGCCCACGCTAGATGCTCCACAAATCAAGACCAATTCAGTCTGGATGCCCTCCACAAGACCCTCAATGCACACAACCCATGATATATCCCAATTTTTCAGTACCGAGCCAAGTCCAGCACGCCACAACTCCTATGAAAACCATGCAAATTTGGGTCGCACCTGGCCGCAGATTTCAGGCTCAGGCGTAGAGCTTCTTCTCATACGACTCCATGTTGACACCACCCTCGAGCTGGGCGCTGGCAGTCCTGATCTCAAAGCGCACAACACTGTCATGGACACCTTGGTGAAGCTCGTGCAGGCTCTTGATACCGGCATCCTGCATGGAGTGCTTCAGGCCAGCGGCAAGGTAAGGCACAAACTTGGTGATCGAGCCACGGTGAGCGACAGCGCCAGCGACACCCTGGGCGACCAGGACGCTGTCGCCCTCGGAGAAGTACCGAGCTGTTCCGGCGTTGCTCTTCTGGCTGTCAGCGCCGCCACCTCCGGCCTTCTTGTCCTGCATGGCATCAATGCTACCCATGCCACGGTACGCCTTTACCAGTTTGCCCTCTCGGGAAACAAACGAGGTTCCAGGAGACTCGGTGGTACCGGCCAGAAGACCGCCCATCATAACGGTGGAAGCGCCGAGAGCAAGACCCTTGACAATGTGACCAACGTTCTGGATACCACCGTCGGCAATGCAAGGCACACCGAACCTGGCAGCGAAAGCACTGACGTTATACACAGCAGTCGCTTGAGGGCGGCCGACAGCCATGACCTCCTGGGTGATACAGGCAGAACCGCTGCCCATACCGATGCGAAGACCGTCGACTCCGGCGGCAATGAGGCCAGCAGCCTGCTCGCGGGTCACGACGTTTCCGCCAATGACGTCGAGCCCAGGATACTCCTTCTTGATCCACTTGATCATGTCGATCTGGAACATACTGTTTCCCTGACTGCTGTCGAGGATGACGATGTCGAGGCCAGCCTCAACGAGCCCGCTCAGCCGGATCTTGTCCTCTGGCCGGGTGCCGATGGCAGCAGCGCAAATCAGCTGCTTAGAGTCGGGGAGCTTGGAGGCGAGAGGGAAGTTGAGGTTCTTGCGGAGATCGGAGCGGGAAATCATGGAGACCAAGTTGCCATCCTTGTCGACGATGGGCAGCTTGCCCTTCTTGGACTTTGCCAGAATGTTGTTGGCCTCTTCGAGAGTCACGCCCTCCGGGGCAGTGATCAGCTCAGTGACCATGACGTTGGCGACGGGCTGCTCATCGACGTCCTCGAATTGCAGATCTCGGTTGGTGACGATACCCAGAAGCTTGGAGCCGAGCTTGCCACTTTCTAAAGCCGCACACATTAGCTATCTGTCTGCGTGAGAGCGTTGACTTTTGTGCTTGATGCGATTGTGATAGAGCAGGAATGTCATTGAAACAAGTTTCTCCCCATGACGGCGACCGTCGATACGGTGGAACGAAAGTTATAAAAATTGGGATTATAATCATGATAGCTGGCAGGGAAATTACAAGGGATTTACCGGGAGGGAGACACTCACCGGTGACAGGGAAACCGCCAAAGCCCCACTTCTCCTTCAGGGCCTTGGCCTCGCCGACAGTGGTCTCCTTGGTGATCAGGACGGGGTCGTTGATGAAGCCGTTCTCGAACCGCTTGACCCTGCGGACCATGTCGGCCTGGGCCTCGGGGGAGCAGTTGTGGTGGATGACACCGACGCCGCCCTGCAGGGCCATGTGGATGGCCATCTCGTGCTCGGTGACGGTATCCATGGGGGAGGAGACAAAGGGCGTCTTGAGGGTGATGCGCTTTGTGACGGGGGCGTCAAGAGTGACGTCGGAGGCGGGGAAGCCGATGTAGCCAGGCAAGAGGAGGAAGTCGTTGTAAGTCAGGCCTCCGTGGACCTTGGCGTTCATCAGGTCCTGAATGCCGAGTCCATCACGGCTGTCGTACTCCTTGAGGATCTCCTCGGCCTTGGAGGCGTCGAGGGCCTTGGACACGCCGTTGACGGGGATGGCACCATTTGAGGAAGGCATTATGATTTTGGCCAGGTCTGTCCCGATAGACTCAGTTTGGAGGTTGTAGCAGGGTGCTAGCCAAGAAGAGGACGAGATGATGGGTTGTCAGCTGTCTTGTCTTCTCGACGGGGAGGGTTTCCCAAGAGAAGAAGAAGAAGGGAAGAATAAGGCAAGGCCGTGATGCTCTTGCATTAAATCAATTTTTTTTTTTAAGAGGACCCCTGCTCTCCGCCAAAACTCGACGCGCCTACCCCACTTTCGCGACTTGTGTCCTAGAATTGATGTTATCGATATCATCTATCGATAAGCAGTCTTATCGATAGACTAGGTACTCTTTGTCAGCAAGTGAGACCGCTCTCCCGGTGGTTGCCGAGGCTGGGAACTCAGGCCAGGACCGGCCAGGCATCAACCAACGTGATGGGACAGAGAGACGGCATCTACCAGGTACCGTGCCTGGGTCCGGTAGCGCGGTCCCTGCAGCTGCAGCACTGCACCCTACCCTGTAGCCACGACCCGTTCGAAGACCTGCTCGTTCTTGAAACCAAGCATCAAGAGCCGGGACTCGGAAGCAAGAACGGCAATGTCCTGTCTTGACAGGTGTGAGTGGACGTGCGAGTGAGGAGGGAGGAGGGGTCAGAGGTCTGGCCCTTCAATGGTTGTGTTCCAAACATGGGGCCTGCAGCAGTGCCCAGGTGGGTCTGTCTTTTCCCTGCCCGACTCCCAGCCACCTCAGCTTGAGCAGCAGCCAGCCAGACTCCCGCCCTTTTTCCACGGTCAGTGGGCCCAATTGGCAAGCGTGAGGGTGTCTGCTCGAAGAGTGGTCGATTTCTCGAGGTTTTGGATTTCTTTTTTGTCTCAATTCTCTATGAATCGCTGATCTGGAAGTGATCCAAACTGCTCGGCCCATCTCGTGTGACGTCTTTCTTTCCTTTTTGGGGGCTGCCATCCTGGCGATCGCTGTCCCGCTGCTGCAGCAACCATCGCGCGTCAAAACCGTAAACAAGGCTAACGAACCGCCCCGCCCCTGCTTTTCTCCATATGGTACCATCCTGCCGCTGTGACTCTGTGACTGGCAAGGATCCTCCATACTTGCCCGAGAACCGAATGCTGGTGGCTGGTAGAGAGACTTCTCTGCTCTATCCCGTACATACTGTCGCCGTCGTTCCCGTTCCATTGGCCTCAGGTTCCTGTCGTCGCCGGATCGGTCGTCTTGCCCTTACACCAACATCACTTTACACGACATCGTCTCTTTTTCTGCGCAGTGCGCGCCCTCATGTCTCATAATACGCGTCGCCGCCGGAGTCCGTTTGCGTGTTGACCGTTGCGGCTCCTCTTGCACTGTGCTGGCTCTGCTGGCCCTGCTCCCTTTTCTTGTTTGCTTTCGTCTCGACTGCCCAGCTCGACTCTTGCAGCCCGTCCGACTCCACCCATTAATCCACACTGTTGACCAACACCAGGCCCTGGGGTCATTCCTTTTTGCAACAACTGCCTGCCTGCCTGCTTGCCTGCCTGCACAATCCCCAATCCCTCGACAAACCAGCATCTCCAATGAGGACTGAAGGTCTCTAATGTTTTCCTCCATCCCGAATTCCAACAGCCTCCAAAATCGAGCGACCTCGCTCTCGCTGTTGATAACGCCTCTACACCATGTCGTATCGACCCCATCCTCTGCGGCAAACATATACAGCTGACCATCTAGTCGACCGCCATCCGTCGACGACATCATCGGCTTCTTCGGGCTACTCTTTCTCGTCCGGCCAGTTCGATTTAAGTCGCACCACCACTCAGTCGTCTTCAGCATCTAGCGGTTATGGATCCATGGGTCACAAGCGCGGCAAGAGCGAGGCCAATGGCCGGCTCCCTTCTTCGCCCAAGAGCCCAGAAACTCGTCCCCAGACCAGCACGGGCAACATGTACAGCGCCGCAAGGCAGTCGCTGAGGCCTTTACCCCAAGCTCCCGTCTCAGCGCCAACCACGCCTCCTCGCGATCCCTACCGCCATGACCGAGGCCAATCTATTGATATTGGGAAACTCGCACATTTTGAAAAGGAGCCCACCTCCCCGATCCCTCCATCCCGACCCCGGGCTTCCACCATCCGCCCAAACTCCATGGTCATGCCACGCTCCGATGGCCTCCTGTCAGGCAGCTCCGGTCTCCCTCCGCCACAGGTGCCTCTTCACCAACCCCACGCCGCGCAGCTCGCTAGGCCCGACCTCGTGACCATGGGCAGGTCTTCTACAAGCCAGCTGCGTACCTTGTCCAAGCTGGCCCAGTCCGGCGAGGCAGAGGAGTTTGCCATTACATCTCCTGCGCAGCAGGTTGTCGGCCTGCGCGGCCGTCGCAGACTCCAGAAAGAACCGGGATCAGGTCCCGCCGGGCAACGGAGCAGTGCATATGGCTGGGAAGGCAGAAATTGGATGGACAAGCAACGACAGTTCCTGCAAGCCTATGAGTACCTCTGTCATATTGGAGAAGCAAAAGAGTGGATCGAAGATGTTATGCACAAATCAATCCCTCCAATTGTCGAGCTCGAGGAGGCGTTACGAGACGGCGTGACCCTCGCAGAGATAGTCGAGGCACTGAACCCCAATAAGCGATTCAGGATATTCCGACACCATCGACTCCAATACAGGCACTCTGACAACATCGCCATCTTCTTTCGCTATCTGGACGAGGTCGCCTTACCGGATCTATTCAGGTTCGAGCTGATCGATCTCTACGAAAAGAAGAATATCCCCAAGGTCATATACTGTATTCACGCACTAAGTTGGCTGCTCTTCCGCAAAGGGATAGTTGACTTCCGCATCGGCAACCTCGTCGGACAACTTGAGTTCGAGCACCATGAACTGGAGGCTATGCAGAAAGGTCTGGATAAACTCGGGGTCAACATGCCCAGCTTCGGTACTATGGGTGCCGATTTTGGCGAGCAAGCACCGCCTGAGCCTGTCGAGACCGAAGAAGAGAGGATCGACCGGGAACTTTCGGGGCACGAAAACACCATCCTTGAACTGCAAGCTCAAATAAGAGGAGCCATGTGCAGGATGAGTTTGGGCAAGGTCATGCAACGCCTTTGGAACACGGAGGATTGGTTGGTCGATCTTCAGTCACGCATCCGCGGAGACTGGACCCGTCAAGTAATCGGATACAGACTGCGGATGAGGCGCTTCGCTGTTAACCTCCAGAGCGCAGCCCGAGGCTTCCTCGTCCGCCGGAGGCAAATGCAAAAAGACAGGCTCTGGAAGAACACCGAGGGTGACATCCTCGAGTTGCAGAGCATGATACGGGCTGCCAAAGTCCGTAGCGAGGTACGAGACGTGCGCTCTCAGCTGGCTCGAGTGTCTGGGCCTGTTCGCGATGTTCAGGCGGCTTTCATGGGCTACCTGACCCGCCAGAACATCGTTCGCCAGAAGCAGGAGACGGCTCGCATGGCTGGCCCTATCGTTGGGTTCCAGGCTGCTCTCCGTGGAGCGCTTCTGAGGAACAGGTTGGACGACGACCAGGAACTCCTTGCAAGACAGGCTCGGGCCATCACTGGCCTCCAGGCCGCCGCACGTGCAATGCTGACTAGAAAGCAGGCCGCCGTGCAGAGGGAGACTCTTCAACACTACAACCCGGAATGGGAATCTCTCCAAGCTGCTTGTCGCGGAAGAATGGCAAGAATGGCCGTCAAGGAAACAAAATCGGAACTAAGGCAGCACTCATCAACAATAGAGGCACTGCAGGCATGCATCCGTGCAGGCGCTGTCCGCCGGGACGTTGCGGCGCTTCTCGATGGTCTGAGTGACCATGAGCTTGAAGTAGTTGACCTTCAATCCGCTGTTCGAGGAATGCTCCAACGGCAGCAACTCGCCAACGACCGCCAAGCGTTGGCGAAAGAAACGCCCTTCATTACTTATTTTCAAGCGTGCATACGCGGTGACCTGTTTCGCGCGAAGCACTTCGCCTTACTCGAGGAGCTCGAATCTCACGAGGATACCGTGGTCGGCCTGCAGTCGCTTATCCGGGCCGCAATGCTTAGAGAGAATGTCGGATTCCTGATCAGTGCGCTCGAGGAGGAAGAAGAGTCTATCGTCGCCGTTCAAGCCGCCGCAAGAGCCTTCATTGTTCGAGCAAAGTTTGAAGAGAAGAAACGATTTTTCCACGAGAATATGCAGAAGGTCGTCAAGATCCAAAGTTTCGTCAGGGGAAAGCTTCAAGGCGAAGCTTACAAGAGTCTCACAACTGGCAAGAACCCACCAGTCGGAGCGGTCAAGAACTTTGTTCACCTTCTCAACGACAGCGACTTTGACTTCCACGAGGAGGTGGAATTTGAGCGCATGAGGAAGACGGTGGTTCAGCAGGTCAGGCAGAACGAAATGCTCGAACAATACATCGACCAGCTTGATATCAAGATCGCACTGCTCGTCAAGAACAAGATCACGCTGGACGAGGTTGTACGACATCAACACAACTACGGTGGGCACGCGGGCACGCTCCTCGCAAACAGTTCAATGATCACGGCGAACCAATTCGACCTCAAGGCCCTCAACAAGAGCTCCCGAAAGAAGCTCGACTTGTACCAGCAGCTCTTCTTCAACCTGCAGACACAACCCCAATATCTGGCTCGCTTATTCAAGCGTGTCCGCGAGCAAGGCACCGCGGAGAAGGAATGCAAGCGCATTGAGATTCTGATGATGGGATTGTTCGGATACGCTCAGAAGCGACGCGAGGAGTACTATCTCCTCAAGCTTGTAGCACGCTCGATCAAGGAGGAGATTGAGGCATGCAACGCCGTTCAAGAATACCTTCGCGGCAACTTCTTTTGGACAAAACTTCTCAGCAACTACACCCGGTCTCCACGCGATAGGAAATACTTGAGAGACCTTCTCGGACCCCTAATTCGGGACAACATCATTGAGGACCCTGCGTTGGATCTGGAGAGCGACCCGATGCAGATCTACCGGTCTGCTATCAACAATGAAGAACTCCGGACTGGCCAGCCCAGCAGGAGGCCGCTTGACATTCCCAGGGAACTGGCTATAAAAGATCCGGAGACCCGAGAACTATTCATTGACCACCTCCGCGACCTTCGCGAAATCTGCGATCAATTCTTGCTGGCCCTGGAAGACCTCCTTCCTCGACTTCCGTATGGCATGCGATATCTGTGCCAACAAATGTTCCAATTCCTCTGCCAACACTTCAAGCGGGAACCACAACAACAACTGCTCCAAATGGTTGCCCATTGGTTCTGGCGGTTCTATCTTCACAACGCGCTGACCTCGCCGGAAAATGTCGGTGTCATTGAGAAGCAGCTCAGCCCTCTGCAAAAACGCAATTTGAGCGAAGTCGCAAAGGTGCTCGGGCAGGTTGCTTCTGGACGGCACTTCGGCGGTGAGAACGTCTACCTACAACCCCTCAACGCTTTCATCGGAGAATCCATCGAGCGCCTGACCCACATCATGAGGGAACTCATCTCTGTGCCCGATGCTGAGAGCACATTCGATATTGATGAATTCAACGACTTGTACGCAAAGAACAGGCCAACACTGTACATCAAGATGAGCGACATATTCGCCATTCACAACTTGGTGGCAAGCGATCTCCCTTTCATTTGCCCCAACCGCGACGACGTGCTGCGTGAGATCATGCAAGATCTTGGTAGCGCCAAGAACAACGAGAACGAGATGACAGCTACGGGCTCATCCGATATCCAAATGTTCCTCACGCCAAAGCTGCATGATGTCGATGACCCAGAGGCCGAGGTCAAGGCTTTGTTTATGGAGACGAAGCGATGTGTTCTATACATCATACGTGTTCAAAGCGGCGCACATCTTCTCGAGATTCTGGTCAAGCCAATCTCACCAGAGGACGAGCGCAAGTGGGAAATGGTGCTACACGAAGACTTCGCTGGGAACGACAACACCAGGGGGGCATACTCTGATGCCAACATGGTCGATGTCACGAGGATGTCTTACCATGAACTCAAGCGAACAGCGCTTCAAAATGTCATGGCGCTCGAGCACATGGGTCGAATCTCAAAGCATAATCATTACCAGGACGTGCTCAACGCCATCGCTCTCGACATCCGCACCAAGAGCAGAAGAAGGATCCAGAGACAGCGGGAGGTGGAAGGCGTACGTCTCACTCTCGGCAACCTGCACGAGAAGGCCAAATATCTCGAACAGCAGCGCAAGAGCTACGATGACTACATTGAACAGGCCATGTCAACATTGCAAAAGAACAAGGGGTAAGCCACAATCTCTCCATACAGCATGCCAACAACGTAATGGGCGCGCGCTAACTCCTGACACAGCAAGAAAAAGTTCCTCCTTCCATTCACCCGCCAGTATAACCACCAGCGAGAGCTGGAACGTAGCGGCCGCGTGCCGAAGTTCGGCTCGTACAAGTACAGCGCGCGGCAGCTCATGGACAAGGGCGTGCTAGTTCAGTGGACGGGCACAGCGGACCGTGACTGGGACAAGATCAACCTCACCATCTCTTGCGACCAGGTCGGAGTGTTCGCAATCGAGGGCTCGAGGGGACACATTCAAATCCCCGGCGCCAGTGCCTTGGTCCCCATCGAGGACCTGCTGCAGGCGCAGTTTGAGAGCCACCAGTTCATGACGCTATTCGAGGGGAACCTGAAGCTGAACGTCAATTTGCTGCTGCACTTGGTTTACAAGAAGTTTTACAAAACCCAATAATGAGTAATGGGTCAGCCCGATATGAGAGGGTGCCAGGCAAGAGCGGGCCTGCGGAAACGAAGGATGACGGATGAATTGGACGAGGTTGACGAACATCGCCGGTCATAAGACATGATGCAGGAAACGAAGCGCACGGAGCTGAGGGCAGAGATTTGGATGGATGGACTCATGGATATACCTTTTTACCCCACCCACAGGCAGAGTCGGTGTTCAAGGCGTGTTCTGCATTTGCTTTCGAATTGAATTGATTACTGGAACACATGAAACCAGCCGCAGAAACTGTGCAAGAGTGCAGGTTGAGACACTTGACCCCGTGGCCGTGGCCTGGACCTTGGCTCGTTATGCAATTGTGACAAACACCCGGACTCGCCCCTCATCTCTTGAACCAATTCCTCTCGACCGATCTTAACACCAAGTAAGCCACGGCGCTGAAACCGAACGCCAGCTCAAAGCCAACATCGCCGCCGAACTCATCACCGCACAGCCGCCCTATCGGTCCTACAAACCAAGACTGTGCCATTCCCAAGACCGCCCCCGCCGCGCCAACCAGGAACGCGCACAGCGGGGAGTAGCCAGGAGGCAACCTCCCCGGCGTGGCGTAGTCCTCAACGGCATAGCCGCTGGTCCTGCGGAAGACAAAGTGCTCGGTCAGGGAGATGCCCTCGTAGACGGCCAGCCAGTAGCCGATGAGGAGCATGAAGTTCTCGAGCACCTCCTCAAACCTGCTATACCCGGGAACCGAGATGGCGACGTAGATGGCCGTCGCCACCGCGGGCCACACGAAGCGTGGGATGCGCTGGGTCTGTCTGGCCAGCACCTGGAGCGAGAGGGACACGCTGTAGATGTTGGGGCAGTTGTTGGCGACGATGCTCAGCGCCAGCACGGCCAGGCAGAACCTGCCAAACGCACCCAGCCGCGGGACCAGCACTATGGCTAGGACCCCGCCGATGTGGTTGGTGTCATATGCATTCGCGACGTCATCATCCAGGGCGGAGGCCGTCATCACCGCGGCGCCGAGGAGCTCGGTGAAGACCAGCGAGAAGAACAGGCCGCCGAAGGACCACCAGAATATTTGTCGCGCGGACCGGGTCTCGGGCTGGTACACGGCGTAGTCCGCGGCCAGCGCCGTCCAGCCCGTGGCAAAGCCAAACACACTCGCGGCGAAGCTTAGGACCAAGCCTGCCTCAGATTTCCCTGTCTCAAGGGGCAGGAGGGCATCAAACTTGCCCGAGACCCCGAACTCTCCTGCGACGATGCAGAAGATGACCAACACGGGGATCCAGGACCAGCGCTCGTAGGCATGCACGATGCGGTAGCCGAAGGTGGTAATAAACAAGGTGGACAGAGATATGATCAGGATGCCTGCCCAGCCTGGTAGAGCGTGGGGCCCTGGGTTGATTGCAGCGAGGAGTTGCGCCCCGACTATTACATTGACAGAACTCCAGCCGACACAGGCTAAAATGTTGAATATTGCGACTGTAAAGGCAGTCACGTCAGTCATGTCCATGCCGGAGAAGCGTGGGTGTCATGGGAAAGGGGCCGGGTATGTGCTATGAAAAGGGCCACGGCTACGACTGACTGAGCTTGACACCATAGTATCCGAAAAAGAACCTCGACAACACCATCTGCCGGAGGCCGAAGCGAGGGCCAAAGGTTGAGAAAAAGCAGGCCGGGAGGACCCCCAAGGCGTTGATGCAGACAATCGTCAATGCCGAGTCAACGAAGCCGAGCCCGAAGACGGGCTGCGCCAGGGCTCCTAGTGCAAAGGTCGAGACAGTGATGTTTGCTGACATCCACTAGCATCAGGTCAGAAGGGTGGCATATATCTCGCGCGTGGAGCAGCACATGTCTCGTCCGTCTCGCTCGCTGGCCGAGGGTTCTTACCAGAGTCCCGATCTTGCTCACGCTTGTGTCGGTCCTTTCGCTGGGGAGCACCCGCTCGATGCCCCGTTGTTCAATGCCAAACCTTCCGGTCAAGTCCTGGACCCTCGCGAAGAGGCCGCTTTGCTTATCATAAGCTGATGTTCTTCCGGCGGCAGAATGGCCCACCTCCTTGGTCTCGATAGCGAGGTCCTTTTCTTCCGTACTGTCTCCTCCCCTTTCCACAGCTGTGTGTAACCCAAGAACAGCCATCATGGCCCCCAAAAAAGAGAGTTTTTCTTTTCTTTTTTCTTGAAGATCGCCAGTATTGCGGGAAAGAAAATACCGAAAGCCTCGATTTATGTCAAAAAGCAAGCGATAAGGTTGGCTTGGCAACACACCTGAACGGTATCGTACGGGCAATTCGAAGGCAAGATAACCCACAGGCGCATATCTATATCCACGTACGAAATCAATCGGCAACGAAGTGGATTGGCTGGTATAGATTGACAAGGCGTGCTTAGGTTCAAAGAAAAGAAAGACGACATGGATACTTTATGTCCTGACATCGAGATTCGCACAAGGGACAGCCAAGAATGCACGGCGGAGCCACCTTCGGCATCACAGGTGGCGCCCACCCTGAAGCTAGAGTCGTGGAAACTCTAGAGGATGGAAGGATGGATGCTGTGGTGCGCGACCATCGGCAATCTGCTGACACGCTCCCTGATCAAGAAGCACAAATATGCGTACCTCGTTGTCCCTTGCAGCATACAGGCATGGCCACTAGGCACCACTGGCGCTGGCATTGGCAGAGAATCAAATATGAGCTGTTACTAGCTGCAAGCCTCATGTACATCGATCCTGTTTGGCGAAAATCAGAGTGTGCGAACAGAACCGTTCAACCCCAGTCAGTCAGAAACGGATAAACGAGTTGTGCACTTGGACCTGCATTCACCTGGTGTGTTTTCTGTATCATTTCCATGCAACAGACATCTTTCTGTCCTGTCTTTTAAGTCAGTGCTTTCGGAATCGGAGTTGTACTCAAGGGATGGAAAGTAGCTGCCGGGGAGCAATATTTACGCTCGTCAGAGACTAGATAGTAACGTCTCCATGAGAATGAATTCGATTTCGAAGAACGACTTGTTCGATCCCTGCAGAAACAACTGCCATTGCTTTGTGAGGTGCTGAAATTCCCAGGCGCGACTATGCTCTGCTCTAATCCAGACAATGGCATGTGAGGGTTTCCGGTCAAACGGCGAGTTGTGGAGCCTTCACTTGACGCCTCTTTGCCATGTCCAGCATCTGGGCCGCACTAGACCGAGTGGCTGTACCGTCCAGTGATGATGGGATCGGTGCTTTTTGTGGATGGCAGGAGAGTCACACTTGTGTAACACGCGGCCAACGCTGTCGTACAGCTCGAATCAGGGGCGAGGGCCTTGTTTTTCCAGCCACCAAAGAGTCAACCACTTGAAGACTGATTGGCTCTCTCATGCTGCCAGGAAATTCCGGTGCGCTATTTTTCCCAAGACGTGCCCTCACTTCTAGAGTGGCCAGTACTTTTCACGCCAGACACGAGCAGTATAACCACCCATGGTCTCGCCAGTCTCCTAGCCTTGAAGAAGCGAGCAGGAGAGCACATGTGCATGCCACAAGGTCGTAGACAACACTGTATCAAGTTCCCCTGATATCTTGCGTCGAAGGCTGTGGATGGCAGGAGCTCGCCGGGTCAACAAGAGGGGTCCAAATATATCTTGGTCATATTCTAGTGCGCCGTCAGAAACCAGGTTTTCTGAGGAGACGATGGTGGTCGCGCAGGTTCAGGTCGGTCGAAGGAAAGAAATGTGCAAGGCGAGGAATCCCGGGCTTGGCGAACTGATTAGTGAGACACATCTAAGGCAGTGCCACCTAGTACCGCCTCTGAATATCATATTGTGCTCGCTGGGGCTCGCCAATCGTTTTCAAGTGGCAGGTCAATGCTCCAGCCAGGGCTGTTGTCATAAACTCGAGACCGCATCACATCTTTGCTGCGTCGAGGGAAGTCGCAGCTTTCGATACAAGCCGTGAGATTTGCAGACACTGCCTCCGAAGGGATGCATGCAACCGTTGGGTGCTTGCAGGTATAGATTATTCCTGTCATGATCTTGATTTGTTCTTTGACAGGCCACGTGAGGTGAGCCCACAAAAACGAAATGTCCGGAATCAGAAACAGTAACGTGCTTTTCAATGTGGGTGTCCAGTAGCAGCAGTAAGGCGCTCGATCTGGCTTCCCCTGATTTGGCTGGTAACACAAAGGAGTGGCGAACGGTGGAATATCTCAAACATGCATAGGCGCTTTTCCGACTCGTGCGACTGTGTCAAGTCGTGGTGGTTACGAGGTTGGCCTGCTGGGCCAGTGCATCTGTGCCCAGGAAAAGCCACGCACACCAGGTGGAAACGGATGGAATTCCTCTTCCAGTCCCAAGGTGCCATTCCACCGCAGAGCCGGCACAAGAACACAAGGACAAGTGCCATGATCATGTTGATAGCTGTGCCTCCACGGGAAACAAATACACCGCTCGGAGCCCGCCGCAAATTCAGAGTGGTGGTGGTGGTGGTGGTGGTGAATCATCACCCAATAAATTTCTGAACGAGATGGCCATTATCTGCTGTTTGATCGATGGCGACGTCAGCACTGACGGAGGGCGTGTTTTCGGTGTATGCTGAACTCCTCGGACGGGTGCGCTGGTCGTTCAACGCAACACCCTTGGTGCCACAACTCTGAACCGCCAGCAAGATCATTTTGACACAGGGACACTCTTGTTCTGGAATTCATTTGGGCAGCCTCGTATTATTCGAAATCGGTGCTGTTATTGGAGTATGCTTTCAGCTCCTGACCGGAACAAGATGTTCCGTTGGAGCCTAGACATATGCGTCCGAAGGGTAGACCACGTATTCTACTACCAGAGAGTCATGGCCTGAGGTGACTCCAGCGTCTATGATCTTCATACCAGAACCTCTGCCCCTGTGGTTTCGGATTGCGTTGAAGGATTGGTCACTGGCAAGGAAACTCGGCTGACAGCTCCATGCGGGGACCAATGGGCCCGCAAGCTGACTCTGTCGAGGCGCTGTCGAATCGATGGATCGTACCGGGTCGAAGGAAGAAAGGTAAGCCAGGTTTGTCGGGACAGTTTCAGCTGTGTGCCCATGATGGGCTTGGTGGAGAGAAGCAATCGTTTTTGGTAAAGACGGAAGCAATGTGACTGCCGACACTGCTGCTTCCAGATACTCGTCCGCCGTTCCCACTCACTGATCGGCACTCGCGCTTGGCCCTGCACAAGCACGAGCGGTGTCAGGTTCAAGTGATGGATCGCAGCTTCCCTATCGACACAAACCTCCTCGTTGGCACATACTTCGAAGTAACTGCCTGTGCTTCTTGATTGCGACGCTATGACGGCAATCCACCTGATCGGTCACCCTTCGATTGCGCAATTCGGTCCATGCCGTCTATGTGCGTCTCCGTTTTGCTGGTGTTCATCCCGTTTCGCGCCCTCTCGACCCACTCCGTTTTGTTTCCATTCCTGCAGCAAGCCCCACAGTCGACATGTGCTTCATCTAACGAGATTCTGATCATCAAACCTTAGATAATATCCCTGCAAGGCTGACGGGAACACGCCCCAGCAGGCCGCCCCACTGTATCGCCCAGGCCGCTTAGATCCACAGGAGCATGACCTCACAACCCGGTCTACTTGCTATCTGCTCAACGCACTGATCAGAAGGCATGCAGACTCTTGATCGAGCTTCCCAGGTTCCCCTATAGGCAGAAATAGGTCTGCGAAGGGACAATGACAATTAGGGACACGCCACGCCACACTCAAATGGTTACTGTGGGACTTGGTCCACTACCAGTAATTGAGCAGCACATATTAAAAAAAAAACAGTGCTGAAATTACAGTCTCTAAACTGACCAAACTGTCGTTAGTATTTGGGTAGTAGACACTATGAAACACTTCACACAGTCCAAAAATTTGCCTTACTTGGTGTCTTGAAGCAAACCAACGACATCAGAAAGAGCTTTTCCACATGACTCGGAATCTCTGGGCAACATTGTCTGTGTAGGTACAGATCTCCATAAACTTTATACATGTACACATTTGTCTGATATTTACATTCCTCACGCCACGCATGATGCTGGCTTCCGATCAGGTCTCCTTATACACGAAAATGGATATATGTCCAGTAACAAATCGGACACACGTTCCCAGGCTGACCAGGGCCCACAGCGTCAAGCTGTGACAGTGCTCTCAACCAATTACCTCCCTGACCTGCCGTTCTGTCAACACAATTGTCCCCGGGAAGTTCGGGACCGACGATCGAGATGTCGGTACTTACTTTTGTCCCATCCATTTACAGCTTCACACAGCAGATGTCGTCACCGCCCTCGTGCTTGAGGCACTCGTAGCCCTCGTTGGTCAGCACCTCGTTGCAGGCGTTTGCGCAAGTGAATGCGCCCGAGTAGCAGCCCTTGATGTCCTGGGCCGTGGCACGCGCGTCCAGGACGTTGTCCCGTCCGGGGAGGACGGCTGCGTTGGCCGTCGCCAGAGCGGCGAGGAAGAAGAGGACGGACTTGGTGCTGAAGATCATCTTTGCTTGATTTGTGGTTCAAGATAGTTGGGCGGGGAAGGGCTGGTGAGTTAACCTGAAAGAGCTATTGGCCTTGGGAGATGATGAGTGTGGATGATGAAACTAGAAGATCTGTCACGTCTCAACAGAGAATGATCTGCTATTATATACAGATCTTCTTCTTCATTGCTCAGAAGCTGAACCGCAGCAATTCTATGCCTCCTCGAATGTGGCTTCCTTCATGACTCTGACATGCCCCATTTCAATAACACGTGTGGAGACAACGAGTCGACTGCCTACTTCCCCTTGGGGTTCTTAAGCTCCAGTGGAGTACTTCTTGGCAAGCCGACCAAATTAGTTACACACGACAAGTAAACACGTAAGGGCGGTAAGTCTTTACGTCAGCCAAAGAGTTTCTCGGGAAGTGCCTGTCCATCCCATTACCGAGAACCATACCCATTCAGAAGTTCGCAGCCCTTGAGGACCAAAAGTGGCAGCATACCCATACATTGCCTTGATTAACGTCATCGGCCCAGATTCCGGCTCCCCCCTGATTCCGGCCAGCCGTTTCTAGTGCAGATGCACTATAACACATCCACTTTGCAGACCCCCACTATTAAATCTAAATAAAATCTAATACCTCTAACCCTAGCATATTATATAAAGTTTTATTCATTTTATCATATAAAAATATTGCAAAAATTATACTTTAATTATAATATTTTTAAAAAAATCTTTAAAGTTAAAAATATAAAAATATTAAGATTTACTAGTAAATTATTAACACTTAACAATAATAATTATATAAGTTTTTTTTAAATAACTAAAAACATTAAAATATTAATATATATATTACGGTTTAGGCTTTGCCCATTGTAATTAATCAGTGGGCTTTGGCCTTATAAGAATAGGCTTCAATGCAAATACAAACAGGGAGTAAACCTTTTCCTCTGCACTTTAAATATAAACCCCATTTAAACACCTTATAATAAACAACCCAAGGCTAGCCCATAATATATATTTAAAGTCCTCTTGCATTACAAACTTATAATGCAACTATATAAAACCTAATATAGCAAAACTTAGAAAGAATAATAGCAGCCCATTAAGCCCTTCCCTATTTAAAGGAACTCTTATCTTAAGAATACCTAGCAACTTAGCTAATGGAGATAAAGGCTAAGTTTGCAATAAATAGGGAGGCAATTAGCACCAAAGGGGCTTAATTTTTTTATATATTTAATTAGCTAGGAACTTTCCATAACCAATTTTTACCCTATATTATGTTATGGGCTCGGCCCTAAAGGGGCTGCAGGCTGGCTAGCGCCTTCTCTCATAAGCTGCAAAGCAGCAACCAATTAAGCCAAAAGGTATGTAATAATCCAAGCTCCCTTAGATTACCTAGCCAGCCATTATAAGGCTTGGGCTTCCAGCCCAAGCCCATTACATAGCCCCCTAACTACTAATGGCGCATAATTACCCCCAAGGCTTACCCACAACATCGCCTTTTCAAGCCAAGGTTCTTCTTCACGAAAGGGGTGCCCGCACATTGCGGCAAACATAACTTAAACCTTCAACCCTAAAGCTTAAATTATTTATTATAAGCTCGGCCCCAAAGGGGCTGTAGGCTGGTTAGCGCCTTCTCCCATAAGCTGCAAAGCAGCAACTAATTAAGCTAAAAGGTATGTAATAATTCAAGCTCCCTTGAATTACCTAGCCAGCCACTATAAGGCTTGGGCTTCTAGCCCAAGCCCATTACATATTAATTCTATAAAAATATTTAAGGGGTAGCTAAAAAGCTTTTTAAAGAAAGTTTACCTTACGTTTAAGGACCCTTTTAAGCAAAAGCATACCAAGCTTAGCTTAATTGCATTATAGCAGCGTTATAAAAAGGAAATAATAAAATTTCTCGCTTAATTTAATTAATTAGCTTATATAATAAAGGCTTAAAGTTAGCTAAATAAATATAAAATATTATTAATAATTAATAGCTTAACCTTTATAGCAAAAGCCTAGCTTAATTGTAAAAAGTAGCTAAATATATTTAAAACTTTTTGCTTTACCCTATAATAATATAAGGGCATTTTTAGCGCTATAATAAAAAAGGATAATACTTAACCTTAAAATAGCAAAGCAATAAATATTAATATTGCAATAATTTTAATAAGTAAAGTTAAGTATTTTATATATAATTAACTTAGCTATTATAAGCATAATTACTTTAATTATCATAAGAAAATAAAAGTATAGCTTTTATTAACTAAGATTAATAAGAAAAAGGAGTTTATTTAAGGGGGCGCAAAATTTTTTTTGTGAAATAGGGCCTAAAAGCAATGCCGGCTTAGCGCCAACCTAGGCTTAAAACGGATTAATTACATGCTAGCTAATTTAGCGCCATGAAAATGCTTAAAATCTAAGAAATTCTTATTAATAAAGCAAATTGCTTATAATTAAGCATTAATTAATTACAAATTATATAATAAATTTATAATCTTAAGGTTTTAAGTAAGGAAGCTTATGCAAAAGGCTTGCATTAAAGAATTATAAGAATGCTATTAATTTAACTGCTAGCTTGTGCTTAAATAATTATCTTTTATTAGCTTACTTTAGCTAGCATATTAAATTATAAGGGCTAAGGCATGTTAATTATAAATAATGGGCTAAGCCTTTAGCGCAATTAAAAGGCGCTAAGGTATAATTAAATGGCTAAGCAAAGAGCAATATTTAATTCGCAATTAAACTATAGTGTTCTTTATTTTTTATTATATAGCTACCCTTTAAGGCCTGCTATAAGGACCTAAAAAAGGAGGATATATTACGGTTTAAGCTTTGCCCATTATAATTAGTTAATGAGCTTTAACCTTATAAAAATAAGCTTTAGCATAAATATAAATAAGGAGTAAACCTTTTCCTTTGCACTTTAAATATAAACCCAATTTAAATACCTTATGGCAAACAACTCAAGGCTAGCTCATAATATATATATATATATATATTGTTGGCTGGGTCACGTATTGCAATACGACGTTTGGTTGATATAGTGGTTGATTATTGTTGATTATGGAAGGAAGGAAGGCAGAAGGCCTGATTGTATTAGTTATTTTATATGCAGCGCTAGGGCTGTTGCTTGCTGGGTATCTTAATGGGCCAAAGCTGCTTAATTCTAAACAGTCCTTTATATAAATAATACCTATTATTCCCACATTAGCAGTTTTTGCTTTATAGGTGCACATTACTTTTAAAAAGTATAAAAAAAAGGAAGGTATTAAGTTAAATTAAACTTAAGGTTAAGAGGTAATTAATTAATTATATATATAAGTTAAATTATAAGTGCATTATTATTTTGCTGCGTTATATTATTATAAAAAGCAAGTATATAAGAAGGCTTAGGTTATTATTAAGGAGTTAAAGGTTGGTTAATTTATTAAAGTATGCAATTAATAAAAAGAGGTTAATTAAGTATATATATATATTAAAATATCCTAATTATATAAAGTTAAAAAGCTTAAAAGGTTGTAATTATTATATAAATATTTTATTTACAATGTATTTTATAAATTTATGCTTTTATTACCTATGGTGCTTAGGTTAAATAAGGATTAAATTAAACCTTTAGATTGCTAACATAATTATTTAATTTTTAAATAATTAAAATTTCTTAATTCGGCTTAGCCTAAGCTTTGCTATGCCTAATGCCGCTTATTAAATAAAGAAATTAAGGAGTGTAATTAAAGGATGGGTTATTAAAATGGAGGTTAATGAGTTATAAGGATTAGCAAATAAAGTATTTAAATAAAGAGAAAGTAGGGTGTAAAATAAAGAATATTAATTAAGTTAATAAATAGCAATACTTTTAACTTTAATATATAGGTATTAAATCGCGAAATTTAATTGGGGATGCTTATTAAATATAAGTTGGCAACTTAAGTGCTTATGAAATAATAGTAATCCTTATTATTTAAACTTTTAATATATAAGCATTATTATAAAAATCTTAAATATAAGGTTTGCCCTTAGGAGGAATATAATTTAAAGTTGGTTAATTACATTATATTATAAGGTAATTTATAAGTAATTAATAAATATAAATTAAACTTTTATACTTTTATTATGCATTATCTTTAATTAAAGAAGTTATCTTATTATCCCTTATTAAAAACCTTTAGCAGTTTTTTATTTTTGCAATTATATAATATGCATATTTAAGTTAATTGCGTTAATATTAATATAATAATCTTATAATGTATAATGTAATAATAATATTTAGGGTTATATTAATGCGATTTATTAATAAGTTATTAAATTATGCTTTGGCGATTTAGGTTTAAGCCTTAATGCATTATAATTTTCTTAACTTTTTGTTATATTTAAATAGTTGCCTTATCTTCTTAGCCGCGATTTATATAGCCTTATATCTTAATTATGATATTATTTATACTTATAAAGCGTTGAAGAGTGTTATTAAGGGTATTCTTTATAAAGGCGTTAGCTAGGTTGTAGTTTTTAGTAATTTAATGAATCTTAAAAATTTTATGTTTTTCATATAATTATTAAAGAGCTATAATGTTAATTATAAGGTGCTTTTCTTTTATTATGCTAAGCTTAATTAGGCATTTATATAAAGAGTATGAGTTAATATATATTATAAAAGGAATTATTATAATATTTAAATATATAATGATTTAGCGCAAAGTAGCCATTAGCATTATAGCTATATTAAAGCTATTAATTATGTTATAAATTTTTAAAGCCAAAATGCTTTGAGTTACTTTTTAGCATTTTATTAAGGATTAATGAATAATGTTGCCTTTAATATTTTATTTAAAAGCTTATTGGGTTTATATTTTATTTATAAGTATAATAATAAAGTTAATTTATAAGCTAAGATCCTTATTATTAATAAATAAGTTATTAATAAAAATTATTAGTTTAGCTTAGGATAGATTTAGGGGTATATATTAAAGTCCTTGTTTTAAGTTATTAGCTTGCTATTATAGCTGGCGATTTAGCTTATTGTAATTCTT